GAGCTGGTGTTAGCAGTGTGAGGATAGCAGTGTGGGAATATCAGCCATGACGATACCGTCTTCAATAGGAATGGGCAACCTGCTCTAGCGTGAGCCGTGTCAGCAACGAGGAGCACCGTTGACACCAGGCCGTCATTCGGCCCCGGATTGGGGTGCTTTGTCCGCTCCTTAAACCCGTCTGTAATCAGGCACCAACCCTGATCCCAGTTGCTTCCGTTTGCCCTGCGAGATTGGCGACATTTGGCCAGGGGCGCATACATTAGTTGAAGCAGACATATTGACTGCATTTATTCGCACCAAGTACCGTGCCGGAAAAGGGGACAAAGCCACGGTGATCCGAAGCCATGAAGATGACGACGGAGTGAAGGGGCCAAGATTCGTTGTTCAAAGGCCTGGGTTCCTGCAGACCTGATATGCAGAGGCCGAGATGGGAAAGTAGCGTGATAACCAGACGGCCAGAGCAATCAAAGGGATCCATTTAGTGTTGCTCTCGCACGGAAGCACCTCAATCGGAATCGGGCCTCTGCCGAAGGACCGGAGCGTTCTGAAAGAGTACACCAGCTGCTCTTCAATTCGACTCGGTTCAGTGCCGCGGGCAATTTCATGAGCAAGGAAACGTCGGCTGCAAGGGCATGTCCAAACCAGGACTTGGGCCGCAGTTGATTGCCGGAACTTCTGGTGCAGAGGGCGCCAGTCGACACCATCTTGGAACGTTGTGGTGTTCAGAGCCCTTGCTAGATATTCCACATGACCAGTGATTTTTTGCCCGACAGGCCAGCTTCCGCCAGGGACGAGCGGCGTAGAGTGGTCTAGCTCAGGACTCAGGAGGCGCGGATTTCAGGGCAAGGCAGTTCGGATGGGTCTTCGGAGGTCTTGGTACTCTGCGTGCATTGCGATCTCCGCAATGGTGCAGAATCATGGCGAAGAAGCCGGCGAATCGGCGGAGTCAGGGACGGCTTGAACTGACCACGCCCGAATTCCGACCAGGTGCCTAGTGTTAGTCCATGACGGTGACTAAGTCAGTCCGGTCAGGCGCGGTGCGGTGCGGTGCAGGCTGAAAGTCAGAGAGGCCACATGGGCTTTAGCTTTGGCAATGGCTAGCGTCGATGGATGATGCGATGCAACGCGATGCCATGCCATGCGGTGCCTGCATGAGTTGCATATCTGAGGGCGCCCGCCCAACTGCAGCCTCGACCGAAAAGATGCTGCCGTGCTGGAGCTGGAAAGGCCGGACCTCCATTAACACTGCAGCGCGCAGAACGTAGGTTCGGAATTCAAGCGCTGTACGTAGTCTTCAGCGAGACCTGGGGTGATGATGGCGGAAAACGTGTGAAGGACGGGTGGGGATTGAAAAGGGACGGTTCGGTCCCTGAGATCCGCAAGGTCCGCCGTGAGGGTTCGTTGGCGAGATGAGGCGAAGCGAAGCACGACTTGTGAAGGGTGTCCAGCGTTGTCGCGGCACCGCAGCGGTAAGACTGGGAGGATGAATTGCCAGGTCGATGCAGCATGGTTCGATAGTGATGTTTCTGAAGTAGCGGTGGGGGAGCACGTATGGGGATTCCCATCGAACGACTTCAGTCACTCTGACAACAGCCTTGATCGTATAAGTGACAAAAGCCTCCGGACGCCCAGTCCCCTATTTTTATCGACGGATAAGGGCGCAGGCCATGACCCGCGAGTGATGGCGTATTGCACTGGTCTGGAGGCTTGAGAACAGAAAGCATGCATGGAAGACTACTGCGCGATGGGTGAGCTAGCGCAGAGAAGCCGGTAAAATCAGGTAGCAGGAGCCAGAAGCCGCGCTCGCCGTTCCTTGCTGGTGCTATGCGATTCGCGAACCAGAGTGTACCAGTTGATGGTCTGAAGTCTGGGACAGAATTAGAGGGGAGAGAATCCGGCGGCGATTCGGACTGGCGTTACGCAGAACAGGAGTCGTCTCGCGGGTGCCACCTGTTGGAAACGCGGGAGGTCCTGAGACTGAGAGACGGGACGAGGTCTTGGATTTCGGTGGGCGAGTTTGAATTCCTGGTGAAGGTATCCGCATCGGCGAGAATGTGCCTGCAACACCGAAGTAATAGCCTGCGTACCCTGCATGGACTTGACTCTTGAGGTGAGGTTCGGCGGAGATGGGAAAGTGAGTACGACTCCACATGTATCAGGGCTTCCCGGCGTGGTGCAGAGGCGTCTCGGTACCAGAGCGGCGGCAACTGATGGCGGTCGATGACGGTGAAGTGTGTTGGAGTTGTGGTTCAAGCCTCGAAGCGAAGGCCGTTCCTTTTCCAGATGCGGTTCCAGCGGCTGACTTGTAGAACTCGGGGAGTGACCCGAATGCCGAGATAGCATGTCCCGTCTTGTCTTGCATTGCATTGGATGAAAGGCGGCCTGAAACTGTGCGACGGAGGGTGCCTGAGTGGAATGGTTTGGACGAAGGGTTTGGACGATGTCGATGTCATGAGATGAGTTCAGTCCGTCTCGGGGCCCGAAAGCAAGAGGCGTGGATGGCACCGCCGTGATGGACGTTGAATGAGGCGTCGATTACTTGTCTCCGACGTTGGGAGAAGAGACCAAAACCGAATATTCGGTGTAGGAATGTCAAAGGATACCTAGGTATGGAAGGTCGGCAGCGAGACATTGGATCGGGTGGATCGTGAAGCTGTGGCTCCCGTCTTTTTCGCTGTTTTCAGAAGATTTGGTGAAGACTGACGCGCTGGCTGCACCAAGGGAAAAAAAAAAGATTCAGATGGAGAGGGAATTGATTGACAGACAGGGGGGAGGTGGGAGACTGCGAGCAAAGATGGTGGAAGGGGGGACGGGACCCAACACAGGGTGCCAGGTCCAGGTCCAGGTCCAGGTCCAGGGGTAGGGCCAGGAAGGGCGTCGCATGGGGCAGACAGGGCCCAAGGGCGGGCTAGCGTGCCTGGCATGTTTCTCTTTTAGCGATGGAAGTTTTCGAGTGTTTCCGCCCCTCTCGAAGTCTAGAGGAAGCGTCACGATGCGGTCCTTGTGGTTCTTGTGTGGAGCAGACGGCGGTCCACGTCCAGTGTCGTTTTTTCCCAGGTTGTCACTGACGATGGAAGCCGCGTCCACACCTTGTCTTGACCAGATGGCAGATCAGAGCCTGTGAGATTAAATTGTTGAGGTGATTGATTCTATGAGTGTGAGATGAGGCAGGTGTTGCTAGCCAGGCTCCTGCTCAAGATTCAAAAAGAGTGAAATAATCTTTAAGTGCATAATGTAGGTAATGCAGGAAGGTACGGATAGGAAGAAGCGGTACGTACCGCTTTCAATCTTGTCTCTTCCGCTCTTCTCCATTTTTACGCCGTAAGATATCTCCTTGGAGTATCCATTTCACGATGCTCATTGGCCTGTAGGAAATGCTAGGGAAATTTTCCCAGATGGAAAAGGCATTCGAGGCAGGAGCCGCAAGGGGGCAAGGAACACTGAACGGACAGAACCTGCCCTGAACCCGGTACTTGCGGGCTGCACTTGCCGTCAGAAGGTGTCCAGGTGGTTTTCGTACAGGCAGAGAGGCAGGTACCGTTCGTTGTTCGTTCCTTCCTGCCATTTCTCTCCTCCCCCAATTTGATTTGAACCACCCCTGCCCCTGGAGGCGAACGCACCCTTCCTGCTTCCTGTGCCTGCTTCCTGCAAGTTGGAGGGGCCCAGCCAGCTGCTGCTGCTTCTGCTTCTGCTTCTGCTGCGCTTGTGGACTGCCACTGCAACTGCAACTGCGGTTGAGAGTGCGTGTCTGGCTCTGGCTGCCCGGCTTTTAATTTCGCCTACTGCATTAAACGGCCGCTTGCTTCGAATGCTCCGGTCTCTTGTTTCTTGCCCTTATGTTTTCCTCTCTCCTTCTCTGCTAGCACCGTGAGTGACTCTTGCGACTCCGTGTTATTGCGGGCGCGTTGTGGACTGGTTGACTGGCCCGTCTCCTCCCTCGTCCTCAACCTCCGAATCGTAATCAACGACCCCTCCAGATCTTATCCACTTCATTCGCTGTTATTAACGTCAATTTTAATCCTAAAAAGTCTCTCTGGTTCCCTCCGGCAGAATCATCCATTACATTGCATGTTTGCATTGCACTACCGGCCGCCCTTCCATCCCCCTTCCACATACGTACGTGTACTCTGTATCTTAATTCCTCCTGCCTCTCACCGATTCTTTTACCTTACCCTCCGTACCTTACTCACTCCAGCTATTCCAACGGCTACTGATAACTGAGGCACCAGGCACATTGACCTTCTTCTCAAACCACACCTCACCTCACGCCTCACGCCTCACACCTCACCTCATACCGTGCCTTAGTAACTCTCACCCCCCTTCTTCCACCCCTCCCCTCTCTGGTTGGCGCCGCCCCCCTCCTTCATATCCTTCCCTTCACCTTACTATTACCTACGAATACCTGCCCTACGCCATCTCGGCCTCGTTTCTTCTTCCTTCAAGTCACCCAATTCTCTCTGTTTCAACGCGAAGGTTGTTTATCCACGCGCAAGCCGGGGGCGCTGGGGAGATCTGGGAAACGATCTTCTGTACGCATACGGATACTGGTCCCTTTGTGCAGAACCCACCGTTTCGACATTCGACACCACCATTCTTTACCAACATCATCAACGCTTGTTTCTTCAGTCGTTGCTGCAACTGCAAACTGCAAATGCAACTGCGACTGCATGCGCCAACGCTGTCATATCCTTAACACCCTCCAACATCTCTCCGTCCTCCGTCCTCCGTCCTCCGCACCCCAAAAGACGACGACCAGCTTCACCCCCTTTCAGGATGCTTCTTTAATCCTATACTTGACTTGATACCCAATTCTTTTCTCCCTAGGGCTACACTGCCCCTTCCCTCTCCCTCTCTCCTGCCACCTCGACAGCCTGGCCGCCATGGAAACCTGCGAGGGTTTCCTCTTAATTCCCCCTGATCGGGGCCAAATCCTGGGCCGCGCCATATGGAAGGTATGAATCCCCAGCTCGTCCGCTTTGTTTTGCTTTTCCGCTGTCTTCATGTGCCTGACACCTTCGTACCAGCCTCGATATGTTGTCGTCGGGGGTCGCAACGTCCACAGAGAAGGCGTTACCAGTCCTACCTTCTCCCCAACTAGCTCCACCGGTCGTACAAACGGCGCCGCTCCTCCCAAGATCCAACCGAGGCCCATCGCCATCGACGACTACCACATCACCATTTTCAAGTCAAAGGTAAGAATCAACACGACAGAGTTCTCCGGCCAAAACCTAAGCCTCTCGAACTTGCAGGACGACTGGGAGCCTTCCTATCAGTACCCCGTCAGCTCCGTCATCGATTGCCAGGTGCAAATGCTCGCCCACCGCAAACAAGGTCCCGTCTTGCCCACTCTCGTCATCACAATCAACGACAAGGAGAAGAAGCGCCGTTCCAGCAGAGCTGCCGGCCTCATGTCCAGCAAAGAATCCTCCGCCACCACCCTATGGTTTCGCACCCCTCCCGACGACCACCACATCAGCCTCCACGAATGGGCGCGCTTCATTATTTCGAGAAAGCTCCCCATGAGCCCCGAGGAGAGTCCAGCCTCGCCGTCTTTCACCAACCCGTTTTCGCCCCAACAACGGTCCCGAGATGCTTCCGACTACTTCCCGCGACCGCCAAGCGGAAACCCAAACCCCAACCCTCGCACAACTCTGCACCATAAACCGTCGACGCAGACCTACTCAAGTCGGGAACGCCCAGTCACCTTTAGTTCCGACTCTCCGAGCCTGCGCTCGAAACGCAGTGATGTCTCGTCGCCAACGAGTATGCATCACCCTGCTGGTATGGGCTTTGCGATGCCCGATCCCAACAAGTACACCACGGTACTCCCAAGCGACATTCCGTCTCCTATCACCACCATGAGCGACTACCAACAGAGCGAGTTTATTGAGGGTTGGACCGCTGCCCAGGGACGGTCGTCGACTGTCAGCTCTCCGATTCGCGGAAGGGGCAGCGTGAGCTCCGGGGGACCTCAACCTTTCCCAGGAGCCGACTCCAGCTCGCCGCCCGCCCCGCGGGAGACAATTCTGGACAGAGCTTTCCAGCTCAGGTGCATTCCTGGGTCCGAACGCGAGGTTCCGGGTGAAGAGAAACTGACGTCCTTGGCTCGATTTGATGCATTGATGAGAGAGGCAGACGCAAAGAGACGCCAGCAAGTCAAGGCGGCAGAGGCCGAGAGGGCTGCCATGCAAAGTGCTTTCGACATGGACGAGGACTCGTCTGAGGAAGACCAGGATTCCGATGACGACGAAGACGGGGAGCCAGACGAGTACGCGCATGAGACGGACGTGAACGGCAATCGCCACACGTTGATTGCCCCCAACGCTCAGCGTGCCCTCGAATACCTTTCCAACCGCCCGGAAAACCCACTGTCGCCTCGCTCACCCGTGATGAGGAGCTCACCAGCCAACTTCAGCGTTCCGTTGCAGGCGCCCACGCGCCCGCACACGGCACATTCCAGAATGCGGCCGAGCACAACGTCAAGGACATACAGCCAGCCTCAGCCAATAGGCCAAGAAAGGCTTGACGTCCCAACCTCATCAACTGGTAAGATATCCGAAGAGAGCCTCTCCCGAGCCAATGGAGAGAAGCGAACGTCCGGCTCCAGCGCCAAGCGACTCAGCTTCACCGAGTTCACCAAGCGTCTCTCCAGCACCAGCAGCTTACTTCTCGTCCAGACCAACACGAGCGGCGGGAGCAGCTGCGGAAGCAGCGAGTTCGACCCAAGTCCATCACAGGTACCCAAAGGTACTTTGAACGCTAGAGGCGTCCCCCCAAGACCCCGTGATCTGGAGCGAGAGGAACACGAACGACGGTGCGGGTGGCGGAACAGCGTAGGCTTCGCCGAGGGCGGCCTGATTTGACGGCGCGGCCCATCAACAACTACTATCAACACTATCATCTTCTATCCCTCGACTTTTTGGACTTTTCCAACTTCAGCCAATATCCGACTCATCCACTTTCAATCCGTCATCAACCACAATCGATTATACCCGACTCATTCACGCCGCAACATAGTTGACGTACATGTTGTACGATTTTTGATCTGACGATACCACTGTTTGCATCTCATGACGACTTATGATCTGGGTTCACAGTACAGGACCCGGCGTTTGATATCCGTTCTTGTTTATTACATTACTTTCGCAGTCGGGCCTTTACACGTTACCTAAGGGGGGAGGATTCTCGGATGAAGCAGCATCGTCAAGAACAGGTGACCGGGGCGGCATTATCCCTTTTACAACATGCATGCGCAGCCGGGGAGCACAAGGCGGAAGGCATGTGGGACGTCACATAAGAGACCCTGATTTATTTTTTGGAGCAATTTACGCGTTCAGATGAACATATAGATACGTTGTAGTACAGAGTGGACGATTTACCTTCACGAAAAGCTAATGAAATATGGCCTACATACATACACCCACGTCTCCTCCCTGATCTCATGACGTTCGTCTCCCTTGGCAACCGGGCGCCAAATCCTCATTTCGTTTCACACCCCTCGACGCGTCGACTCGGTCCCCTGAATTCGAACCCTCGGCATTGGAGAGCGGTCAACGGGATACCTTCTCCTTTGGTAAAACCGTCGCGTCCCGCCCATGTGGCCCCCCGAGATCAACGCCCGCACACTGCAGCCCCAAATTCCCGTTCCGATTCCCGCAGATCGACGTCGTGAACTTCCTCTTTCACCGTCCAGTTTCCACCGCAAAAACTCGTCCTCATCAGCGTCGGACCTTGTCCGTTCGTGCCGTCTTGCAAAAAAAATCCGAAAGGGGGCGTTCGTCATTCTTTCTCCAGCGCGCCAATCACCCCAGTAAACATTTCGCAGAGCCCACCTTCCTCTCTCCGCTTCCAGGGTCCTCAGAGAGAAGGGAAGAATTTCCCCCTGGTCACGGTATCTACCGCTCAACACCTCCAATCACGTAACGGCGAAAATCTCTTACACCACGCTTGTCGTTCGCCACGCGGGCTAATATCGGTGTAAGTCGCTTTTTTTTTCTGTCTCTCTTCTCGCGCTTCTGACCTTGTCGTGCACGAGCTCTCGTCGATAACAGCCAGGCCCTGTCGGACGGACCGCGGTGCCCAGGGAGTAAAGTCAGGGAAGAGAACTGGCGAGGCATGGTTGCTTGTGCACAAGTTGGTCTACGCTTCAAGCCAGGGATTCACGAAAATTTCTTCTTCTACGGTTTCCACCACAAGACTATACACGCTAGAAGACTATACGAACACACTAGAACGTCCAAGGAAGAAGCGGGAGAAGGCTGTTCTGTACACTAGAGCAGAGCAAGGCAACCCAGCCCGGCTCTCCGGTCCCGCGTACGGAGGGCGGTGTAAGGGACTGTGCAGGCGGCCGGGGAGGGGATGGGGGGCGGAGAAGGTTGCGGCCGGTGCCGAATGTCACCTTACCTTGGGTAGGTTGGCCACGGACGGGACGGTTTCAAAGATTCCAGACCCTCGCGATGCAGAGCGAAATCCAGGGGCCGTTGGGTGTGGTTGTAAGAGGGATGAAGCGGTTACGATGACGGTGAGTGTGAGGGCGTCGAACGAAGCCTTGCAAGTCGTGTTGAGTAGTCAGTCAGGCTGTGAAACCCGGCCGTTGTATTAAGATCCTTGTGGCTGGCGTGAGTAATGGTCGAAGGGTGCTGCTCGTAGAGGCGGTGAACGTTGGGGGTTTACGACGGACAGGTCACTAACAGTCAAGACGATGGTTCCCTCTAGGGTGAGTACGTGTGTGTTGACTCAAAATGAAATGTTTTGGCTTTTGTCTTCTCAAAAAAAACAGAAGCCTCGAGAAGAGATGACGCTTGTCAGCTATGCGTGCCTCTATGACACGCTCTTGTGTATGGCCATGCTTTCGTTTCGGTCCGGACCGGGCGCGGGGAGCGGGCGGCTGTCTGCTCATGAGCCGGCCCCGGCTCTGCATCCGACGATCTAATCTGATCGAGTTCGGTGACGCTCATCCCATCGTGTACGCCTCATTACGTCTTTTCAAGAGATAATCCCATCCGCTCGCCTCCTATTTTCCTGTTTGACGACGCTATCCTACGCCTTTTATCCATCCTGACCCCTACGTGTTCCTTCGGTTCGCTCACGGCGACGGGATTTTGTGCCAACTGCCCATGGAAAAGACAGCGTTGTCCGGCAGGCCCAGTCCACCTCTAGGTAACTCCTCCTACTGCAGGTACTGCTGCAGGGCGGCCTGCTGCTCGGGCGTCAAACGCGTGTTGACAAAATTCAAGATGGCACCGTTGTGGCGCTGGTTCGCAGAGCTGATATAAGCGCTGACCCACGGGGCAACCGTGGTGACCTCGGGGTAGTCGTCACGTACAATCGGCCTGCACGTGTTCAACGCCGTGTACGAGAGTCCGAAGCCGATGTCGTCCACGTCAGCTTCGGCAATGAGCTCATCACCGAGGCCAGCAGTCATAACCGGAGGGTTTACCAACAACGCAAGGAGAATCTTGGCAGTGTTGGCCCAACCCTTGGCAAACTTCTGAGCGAAGGCCTGGGAATCGCAGAGAACCTTGGTGAGAGAGACCACTGCAAGTTTGCGGTCGACAGGTCGCGCAAGCTTCTCCGTCTCGCCCAAGACGAACGCGGGGTACACCTTGGCGAAAATGCCCTCCTGGATCTTCTCGGAGTGCTGCATGAAGTAGTCGGCACCATAGCCGGACTCGAGGCGGGCAGAGATGAGATGGAAGAACCGCGCAAAGCGCAGCTTCAGAGAGTCGGCTGGGGCGCCTTGCAACTTGGCGAACGTGAGATTGAGAATGGTGCCGAAGTATTGGTCAACAACGCCGCTGCTTTCCTGTCAGTGATCGTTCGGAATTATGATTCCAGGCGGAGACTTACGGCTCAAACGACTTTACAACCGCCTCCAGAATATCGAAGGCGTACAGTTGGTACTTCTTCGTGTTGAGGAGGCGCTGGAAAATGCCGAGAATCTGCTCGAGCTTGTTCTCCGAGACAATGTAGGCAGCAGTTGCCGGAATGACGGCTGACAAGAGTCTCGTGCAAGCAGGAACGTTGCCCTTGGTGTCCCACAATGTCGGCTCAAGCAAGGGGGACAGGAAAGCCTTGTAATTGTCGGAAATGGCATCTCGGGGACTTGACTCTAGAAGCAGTGCCAGAATCTGGAAAATGTACTGAAGGAATTCTACGACCGGTCAGCGAAGTGCGGCAGCAGGGCTTCAAGAGTTGACATACCTGAGACGTCTTCCACCAAAATCTGGTTGAACGGCTCCCACAGTCGCTGGTTGAACAGTGCTGCGCTTGTTGAAGAGCAGTATCTGACAAGCGCACCCAAGGCCTCAAAGTGGTAGTAGTAGAAGCGGGGGTTGCTGGGGTTTTGCTTGATCATGTTGGTGATGGCAACCAAGTGGGTAAGGATACCCTCGGCAAGCGGTGCTGCTCCATCCTTGATGACGATAAGAATTCTCATGACACATCTCATCAAGAACTCATTTTCCTGCAACTTGGCAGGAGTTCTCTCCTTCTCAATGAGCTTGAACAGGTGGTCAAGCAGGTCCTTCGCAAACGGCTGGATGTCCTCGCGAGGGAACATAGCCTTGCCAGAGTCATCAGACAGGAAGAGAAGACGCTCAACCGCAATGGCAGCGTAGGAGTAGACAACATAGTTGTCTGAAGCCAGGTTCTGAATAAGAGGGGGAAACGCCAACTTCCATTGCTCCTTTGTCAACTGGCTGCGGAAGGTGTGGAGGTACTTGATGGCGTCAACCTTGGAGATGGGCTCCACGCCTGCACTCGCCATCAGGTCCGATGCGATGTGCTGCTCAAAGAAGTCAACGACGTTGACCAAAGAGTTGACCGTCTTAACACCTTGAGCGGCCGTTACCGAACCCTTGGCAGCAACGGAGATGAACAGGTACACCGCGGTGTCCTTCGCCTTCCAGTCGGACTTGCCCTGTTCCAAGTAGTGGCTAATGTACTTGTAGACAACGCCAGTGACCAGCTGCTCGTACTTCTCTTGCAGTCTGCGGAGGAAGTCAGTAGCGGACCGGCGCCTGGAGTCGGTGTCGGAACCCTCCAAATCACGACGGATGAATTCGATGGGTTCATCCTCAAACAACTCCAAGTCGGACTCGCGCAGAGCGACATTGGGCAGGATGACCTTTTCGACCACTTGGCCCAGAACCTCCTCGTTGGCAAAAACACCAGAGTGCTGGGAGGTGCCAGCAACAGCGGTCAAAAAGTGCAAAGCCTTGCTGACCAGCAAGTCGTACTTGGTCTCGGATCCGATGCTGGACAGCAGGTTCCAAGCATTTGTGATAAAGGGCTCGGTGTACTTGCTGAAGTCCTCGTCGTACTTCAGGGTGTAGAGCTCCAGAGCCTCGCAAATGTCCGCCTTGACGTTGTCGACCACACTAACTTCGGTATCGTCATCGGTTTCGAGAATCGGGTTCGTGTAGGTGAGGTACTTGTGCAGGAGTTCCGAGATGGAAGCGAGGTGCTCCTCGAAGATCGGGGGCATGTCGTGTGACGAGAGGTCGTAGAAGATCTTGATCATGAGGCTCAGGCACTCGAACCAGCTCTTCAGCGCGTCCTTGTTCTGGGCGTTTTTGGTGATCTGCTCGTCGGTCTGCACCAGCAGCTGCACGAAGGGCTGTGCGAACGTGCTAATAACATGGTTGATCTCTGTGTACAACTCGTCGGTTCTGAAGAGGGGTCGCCAACGGACGAAGATGGAGTGGGCGACCTCGAGCACACCGATGTTGACTTTGGGATCGACGGGGGAGAACTTGGCGACGAGTTCCTGAGTCAGGGACTGCCAGCGCTCCCAGAAGTCGGAGTCGGCAATGATGCTGATAGCATCACCGAGCTGGGTCTGGATAGCGGGCGGGCAAGAGATCATCAGGTTAAGGAGCTGGGACTTGATGGTTTGGACCTCGTCGTCGGGCAGCTTGTAGTTGCCATCAGCGTCGACATAGTTGGAGCGGATGAAGTTTTTGAAGGCCAGAGCGGCGGCCAGACGTGTCTTGAGTGGCAGTGATTCTGAAGCAACGATGTTGAGCAGCTGAAGCGAGTATTGGGGCTTGGCTTGCTCGGCCTTGAGTGCGTTCTCGGCTGTTTGGCGGTTTGTTTATTAGCAATGCAAACAACGTTGGCGGGGTAAGAGGACAGTGAATAGAGTACCTTTCTTGTGAGTACTGGGGTCTAAAGTAGCATCCAGCAGCTGGGCGATGGTGCCCATTTGGGAGGCCATCTTGACGAAGTTCGCAGCGTCGGGAAGGGGTATTGGTGACGATGTTGCGGAGGAATGTTTTGTCGTGGACACTGCCTGCGCTGAACTTTTTGGGGATGGGATGTGTTGCTGTGGGGGACGAGGCTACCAACGGCTGCCTTCCATTTGGAAAAAGAGATGGAAAGTACTGTGGGGCGGCCGTCATTGGCTAAGGTGTGACGGGACGGAATAGAAAGACCGGGAATGGAAACGCCTGCCGGGGTCTTCGGAAAAACTGCCGGGGGCAAGACCGGGACGACCTGGCCCGTGCCCGATGTCCACGGGTTCACCCAGACGAAGAATGAAGACGCCGTTTGGCCGTCTGGCTTGCCGCAAGAATAACAAAGCCTGAAACTGCTGAAGAAATTCCTGCAGTGAATGCAGGACTTTTACGGGGGATCTGTAGGGTAGTACTTCACATCAGAAGCGGAAAATAGACCACTGCCCAGAAAACAAAAGCCCGTCTGCGAAACAGCTTGGAAGAAATCGATGACATGGCTATTCTCGAACTCAGGCCTATCCGTGCCGACCGCCGGATGCTCCCGACATTTGGTTGCCTGTGCCCGACATTTGAGCCGGACGGGACCGGCCCCGACGCCGTGGCTTAATCGGGGGATACGGAATAAAGTGAATACATAGCTCAACGGTCTTCACTCCTGGTCAAGTACTTCAGGGGTAACAACGGATATTGGAGATTGCACTATGGATAACAGCAGCAAAGATAGGCCTAGAGGTAGCGAGGAGTAGTTGCAGGACTGTACCCAAGGTAAAGCGGGACTGCAGATGACGCCACACCTAGGTATCGTCATAGGGCGATGACGGAATAACGTTGGTGCGAACCTTGCATATCGTGGTTGGATCAGCTGGCCCATCTCAGGTGGGGCACTGACTTGCAACGGGGAAAGAGCGCATCAGGGAGCTCACGAACTGTTGGTTCTTGCTGCAGGTACTTGCCCCCCTAAAAAACTGCACTACCTCCACCCCATCCCCCTGACCACACAGAAGCCCAGCCCTGCACCGACTGACGGGATCAGCATTCAAGTTTTCCTCCAAGCAATTCTGCTAGTTGCACCACCAGAGAACCGACAGAGTCCGCCGTGCTATTTGATGTTGTGATAGCGCAGCAGCAGCTCCCGAAGACTTGGCACGACAGACAACAGACAGTCGCCGGACCCAAACCACCAACACACCACCGACCGACCGACCTTGTTCAGTCGGACCGGACCTGACCTTGGTTCCAGTCGCAGCCGGGGACCTTGCTACGTGAGCGTGAGGTGCGGCGTGCCCCCCCTCCCGCTTCCACTCGCTCCCACTCCGTCTCCCACTTCCGCTTCGGGACTATCTGGCCTGCAGCTCGCCTCGCCGCCGTGGATGGGGTATTCCAGACCTTCCCAGCTGGGCTGATAGCAAGTTTGACTGTGAGTGACTCTCCGCAAACATCTCTTGTTTTGTCTCCTCTCGTCCTTACGTCTCACCCTTCCTCTATCGTCGACAGCTTTCACGCTGTGGATCCAGAACGACGCTATCATCGTCATTCGCAAAAGGAATGACAACATCAACCCACTTTCGCCGTCTTTTATCACCACCACGTCGACATGAAGCATACTGCGCCGCAACATAGCTAACATGCTCCGCCGCATAGTATCGTCGAGAAATATTCCGACCGAGTTCGATCAGCCCGACGTGCACATGTCGCCTTCCCCAGGAGATGCTCCGTCGTCGCCAGATTCGAGTCGCCCCGGCGGCCTGGCGAGCGTCTTCAAGGGTCTGACGGGTGCTAAGTTGACCAAATCTCCTCCGCCGAGCCTAAAGTCTACCTCCTCTATCCTTTCGCCGATAGCTGCCAACGTGAACGCTACACGTACGACCTTGCGTCTTTCGCCGAACCACATGGAATCGTTCGAGTTATTGAGGGCTGGGAATGGAACCGCGAGCGATCGAATTGCCGCCGCGAACTCCCTCCGATATGCCGTCTCCGAGTATCCTCTCAACCCCGTACAGGACATATGGTATGCGGCAAAGGATATGATCGATGCGACGAAGCCAGAAGCTGAACGTGTGGCTGGTTGGGAACTTCTTTCGGAATGCGTCAAACACAAAGAAGCGTCGGATCTCGATCGCAAGGAGTACTTCCAGACTCTGACGGCTCCTGCAAATCCCGAAGACTTCCATCTGCAACTTGCTGCTGTCGTGGATCTATCGAAACATGGAAGACAATTGAATGGGTTCGATTACGACGTGATCCCTTTGCTGCGCAAGTGGCTTTGCGAAGCATACCAGGCCGTCAAAGTCGCAAGAAAGCAGGCTAGCCGGGATGCGAAGAAGAATGCCTCGAAAGCCAAAACCTCGGCTGCCGGAGAGGAGGAAAATCTCAACCAGTTGTTCATTTTCATCAGCGAGGTCATCAAATTTGGCTCCAACGTGGCCGATGAATCCGCAATGTCCGGCCTGATGAAAGCGCTCGTCGGTATTTGTCTCAGCACTACCATCGAAGCGGACTTACGGGCCTCCATCAGCGTCATCGATACCATTGTGACATTCGGCACCCTGCCCGCGGAAAGCTTCAAGGAGTGTGTTCTTGTGCTTGGCTCGATCTTCTGCCTGGTGCCGAACCTTTCCAAAATCGCATGGCATACGATATCCCTCTTACTGAAATCGCACAACGGCCCCGCGGCGGTAAGGGTCCTCGTCGACTTGTTGCGACATCTTCCCCGTGACGGAGCCAGTAAAGGAAAAGATACGAGGGACATCCGTGGCGTGCTGGCTGTCCTGGAGAAGCTGCTGACAAAAAGCATGGAAAAGGGCTATCCGCCCGTGCCCTATGCGCTGCTTATTGAAGGTTTAGTCGCTGCCGTTCGCAGTACAGATTCAGGCCGAGTCCACTGCGCCATTCTCAAGCTGGTGAACTCCCTCTTCCGAGATGGAGATGGTAAAGTCCACAGTCTGATTATTGAGGAAGACTGGGCGGATCTGTTGGACGTCGCAATCGAGTGTTCAAAGAAGGCATCCCCTAACATGGTCACTGGCATCGGATTGATTGCTCCGGAGACGGAACCTGACCGACCAGATGAAGCCATTGGGCTCGAGCTTCTGAAGCTTATCGCGCGCCTAGAGGATCTGGCCAGCATGAGGACGGGCGAAATCGTATCGCGACAGATCATCATTAAATTCTTCATCAGCATTCACGCTCGTCTTCCGGACTCAGCGGCACGAGTTGTTCTCACCTACTTTCAGGAGTTCCGATGCTGCTCCCCATCAGACCTGCAATGGGAAGAAAATCTGTCGCTGGTCCTCAAAGAATTTTATGCCAACAGGAACCGTACCTCTCAAACCCGTCTTCTGGCACTTCAAGCTGTGACGGAGGCGTACGACATGATGGATCTCATCGGAGAAGGGCTCGGCGATGACGTTGTCCCCAACTTGATCAAGGACCTCCTCAGCAATATAGCTGATGAGACCAATCTGCTAGTTCTTGAGTCTGTTGTCTCTTTCATGGTGTCTGTTGCTGTCTCCTCCGACAGAGAACTTTTCGACTACATAACAGACACTTTGAGGACAATTGTTGTCAATGAGCGTCTCTTGTCGCCGATACCATCATCCACAACGTCTCGACCTACAACGCCGGTCATGAACGAAGCGACAGCCCCTCAAAAAAGCCACACAGCTTCAGGAGTTGTGACAAGAGGCTACGTCAAGCTATTTATGCGCTGCATGAACCTCGACGGTGCGAAGAGTTTGAAGCTTTTCGATACACTAGTCAATACGGCGAAGACGAGCTCTTGCAAAACCGACGCTCGGCTCGTGGCGATGAAACTCCTCTTCCGCCTTCGAGCAGACTGGGCCAACCGAGTCTTCTTGATCCAGGATACAGAATCCGATGGTTTGGCAGCGACCCTTCAACACACCGGTCCACTTCGAGCTCGGAAGCACGACGAGGATCACGCTCAAGCTGCTAGATCCAGAGCGGAACATGGCGCCGTCACTAGAGCTACGAGGGGGATTTCTTTTAGCAGCTCTTCGACCCAAGATAGAGCGTTTCCGATTCGTTCTGCTAGCGGCGCAAAGCAAATTCACCCGTACAGACAACTTTGGGCATTGCCTGATTCCGAAGCTCTGCCAGAGTCTCCATCGGCCATCGCAAGCCCGATACTGGTCTCGCACGTCGAAGAATCAGACATCGCAATCCCAGAATCCACCGATGTGGAACCTAGACATATTGCCCTGAACATGGAGGCTTGGCTTGACGCAATAGTCCACATCGTTGAGAATGGAAGCGACTGGGAGGTTTATAGCATGGTGCTGGTGCATCTACCCTCACAACTGACCAATCACGCCATCTTCAGAGGCGCAGTGCCGCAGATCAAAGAACTTCGACGGGTGGTCTGCGAACAGATTCGGACGAACAACTTTCAAGAGCCGCCCAACTGCACGAGCTTGCGGCGCGCCGACGTCGCCATCTGTCTTTTCCACAGTCTGACCATGATATTAAGTTATCATGAGTTCTTCCTGAAGGACCAAGAAGATGAAATTGTACAAGCGTTCGTCAAGGGCATTTCGACTTGGGAGCGATGCGCCAAATATTGCATTCACGCATTGTCCATCTGCTGCCACGAATTGCCTCTGTCCACCAGCAAAACACTGGTGCAGATGTTGCAGAAGATGGCGCAAATCATTACGCAACCGCATGTTGCTATGCACATCTTGGAATTTCTTGCGTGTTTGAGCAGAATGCCCAACATGTACGTCAATTTCAGAGAAGACGAGTACCGCATTGTTTTCGGAATCTGCGTTAGATATCTTCAGTACGTCCGAGATAAAAAGCAAACGCAACGAGGCAGTCTCCACAGCGAAGCGGCAACGCCGACTAGCACGACAGCACCGGAGATTCTCCATCCCAACGCGGCTGACGACCTTCCTCAGTACGTGTATGCTTTAGCATATCATGTCATCACGTTTTGGTTCTTGGCGCTAAAACTGCCGGATCGTGCTAATCACGTCGGTTGGATTGCTAAGAATCTGCTTTCTGACGTCGACGGCGGACAAAACCCTGAAGAGCAAGCATTGGTCACCCTCGACTTTATGCAGAGAGTGGCCTACGCTGACGCTGACGAGTCTTCCGAAGATCTCCTTTTTACTAAAGAGCGATTTGGTGAAATTCTGAAGCGTAGGTGGGTGATGGGCAACAGTATCGTGACCATTGAACAGTCGACAACCACAGGCTGGTCTCAGATCACCAAGCGTCAACCTTCCGGAACATCGTCTTACATTGTGCACGAGAACTTCCGACCGCGTCCAGCCCATCAAGCACAATACATATCTGACTTTGCAAGAGATGGACAACCGACGAACAACAACATACTGCCTAGCCACATCATGGTTCAGCTGATGACTTCCACCCCACAAACTACAGACGGCGCACGCCCGGTCCCCCTCCCGGACGACGAAGCAGTCCAGCGAGCTGTGAGGGTCTTTGACCGCAACTCAACAGTAGATGGGCACAAGGTCGGAGTGATTTACATCGGCGAAGGCCAAACACAAGAAGCCGAGATCCTTGCCAACGTATCAGGCAGCAGCGACTACGTGACGTTCCTTAACGGACTGGGCACTCTAACGAAGTTGAAGGGCTCCAAATTCAATACACAGGGCCTCGACAGAGAATACGACAGCGACGGCGAGTACACCTTCTGCTGGCGCGACCGAGTCACCGAGATCGTATTCCATGTCACCACGCAAATGCCTACGAATCTGGAGCGAGACCCACACTGCATCAACAAGAAGCGACATATTGGCAATGACTTTGTCAACATCATCTTCAACGATTCGGGTATGCCTTTCAAGTTCGATACCTTTCCGAGTGAATTCAATTACGTCAACATCGTCATCACTCCCGAATCGCGAGCAGGCTTCCTCGCCATGAGAGAGAACCCGCCAAGCGAGAAGCACCCGCCCTTCTACAAAGTGCAGGTCATGAGCAAGCCAGGCTTCCCTGAGATCTCGCCCGCATCCGAGACAAAGATGGTCAGTCTGAGAGCACTCCCCGGGTTCATTCGTCTGTTAGCGCTCAATGCTTCCGTCTTTTGCCTCGTATGGGCAAATCGCGAGGTTGGCGAGCACATCAGCTCTTGGCGCAACCGACTTAGGGAAATCAAGCGGCTCCGTGAAAAATTCGGTCCAAAGAACGCATCAGTCACGAGCCATCCGTCACATCCTCACTTTGGCCACATGAATAACGCTTCGACCCCATCACCACCACCTACCTCACTCGGCGGCGCTGTGGTTGGCCCCAATCCCCATGGAATTGACGCCAAATCAGCCAGCATGCGCGACAGCTTCAGCAGTCTCCGCCGATCGTCTGTGGCAACTTTTTTCACAAGCACGAGCGAACAGACCAGCCATCGTAGCTCGATGCTGTCGACCACCACCAACGACACCGAGATCGTCCCCGGTAACGGACTCGACTCGTTGGTCGAATCGGTCGACTTTTCCAAATGGGCGTAAATATACAAAGAACCCCATGGTTCTTATTGCTATTCGAGATCAGTAGCAAGCGACATACAAACCAAAATTCCGGCGTGGATGTGTGTATTGGGTACTAATGAAGAAAAACCATGTATTGAAATCCTCGACATACGGCGTCATTGATGACTTTTCTAGCCATGGGAAGCAAGGATTATAAGGGGATGGAGGCGGCTGCTTCGGGATGAATACCACCAAAAGTTTTTTGTTCTCTACTTTACAGAGGCGTTTTGGTCCTCGTTCGTGTGTAGGCTATTGTGACGAAAAGAAAACATACTCCTTTCCACATCTCACGATTCAACCCGCCACAACTTAGTGCCTTCTACTCAGCGCTTCCAACTCGTCGGCTTCGACAACCTCTTCCACGTTCCATCGTGTGCGAATGTCGACGTGTCTCCTCTTGCCCGACCAGCGGCGCTATGCAACACACTGCATCTCTTTTGGCACTTGTACAATGTGTTCTTCCCAATACAATTCCACACTTTTCATCCTCTAGATTGCTGCCACCGTCCTTCATTGAGTATTCCGATATCATTATCCGGACAATCAATACGCTTTATGAACCCGCGATGTTCAAGATCGACTCTCGCTTGACACTAAGAAAGAGAGCTGGCGTATTTTGTGCCAAGAACGGCACCGTTTCGGAAAGTGGGAGAGCTCATTCTCGTTCTCACGAGTTCCAACACGGTAGTTCTACCACTTGTCGTGTTGCTTCGTGACATTTCGACTGAAAGTCAACCGCGAAATTTTCTTTCATACGCCCATGCCCATGCCCAAGATTATTGACCATATAGCCCCCTCGGACTTCAAAACAGCGAGTGGCCCAGGCACAGACAGCTCAATCGGCATCATTGATGACACGCTATTTATACCAAAGCCCTGTGATCCCCCTGAAATCACTAAGCAATCACAGCAGTCGTCATCTAGGCTTTGTCCGGGGATTTCAACATCTTGTTGGTTGAGGTTGCAATAAAGCCGATCCCCAGTCATACAAGACAGCATTGGTGAGCTTGCCAGCGCAGACCTGGTCTATATAGACAGCATCATCGCTCGAGTATTCAAAATCATAAACCCGGGACTCGGGACACCACCGAAAAACGAAAGTCATTTGTCCGCCTGATGTTCTTCTGGCCCAAAACTCCCTTCTCTCGACTTCGTGCTGAATATGATTAGGCAGGAGGAAAGGGAATACCGAACTTACCCGCAATCAGAATAGCACGCGGGTTCATCTCTGTAGGACCACGGACGGATACGATCAATAAGTCTGTCATGAAATAGTCTACTTAAAATTTGTAGTTTGGTGTTTCGGGAGACTTACAGCACGATTCGATCGTCATCCACGACGCGAACTCTACGCATCTGTCAAACACTCTTGGCAGGGGGCATTATTTGGAAGACCCAAACGACATCTTTTCACACATCACGCCCGGAAGATAAGTACAGAATCGAACGAGTATACGTTCATTGTAACTTGCGCATCGCTAACCACAATATGTCGCCGCAGCGACACTGCGCCATCCGCTCATCTTCCTCATTTCAAAGCACACGACAATCAACAAACTAAGCCCCGAAGCAATAACAGAACATCACCAGTCTCTCACAAGACCCACAACACTACATCAACATCCAAATCCAAACCGTGAATTGCACAAATCTTCATCAACAACACAAGCTCGACGCGAGTCGATAGTATCCCACCTAGGAACCAACCACATCTCGGAAACCTTACCCCTCTCCTCTCCCCTCGCTACGCCGCCGCCGCGACACGATCTCATCGCACGAGGCCTAAGCACACCCCCAAACCGGAAATCCGAGAAAACCTTGCGACCATCGTGGCTTCCGCTTCCAGACGCTCGGCAGACTCCAAAACTCCCCGATCCAGCAAGACGCACCTCGAGCAAAACGTCAACTCTCCGGCGTAGCGAACCAATGGCGACTCTGGCTTCGCGAGTCGGCGTGTTCTAGATTCCTACGGGGGCACAGACTAGGACTATTCAGCCGCACCAACACGAACCTAGATGAATTCTCTACGATATGTTTAGACCTGTGCTTATAGTTTTTATATGGTCTTAGATAGTTTGATGGAGTTTACTAGTTGATAACTTCTTTTCAAAGGCCTTGCTGGTTGTGAATTGATGGATATGATGCGTGATGCCTCGACATGGGGCTGAGACTCACTCACCCCAGCTCAGCCAAGAAGCCACGGCCAAGACCCAGCGTTCAGGACCAACAACCGCCCCCCTATTTTCCTCATCTTCGTCGCCCAACCAACATGGCGTGGGAAACGCAATCTCTTTTCCAAAGGGCGCTCACTGTTCAAAACGTCCTCGGTCACGACATCGTATCAGTTTCCCCCTCACGACATCCCGCTATCGTAGACAGCGAGCTTCTCTATCCTCACATCCACATATTTCCCCCCGGAGAGCCGTCTCTTTAATCGCAATTGTCATAGAAGTAGGCGGCCTAGTCGGCATCTTAGACAAGACTTTCTGTCTAATATACTAAACTTGAACAAGCAATTCAAGTTATCCATCTCGTTGCAGCTGTTTCTTACCAAGTCCTGCCGAAAGTCCTTCTTTCTCTGAGGGTTATTTTCAATCCGGCGGCAGTAGTAAGAGCAACGAACAACAGAAAGAGCACCACAGTTAAGCTGCTAAGTAGCCAGCCCTCTTTTGTGTGCCGACTGAGCGGCCCTGAGAACTGCAAAGTAACGGTCATTTCCACAAGTGAGCTGAAGAAAAGCCTCACGCATGACGGACCAGAATGAAACCATTTGCCTCAGTCGATTTTCCCAACGATGGACGGCATTTCACTTCTAGCGATCTATCATTCTGAAGCGCTTGTCCTCGGGTTCACCGTTTACAAGTCAATCAGACAATGCCAACCAGCGATCTATTTTCTGGACTGTGTCTTCGGGGCAACTATCATCGTATGCTTTCTTTCAGTCGCAAGGAACCGATGTCAAAACGCCCTTCCGCACAAGACCGCTTGACAAATTTCTCAACTGCCGCTGACCGCAACTTCCGCCATTCCTCCCAAACAGACCCCATCAGGAACTCATAAGAAAAAACCACTTGATATACGCACCCATTCGTCTCCACTTATGAAATGCAACGAAAGCCACCGATTTACGAATTTCCTCTTTCAGAACACCATGTCAGAAAAAAACTGATAAGGGCATAGGGATATAGGGGACTTTGGTAGAAAAACAAAGAACAAAAATCCGTCAGCAGTATCAAACAAAACTCGCATACAACCCGCGTCTAACCTCCGCCTTGGCTACATGCCTCTCTAGACCGGGATACGGATACACAATAACAGAGCGAATATTAGCAGGAAAGACGAAAAAAATGTCACCCATGTCACCCGCATGCATATGCCGCTCCCTTGCGCGTCAGTGATCGCAGCTCCGGTTTTCAGATGCCTTGTACCACCTCAAGCTCGCCTTGGTCACCTCGCTTATACACCGCAAGACGACTTTTACCCCGGCGGAAGTTTCTCCGCCTCCCAATCACACCCGGGCTCTTACTCGCGATAGTCACCGTGGACGGAGTGCAACAGGGCGATGATGATGTCCTCATCGTCCAACGAACCCAAAGCAGAGGCAACCCGCTCTACAAAAGGGCAGAGGCGCCGTAGTTGGCCCATTCTACCTCGTGGAACCGGAGAGGGGTCCGCGGTCTAGCTTCCGAGGGCAGCATCGTCCTGTGTCCCACCCGGCACCGCGTAGTGAAAAGAGGGGTTGGAGGAAGAAGAAAACGGGGTTCCCAGCTCCTTGGGACCGTCCGAGAAGCTAGATACCGAGAAAACCGCCGAGCGTTTAGTCCCGTACCGTGGCAGACTTTTCTCGAGCAGAAAGAAATGCAGACGGCGTACTCGTAGTGTATGTAAGACGGATGCCGTCTCCGCGAGTGGGTCTGCGAGGTGTTCTCCGCACACAACATACGCCTCTTTCTCTCTCTCTTTCTCTTGTCGTATAACGAGGTAAAAAAACGTAAAGAACGAAAGTCTTCTGGTGTTTAGCATCCTGCGCTAGAGCACAAGCAAATTCTACTCAACATTTCCGGCCGAGATTCTCAGAACGTCTATGCGAGCGTATGTACGAGCATCTGAGACGGTGGTTGCAGCCTTCACCGAGGGCACGCAGACGACCCCCTGTTGGGTTCACCCCTCTCTTCTTTGTCCTTCTCAAATCCCAACCCTTGTCTTTCTGCGCGTCAGCTTCAGATCAAATGGGGATTGATTGGGGAGGTGACACGAGCTGCCGCTCCAAACCCACGCGGGTAGCGTCGCACAGGAGGAGCGGCCGCTGGCCGCCGTCAATCAGGGAGCTTTCCCCTCGGAGGCAGGTGGCCGTGTTGGCCCGCAGCAGCGAGGTTTTAAAGACAGGACCGTGCTGCTGGAGAAGCCCAGGAGGGGTGGAGGGCCGGCCTTCTTGGGCCCGAGATCAGCGGTGACCTTAACAAAAGAAAAGAAAATGCTGGGGTACGGAAACGCGCGACGGTGCTGTGCCGTTTTGCCCACCCTCCACTTCCCGTTTGGTACAACGTTGGGCTCAAAGGCTTTCCATCACCGTATAGGCCGATTCGGAAGATAAAAACGGTGTCGATTACGTTGTCGTAGAGAGATACAGACGAAAAGCCGCAGGGCTTAACCGTTGAAAACGTCGGATGGCTGCTCGGCACGGAGGTGTGGATCGACTTGCCCCTATCGGACGGACCAGACCGGTCAGTTGATTCTGCCTTTCGTTCGCTGTGTGCACATGGCGTAGGTCAGCTGCGAAAGTCTTACCCGCTGCGTTTTACTGTAGCCCAGGCGGAGTTTCTCCCGTCTCCATGCTGACAAGCTTGAGTACGTAGATGCTCGCATGAGCTGCTTCTCTTCTCAGGTGCAGCTTGCATTACAGCCGAGGAACTTGCTCCGCTCCGCGCCGAATAGCTGCGTTCGAGCAGAAAGACCAATAACGATTTCGTACGATTCGAGCTGCATCGTTGATACGACGGAGCAGACAAACGGTACCTGGACCAGGGATCCGGGGAGCAGGGATGAACGGTGTTTGCCCCGTTTGGTTTCGGTTGGTTGGGTCGCACGTAGGACGGAGATAACCCCGGTCCGCTCTCACCGGGATGCCGGACGCTAAGCCAGTAGTCGGCCTGGTTCGGCTGCTCCCGGCCACCCGGACCAGTCGAGTTCAATCGTCCCTAGTCTGGAATATTCCCAAGGCCTGTGAAGTCCCCGGACACGTTGGAGACGTAGTAAGGGTCCGTGTGTTGGCTCTTCATCAGGCCATCCAGATAGTGTACTGAAGATTTTCTTTTATGGACTTGTTGGTGGTCGGTCAATTTACGCGAGACGCTTCGGTATCGCAACTCGGCCTGCCTGATCGGCAGTCCTAGTATCGGATTTCTCTCAGCGCCACCTCGGAACCGACAGGGTGTGTGTGCATGACGATTTTCGGGGCCGATGTCTGGTGATCGTCGGTTGGGCTTCAATGACTTATTCCTTATTGCGGCTCTTGAGAGGAGATCAAATACTTCCTCCAAGACTCCGCCGTTGCTCGGCGAGGGATATTTGTCATTTCGATGCTATTGTGTCTGTGTTTATGACACTTGAAAAAGAACTTCACTCTCGTCTGCTATTACGTACGCAGATAAAGGGGGCATGCCAAGTCTCGGTGTATGACCGCTCGGCGGATTGAACGTTTTCTGGTTTGGAAAAACAGGTCTTTGGAGCGCAGATATGAGCCCAGAACTGGGAAGCTCTGCTGTTGGTGTTGTTCAGGGGCTTCTGTCACTTAGTGTCTACCCTGGCCCTCCTTGATGTCAGGTCAAACCCAATTTGGCGGACCTTGCCAAACCCGCCTGCTCTTGGAGAGACTGGGCGCTGATTGCATAGGCGTTCGTCATCCAGGGGGGGGGATGAATGAGATCTTTGAGGCCCTGCCAACTCCCTGATAGAAGCGCAACAGCCGACCACAACCCCATCTCGCGGCACGTCTCTCTCTGCCCAGACACCCACTGCAGACAGATGATACCTGTGATAGGTGCCACGATCGCTCGTCATGTGTCCGTGTCAGACACGGTCAGCAAAGCAAGCTGCCATTGGGGCGTACTGCTTACTTTCCTGTAGCCCCTGTCTAGTGTTGCGGTGGGGGGAAGTCACCCTTTCGCTTGAAGTATCTTGTTGCGAATTTGATACGCACTGGATTGTTTAGGGCTCCTGGAAACAGGAACAAGGTAGAGGCCAGAGCCCAGACGGACAGCCGTGCGTCTTGAATACGAGCCAACAGTAGTGATGTAGCCGTTAGAAAGTTGACATAAAAACGCCCCGCATCTAACACCCGGATATCTGACATTTCGAGGTTTGCTGTAAGAATAGACCGGGCGGGGTCATGATGATCAGAAAATAAGCGCCGGCAACCTTTGCCAGATGTGAGATATTGCTACCTGGCCCAGCAGGTTTGGCGATGGCTGAAATCATCTTACGTGCGTGAGGATCTGTGCTCAAACCTTTCGCCATACATCCTTATATCTCGCCCACTCTCGGAAACCTGCTCACGGATGTTAGTCTGTTGCTGAAGGAAGCCAGCGCTTGTCCTTACCGAGAGACTGAAAGCCGGCATTCCCTCCCTTTACAGCGTCGATAAACATTTGTCGCATGCCTCGCTCAGCCAGCATCTTGACACAGGTATCGAGCAAGCGAATCATGACCGAATCTCGGCTGTTTACCATCTCACGGTTGTCGTCTAGGAGAAGCGTGAGCTGTTGTCACCACGAAATGGTGCTTTTGACACCACGAACCTGTAATGCAAATGCATGTTACACCACCAACGTCCATGCCAATTGTCTTGGCCCATGGTAGGTCTTCGTCAATTGGGCTTCCAGAGTTGGGGATGTAAGTCAGAGCGATAGCCACAATGGTTTCACCCTCCAAGCCGATGATGACGTCTTCAATGTGAGGAGTGCCGTCCAGTCTGGCGTATTGATCGTACCATCCCATATTGCCCTTCCGTATTGCGTCTCGATCCACGATTTCTAAAACCGGGTGAAATTCCATGAAATCACACCGCCGAAATGTCAACCCTGCTGATGAAAGACTCGTCACTGGCATGTCTTCAAATCTGAGCAACCAGTCTGAAGCCTCAATACCCTGGTCAGGATGGTTGCCGTTCATCTGCCAGTCTCGACGTCCAAACCACTCTTTTGCGAACGAATCAGACGGTACACCATAGAGCAGCCGTGGAAAAGCCGACCCAAGCTGTAGTCGCCTGACACCTCGGGTTCTCTGTAGTTGTTTCAGTGCATAGTTGTGAAGGCTCAAGCCAATACCTCGCCCTCGATAAGCGCCTTTTACCAGTAGCATCGCCAAGGAGCCTAGCAGACTTTCCTGATCGCTGTCCGTATACGTGGTGTACGTTGCGCAGAATCCGATAATCTGTTTTGTATTCGGTTCCCGAACGATGTAATTCATAGCGTACCCATCTCGTCGAAGCAGCAGGACAAGCGCGAATTGTGGAAGATGGTATTTCGGTGGCAAACACTCGGTCCAAAGTTGGTGTATTGGTGCCATATCTTGGCCACACACCTCCACAGGCCAATGCCGCGGTGCAATGACGAGGTTTTGTACGGGAACGGCGTTTATGGGCTGTGGCCGATATTCACCGAACATGATAGAGGCGGCCGTCTCAAGCTCCGACGGCGTGTATCCTGCAATCTGCACAATGGTGGGGAACTTCTCGTCGGGTATGTCCTGGGCTTGGAGTTCGCAACATGCCACCAGAATTTGTGGTCGTTCGTTGGCCAAAGTCCGCGCAGTTTCTGCCATCTCGAGTTGAGAGACATCACCATCCACAGGGGGCCCAGAAACGACAAAGACGACTGCCTTCGCTCTTCTGATGAATTCTGAGTGAATCTTATTGATGCCGCCTCGTTTTGTGTAAGGCACATGGCGGATCAGGGCATGTCGGGAGGCGATGGCACGGCCAAGTGGTTCGAATGGATCTCGGTCGTTTTCGGCGTGTCTGTTGTAGGGAACAACAACGGGCGTAAGAAGCACGATTATGTCGTCTTCTGCGAGGATATTTCTAAGCGGAACGCAGTCCTGCCGGTCCCGTAGCAACATTGGTGAAGTTTCTTGGGTAGGCTTGGGGCTATCCCTAGGCCCTACAAGGCGGTCGATCTGCATTTCCGGAGAATATCTCATGACGCGTACGGTTGAGCACAGTCGACTGTCAGCTCATCCCTGTGAAAGTTAGTGTAAGGTTACACAATGGTCCACAACCGTATTGTAATATGAGTAAGCTTGAATAACTCCGCAGAAGTTGAACTAACCTATTTGATGGACGAGGGGATGCCATGCACGGCATGAGAAGATCACAATGGCGGAGTTCTAGCTGACTGAACCCGAATAAGTCGTGTGTAAAAGCAGTCTGTGCTAAGACGAGAGACAGTCAGGTCAGTTTGAGTTTACCTGGTTCTGAATGGCAGGTATGTTAAGCGAGTTGATGGGACAACTCCTTCGGCCTTCGGGTGGTTTCGGTTTGTGTGCGGTGTAAGTACGGTGAATGCCCACCACGAGGTGCTCAGGAAAGGGGCCAGCTGCTAGCGCTGTCAAGGGCGTTGACTGAATTATAAGGGAAACAGAGCGTCGTCGCGAGCTGGGAACGGTTGAAGCCGCGAAGGGCCCCTGTCGATGATTGACAAAATTTCAAAGAATTCTCTGCCAACGCTCGCGGACGGCCTTTCCAGGGGATCTCGAAGTGGGCCCAAGAAGCAATCGAATCCGCAAAAGAGCGTTTGCAGAATAGAGACGGAAGCTTGAGGGATTATCAAGTCTTAATGTTAGCAATTGCATCTTCGCAAAGGGGCGGGATGGTTACACACACCTTGATCGGCCAGTAGGAGAGCAGAATCCGAGAAAGTAGTACCCTTGGGGAGACCTTTATCCTGATATGTGTGGGAAGAAGGATGCATAAGGGCCGCAAAGAGTGGGGTGTGTACGAGAGTGTAACCAGCCGACCGAGCAGGGCCGGCAAGCCAACCGTGTAGACAAGATGGGACGGGCACTGATGAACAGCACAGAGGGAGAGAGTCTCGCAAAAAGATGCATATATAAAATCAGGGCTGCATAAATCTAGTGTTCAAACACGATTGTCAAAACAAGGTCGTGTGGGCGTTGGTATGACAAAACGGAAGAGAGCGCGGCTAATGTCCAAAGGCCTCCACGCTTCATGCGGCGGGTGGTGGGTCTTGGTCACAATGAATCAATCAATGAACGGCGCCGTGGTTCCTGGTCTGGGGGCATCTGACTGATGCAATGACAAGTTGGTTGTGTGTGCGTACGAATATGCGTGTAGGAAGAGAGTGTGTGTACCCATGGATGGCATGAGGATGAAGAGGTGGTGGGAAGGATGGATGGCTAGACGGATGGACCCCAATGCAACCGGCGCGGTGCGGAGCGGCAATAGGTCCGTTTGCTAGGGTCAGAGGATAACGGAACAGTAAGGAACGGATTACCTTGGACATGCTGACCACCAGACAAACCATGCAGCAACAGCTTAGCAACACGAGGGGGCTCGAGTAGGTTACACAACGCTTCTGCAGACGAAATTGACTCCGGCTTAAGGTGAGATGGGAAGGTAGGTAAAGCAGCAGCTTGCGCAGAGCGGCCGAACGTGACACAGAGCCAAGAAGATGACAGGCAACCGAGGCCGGAGCTTATGACACTTGTTGCTGAACTAGCTCGAGAACCCCCACGAGTGGTAGAGCAGGACAGTTGAAGAGTTGAGTGAAAGTGAGAACAGAAGGTGACTGCTCTATTCGGGCATAAGAAGCGGGCACTTGAGGCACGAGGTCCGTCATGGAACATCATCCACAGCCACGGCTTTGGAGCTCCAGGTGACAAATCGCCGGGGGTATGTCGACTGGGTGTGGGAGAGCAGGAAAAAAAAGATTGCCGGGTCAACTCCGTCAGACCAGGCTGTTGGTGGTGCTGGTCGGGGTGTTGAAAATAGGGTTTACCGGGAGAATCCTGCCGATGAAAAAAGGAGAGGGAAAAGTCGGCAAAACAGGGGCAAGATGTCAATTCTCAGTCGGGCGTCTCTCGGCTGTGGAGACGTCGGGCCGCGAACAATGGCATAAAACGTTGGACCCCGGCGAGTATTCGTACGAGACGAGAATTGTTAGCGTCTTGAGGCCAGTTCGAGTCGATCGCGGTGGCGATAGGTGAGGACGAATACAGGAAATGTTGAACATTTTTGACAGCTTGCTTACACCACATGGCCGTCCAATGGCAATGCTTGTAAAAGATGGACGCGACCTAGAAGAGACAACAAGAAAGAATTAGATGCGGGTTTCCTGGTCATTATGGCAGGTACCTAGAGAAAAAGAGAAAAGCCGCAGATGCGGTCAGAAGCATACATCATCTTGCTGCGTATAGTGGAGGCGCAGAGAAAGGTGGTTTGTTGTCATGGGTTGAAGTGGTCGAAGGATTCTAGCGATGCATCTGTGTAGCATGCCTGTGAAACAATGAGGTCAGGCCGGACGGTGAGCTGAAGCCATCTGGGATCAGCCATCATTGCTAACAATAGACAGCTTTGTCTTGTCGATGTGTACGTTGGCGTCTGATGCGCAACATGCATCTCGCGGGTGACGGATGGCGGCCGATAATCATCGTGTCCTGGTGATGGATGGTAGGTACGAAAAGAAGTCGACGGACCGGAAGATGACGATGGAAGTTCTGGGGGTGCGGGCTGAGGTGCGGAACGGGGCCATCAGAGCGCACGGCCGCACGGCGTACGCAGTAAGCAGGTAAGACCCATGGACCCATAATTCTTCCCAGGTGAGGTATCCGTATTAGGTTGTCCTCACAGCTCCTTCCAACCTCTCACAGTGACGCTCATGTTGACTGCTGTTGGCAATGGAACTTCCTCGTAGAGAACTAGTTTCTCTTCTCGCTACTCTGTACTCGCCAGGCTGACAACCTGCGCCTAATAGTTCGTTCTTCCTTGTTCGTGACCCGCTCTGTGCAACACGAAGTGAGGCCACGGATGGGCCCTTCCCTCCTGTTCTAGTCGCCATGCAGCTCGCGCCAGTGCGGTGCTCCTCACCTCATCTAAGACAATGAGAGGTGTTCATCATCACCCTATGAGAATGAACCACTTCAACATATCTCATTTCGATTGTCCATCGAATCGGTGTAAAGGTCTGTCGAATACTTGCTATTACTCCGCCTTTCAAATGGCGGCATCTGGAATCCAAAATTGCCGGTGCGCCTCGCCTCACATCTCACAAAACTCCGACTTGGACCCCAAACTCATGGCCATGGCCGAAGCTGCATGGATAAGTCCGGGCAAATGAAAGCTTTTCATGGCAGCCAAGACGGCTTGCACGCCGCTTACACACTTGGGGTCGAACCGATGAGACCGGTGAGCCGTTCCGTGTCAATCTTGCCCTAGGTAGTTACAGTTACCCTACCATCTCTTTTCCTGCAGCTCATCATGACTATCTTCTTACTCCATACATGATCTCTTTCAGTGAGCCGCAGTCAGCCAAACGCACAGATCGGGCATGATGTGACATGCGACTGCAATCATCAAAACATGGTCAGATTCTCGGATCATGGCTTGTGTTACCCTTCATCCCCGGAAATCGAGGCCGTTGCTGTGATCTGCCAAGAACATTCATCACCCACCCACATGTCCTTCACCGAGGCCCGTTCTCATTGGCACCTCCCAATTTCGTGTGCTCCAGCGTCGCTTTTCCCTCATTTTTTCCCTGACCTTACCGGTGACCGAGGAGCCCCCACATCTTCGACTCGAGTTCCACATGAGTGGGTCACTTCTGACCAGTCATGTCTTGCAAAAAGACAAGGTGTGGTGTGTGCGCCGCCTTTTCTGCCCGGTCTAAACGCGCTCACCTTGGGCACACGACGCGTGCCACTGTCCGACAACCGCGACCGGGGGACCACCTCACACAACAACCCGGCCGTCACAGTCCAGCTTACGGATACACAGCCCCGGCATCAATGGTGACCAGCGCTCACTAGCTTAGGCTCCATCTAGTATCGGAGACTGCGAGAGCGGAAAATTGGGCAAGATGGCTTCCGCCGACGACATGTCTGTGGATGGAGATGACAACGTGGATCTTCTAGTAGAAGACATCGTCGGGGGTGAGTGGAAAGTTCTCCTGAATCAATAAGCCATTACCATACTAATTTTGACGAATTTCCCAGCTTCAAAGCTACCAACCAAGAAGCGAGCCACGAATATCAGACCTACCATTGATCGGCTTGCTTCAGCTGCCTACGTGAAGGGCCTACTGCCCGAACCTTTGACTGAACTCATTGATCTCATCACGAGGCCAAGCTGCCTTGACCAAGGCGGGTTGAACATTCTGGTGAAGAACTTGTACCCTGCAGAGCGCCTGTCCGACGACCTTGTTCTGAGGGTGGTGGGATGCCTGGGTCATGGCGAACTGAAGCCCTCCCTGGTGCTGCAGTCAAATTTGCTGAAATGGCTGATCATGGTGTATCACGTTCTGGAGAGGCCCGCAGTTCTATCGCAGGCGTACGCTGTTCTCTTCAACCTCCTTGACACCGCTGCTATCAGGTTAGTATCTCCTTGGCTTCGTGTTTATAGACAAATTGAATACTGACAGCATATAGACCACAGCTCTGTCACCTACTTGCTTTAATTACTCGCAGAAAACATGTCCGGCCGTTCAGAATCCAGGCAGTGTACGTACACATTCAGCATACCAGTTATTTTGGACATCACTAACTGCATGTCTCAGTCTCAACCTTTCTAGGAACACCGGCAACGACCCAGCATTAACCGGCCTCCTCCGAGTGTTCAAAGACTACTACCCGGAAATTATTGTCGGCGATGCCGTAAGAGGCAAGGCATCTGCCTTCAAGGTGATTATTTCGGTCAAAGCTAAAAGGCGCGATCTGACATCTACAGCATCCTGACATTGAATGGCGCGAGAGGTTGGACCAAATTCAGAGGGATCACTCTCAACGCACCGCCGAGGTCACTAGCCAACCTCGCAACGGCTTCAGCGTCAATCATCAGGCTTTGAGGGCTCGTAGTGGCAAGGGCGCCCATGTCCCTTCGGTCCATACATCAGAGGCCAATGAGGTGAGCGCCCATCATAAACAATACCGTCGTAAGATTTGTATCTGACTGAACGACACAGAACTCGGTTACAGTTGAAGAGATCGACAGCGCCGACCGACTCGCCCGGAGCATCGAGAAGATTGAGCTCCCAAATCAACTTGCCGCTGTGTTGGCAGATCCTCTTCTACAGAAGTTCATGGCCCTAAAGAAGGACGATGACGCGTCGAGGCGCGTGGTTCATTGGATCGATGCCGTCCTCGAGGACGTTCTGAATGGAAACGCCGACGAGAAGCTATTCCAGGAGACGATGGAAATTTTAGAGGACTATGTGACTCGGGTCAAAGTAAGTTTCGGCCAACTTACGGGGACAAACCAGCTAATCGTGCAGGAAACCCCGGTCGTCATCTTGAATTTCTTCGCCAAACTGTTCACTACCTGGAACGGCGTAGACGCTCGAGATCCCATTTTCAACATTCTTTCCTACTCTCCGCTCGCACCATTTGAAGGTAAGCTCATGGCAACAGAACAACTGAGTTGTAGCTGATTGCAGTAGAATTAAGCAAATTCGTCTTCAAGCCACTGGAGAGATGCCTCCCCTCAACGCCCGACTCCCAGCTCGCCCTTCTAAAGCTGTACCAAAACCTCATCCGCCACTGGTCTTTCGTCCTCCGCTCAGTCGACACGACCCCAGCAAACGTCCCTGTGGACGCCTTACATCAAATGCTAGACCACGCGAGCACCACCGCCCTGAACCTAGCCCAAGCATCCCCAAGCATCGCTGTCCACGGCACCATCCTGGACCTCTACGAGGAAGCCGCCGCCAGCATCTCCGATCCCGCCCTGCAACACTTACTACGCATCTCCAACCCGGCCGCGGAACTCCCATATCTCATATTCTTCAGCCACTCTCTCGCCAACGTGTCGCGCCTATGCGCCTTCCTCGCGGTGTACAAGAAGGGATTCGAGAACGCCATGAAAATGGGCCGTCGATCGGCCGCGTACGATTATGAGCCCAGCTACGTGAACCGCTTCAACGGCTTTTTGATGGACATTTGCAACTGCCTATGGCGTGGGAAGGCGTTCAACGACGCGGACAAGAACGCCATCGGGTGCCTCACCGCGCGGCCCGTCGTACTTCGCTTGCAGCGCTACATCGAGGATCTGGATGCGGATCTCGAGCTACCCACTCTGTTTGGCTTTTCCTACTCGCCGTTGTTGAGTCTGCAGGCCATTCGGTGTATCCGACAGCGTGAAGATGACGCGCTGGAGGAGGACGAAGACGCCATTGCCACGAGGCATGCAGGCCCTGTGACGGCGAACAGTCTGGCAAGATTGGCTGATGCGCGAGGTATCCGCGTAACGTGGTCCGAATACCGAAGCTACGTGCTGCATGCGCTGGACGCCCAGGGGCTAGGAGGAATATCGGAACTCATGAGGAACACTATGAAGGTTCTCATGACCTCCCAGCCCGGGAAGTAATCTCAGATCCTGAGGTCAAGGTAGCGGGGAATAGGATGGCAACATTGGCAGTATCCAGGGGGAGATAGAGTTGTGATACCCACTGCGAGCGACTCGCAGCATCAATATTTATATATATTCTTCTGACCAAGTTTTGTTCAGCATGTAACGTCTGTCTAGTTGAGTCGACAGAAATCTTCCGCCCCAGATATAAAGCCCTCTTGCGGTTGAAGACACAGGGTATCAAGAGCCATGAAATCCTAGTAGAAAACCCGGGTATGCCGTTGTTGAACAAGTATGCAACCAAACGCCGTCGGGCGGGCAAGTTGAGTATGCCCCCCTTTTCTTTTCGTAGCCCTCTCTCTTTCATGCATAGTTTCGTCCTCCATCTCCATGGTGTAGTTGATAAAACACCGAATTCAAGTGACCGCCCCAGTCGTCACAGTGTTGAAAACCAAATACAAACGCCCATCATAATGCAGTTGAGTGCCATATGCGCCGTAATCCCCAGACCCACATTGTTGAACACGGAAAAAACCTCCCTCTTCCAAACACCCATAAAAGCAAGCTTATTTCTTGCCGGACTCGTCACCGTAGCCCCCGTAACCGCCAGCATCGTACGTCTTCCCCTCAGGCGCAACCCTGCCCTGCGAACGCGGGCCACGGTCCTTCAAATCCTTCCTCAACCACCCCAGCACCAGCTCGCCGAGCGTGCTGTTCCCGCTGCGCCCGTCGAGGCCGTCGAGGAACTTATCGGCCGTGGCCCACTCCCTGACGGTGCCCAAATGCATGTGCACCAGGTGCGTGGGCCAGCCGGCGAGGTTGTCCAGGATGTGCGTGGCATACACGATGGTACACTCGCGGATCTCCGTCTCGCGCCTCAGCCAACCCAGGAACTCGGCGCGGCTCAGCACGTCCAGGTCGACCGTGATCTCGTCCAGCAGCAGGATGGTCCATGGCCGGATCAGGCCCATGGCGAGCTGGACGCGGCGGCGCTCGCCGTCGGAGACGGCGTGCATGCGCCAGGCGGTGTCGATGTCGAGGACGGAGACGAGCTCGTCGCGGCGCTCCGGGTAGGCGTCGCCGCCGACGCTGCGGAGCAGCTCGACGACGCCGATGTCGGTGCGCACGATGGGGTTGAGAACCCACTCCAGGCCGAGGTAGGTGACGCCCTCGAGGCCCTCCTTGAAGGGGTCGACGCCGCCGATGGTGATGCCGCCCTGGGGCGAGAGGCGTTTGCCGGCGAGGAGGCGGAGGATGGTGGTCTTGCCGGCGCCGTTGGCGCCGATGAGAAGGGTGCGCGAGCGCGACGGGAGCGAGAGGGAGATGTTTTCGAGGCCCGAGGTGGAGCCCGGGAAGTTGTAGTTGAGGTTGTTCACCTCGATCGTTGGGGACTTTTGGGAGGACATTGTGGGCGACGTGGTGGATGAATGCTGTGTGGACGAGAAGCGGGTGAAGGGAACGGTGAAAGAAGGGAGGAAAGGGATGGAGGGAAACGAAAATACAGATGTTGAAAATTTTATGAGAAAAGGCTCACAATCTCACCGCCCTAAACTGAAGGCGTCATGACCCGGCGGGATTCCAAGTGGGATGGCCTGAGCTAAGGTAGGTACTCCGAGCTAATCCCGCTCTTGTCGGTGCAGCAATCATGGCCCCTCCATTCCCAAGCAACCCCGCCGTGGCTGGACCGCTCCAGGGGCCCGGGGGGGACCGACCTCCCGGGCCGCGTGAAAGCCACAGGGGGAAGACAGGACCCCTCCCCACATCCCATTTACGCCAAAATTCGCGACAACTCCAGCCCCCGACGCGTCTGGCATTGTGCAGCCTCAACTTCTGCTGCCATAAGCCATTGACATCCAGCAACAGCCACTCCCGCCTCAGAACCTCTTCGACAACTCATCCGCAGGACTGCAGATTCGGTTCGTCAAGATGGTCACCCTTGACGAGGTTACGGCCCTCCTGCAGAAGCCGACGTGAGTCTTCCATATGATACTTGCAAACAACCCCTGCACTGCATCTTCGCAGCAGACCAGATGCTAACAGCAACCCAGCGACGCAGCAGCAGCCTCATCGTCAACCCTCGTCCGCGCACCCTCTCACTATAAGCCTCTTCCCACCTTCACTCTCCCGAAAGAACGTTCCTACCAGCAGCAATATGCCGACGTCTACTTCCTCCGCCTCACCTCGATCCGTCCCGCAGTCGACGCCGTCGCCGCCGAAGCCTGGGACGGCACCATCATCGGCGGCGAAGAAGCCCGCCACGTCAACCGCGTCCTCGACGTCCGCCAGGGCGAGCTGTGCTGGGTCACCGGCACCGTCTACATCGACATGCCGCTGAAGCCCAACATCCTCGAGGACGTCTCCAAGGACGTACGTTCCTCTCCCACCGTCCTCCCTCGAGACGCTACCGTAGACTGACAAACACCCAGCGCTGGATCTCGGCCCCGATCTCCACGGACCGCTACTACTCCGACGACGCCGAAAAGGACCAGGTCATGCTCGAAGACGACTCGGGCCGCATCCGCCTCGTGGGCGACGTCCTGAAATCCATCCACCTCGTGACCGGCTGCATCGTCGGCGTCATGGGCACCGAGAACGCAAACGGCGAGCTCGAGGTCATCGACGTCAAGTTCCCGGACCTCGCCCCCCAGCCCTCGAGGTGGTCCCTGACCTCCCCTCCCTCAGAAGACCACGACATGACCGGCACGACGACGACGACGCCGACGCCCTCGCAGAAGCCCTCGTCCAAGATCGCCATCGTCTCGGGCCTCTCCTTCTCCGGCTCGGACGCATCCTACGCCCTCGAGCTCTCCCTCCTCCTCGAGTTCCTTCTCGGCGAGGCCCTCACCCCCGAGACCCAGTCCGAGCTCACAAACATCTCCCGCCTCGTCATCGCCGGCGACTCCATCTCCACGACGTCCCCGAACCCCGCCGACGCCGGCGCCACGAACGGCAACAAGAAGGCCGCGGTGAAGAAGTACGGCTACGACGCCAGCGCGTACAACCCCCTCCCCAGCCAGCTCTTCGACGAGTTCCTCGCCGACCTGCTCCCCTCAATGCCCGTCACCCTCATGCCCGGCGCCCAGGACCCCGCGAACGCGAGCTACCCCCAGCAGCCGATTCACTCGGCCATGTTCCCGCGCGCGAGGCCCTACGCCGCCGCGCCCGACGCCAAGGAGCCCGGCTGGCTCGACACCACGACGAACCCCTGGGAGGGCGAGATCGAGGGTTGGAGGGTGCTGGGGACGGGTGGTCAGAACGTTGACGACGTCTTCAAGTACGTCGACAGCGACGACAGGTTAGGCATGATGGAGGCCATGTGCAGGTGGCGGTGTAGCGCGCCGACTGCACCCGACACACTCTGTGAGTTCCAACAACACCAGGCCTTCTTCATGATCCCCATCTAACCATGTTCAGGGGCCTACCCGTTCCACGACGATGACCCGTTCGTCATGAAGAGCTCTCCCCATCTCTACTTCGTCGGCTGCCAGCCTGAGTTCTCGACAAAGGTCATCGAGGGCGCTGGGGGCGAGCAGGTCCGCTTGATCACTGTTCCTTCGTTTTCACAGACCAAGGAGATTGTGCTCGTTGATACGGAAACGCTGGAGACCTCCAAGGTCAAGATCTCGGCAATAGCATCATCATGAGGAAAACTGGACGGCACATGTTGAGCATAAGATGGTTATGATTTGATATACCCCTGAGCTATGAAGAAGGAGTTGCAATTCTATGAATGAAAAAAAGCATTAACGCCGTCTAAAACCTAGAATTCAATGAGCAAAATCCGCTGATGTGACGAAATTCCCCTAAATGACCTGTACTTGTTTGCCAGGCCTAGTGTAAGCAACTTATCTCAGGTGTCCTCAGGTCTGCTGAAACCGAGACTGCTCATTCCAATATCGCCCCCGTGACCCGTGACTGTAAACCCAAAATGCAAAATTCCAAGCGAACCTAGCTTCATGAAAGAGAAGCAAAGCAAACGAACGCCTCAGTTGTAGTCTTGCCCCCAAAGCCACTCAACGGCCTCCTCGTTTTCGCCCTCCTGCTCCGAGTCCTCTTCCTTCTCAGCTTTCTGGTTCTGCGCGTCCCAAAGCTTCTGGATTGAAGATCCGAGGTTGTCGAGCAGTCCCTGAGCAGCGCCAGCCTCCTCGCTCGTGTACTTTTGCATCGCTTCGTCGTCGTCGCGGAGAGGATGCTCGCCACGGCGGGCTCGTCGAACGTTGGCCGCATACTTCAGGTTAACCTTGATGCGCTCCTGGGTTTCGCTGCTGGTGTTCACGACGATCTCGATGAACTGACAGGGCAAGCCCCTCAACTCTTTCATGACCGGAGAGGATTTCTCAAAGAAGTTGAGGAAGGAGAGACCTCCGCTTTCCTTGTCGAGTCTCGGCGTGATCTCGACCTCGATGGTATGGATTCTGCACTTGATGGGCTTCAGATTGCGGAACACCGAAATGGCGTTGGCCATACTCTGCAAGTAGCCCTTCTCATACCGATTCGGCTCCGCAAGGATTTTGATGCGTCGAAACTTGTGACCGAAGCGCTTGATGTCGATCTCGACCTGGGGATCTCGGTTCGCTCCTGTGACTGGGACTTCTTCGTCGTACTCCGGATCGCTCTCACCATCGTACTCGACGAAGTGGTCGTCTGCAAGTCCATCTGGGTCATTGGACACGGGGACCGCTGCGGTCTCTCTCAGGAGATAGAGAAAGACGTTCTTTCCGTAGAGAACGTTGATGGCCTCATTTCTGACTTGGCGAGACACGCGCAAGATGGAGGTTTCGAGGCAAGGGCGGTTTCTCGGGTACAGCGTAGACCAGCCCTGTCGGACTTGTACCGGATCTCCAGCCACGAGAAGATGTCTGTAGATTTCCATCCTGATCTCAGCAGGGAACTTCATGAAGAAGATCTCGCCCGGGAGCGTGTCGTCGATGTCGGGGGTGGTACTGGTCTTCGCCCTTCTGGTTGTCGACCTGCGAGATTCTGGGACGGGTGTGGCGTCGTCGTCCTCACTGTCAGTCAAGAAGGGATGACAAGGACTGGCAGCTCTCTTTCCTTTGCGCCTGGCCTTGCCTTTGCCCTTTGCAATGCCAGAAGAACTCGGCCTGCCGGAGGCCTGCTCTGTGAATGAAGCCACAGGCTGGAAGAGAATGGGGGCTCCCCACGTGAGATGGGCGGTTGACTTCGCTGCAAAACCTGCTCCGTAATCTCGAGGTATGGGCATCTCGCGCGGAACGAAGTCATCATAAGACGGGACAGGTTTCCTACGTTTCTTGGCCGGCTTCTTAGTGCCTTCGTCGCTATCGTCATCAGCGACCTCAATGTTCCGCTTCTCGGCGAACTCGCGGACCGCATCTGGAAGCTTTCGCTTGGGAACAGTCTTTTCGGACGAGCGGCGCTTCTTGCCCTTAGATGAATTGGTCTTGGACTTCGGATTCACAAACTTCCCTGCTGACTTGGAGTTGCCTGGAGCCATGGTGAGGAATGTTCTTGAAGTAGCTGTGATATTTGTCAGTGTCTGGATTCCCCGATCTCCCTTCAGAACTTACCTCGGATGTGGAGATCTTTTATATTGTGTTGAGACTCTGGTATAGATCGTCAGCGCTGGTCTTCAGTCGCCCCGATGTGTGTCTTGATATTCAGGACTTGTTAGTGATGTGCGATATTGTTGAGAAGAATGACTGTTATGAATAAGCAAGCGAGTCTGTAAGCCAATATGGAAGCTGTCCTCAGATGTGATCTGGTGAAATTTGTCTCAATGTTGGTTCACTGAAGTGTCCAAAAGAACTGTTCTTGCCGCTTCTGAAGCAGAAGCCCAGCGAGAGGAGTCTGAATCCGCCAAGTCTGAGAAAGATATCAGCAAGAGAAAGAACAACCGGAAATTTTTCTCTGTGTGAACGGTTTTATTCCAAACCCCCTATTTGGAAAGTAGCCTCTCCGGCTGAATATTTCGTAGTGGAAGTAAGAACGTTTTCGTCGTTCTTGGTGAAAACGGCAGTTGGTTCCCAGAAGCAACTTCGAGGGACTGTAGTCTTGTTGCCTAAGTGTAGATAGCGGGCAAAGGTAGGTGTGTCTTGGAGATCGCACCGCGCTTGACTGATATTGAAAAGGGCAGGTGTTGCCACAGCTTGTAGACCTTGCGAGACCTGGAGATGGGTGAGTGAGAGAAGAACAGAGAGTTGTCGCTGCTGATCTGCCTTTTTAGGGAGAGGAAGTGGTCATCGGCCTGGGCAGGCGAAGTCAATGGCTTCGTGAAATACAAGAGAGGAAGGAGATGAGAAACTCGGCACAGGCGCTGGTGTTGGTCGGGGTATTTCCCTCCAAAATGGGTAGACCTATTGCGTGCTTTTGGAAGGAGCGATCAGTTGATGTCTCGTGATGGCCGACAGAGGACACGGAAAATTGCAACATCCACTAATTGAGAGTAAGATTGGTGAAGAGAATGGCTGAGTGGTCGAATCGCAGTTGAACGATATCGAAGGGATCAGCTGAGGAACTGAAATCGAGCAGATAGGGGTTTGGCAGTAGCGCCCAGCAATTTGAGCCTGCAATGCAAACAATGATCAGGTAGCTTGTCTGCGGCCGATCTTGGAAGGTGTTGCAGACTTGCTTTCGTGTCGGAGGTTCGATTCAAACGAAGTATTTCCCAGCGTTTGTCGTCGAACCAGGGGCAGAGTTGACAGTAGGTGATCTATAACAACCATAGCTTTAGACTGCACCCATCTACAGCCAGAAGATGACACATAGAGTACATATATTCTACACTTTTTAACAACATCCACACCCCGTCTTGCGATGGGTTTGATGCCCGCTGCACGATAATTTCCTGGCCTGCTTCGGCCAGGACCGCCTCTCGCCTCACTCCCCTCAAGATCTCCCCTACTTCCTGATAAGACCCTTGGCGTTGGAGTATCCCTTGATACGCTTGGTGTACTTCCACAGGTGCTTGTACTTCGGTCCCTGGCGCTTCGCCTCCCAACCACGCGCCTTCTTCGGCTGCTTGAGCGAGTACACGCGCGTCGGGCGGAACTCGATGTCCGCTCCCGGCATGCCCGCGCGCTCCATCACGCCGGCCGTATTCTCGTCCCATACGGTACGGAAGATGTTGAAGCCCACGGGGCTCAACTTGAACTTGTCACGGAACGACTTAAGCGAGAAGCCGTCGCGGCCCGAGTACAGCTCCTTCAGCTTAGAAGCGTCGAGGCGCTGGTCGCCCTGCTCGAGAATGAAGATGGACAATCGGTGGTACGGGCTGCCCTTTTGCGCGAAGGCGGGCAGGTAGGGGACGGCCAGTTGAGAGGGGTCGCGGAGCTTGGAGAGGGGGATCGAGGTGGCGGTCGGGGAGACGGGGACGTTGACGGCGAGGTAGTGGCAGCGCTTGCTGAAGTTATCCGTCTCGATCTGGGGAACGTCCGAGTCCATGATGACGATGGACACGAGGCGCTCGCCGGCGGTGAAGGGTGTCACGCGCAGCTTGGGGGGTACCTCGGTGACGTTGCTGGGGAGGACCTTGCCCGGAGGCACCTTGGAGCGGCGGAACCAGAGTTGAACATCGTAGGAGGGCGTCAGCTTGGGGAGGATGTCGGGGATGATGTTGAATTGCTCGATACGCTGCTCGGTCAGCTTCGCCTCGTAGCTGCGCCACTTGCGCTCGGCGAGGAAGCGGTAGATGGGCTTGCTCATGTCGCCTGTTTCACGTCTCGTCAGCACTCAATTCGTTCAACATGGGTCCAGCAATTGCCCGTGAATCGTACCGAGTCCGTCTTCAAACCTCCTCTTCACAGCCGGGTCATTGATATCCGCCAGAATCTTGAGCTCCTCAACATGCTTGCGCAGACTGCTCAGCTTCATCTGGCGCATCCTCTCTCCGCCCTTGATATCCTTCCCATCGAGACCCTCCAACTTCTTGATCTTGGCCGACTCGCGAACGATAGCAGCCAGCTTCTCCTCGCGGTCAGCCGCCAGAATCTTGCGCGCCTCCTGGAACGCCTGATACGGCAGCTGCTCGAAGGGGAGGTTTTGGCTCGTGCGAATGGCGTAACGGCGACGTCGCGAACCCACGGGCGGCGTTCCGGCTTTCCAGAGATCTTTCTCGGCCCAAGGCGCTACCGCTGTGTTCGGGTCCATCTCGAAGGGATCCGTCTCCTCGGGTCTTGTGTAGACCACCTTATGCACCTGCGCGGCGGGGGCCGGTGTCGTCGAGATGCTCCTTCGTATCGGCAGCGTTGTCGTGGTGGCGCCGTTGAGGCATCGCCGCAGCGGCCGGACGGCCTGCCTACACGACGATGACATTGTGTGGGCTGTGTAGGGGTGGGAAAGTGGGCGTGGATGGTGATATGTCCTCCCGCTCGATCGCCGAAGGAGGTTTTTCACCCAGAGCTTCACACGATCCAATGGCACACTGCGGGTCTCCATAATTATTTTTCCAATTGAAAGACGGAATATCCCGCCCCGGACAAGGGACGAAGCTCCCACCTCAGAAGTGCAAAAAGCGGTACGTACCTGCAATTAGCGCCACCTGATTGGCAGAGGCACACGACCGGACGGGCCAAATTTTCGTAGAGGGACTATCAATTGAATCTCCAAATCGTCGACGACCACATCGCGCCAACGAATCTGATCAACGAGATCCCGAGCCTCCTTTCCGTTGTGAAGCCGTAACAAGCACACAATGGCCGGCAAGGGAGTCAGGAGCCTCACCGAGGCCATGAGGGGCCTGGCCGTCTCATCGCAGACCTGCAGAGCGGCGAGACCAGCATCATTCCTCGGCTCATCCAACTTTACGAGGTCAATGGCCAGCGAGGCGCCATTGTCCAATATCACCACTTCCGTCAACCAGATTTGGACACCACGTAAGCTTCTCACCCTCGGAACACTCCCGCCTCACGAGACCAATTCGCTAACTGGTCCGCTCTCGCAGCCACAACCGTCCCGGTCACGATCCACGCCTTCCCGACCCTCGAGCCCCAATCCCTCGAGTCCTACTCGACGAAGCACCTCTACCTCCCCCTCCGCCGCGACCTCCTCCACCTCGCCGTCGTCTACGAGGGCGACAGCACCCGCCAGGGCACGGCCAGCACCAAGACCCGCTGGGAGGTCCGAGGCTCGCACCGCAAGGTGCACCGCCAAAAGGGCACCGGCAAGGCCCGCGTGGGAACCAAGCAGTCGCCGATCCGGCGCGGCGGAGGTGTCGCCCACGGCCCGAAGCCGCGCGACTTTTCGACCCGCCTGAACCGCAAGGTCTACGACGTGGCGTGGCGCACCGCGCTCAGCTACCGCTACCGCCGCGGCGAGCTCATCGTCTGCGAGGACGGCATGGAGCTGCCGCTGCCCCGCGTCGGGGGCTGGGGGTCCATGGACAAGTTTCTGAAGGAGCAGTTCCGCCGCAAGTGGATGATGCAGGTCCTCGACGCGAACCAGTGGGGCAAGGACTTCGGCAAGACGCTGGTGATCACGGCCGGCAAGAATTACAGGCTGGAGACGACGATGGCGACAGTGTACGACCAGGGAAGGCATCTCGAGGTCGACGACGTGGATGTTAAAGACCTGTTGGAGATGGGGCGCGTGGTTGTTGAGCGGTCGGCGTTGAGGGAGATGATTGAGGCGCACCAGAGCGATCTGGTCAGCAAGATCTTCGTCAATGGCCTCACGAGGAGGACCCCGACCATTGGTGAGCCGATATTGTGAAGAATTGACGGGGCCGGCAAGGGTGAAGGACATGTGGATATCGTGTAACATCAATCAGCCATCAAGGAGCAGAGAATGTCTGATTAGAGGGCGCCTCTCCGGCATGTAGCAATAAGGCTTATTTTGCCATTTACTCTGTTAATTCGGGATCAATCCGTGTCAGGCGGCCGTTGATCGTTCAGGACACTGAACTTGAGTGGACGAATCCCTAATCTAGTAAGCGGCATTCATCTCTGTGATGGCACTAAAGTGCAGAAAAGATCAGTTGGTCTAAACTATCCATATGTTCGGCCGAGATAACCCGAACCTCAGTGTCTGTCGTTCACAATCGCGTATTCGTACATAATAATTCATAAAAAGCATCCGGCAACAGAAGCGGAAACGAGAAAGTCTCAGCCCGCCGTATGGGTCTCCAAAACGTCCAACTTGCCTCTATTCGGAAACCTCATACGCCATTCCGCGTCAGATTTCCCTGGCAGTGATGGAACGGGTACGTCGCCCGGGTGAGGGAAAAGCACCTACCAAATAAACCCACACCTCACCCAACCATTCAAACGCCTCCTGGAGGGGGGGAAATCCACTCCCATTTTCCCCAAAATGACGGCACTCACACTTGGATTCTGGTGGGAGAGCAGAGAATGCGTCCTTGCTAAGAAATACGGTTGATTTAATTCCTGAGAATACAGTGATTTGGTTACAGTAAAGGGCAGTACAGTGAGACTTTCCCTCCTTTTCACAACCCCCTCCAATCAAGGAGCCTCCGACTTGAGAGTCCCAGCCTCAACCACACCCCACAATTGCCGTGCAACAGTGGAGCAGCGGCCCGGAAAGCGAGCCCGGCGCCGACAGAAGCGCGTCCCATGCACGCTGACCCCCCCTACGTCATAGCGGGCAATCGCCAGCTAACATCTTAGCCTCACCATTCGCGAAACCCATCGTCAGTGGAGGAGGGATCTCTTTTTAGAGTTTCGCGACCCCCAAACCCCGTCCAAGGAAAACTCCCATGTTCGTAAAAAGTCGCTAATTTTCCTCCTGTTTGGGGGCCTTTGCGGAAAAGGTGCGCGGGCAGTGGGAATAATAAAACAGCAAATCACGTAAACATACTTTCGTACCCATTTCGTCGGGGATCCGGGATGACGTCGGTTGAGAAAGAGAAGCTGTCGCCGTGTGTATGAGAAAGAACCAATCCATCACTTAACCCTCGCAAACCTTCTTTTTCTCTCCCTCGTGATATTGTCGTTATCCTTGTGAAATAGACTGTATAATTGCCCTGCAGGGCGCGGACCGGAATCCTTGGGCCTCCTCACTAGTGAAGTAACGATAAACACCTAACCCAGGGGGGGGGTTTGGCAGCAAGTACCACGACTACTTCCAAGGATGCGGTACCTTAACCCCCATTCCTCCCTCGCCAATACTTTACCCTTTTTTACCCATCACACTCTCGACGGGGAGAAGAGTAGTGACGTAGACACTGGCAGGTGTTCGCGTGGGGAAGAAAGGTGAACAGAGGTGAACAAGTAAGGCGAGTGAGTTCAGTTCATTACGCTTCACCTACCTTCTTCATGCCTTGGACTCACAATTTTGTTTACTTTATTTCTCATTCCCGTCGCATTCTCAGATCATCAATTCCACTCTGCACTTACACGAACAGAAGCTCCGGGATGGAAAAAGCGAAGAAACCCACCTTCCCGCCCTCCTCCCGCCGGCGTCGCAAATGGGGCTAGGGAGGAGCCGTTCTGACGTAGCGGCGGCCAAGCTTCCGCAGCTCAGCTACGTAGGAGAGAGGGGGGGACTTGGGAGCTTGGGAGCTCGGTTATCACCTCGTTCTTGTATAAGATCTTCCCGTCGTGGCGAGCTCCCTCTCATTAAAGAAGCAGCTTAGTCCTCCCTGTTCCTCTGGAACGGTCCCGACTTACCCTTGTTCCTCTTCCTCTTCCGATCCGGAGCCGCACGCACATCTTCTTCTCTTCGACATCCTTATCCTGACCTCGACCTCTTGGATGGCACCTTCGAGGGAAACAAAGCAAACCGGTTGATGAAGCCATTGGAACTCGGAAACGTTCGATGGTAGCCATCGAAGCAGAGGAAACCATCTCGGCCGGGAAACGAAGGCCTTTGCCAACCAAAGACGTATACTGAGGCTCTCCGCCAGCCTTCGCATCGCCAATCCATCCAACCTCGACACGAGCGGCTCCCGATACCATGAGCAGTTGTCGATGAGAGACACAGTTGCGTCCGGACCGGCAAACCTACACTTGTGGTCATTCTTGAACGCGTTTATCCACGACCAAGTCCCGGTTATACTCGACATGAACGGCACTACTTTACTCACAATTCGAGCCATGCAGCTCGAAGCGATCTTCTTGCAGCCGTTGTCCATGCTACCAGTATTGAATAAGACGCGGAAAGAATGACGACGACGAACACGAAGACGACGACGAAGACGACGACGAAGACGCCATCACATCGACTACGAGGTTAGCAGAAGCAAGAGCGCCACATGGCCGAAGAATTATTGTGGAAATCACAAGGCCCACCGGGTTGGTCAGTCATCCGGCCATTCTTTTGTGTCGAACTAAATGTTTTTTTCTTTCTTTCTGTATAATCTGCTTTTGGACGTTGATTCGCACAGCTGGAATCCGATCCAGTTGCCGACAAATCGGTGTCATTCTCTTAATGCCTTGCACATGACGAGTGCGTTTGGTCGTTTGGCCAGTGGCCATATCTGTACACGTTCCCTATTAGGAACTTCATCTGGCAAGTCCACCTCCAGGACTGCTCTCCAACTCGTACAGTTCAAAATCCACCAGGGGTATCAGGTTGCAGTTCCAGCTTGGCATCTTTGGCTGACTGCCCGTGTCTTCTGGCTTTTATAACTGTCATTACTTCCGTCCAAGTCATTGCTCATAGCACGGCTGTGTCCCAAAACCCACCCCAACGCCGTAACAAGAACTTCACGACGCCCAATGTGAAAGCTCAAGGAGACACGCCGACTCACTCCCCACGATGGCATTCTACGCCTGCTCAAAAGCGCTGTCTGGCATGTGGTCGTAGTTGAAATCCGCACTGCCAGGCCCCGAGGACATGCTCGTCATGGCTCGATCGGACCGTGTGGGGGAAATCAATGAAATTTGACCTACGGTCAATTAGCATCTGTGCATGAAATCTGTGCATCGCAATCAGAGGAAGGAGGCTTACTGTCAATGGAGGGTCTGTAGCCCGCGCCGAGTGGCCTGTCACCGGACCCTCGGCTGGAGTCGATACTCTGTTTCTTAACGCGCTCTGCGCTGCTCTGGACGAACCGCCGAGCTTCGTTTTCGAGCCACAAGTTGATGTTTGGGTCATTACAATTGGCGTGGGACATGAGCTCATTCTTCATGCGAGTAACCTGGTCCACCAGTCCATTGTATTCCATTTGCAGCTGGGCGTGCTGGGTCTCCAACCCCTGTTTCGTCTCTTGCAAGTCGGACATCCACACTTTCTTCTTTTGTCGGCACTTGCTTGCTGCTACTCGGTTTCGTTCCAAAAACTTATTGCGCTTCGCGTCATCTTCGTCCTGCATAGGCGCCTTGCCCTTCTTCCCTTTCTTTCTCGGTGGACTGGCGTCGGATGGGTCCGTCGTCCTGCTAGAGTTGGACGCATGTGTTTGCATCGACATGTTTGAGTCGGTTCGCGAGCTCGATTTGGATGTCGAGGTGGATGGCACATGCATCAGCGCCGGCCGATCGTCAAGAGGCTCCTGCTTGGTGGTGTATTGCGCCTGGTATTGGTTGCTGTAGACGGACGCCATGTTCGGTACAATCGGGTCCCATGCAGTCGCCATGGGCATGTAGATCGAAGGATTCTGCGACATTGTTGGCGATGGGTTCATGTCCAGTGGCGGCTCAAGTTGAACAGTTTCTGTTGGCAAGGTGCGTGGCTGATCGCTGTCGAAAGTGTCGTTAGTCGGTGTCGCAAGGTCAACCGCGTCATTGAAGAAGCTTGGAGGGGTATTCATTGTTCTCGGAAAGTCTGGTACCGCTGGTTCGATCCTGTCGCGGGGGCGCAAAGTCGCCTGGTCCAAGGTGATCCGATGGAATTTGGTTTCGTGCCCTCACCTACCAAATGCTGTCAAGTGAAGTGTCAATGTGTACCAATGAAGGAGACAAGACTGTCAACCGGCGTCAACGAGATGGCGACCAAGCTATAGTTGGCAGAAAGACGCGGGCTTCCGGATCAAAGATTAAGGCAGAAAAGTCGCTGTGTAGAATCTCAACGCCTGCGTGTACTTGGCGATGAATGATTCTGCAAAGATTGCGTTGCCAGAACCCCGATCTAGTCGTGTCTCGATGTCGAAAGTATCCCCCCCCACTGAGAAGCTAGAAGATCGAGCTACAGTCGTCGTTAGTCAGTGTCCGCCGACGAAGATTACTCAATAGAATATCGTTACAGAATCAGAGAGGACGACGGGTGACAAGACAGAAGCAGAAGAATTGGAGACGCAAGAAACAGAGAGTCAAAACAACGGGTAACGGGCTGATGGGTGACGGGTTGATGATGCGGGTCAAGAACGATTGATCCAGTGGGGTTGACGTGACAGACATTACCAAGAGCACCTGAGAATACCTTGATAATTGCCCAGGAACGGAGGGGCTGCTGTCATATTGGGGCAACGCAACGTGGGTATCGTGCAGGGGCAAGAGGAGACTGGAGAGTGGTAACACTACCCGGCCGCGAATGCGCTGGCCAAGATACCTTACTAAGGAAAAGGTGCTCGCTAGTCGCAGACGGCAGAGTCGGGACAAGCAGGTGAAGTGTTGCCGAGAAATGTGAAGGCTTTACGGGGTTCTCTGATGAAGCTGTCGACTCGACTTACCTTGAACAGTGGTCAAGCTCCTCGCCGAGAGCGTTGTTGACAAGATCAATAGTCGGGTCGGTCGAAAGAGCGAGATAGAATGGTAGCTCTGTTGAAGCTTGACGGTAGGGAAACGGTGGCGGGGCCTTATGGGGTCCACGTCGCGATGCCGTTCGTCAGCGTCTTGATGCTGATCACTCACTCCTTGGTGTTGCTTGAGACCGAGAGGAGCCGATGAATGGGGCGAGTCAATTGAATGTCCGACTAGAGATTGTCTCGAGCAGAACGTGATCTTGATTCGCAATGAGCGCCGGTAGGTGACAAGGCACGTTATCGCCGTGTTGCCGGATGCGTTGCGATGAGGGCGCGGCAACTTGCTAAGCCGGCAAGGATGCTCAGGTAGTGGTGTGGGTGGACACTGCTAGTGCTCGCTGGTGATGGAGCAAACCAGGTCGCACACGAAGAATGTCGAAGGCAGGGATGAGCCGGAGAAGCGCCAAGCGGTAGGCGACGGAAAGCAAGGCGGTTGGAGGTTGAAGATGAAGAAGCCAGCTTGATAAGGTAGGAAAAGCAGTGTCCAGGCGGTGGGTGATGGCGCGTGGCACTACGGACGACGATGGAAGCGACGAAGGCTGGAGGAGTTGCGTTGGACTCCTAGTCGGAGTCTACTCCGGGTGGAATGAGGTCGAAGTCGAGTCAAGCAGGTGGCTGTGGCCTGCAAAGGTAGCCAAGTGTGACGAAAGAGAAGGGTAAGGGTATCGATCGATCGGTTTGATGGAGGTCTCGTCGTGAGCTTTCGAAGCACCGATGAATGGGCAGGTGGGTGAGGCTGCAAGGGAGGGTATCAAGCGGGTGTTGGGGCCGGGACCGAACGAACGCCTGCCTGCCTGATGTGCTTGTGCTCGAGAATAAGGTGAGGTGAAGTTGGGATTCGGGTGAGCTAAGAATGAATGCTAGTAGGTAGTGTGAGGAAGCTACCTTCGAAGCTCAGGTGGGAAACTGAGGGGAGCTTCCACAATTGCATAACTTGAAGTACGCGCTTTCTACAGAGTACCTACATTTTCTTCTGTTCTTTTGGGGCTACCGACCACCTCAGCTCAGGTAGGTCAGAAGCAAAGTTCGCTCTAAACATAAGGTAGGCAGGTACTTGTGCGTTATTACCTAGTCTGATGTTTTTTCCTTGCAGCTCCCGCTCGTTCCTTAGCATCCGCAAACACTGAGGTTGTCTGATGCAAGCGCAGCTGCAGCTGTGAGCCTACCCACATAGGTACCTGCCCTCATACATCACGATAGCTTCCTGACCTCTGTTTCTGTCCTCTTCTTATCCTTCCATTTTACTGCCTACGCAACGACCTGCCACTCAAGGAGCTGTCCGTCTGCATCAAGTCCAAACTTGGTATTTCTTGGGGGCGGGTTATTACTGCATACCAGAGCCTGCTTCGGAAGCTGTCCAAGCTACCCTGCCCCGGTCTTCCAGGATTGTTTGGAGGGGCTTGTTACTTTGGACAGGAACGCTACCACCGGGCCCCTGTTCCTTCGGATGAAAGTCTCCGAAACTGCCCAGACGCTCTGGCCGCTGTACGCAGTACAACTCTTCTTCTTCTGCTGCAGCACGCACACACACGACACACGATACACGTGCGGATTGCGAGCTGGAAGCTGGAAGCTGAAGTATCCGTTCCGCAACCTCCACGACAGCTTCGCTCGCGGCCCCAGTGCGGCGGCCTTCTCGGCAATGGCTGACGGGATGTAGGTACTGTGAGAGCTACACCACCACACGAGGCGGGCTACACACATCCACGGCCGCCACAACATTCACTATTACCACCAAGTGCTAAGGTTTGGACGCTAGAGCCATCGGATACCTAGCAGCAGAGATCCCTTCCGTACATCCGCTCTCCCCGCGAGAATCATGAGACGGACGCCAGAGGACGGACTGAGGCCAGGGCGTCCTGTAACCTGTTCCTTTCCCTGCTCAACTCATTGACGGGAGCCTCTCTTCTCCGAAAGACATCCGTGGACTGCCCTACCCGGTATTGTTGTACCTCATCAGTTGAGTACCCGTACCGGCTCGGTGAGCACAGGGCGCTGAGACTGCCCGGGAAGAGCCAGAGTCTGGGAGGTGACACTGACACTGGCCGGGAACCAACGCATGGAGCTGGATGCCCGGGTCTTGTTCCCTTTGGCTGAGCTGCGTGGCATGGCTGGCAGCCGCAGGGATGCCAAACAGGGGGGTAGCTCGGGAGCGACAGGTGGGGAAATGAGGGGCACCTTGGCCAAAAACGTCGATAACCCCCAAACAGCTGCAGCTCGACCTTGGCCCTGCCGCTACACATCATTGGTTCGTCTCTCGAAGTTTGGCTGTCCTTACTTCGGTCTCAGTGCTGGTATTGCTCACGGATACCTACCTACTTTGACAACTCTCGCTATTTGCTTACGTACCTTTACTACCAACACAGAACAGACGGGAAGCTGTTGCGAATGCCCCGTTACGAGCACATCCGCAGACATCTACCCGGTAGCTCCGGTTAGCAACTACAACGGCCGCCAAGTCCGAATCTTTCGAGAGGACGCCCAAGATTGTCAACCGCTTCAACATCGCCAGTCGACATCGACCGATGTTCTGGATCTTCCTCATGCAAACACGATGGCAGATCGTCGATTCGTCGATGACATGCGCTCGATTCGTTCGCTGGCCAGGGCCATGACTAGCACCAAGCCCCATCTTGCTAATTCGACCCATATCGCGGCCCGTCAAGAACGAAGCAACTCCAACCTCAGTGCCCCAAACGGGAATATCTTGCCGGCTGTTTGAGAATCTTCCTTCAGCTGCTTTGAAAAGAAAAGAAAAACCTCCAGCTGAAGCTAGTTCGCCCTATCAATCGCCCTACGAGATAATGACCCAACTGGGTTAAACGCAGACAAACAGAACGACCGCCGTACATGCAGTTTGCAGTTCGAAGTTTCCAGAAGTACCCTTTTTTTATTCCGATTTTCTTTCTAAACCCTAGCCAGGTACCAGGCTTGTACTGGCCAGTCCCTGCAACTTATGATACCAATAATGGACCCTGAGATCGTCACCCGGTCGTCTCATTCTTTGTCAGCCCAGCATCCTGCCCGGCACGGAGTATCGATGAGAATACCAACACCAAAACAAGCGAGAAACACGACTCGACCAGTGGCCGTTAGTATTTCTTGTGGCTGCGTTGCGCAGCCTGCCAGGCCTGGGTCGCAGAATGGTACATGGCACGGAACGGGCATTACTGAGATAACCAGGGGTGAAGTGGTGCGGCCGCCATCTCCGACTCATGTCCGGCCTTGGATCGGCCCCGGACCAACCGTCGCAATTCCATTGCCTGCCGTGTCCAAGATTCCAGGTTTCTTCCCAGCCCGCCGTGCACCGCCGAGACCCTCTGGTCCCTGATCGGGGAAGAGATTTACGTCCCATCCTTCGACCGCTCCCCGACACGTGTGTGGGCTTTGCTGGGAACGCGCCGCCATTTTCTTCTTTTTTCCAACAATTTGAGAGGACCCTTCATGCATCCATACCACCGCAGCACCGGCCTCGTCAATGAATGGCGTCAGAGGCCGGCATTGAAAACTTGATAACGCCCAGAAGATCCGCACGGGACTTCCTCCGGAGTCGACTACACCACTCATATTTCATCTTCGGCATTTGCACTTTTGGATCCTTGGGCACCAGTGATCACAGTCAGGTTTGGTTATCTGCGCGTCTCATGTTCTGACAAACATCGGTCTCTGCTGTCAGGAGAACCGTCAGCATCAACGTGAGGGAGTCATTGTTCCAGCCCGGAGTCCCCAAGGTGGTGATCGACCGTGGCCTGCACGTTCGTTCCTTGAAAACAGGCTGTAGGGCTCAAATGACGTCATGTTGACGAAACGAAAAGGAAGAAAATTCTTGGGAGTAACGAACATTGGTTGCGGTCGCCAAGGCCCACTCGGCTGAACTCCCACGTTCTGAGGAAGCCATCGATATGGAACCATTCGAATCGATACCTGTGACACCAACGAAAGGGCCAATTGGTTGGCTGGAGTGGCCGAACAAAAATAAAGCGGTCAATTGAGTTTCGGCCAGGGCCACGTAACTCCAGGAGGTGTGGTTCCTCCTCGGCGGGATCGAAGACGGTCTTGACAAACAAAACAACCGTTAATATAACGTTTCTGTAGATCACTTAGACGGTCCCGAGGGTCCAAAAATTCTTGGGTGGGACCCTGAACCCGAAGGGTCCACGCTTATGTAAACGACAGATTCAAGACCCGCTTTTCACCTGACAGCGCGATAAGTGCTGCGCGGGAGGTGGGCATCCCAAAACCGCGACGTCTCTATCGACACGACACGACCAGTCATTGAGAGCCCTGCATCATCCCGCGTCAGGCACAAAACATCCCGAGATCCAATCACACAAAGATCCGCATCGTCTTACAAGACCCTTGCGTCGCATCCAAAACCCACAACCGCACAACGAACGACCAACCCAGAACAAACCCTTCTCTCGAGAATGGCCGAAGCTACCTCTACCCCGCGCATCAACGCGCAGTACCTCGACAACTACGTCGGCAGCAACGTCATGCTCGTCGGCAAGGTCACCCAGCTCCGCGGAGACTCTGCCGTTCTCGACGCCGATGGCAACGTCACCGCCATCCTGAACCGCGTGAGTCCGACCAAGAGCACATACACGGCTCTGCGTGGTGTAGATGATTGCTAACCTATCGACTTGCGTAGGACGTCCACCTCACTAACGGCAACGGTGCTCAAATCATCGGCAAGGTCAACCCCGACCTGTCCATCAAAGTCCTCACGTCCAGAGACCTAGGACCTAACGTCGGTACGTCAAAAAGCCCTCTCACCCGTTCCGCCAACCTCAAACTCTCTCCTAACATCTCTTCCCAGACTACCAGCTCGCCCGCGCCGTAGTCGACGCAACCCACCACCACAAGTCCCTCTTCATCTGCGAGAATTGACCGCCCAAGCCGTCCGGGCGCGTGTACGGGAACAACCAGGTCACGATCCCGGCCCGCCCACCGCCGCCGACACCGCCCCGAGATCCCGCGCCCCGGCCGGCGGCGACGTCAAACAACACACCCGCCACCCAGCGGCAGAAGCACACACGATACTACGAGCCCCCGACGCCCACCCCTCCTTCGCCTGAATTTACCAGACAGCAACAACAACAGCAACAAAATCGATATCCCACAACGCAACCGCAAAATAGTCCTCACCCACCCTCTCCCCAAACCCAGAGACACCACCACCACCACCACCACCCGTCGACGCCTGAACCATCTCAACGTCAGCGCCATCACCAAATCAACGACCCGAGATCCGCAATTACCAATCGCAACCCACGCCCGTCGGCTGTGTTACCACCTACCCCGCCATCGCCCGAAATCCCCAAGCAGAGGACGACGAGTGACATTAAGCCCAGGACCCCTAAAGAAAGGAAGGACGGGAGGGAGCGCAGACACCAGCGGCAGAATCCGAAGCAAAAGGAATCCGAAGCGGACGCGAACGAGGGGGCCGTCGATGACTCGGAGCTACTGGGCGCCATCCTGGACGGCATCGGGCGAATGGCCGTCGGCACTGTCGCCATGCGTATGGACGACGCTGGGCGCTGGAGGATCCGTCGTGATTCGGAAAGTGACGGAGCTGAACACCTGTAGCGTAGTTTTCTCATCTCGTGTCAGGCTGATCATCTATCAACCACTTCTTCATGTCACGAACATGGGCTCTTCTTGATGTTAATGAACAACTTTTCAAGCTAATATTCTGGGCTGAATATCCTCTTCGCGCCCTCCAATGTCCATGAGTAAGTAATTCGTACAACAGCCCCTTCAACGCCAATGAGCAGCAGTAAGCACCAAAAAAAACACGTCGCCGATATCCTGGCATCGTCGGCCTAAAAGCCCCCTTGCGTCGGTATTCAAGCCGTGTCCGCCAAAAGCTCCCGAACCGCCTCCACGACGTCGTGCAAGTCCTCCTGTGTCAAATTAGTCTGGTAATGATGTTGGGGCCTGCCATCAAGCCTTTGATCAATACTGGTTCTCCCTCCACTCCACCACGCAGACGCCCCGCCGTCGTTGCTTCTCGCTCCGTCCATGCCCATCAGTGCCATTTTGATTCTTGATGCCACCGCCCCGTCGTCTTCGGTTACCATCGTCTCAAAGCTCCCCTTCTCTCCAGATGAGGCATCGTCGTAGTCATCTTGGGCGTCTCCCGCTTTGATACCTCGCAACCTGCGAGTAAACCGCTCCAAAGCAGCTACCCGTTTCTCCGCCGTCTCTGCTCGCCCCTTCCACATGGCGCACTCGCGTTTTGCTGACCTCAATTGTTCGCTGAGGAGACCGATGTCCATGTCGTCTCGTGTCTCTAACTGACGCCGAAGCGACGCAGCCTCCTCGACTTTGGTCTCAAGCTGTCTTTGCAAAGTACGTATTTGCGCGTGCAAAACCGAATTCCCACCCGGAGTTGCAGGTCGTCTATGAGCGTAGTCTTCTCCGGCTTGGCTCAGTGATGTCGAGGATGGTGGCCGAGGAAAGCTGACATGCTGCGCGACGGGAGGTTGCTCAGGTTGGCTAATCATGGTGCCTAAATTGGGCACGGCTCCTTCTTCATTGAAAGTCGGGGCTGTCGTAGGTGTCTTCCGATACATCTGAATCTCCGAGGTTTGCCGCAATGGTATGACCAAGGATTTGTCGGTCTGAGGGGCAATGGTATCGGCACCAGCCGCACGGCGGACGACCTTTTGATTCCGCCTCGTTTCAATGCTATTAGAAGAAGTCTGGGACTCGTGCTCAATACTGGCCTTTCCGATACTCCAGGACGACCTTGCGGGATTCAAAGTTTTAGGCGAAGGTGTATCAAGTCTAGGAGTCTCGCATGCTCGCGACGGACGATTGCCCATAGGCGAGGGGACGAATGGGGAGTCTTTGGCAGCAACCTCGAACATTGCAGCCATGGCTCTCACACCATTCGGCTTCGAGGTTGACTTCCGCGATGCTGTTAAGCTATTGAGTGTTCCTCCGGATGTACGGACCGGGGTAACGTGCCGTAGCGATGAGTCGCGAGATCTTTGTGCAACCTGCTCGGCTTTAGATGCCATACTCTGGGGAGATGACCTTCTTGCGGAGAAAGTCCCATGTTCTTTCATTCCGATCGGCAAAGTACCCAAAATAGAAGGCATTCCGTCTACTAGGCCTCCGTCTACTGGGCCAATCTGGGAATCAGAGTTGGGTGTCTCGTTCGAGATGATCCGAGAGCCATAGTCTGAGCCAGAACCTCCTGAAGGCAGCTTCCCCTATTGCGCCTTGGATGTATATGGGTCGACAGGGTGCGAGTTTCTCGTCAAATCCTTTCCAGAACGGTACTCCTTAGGAGTGATCTGGATAGAGTTGTGATCAGACTCTTCGCCGGCATCTCTGCTTCGGTTTGGGGTCTGGTTAGAAGATGACCGTAAAACATCGACGCCCGAAGTTCTAATGCGCAGATTTTTGGACAAATCCGGCGAGTCCCTCTTCCAGTCTGACTTTGTCCCGTCGTTCGGGTACGCTTGTGAACCAGGGGAAATGCTCTTCGTCGTGTATCCCCTGGGGCTCAACGAGACATCCGCCCTCGGACTCCGCACTTGCGGGGATAATCTGACGGTGGTTCGAGGGCTTGCATGGTCCGATGACGAATTTCTCTGATTCGGCGTCCTCGGTGTTGGACTACTAGACGACAACGTTCCCCTTCTATCCGTTCCAATAAGTTGGCGCAGAGTTGCAGAGACCAAGTTTGTATTCGTGTTCGAATTTCCGTCCGACGATTCTGCCGAGAGTCTTTCAGACCGAGCAAGAGGCTGCTCCCATTGATGATCATCGGCCGTTGGCCGAGTTGTAGGACTTCGCGCTTGGTTTGGTGTGGAAAGCGATGACGTTCTCTCCGGAACCAGCTCATCGGAGACGCGAGTCGACTCGTTCGAGTGTGAACCGTGCGCCGAAACATCTATTCCACGCACGTTGTCCATTGGTCTTCGCCTTTTCGGACTTCGAGGCGACGCAGGGTTGTAGCTTCTGCGAAGCGGTTCCTGTGGCCGATCGTTACGGGCTGGTGAGATTATGTCCACTGCTGAAGATGCTTCCTGCGATATAGACTCGGCGTCGTTGCCTTTAAGTCTGTTCGAGACCGCCTTTGTTACTCCTGCTTGTCCGACATTCTGTTCATTGCCATGCCTTCTGGCACTGGTAGTTCCAGCATCTACAAGGTCTTCCTCAGCAGTTGGCGATAGTGGGTTGAGCAGTTGCCCGGCGGGTAAACGGTTTGAAGATGCGGATCGTGATACTTTAGGCCTTTTTCTCTTCACGTCAAGACTGTCACCGAGGTTCCCGGATGTCTTCGAGTTTATCAACTGCCCCGGCCCTAAGACTTGGTTAGCTATTGCTCTTGTCAGGTGCAAACAAACCTACGTGACGCTGGCGTGGGTGTCTCAGGGGTTGGCGAAAACTCTCGGTTGACAGAGGGACCCGACGAAGACTGTTTGATTTTCCAACCTTGGGGCAATCCGATAGTGAACGGGTCTGAACTAGAAGACCGGAGGAACTTCCGGCGGTTGATTGTCTCCGTCCCTTGATTGGCTCTCGTCAATATGTTTAGGCTTTTCATATTCCTGACAACCTCTCTCCAATTAGTGATCATCATCTCCGCGATATCGTTCGCGATGTGAATTTTGTCCATCGCCAGAGGTGTTGCATCTTTCTGCGTCTGCGCTTTGTGATGTCGTTCTCTTTTCAACTTCGGCGGTGTGAGAGGGAAAAGCAGAAGTCCACCTGTAGGGTTCGCCAACTTCATTGTGTACGAGTCGAGGAGTTCTCCAACAAGCAGTGGCCCGAAGACTATACCCAGTGCAGTGTAACCCATCAGATCCGAGGTAGGTAGCGGATGGCCTCGGTCATCTTCGCGAGCTGCCATTTCAGCAGCGCGGCCAATGACAGAGAGCAGGCCAAACACAGCACAAATCAGCTCTCGCTGGAATTGTGACTTGACGGTGCCAATCGCAAGTGCAATGAGCCGCGCTCGTAGTTTGGTTTGCATCGTCCTGTTCAATTCGGGTTCCCCTTGGAGCTGGCTGTGTATGGCGACGAGTGCGTCGAAAAGCGAGAGAGACCCAAGTATGCCGCCGGGAAGAACAGACAAGAACTTCTTGAAGGCGGAAGCCACATCGTGCGCCCCAACGTTAATGTGAGCTGGAAGAGATGGGCATCGAATTGTGGTAGTGACTTCTTCCCCTGCCTTTTCGTAGCAGTAATAGTCGAATAGTGCGCTGACCAGGCGTTGCGACCCGGGTATTCGAAAGACTCCGCGAGTGTCCGGACCTACAGACAGTCAGACGTCTGCGGTCAGAAAGGAAACAACAGCTTTAACTTGCCGTATTGAACCAAAAATTGAGCGGTGGCTCGAAAACAAGTTGGCAACATTAACGAGCCAGGAGCGAAATCTTCCGGTAGGTAGAGGAAGCTCTTGCCACTAAGGCGAACCATTGTCTGTAAGTCAAAAGTCTTGGGCTCTGGCCTGCGAGCTGCAACGATATGGAGCGCAATATCGCTGACACTTCTCTTGTGTCTCATCGTCCCCGATGATCGCCGGGGGCTAGACGGTTGACCGGATGAGGGCGAACGAAACATTCGCGACCACCACCGTCGCTTCTCCGACATTGTTGCTGGCGTTGAAGGGCGCTGGGATCATTAGCCACGCATCTTTCACCGAAACGGACTGTACGTACTCCATCGAAATCTTCAACAACGAGAATTCGAATTCCGTGCTACATGGCTCTGTTAGCTTTGCCTGTTTGTTTGGATTCGACTTGGTGTCCGTAATGCGCAGATGAAAGGTCACTAACCTTCTTGGCCAGGCGATTGTATTCTTGAACGAACTTTCGGCGATCTTGAATCTCGTCTTTGTCCGGAATCAGGGCCAAGTCGGCGGTGGACGAGGTCCACGTCGCGCTGCTGCGCAGCGTTCTGCCTCGGCGGCCATCCTCGTGAGACAGAACAGGTAGGGTGGTAGAGCCGGCAAGCGATGGCTGGACACGCTGCGAAGGTCCTCCGAAGGACGTTACGGGTAGCTGAGGAGGTAAGATGCTTGTGGGCACAGTGCTGGGCTTTTGGCTTGCCTGGGTCCCAGTGTCTGCATCGCGAGACCGGGCCGTGGATATCGATGGATCATGGCGGTAATTCTGCATTGGATGACAATTGAGAGGGAGTTTGGAGGTTGGAAGATGAAATTTCAATGCCCGCAGACAACTTGCGGTCTGGTATAGTAAGTCAAGCCGCTGCGTCCTTCAGAGTGATGTTGAGGTGTGACAGTAGAGATCGCTGAGGCTCGTGCTGTTTGTGGTGCCTGGAGTACCTAGGTAGATTTGGGTCGCTCAGAGCGCAGTTCTTCCGTGTGATAGGAAATCAGCGTGCTGATGTACTCCTGCCTCGTATTAGGTTCTGGATGAACGCTTTGAAAACCGAAGGGAGTTGCACATACCTACCTCGCGATTACCTGGACGGAAGCTCCGTCAAACCGGGAACACGTTCTATCGCCGTTTGTCTGGATTCTACGTACCTTCCCGTGCAAACGAAAATCCAACTTAGGGAACAGAAAAAGGGCAGGACCGAAGGAGAAAATATTGACATGTTCTCATTTCATAATGCATCCAGGTAGCCGACTGGCCTTCCAACCCTCTATGATGAAGCGAAAGAAAATGTCAAGATGCGCACCATCTGGTATTCCTCCAGTTACGCCGTCATACGCCTGGCACATGCTCATTACCATGTCTACCGTGTCCCAAGTCATTCCAGCGAGGATCCGTCGCTCTCGGTTCTATGTAAATCCCGTTTCCCAGCCTCCAGCTCAGTTGGTATCGTCCTCCTCTCCGAAAAGGAGAACGTACTTGAGGATATCAGACAGTGAAATGACACCCACAAGCCGATTCTCGTCGTCTACTACGATCAGACGGTGCACCCTCGACTTGCGAACCGTGTCAAAGATGGAGTCTAGCCTGTCGTCGGGGCCGCACGTGTAGATTCCAGGAGAATCGTCCGGCCTCATGCACAGTGCCTCGCCGACACTGGACCGAAGCTCCTCATATGCGCCGCCCTTGATACATGGAATAATGTCGACGGCCTCGAAAACGTTAAGGACGCGCTTGTGCTTGTCGACGATGGGAACACACGAGATGTTATGCTTTACCATCAAGTCAACAACGTCGAGAACGGAATCGTCCATTTTGGCCGTTGCCAGGTTCTTGTACGTGCCGAGACCAATCTCCTTGAGTGACTTCTTCATAAGCACGGTGTTGTGTTCGTTGTTGACGGCGATGAACTTGAGAATTCTATACTGAGTGATGACGCTGACTACCAGTTCGCGGCCTGTTTCGTCATCCACGTCGATCAGAGGGATTCGGCGCGCGCGGGTTTTGAGCATGCGACGGCAGGCCTCGTAAAGTGGTCTCATGGGGTTGACGGATACTGTTTCGAGCGGAGAGACACCGATTGCCTTTTCGATATCTGGAAAGCTGTTGGAAAGGGGTCTCGGGAAGCAGAGTGAAGTTCTGTATACACACCTCTCAGGCTGCTCAGGCGAAACTGCTCCAGCTTGCTCATCTCGTCAGGGAACTGGCAGTAGTACTGGATCACGTTTATAAAGTCGGTAGCTGTTAACAAGCCAGCGAAGGTGGAATTATGCGAGTCCCATAGCGGCGCGGAAACGATTGCTGCGGCAGAGGTCAGAATGGACTGTTCGGCGCATCGAGATGGCATGACTCGTACCATTTTGAATGAGGATGTTGAGACTCTTCTTGATCAAGAGGTCATTGTCGAGGACGATGAGGCGGAAGGAGAGCGGCAGGACGTCGTAGCTGGTTCGAACCTTGAGGAAGTCGCGGATCGCTCTCTAGGTAGAGAAACAAAGTTAGCAACGGCTCGCTAAATGTGCCCCTCGCGATGGCGCCGGACGGATGGCAGAGAACGACCCCGCATGCGCGCAGGCAGCTCAGGATAAAATCAAAGCCCAAGCAGGGCAATGGAAGGGGCGCAAGACGGGAAAACGAGGGGTCAGAGGGTCAGCAGCTTACCAGACCCTGCATCTGGTCCTTATCGAGGGGGCTCGGGGGCTTTTCAGGCATTTTGCGAAGCACAGAGGGCGGTCTTGGTCGAAGGTAGGATGAGGGCGTGACGAAGGGAAGCTCGTGACCATGTGGTCTCGCGATGGACGCAGCGGTAGCGACTACTGGCGGTTGTAGTGGAGCGCTGCCACCATCACTAGGCTGATGCTGATGCTGATGCTGTTGCTGGTGCGAATGCGACGTGGGCATGGAGCCAGGACCGGCATTGTCCTTCGACGCCGAGGAGGCGGAGGAGGGGTCGTCCATTGTGTCGTCGTGCCGTCGGGTGCGAGGAGGGCTGGCTACCTAATGGCGCGCGTGGCCCCTCTGGACGTTGACGGGACGGGGTACGCGGGAGGTGTGGGAGGAGAAGAGCGGGAGAGACGGGAGACAGGCGACGGAAGACGGAGGCGGGAGTTTAGAGACAAAGATTGGAATTTGCGGTCGAAGAATCGGATGGGTTGGGCTGGATCCTGACGCACTGGTGATTTTTCCCTTGCGCCGTTTCTTTTTTTCTGTTCCGCTTCTACCTCAGCAAGACGGGACTGGAAGCATGAGCGGTCGGGTGGCAGATACCTAGCAGAGGTAGCTAGTAGTGACAGCGGCAGCCACAGTGGCATGTATTGACGACAGCAGCAACAGAATGTACCTGAGCCCTGGCGGCAGATAACATTTACTTGGGGTTGATTGCGTCGGGGTGCCTCCTTGTCTCACCAAAGTTGTAGTAGACGGGAGATAACGATAAGGACCTTTGAGGACAAGCACTGTCAGTGGAGGGGACGAGACCCAGACGACGGGCAAGGTTGAAGGGGGGCGTCGACCGTCTGATTCTTGTTTTCTGGTTCCCATCACTTTTTGGCGTTGGTGTTGGCGTTCGCGCTGCCACTGCCGCCGCTGCAGTGACGATGGCAGTCCAGCAAGAAGACCTGGTGCTCAATATTACCTTATCCTAACCTACGGTACTTAGGTACTTTGTCTACCTAAGAGATCTGCCTCGGTTGCAGTTAGCGTTGCAACTTGACGGATGTAATAGCGTCCGCTTCATGAGGCAAAACAGACATGGCGAAGATGGCGGCAGAAAGTTTCGTCATTGGTGATGCCTTCATAAAGCCAGCCTATCGAACGCGAAAACCCTTGAGCGAGATAAGGGTCGACCATAGAGCGGGCTTCTTCTGGCAGGTCTCTCTGCCTGTGTGCTTCCCACTTGACCATCTCAAAGTGATGACTTTCGCCGATCACAGGAACGTACCCAAGAGTACCAGGCACTTTGGCGTGTGGTCGTCGAACGCTGAAGCGTTGCTGTCCGACAATTCAATTGCTTTTCGAGAAAACATGTCTTGCTCGGACTGACCTCTCACGAGGAATAAAGGCAATTCAAGACATGTTGGCGAAGTCTTCCGCCGGCCGATTCATGCGATTTCCGTGGTGGAGATAACCAGCTTGGTTGGCCGACTTAGCACACCGCTACAACCAAAGACAAGATTAATTCAGTCTCGTCGTCGTCGTCGTCCAAATATCTTCTGGGTGTTGCTTGCGGGACGAGCCGTGCTCCTTCGAGTCGGCCCTGAGCAGATGGGCTCGCGTGACGTTGGACCCTTGAATATTCTGTAGAGGTATTGCATCAGGTAGTAGCACGAGTCATCAGGTCAAATTGGAAGCAACGTCGCGAGCGGGAGATGGTGTGGTCCTGCTGTGTCCATAGCTCAGGAGATGCCATTTTCGTCTGAAGCTTCTGCCTGGCGATGACATTTATGAGGTAAGGTACTTCCATCGAGGCAGGCGTCATCGAAGCAGCAGGCGTCTCTTCGGAGGCATTTATTATACACGATAAGGCATGCACGCAGTCAGGTGCCGCCTGAGGAAACATTCCTCAGACAGAAGCTGTGGCTTCCATGATGGCCTCCGGGAATCGTTGGCTCTGCCCGGTTCAAGAGCTAACATGCTTCTTGAGTGGAAGTAATGATACGATGCGTATCTTTCCTTGAAGCCACTGCTTGGAGGTAGTAAGGTACACACCTGCCTTACTGTAGCTCTCGTAATTCTTCGCAGGAACGATTACACAGGCCCAAGCTTGAATCACGCAAGACATGACGGGAACCCTTCATCAGTTCGCAGCGCGCTTGTTCCGCATGTGAATAAAGCTGAGTGGTCCGTGTGTCTCAAGCTCGAGATTTGGAGAAGTGTGGAAGTGTATCCGTACCGCAGCCGCAGGACCGCCCGAGAGAGGAGAAGATGGAGCATTGGAGAACATCGGTGGACCTGTTGCAGAGTGAGGCGGGTGCGGGTGCGGTGCGGGTGCGGGTGGTTGTTTCTGCTTGGATTTGAGAAGAAGGAGCCGCCCAGTCACATCACGAGTAAAAGCTGGCCACGCTGCAGGTACGCTCGGTACGTACCGACGACTTTGACTCTCCAGGACCCTTCTAAGCCCGACCGGGTTTAGCAGGACCAAGACCGACTCCGAGAGCTCCATCAGTTCCACATTGCTCCGGCCCTCTGCTTCGCTGTCTCTGAGGTGAGGTCCATTGCTGTGTGATGTGTGCTGTTTTGTGAGGTGCTACCCAACTACCTACCTTACTGCTGACCCATGCTTTGCTCCTGCTGGTTGCTTGGTGAGTACCCGCGTACCTCTAGGCCCCACCTTACCGCCTTAGCCTCACAGGTCCAGTGCTACTGCTGCTGCTACAGCTGCCGTTGCCGCGACCTGGGCCTGTGCCCGTGCTTCGAGAGACAACTGGAGCAGCCTCCCGTCGCTTTCTTCCCAGAACCTCATTTGACCGACCATTTCTTCCATCACCGACCGACTGTCGGGCCTCCTTCGCTGGGCAGCAACGGCTCCTGTAATTCGACGGCCATCGACCGCTACCGATTCTAATAATTCGATCAGCTTCATCGACAAATTCCGTCTGCCTATCCATCTTTCGAAACCAACGCGGCCTTCGCATCCCTCTGATCGCCTTCCAAAACATTCGTGTTTGCGAAAGAGGCGCCATCCAAACAAAACAGCTCCAGCTGCCCCCCAGACACCATACCTCGAGATCGAGTCTTGAAACCATCGTCGCTGGCCTTTGTTGCCCACGTCGGCCATGGGTGTGTGTCAATCGTGCTGCGGAGGTACGGATTTTCCCACCGCTACATCCTGCCGACCGGTTAAGCTAAGAATGACTACACAGGGAGGTCCCGCGATGGACTCTACGAGCCAGTTCTCGCCGACAGCGAACGCGAGGCTGTCGCTGACCTTCTCCAGTATCTGGAAAACGTATGCTGTTCCGTGCATTCTTGTCATCGTTGACCTACCGTATTGACCATGTTTCAGCGGGGTGAAACGGACTTCTTCTCGGGTGAACCCCTTCGAGCTCTAAGCACACTCGTCTTCTCCGAAAACATCGACCTCCAACGGAGTGCTAGCCTTACGTTCGCTGAAATCACAGAGCGAGGTATGTTCATCAACTGAAGGGCCCGGACAAAGCTCTGGATAGGTCCGACGGGTCCTGCCGTCCAGCAGCTGCAAGGACATCCGTCGACGTCACCTGCCTATGCTAACGCCCATGCTGTAGATGTTCGTGAAGTTGACCGCGATACTCTCGAGCCCATCCTCTTTCTCTTGCAGAGCCCGGATATCGAAGTCCAGCGCGCCGCAAGCGCTGCCCTTGGCAATTTGGCGGTCAACAGTAAGTTTGGCCTTGTGGATCAGGCTGGATGACGAATACTGACCTGAGCCATCAGCCGAAAACAAGGTCCTGATTGTCCAGCTCGGCGGACTTACCCCTCTCATCAGACAGATGCTGTCACCAAATGTCGAAGTACAGTGCAACGCCGTCGGTTGCATCACCAACCTAGCCACCCACGAGGAGAACAAGGCCAAGATTGCCCGGTCTGGAGCATTAGGCCCCCTGACAAGGTTGGCAAAGTCCAGGGACATGCGCGTTCAGAGAAACGCAACTGGGGCTTTGCTCAACATGACGCACTCAGGTATATCAATGTCAGCCACCGAAAGAGAAAGCTGAAGCTGACCCATGACCAGACGAAAACCGCCAGCAGCTCGTTAATGCCGGTGCCATACCGGTCCTTGTCCAGTTGCTGTCCTCGTCGGACGTCGACGTGCAGTACTATTGCACAACCGCTCTCAGCAACATTGCCGTCGACGCTAACAACAGACGCAAGCTTGCACAGACCGAATCGAAGCTTGTCTCTTCCCTCGTCACTCTCATGGACTCTTCGTCTCCCAAGGTGCAGTGCCAGGCAGCACTCGCACTCCGCAACCTCGCTTCGGACGAGAAGTACCAGCTCGACATAGTACGATCGAACGGACTCGCGCCACTGCTCAGACTCTTGTCGTCCTCCTACCTCCCTCTAATTCTTTCCGCCGTCGCATGCATACGAAACATATCCATTCACCCGCTGAACGAGTCGCCCATTATCGAAGCTGGCTTCCTGAAACCGCTGGTCGACCTCCTCGGTTCCACCGAAAACGAAGAGATTCAGTGCCACGCCATCTCGACCTTGAGAAACCTTGCCGCCAGCTCTGATCGCAACAAGGCGCTGGTCCTTGACGCTGGTGCGGTTCAGAAGTGCAAGCAACTGGTTCTCGACGTTCCTGTGACGGTCCAATCCGAGATGACGGCTGCGATTGCCGTTCTAGCTCTTAGCGACGAGCTGAAGTCGCACCTCTTGAACTTGGGTGTCTTCGAGGTCCTCATTCCTCTCACGCACTCCCCAAGCATCGAGGTTCAGGGCAACAGTGCCGCGGCCCTCGGCAACCTCTCCTCGAAAGGTAGGATGCATGCTGCCCGTTTTATGATCTTGTGCTGATTTGGCAATAGTAGGCGATTATGCCGTATTTGTTCAGGACTGGAAAGAACCCAACGGTGGCATCCACGGATACCTCACGAGATTCCTCCAGAGTGGCGACGCGACGTTTCAGCACATAGCAATCTGGACCCTGCTCCAACTGCTCGAGTCGGAGGACAAGAACCTCATTCAACTGATTGGGCAGGCCCAAGACATTGTCGACCAAATCAAGGAGATCGCCAATCGTCAAATCGAGCCGGACAACGAGTTCGAAGACGACGACGAGGGCGAAGTCGTCAACCTGGCGCAGCGGTGTCTGGAGCTGCTCGGCCAAAGTGGCTCAAAGTCTCATATCGAAGGCTGAAATCTTGTTACTACTAATGGGTCTCATTTTCATCGTTCCGTTCCTCTGCTTCCCTTTGGGGCACTTCAGCAGGATCAAATGGGTCTGGGGCTTGGGTTGAAGGCGTTTGGTGTTGATGATTATGCAGAATGACTTCCGGTTGGCACGTTGAGTGTGTTTTGTTATTTTTTCTTTTTGGCGTGGAAGCATTTTGAAGGAGCGTTTATTTGTCGAGCTAATCCATGGCGGACGACTCTTTGCACCGTCCCCAGGTGCGGCATTTCTCAAACAAGGACGACCCGACCCTTTTACTTTGTATTAAGCATTATGTCCCGTCTGTTGGGTCATCACATTTCCCACGTTACTCGGCCTGTCGCCAGGCTTGATGACCTTTCCCTGATGCCGCTGGCCTTCCTACCCCGTTGTAATTAGGATCAGACCTTTAGAAGACCCAAAAAGCAACTCACCTTGGTAATTAATCATTGCATCGTGGATTCCATCCCTTAAAATACAAGTTTTCTGTAGGGATCCTACAAAATCGCGTTGTGTGTCGTCTATCGTCGTCTTTCACTTTGCGGGATCACTTCAGGCTCGACAAGTCCGTTCTCAAATATTTGCCGGTTGGACCATGGCAACAGCCTGGCTATTACCTTGCCGTGGATGAGAGCCAAGGGCACAGGGCCGAATTGCCGCGAGTCTCTGGACGCTTCTAGATTGTCACCGGCCAGCCAACAATGGCCTTGGGGCACCTAATAAACGTTCAGCTTCATTCCCGATGTCCAGCAACTTGAGGCCTTCGTACCTGGATCATTCTCTGTGAGTCACTATCCGGGCTTTGCATGAGGACATAATCTCCCGGCATGCCTATCACGCGCTTGACGCCCTCGCTGTGCCTGAAGATGGGAATGCGATAGTTGACAAGGTCGCCGACGACGATGTTGCGCCCTAATCGAAAGCGTTTGTCGATGAGGATCCAGTCTCCGGCGATGTCGAAGGTGGGCAGCATCGAAGCGCCTGCGGCCGGGCCAGCATGGAACCCGTAAGTCATGACAACGTGCGCGGCGGCTGCTGATTTCGCTACGAGGAGACAGAGACGCATCGGTTTGCCGTACAAGGAACCCATGGCAGACGACAGCCTAGAGGTCCATCTGGACGCCATTCCGGACGTCATTGTGGACAGGTCATTTATTTGCGTTAAGAGGAGATGCCGATGTGTTTGGGCGATACTCGTCTCAGGCCTGAGGACGGGAGACGGAAGGTGACGAGATCACGGCGGAGCCGGCGTGTGAAAGTCGGAGCTTGGACCCCAGCAAAAGCTCGGCGCATCGCGTAATTTGATTGGCGGGGCAGCTTCACCAATGCCCCATATTGCCTTCTAGCATTTACTGTGCATCTTCAATCTTCATCTGCGCTTCTGACAGCGCCCATCTGAACGACCGACAAACAACAAGCGGGACAGGTTGTCCTGGCATAATCAACATTCTGAAGCAGCCGAAACGTCTCGACCGGAAGTAGAGCAAACATGAGGGTCACACGATGCCTGTTCAACAGCAGGACGGCCCTACATAGGGTCTTCGTCTCGCCCTTTGAGAAGGTTGAGGCGCTCTCGCGACAAAGCGCCCTCTTGATCCCTTCAACAAGAGTCCTCCAGCCCATCTCAGCACCGATACCGAGCCTCGCGCGCCACGCCTCAATGGTCCACCGATTCAAGAAGAAGGGCGGCGGAGCGCCAGATCCGACTTCCAGCGGAGCAAAGAAAGGGCCCCTGGAGAACGACGAGATCACAGACCGTCAAGTCATGATTGTCAACGAAGAGAACAAGCTGGAAGGGCCCTTCGACACGTTCAAGGTCGTCAGGTCCCTGGACCTGGACAGGGAGGTGCTGAGGATGGTGTCCGAGGCCCGCGGGCCGCGCCACGCCATTTGCAAGATCATCAACATCGAGGCTCTGAGGGAGAGGGAACGCGAACAAGAGCAAGCGAGGAAGGAGAACGCCAAGACTAAGCAGAAGTCGAAGGACCTCGAGCTCAACTGGGCGATCGCGCCGCACGACCTGGGCCACAAACTGAAGCAGCTCAGGACCTTCCTGGAGAAGGGGTTCAAGGTCGAGGTGCTCCTGGCCAAGAAGAAGGGCAGCCGCACCGCCACGAGGGACGAGGCGGAAACGCTCATCCAGACCATTCGAGATCTTCTGGCGGACACCCCTGGCGCCAGGGAGACGAAGGCGCCGGAGGGGACTCCGCTCAAGGTTATGAGGATGTACTTGACGGCGCCTGTGAAGGGCTCGACCGCCTGGATCGAGGCGAAGGCTGCCTTTGATAGGCTTGCTGCCGAAAAGGCTGCTGCTGAGGCTGCTCTTGCTGAGCAGGAGGCTTTGAAGAATGGCTCGACAGCTGCTGAAGCCTCCTAATCTGTCGAGAATGCTGGTTTGCGCTGGGCGCTGCGCGGCTGGCTTGGATCGGTCGCACGGATGGACATGTATAACATACACAAAAGGTGGAAGGATATTGTACGATCGTGTTGACGTATAAACTGCAACTCATTATAGACACTCTACATATGGCTTTGCCAGCCCCATTTTAAGATGATTCCACGAGTGTGCTCATGCATTAGCAGTACGTCGGATGTATGAGTGAGTCACAGTACTGCGAGCGACCTTGTCATCTGAAAATACACCCCTACTTTTCATCTTGACGACCGAAAAGATGGTTAAAGGTTTCTTGGGCAGACCGCCGGCTGGACAGTGATTGGCGCCAAAGCTGGGACGTCATTCCCCGCACACTGCAGTTAAGCTTTAGCGAGCTTTTAGCGCGGGGCACCCAAGTCGCATCCCGCCTCGCAAACCCCTGTGACTCAAACCTCCAAAACTTCTCAAGTCTCCGCGATCAGATTACCTCCGGCGACAACGCTCCTTCCGAAAACGGTCTCCTATCCTGCTGAAAGTCGTTCGTTCTCCTTGTAGGACTATTAATACCGAAAAACCCCATCCCCGAGTGCGCAACAGGGACTTTTCGGCTCGACAAGAACCGGTGACAGCAAGGCACAATGGCGACGGAAACACCAAACACCGCCGCGACCCCGCCGGCCGCCCCCGCCCAGGACAAGAAGCCCCAACAACCTCAAAAGAAGGACGATGCGAAGAAGGACGCACCTGCCGAGGGAGGAGAGAAGAAGCTCAGCGGTGCCGAACTGAAGGCCAAGGCTAAGGCGGAGAAGGCAGCGCGGAGAGCAAAGGCCAAAGAGGCGCAACCCGCACCACCAGCGGGCCAGGGAGCCCAACAGAGCGGCGGCGGTGACGCGAAGGGAGGAAAGTCGAAACAGCGACAGGATGGTCCGCAGGGCGTCGGCGGACCCGGTGCGAAGGGCGGTCTGGCGGGCAAGTCCGTTCCCGCGCCCCCGAAAGAGAACAAGCCCAAAGTCCCTGAGTGCTTCAGTCACCTGTCTATGGCTAAGAGGATACACATGACGGAAGCCGACAAGGACGTTCACCCGGCTGTGTTGGCTCTGGGTCAGCAGATGGCCGCGTTCGCGATCAGTGATAGTACCACGAGGTTGGAGGCGACTTTGCTGGCGTTCAAGAAGGTCGGTCCTGTCGACCCCTCATGTACCGTTGGATTCTAACGCTGTGCAGGTTATCGACTCATACACGACGCCTCCGGGCAACACTTTCTCCCGCCACTTCACATCACACGTCCTGAACCCGCAGATCGAGTACCTCTCGGCATGCAGACCCATGTGCTTCTCCATGGGTAACGCCGTCCGCTGGCTCAAGCTCCAGGTCAGTAAGATCGACATCGACCTCCCCGACTTCGAGGCCAAGAAGCTCCTCTGCGAGTCCGTCGACAACTTCATCCGCGAGCGCATCACCCTCGCCGACTTCGTCATCGTCAAGACCGCCGCCGACAGCATCGAGGACGGCGAGGTCGTCCTCACATACGCCCACCACCCCCTTGTCGAGCGCACCCTGCGCCAGGCCCACGCCGACGGCAAGCGCTTCTCCGTCACCATCGTCGACGACCCCTTCGAGAGCACCGGCCGCGAGCTCGCAAAGAGTCTGCGTGCCCTGTCCGGCGGCGGTGTCGACGTTGCCTACTGCCCGGACCTGAGCGCCATTCGCGCCCACCTCCAGGGTACTGCCCGCGTTCTTGTCGGCGCCGAGGCCATGTTCAGTAACGGCGCCATGTACGCCCGCGCCGGCACCAGCGACATCGCCATCGCGGCCGCCGATCAGTCCATCCGGGTCGTCGCCCTGTCCGAGACGATCAACTTCACCGAGAGGGTCGCCATGGACTCGCTCACCTTCAACGAGATCGACCCGGAGCAGATGACGGCCGAGAGCTTCCGCCTGCTGTTCGACACGACCCGGGACCGCCACATCTCCGTCGTCGTCACGGAGCTGGGCATTACATCGCCCGTGTCTGTGCCGGCTATTCTGAGAAAGCTGGAGGAGTTGTAAGTAAGGAGAACAAAAACAAAAAGGTGTACGAAGATGTGATGAGACTAGAAGGGGCGGTGAGATTGCTCCAGAGAAGCAAGACGGGTTTTGGGCGCTTGAGGTCCGTGGTTTCTTCCCGTAAATAGATACCAAATCCATGCAGACTCAGAAAGAGGTGCATCATAGACACGCTAGGCTTGCGAAATGCTCATTGCAATATCATAAACCTATGACCTTCACAACACGCTGGCAAGTGACTTGACTTTCACGGCGTCAATTGAGCCTATCTCTGTCTCTCAACGTGACATGTACAAATGGAATATGCTCTCCCGCGAACAGTGTTCCATATGGCATCCCAACCGCTCCTCGCGAGCGTTGCGCAGCGCCGAGCCTTTTTCGAGTCGATATCAGGGCCCCATCAATCCCGACCCGTCTCTGCATGAATACCTGGGCTCATCGTATGTCGTCTTGTGGTCGTCCTTCCCCCAGCGCGGATTTCTGTGTCATTCGCGAGAAGGATTCAAGACGCCGTCCTTCTCCCGCTTGTTTTCGTTCTAACGCTTTCCCATCAACAAAGAAACGTCTCGTCTATTGCTGGGCCTCGTCCGCCTTGCGCGACGCCGCCCTCGCGCGCTTCTCGAGCAGAATCGACTTGCGCTCGTTCAAGAACGCCGTCTGCCGGTCGTCGACGCCCTGGAGCCAGTAGCCGAAGCTGCCGCCGCCGGCCATGTAGATCGGGTAGGCCCAGAGGGACTCCTTGTTGAAGAAGGGGCGCATCTCGATGCCCATCTGCCAGAAGCGGACGGCGAAGCCTGTTGTTGCCCTCCCATCGTCAGCAGCTGTTCTCCGACCAAAGTGTTCTCATACACCATGACATGACGTCCGGGAGCTCCAATGGCTCCAATGGCTTATGCTCCGTCATGGGGGAATGGCAGGTTTCACGCACCGAAGCCGCTCCAGAAGAGGATCCTGCCGACCATTGTGCGTGGTGTTGTTCGGGATGTTCGGTGGGGAGAGAGGTTTCGTGTTCGATTGACGGCGATTTGTGAAGGAGCCGTGTCCGCCGATCGGGGGGAAAGGGGGTTGTGTCGTTTGGTGGAGCGTCGGGGTCGTCGTCGTCGATTGACTGTAGTGGTGATGGGAGCTAGACTGAGGTGTGTGGTCCGCATACCCGGGTGCTGCCGGGAGGGCGGAATAATTGGAAATCGAGTTTTTCCGATTCGATCGTTGGGTTCCAGGTTTCGGCGCCGGGGCCTGCAGCGCCAGGGCCAGACCCGACGCCGGGGATGGCCCGCCCACACACCTGACCTTCTTGTACAGATTTTCGACTTGTCTCTTTAACAACATCCGATATGGTGTAGTGGCCAACATGATGCCCTCTCATGAACCCGAGAGGTTAGGCATAGCCCCGAGTTCGATTCTCGGTTTCGGAACATTTTGTTTTGCATTTGGTGTGAGTGGTCTTCTTTTTGATTCATTCGCCGGTGTTCTTCATCGGGCAACTCAGATCGCAACTCAGATCAGGTCAGATTTCCTCACGAAAAGGCCTTTTTTCCCCCTATTTACTTGAACGAATATTACGTGAGGATCAATAAGATTACGACGCTCCGGGTATCATTAGTATTCATACACAGCAACGCCGGTTGCGAGGCCGTATCGCCCACAAGTACAAGTCTAGCCATATTCTATAAGGCACCGCCAACAGCCTGCGCAATCCACATGGCTATCCTGACGTTAATTCCAACGCGGCGCTCAGGCTTGGAGAAGTCCTCTCGGGTGACGCGCTCGGCGTGGTCCTGAAGCCACTTCTGCTCCTCGCCTAGGCGCTTCTTGAGGTCTTCGTCTTTGGTGAGGATCATGGCACCGGCCTCGAGGTCGTGGGAGTAGCTGCGCTTGGTGTAGTTGGAGCTTCCCACAATGCTGATCGAGGGGTCCTTCTCTCCCGGCAATGTCACCCACAAACCCTTGGCGTGGTACGTCCAGCCCTCTGGCTCGCCGACCGTACCCTTGCGCCATTCCTTCAGGACAATAGAGTCGTCGAGTTTGCGTTCGTGGACGGCACGGACGAAGCGACGAGCTAGAAGCGTGTAGGCGCCCGGCAGCAGCCCGGACACGCCGGGAGAACCGTAGAAACCGTTCGCCTGCTGAGAGGCAGTGATGACCACGTTGTTTTGGGACGCCGTGGAGAGGAGGAGCTTGGTCAATGACGGCGCGGGGTTGAAGTAACCCGCGGTGAAAGTCCACGATGAGCCGGCGTATTCCGGAAGGGCGAGGGTGGACAGGACGTGGGTGACGGCGGGCAGCTCGGTGGATGTGTTTGGCTTCATGAGTTGCGACAGCTGGGTTAGCATGTAGACTTTGGTGTTTTTGCCCGCGTCTTGTGTTGCGGGCTGTTTGGGTGAGATGAGGGCGTCGAGGGCGGGCGTTGTTGTTTTGATAAACTGCTTCGGCTCTTCTAGAGGAGAGGGCGCAGGGTTGGACTTGGGCCAGGTCAAGGCGAAGCCGGCGGGTTCCTTGGAGGGCTCGACGAGGAAACTGAAGCCGGCCACACCTTGGTAAATGTTCCAGAAGTAGTCGGTGACTTCTTTAGAGGCGAACAGATGATAGCGGTCTTGACGATTCGTGAAGTAGTCGTTTGAGAGATTCGCTCTGTACATCTGTTAGAGGCGTCCATGTCAGAGGCGCAACAAGCCTACCCAGAGAGGATGATCTCGTCGTCGATGCCATACAGCTTCATATGCTGCAGTCCCCATCCCTCGTTAATGCGCTTAGGAATGTATTTCTTCCTCACTCCGGTCAGGTTGGGTGTGTGATACATCCGAATCTCAACCCTGTCTGGACCGAATTCCGACACCAGAGGCGCAAGCAAAGAAGCGCAGGACGGGTTTGGCTCTTCTCGAGTGCCGCGGAGCGCATCCGTGAGAATACTCAACTTGAGCTCGGGGTTGTTACGAAGAGCTTCATGCAGGGTCGAAATCTAAGAGCTCTTAGTTGGCCGTCCGGCGCAAAGTCGCATGTAGGCTACGAACCAGTTCCTTTTCGGTCTTTCCGATGTACAGAGTCGACAAGAATATCCTCCTCTTCGCATTGCGTATCCGATCCTTCAAAGTCTCGTAGAAATCGGTCGGTGTCCTGATGATTCGAATCTGGGATCCGTTTATGCTGAAAGACGGCGCGATCTTGTCGAGCTCGTTCGCGAACGGCGCCAGCATGCCGGCTGCGCTACCGGAGCTCGAGGCCGTCGCTGGGGTACCGGAGGCGGGCATCGCGAATCGTCGGCATTGCGGTCGGGCCTGTGTTATGTTCGTTTTGGCGAAGGGGACCTTGAGCTTCGAAGAGCACCGCGAGACCCCGCGGACAATCATAGCGCGTAGAATTGACCAGGTAAAACTCCTCCTCTTTCGGTCCAAAAAAGTCCCTTCTAGCGGAAGGTTCGTCCAAAGAAGTCGCAGCTTCGAGATTCTGGCGGGACAAGGGTTGCGTGCATGAAGCTCCGTCATTGGCGGCGGGTTTTGCCGGGAACAGCAAGGGAGCCCTCGCCCAATGGCGGTCCAGGTTATGTAATCTCGAAACTCCACAGCGGCACCTGGCGTCGTTCAACCTTCCCGAACGTCAAGACTTCAACCATCGTCGTCGCCGATAGCACAGCTTCTCGAGGTCAATTGACCAGCCGCCACCATGTCGACCCTCCCGAGAACGATCAGCAATCTGCGCAAGATTGGTATCAAGGCATGAAGAACCCCTCTCCCGAACCGCCGCCGCCGACACCGATGCTAACTTTCTCCCGCAGCAATACTTCCGTCAGCTCCTGGTACTTCCGCCCGCCCCTCGAACATCGATCGCGAATTGCCTGGACACCTCTCTAACGCACGAGAAATAGTACATCGGTGACACCAAGTACGGTCGCTTCGTCGGCGAGGACAAGGCCGGCAACAAGTTCTACGAGAACAACGACGAACTCCCCCGTACGGAACCACCACCCCTGGCTTTTGCGCTGCATGGATCGAAGGACAATAGCTGACGAGAGAGAAACGAACAGTCCGTACGCGATGGGTGGACTTTAAGAAGCACGACTACGACTCGGCCCAGGTCGAGCCCGGCTGGCATGCGTGGCAGGGCTTCATGGTCGACAAGCCCCCCACCGAGGACCCCCTCCTCCAGACCAAGGTGCGCAAGTGGGAGCGCCCGGAACCGATTCCCAACTTGACTGCCACCAGGGGAGCGTTCAAGACGTATAACACGTAAGTGATATACCTGGCGAGATTTCTGCCGAATAATGCTAATAGGATTTCTGCAGAACGAAGCCGAAAATCTACTCTTGGGAACCCAAGGCCATTGAGAGGCAATGAGCGTTGAGAGGGTGGGATAATGTACATATGCCAACATCGCTCGACGCAATTTCTAGCTTTTGCTTTGTGATCACTTGCTTTTCCGAGTTCAATAACATGGCTGCTTAGCCCAAGTTCTGAAGCTAATGGCTGCGAGCCAGCGTGCCGATTATGCTAGCTAAACTCTACCTGGAATTTCTGCTGGCATAAACGAACATCGATGTCAATCCGGGATCATTTCTACATCTGCAATCTCAGAGGCTGTAGGGACAATGTCGATCTGATCAACCATGATATGGCCGGCTCCTGCCTATCTTTCTTATACATGCGACAGGTTCACATGTAACACGGAGCCAACTAGGAAGACTCTTATTCTCACAATGAATGCTACGTAGAAAAGGGGCTCCGTCAAGGGCATTCGCAAAACGGCATGCCACATTACCCACAGCTTGAAGATTCAACGGGTATAGCCAGAGCACAAGTAAGTCTCCGTATGCCTACTCGCCATGACTCCAAATTGACTATACGGATTTCGGTGTAGATCCCACTTGGAGCCCCTTCTTCGGCTTTTTTCCGTATATAGCGTAACTTCACATTGTCAGTCAATGTTCCAGAAGCGCAATGCTCCAAGTGAGAGCACCGGTACTTACATGGGCATGTACGCATGGATATTCCTATCCTTGAGCTCCTTTCGGACGTCGATGAGAAAGACCTGCACCTCCTCCTTCTTCCAATTGAGAGCCCGAGTGTACGCAGCCATGGTCCAGCCCTCGATGCCCTCGAGGTTGTTCTCAAGCGACCACGTGCCGATGAGCTTGTGCTTCTGGTCCTTGGGCCACGAGTTTGTTGGCCACTTGAACTTCGTCATGACGATGTCGACGAAACCGACCTCTTTCATGACGTCGACCAGCGCCGGGATGCTCTGGAACGGCCGCCCGAAGATCTCGCACGCCTCACGCAGCAGCTCACCGCTCCTGACGAGCGCCGAGTCTTCAGACATCGAGCCGTCGTCCGACTGGAGCTGGCTGCCGACCTCGAGCATCTCGAAATACCCACCGGGCACCAGGTTGCTGCAGTCGTTTCAGTCACGATGGATGCGGGCATACCGGAGAGAGGAGAAAGGAGAGGGAGGGCAACTTACTCGAAACTTTTCTGGAAGTATTCCTTCCATTTCGAAATGCTCGACGTCATCATTCGGCTGTGAATGTAGTCGAAGGGCCGAGTGTACGTCCACGGCTCTTCGATGTCATCGACCTCGAGGATGACGTTCGGGGGAACCCTGGATGCGTTCAGCCATCAGCGTAGAACGTGGGCCGTCGATAGAATGGGGCTCACTCCGCAGTGGGAGGGGAGAGATCAACTCCGATGACCTTCATCCCAGTGTCAATAAATTCCTTCTCGAGAATGAGGGTTGCCTCGACAAACCTCTGCTTCGGGATGTGTGTCGCCAAAGTCAATCGCCCAAAGGCCGGTTCCCGTGCCCAAGTCAAGAACGCGCTTGACCTTGGAGTCGTCGTCGTTGGGCGGCGCCAAGCCGAGTTTGCCGTCCAGGGTCAGTAGACACAGCTCATGTTGAAGGTCTATCCACGGTGTCAGGCCGGACAAGCTGGATGTCGCTACAAAAGTGCTGCTGGTTTTAACGTACCCAACCTATCACTCTCCTTCTCGTCGTTGGGGTATTGGTATCCTGATCTCCGTCATCATCAGTAGCCCGGCTTCTGAGAAATACAGGTGAACTTACTGCCCTCCTTGTACCGATGGTATGTTCGTCCATTTTCGAGACGATAGTGGTAGAGTGAGCTGGCTATGCTGGTTTTGGAAGAAGCGATGCTCTACGGATAAAGTGTCATTATAATGTTCCGACCAAACACAATCAAAAGAGCTAATGGATTCTTGTACTTACACTACCTAGATCTGACGATGAATCGTCAGTGACCTAAAATCTCAGTCAGACAAGCTTTCATTTTTCATATTCATTCACTGAAGAATGAGCGGTACGCGCCTCTGCATCGTCGGCCGCGAGATGGGTTTCGTCGATATTCCGGACTTCAGAAGTCTCATTCGGCGCAGTGGCCGTGGTGTCGTTGGCCGCAGACATTTCAACTATGAAAACTTCAATTATATTCTCTACTCTCGATCTCAATATTCATCGAGAAATCCAAAACACCCATCGCGAAACCGCAATGAATGCGCCCTTTTTATCACTCTACCTGACCAACAACAACGCGACTACCCCTCTCCTGGGGCATACACATCGAGTATGCAGACCAGCGGCAAAGACGTGGTCTGCGGCAAAAGCATGCGTCGATTCGTCGCAACTTCCAAAGAAGAACACCACGTCCGGCGTGTACGCGGACGTAAACGGGCCCTGGTCCGAGGAAGACCGCCCTTGGCGGGCGGCGCCATTGGCTCCTCGTGCAGCCCAGATGAGTTTAGCCGAGGCGATCCGTCCCTTGGGGGTGCATACAGACATCGTTGGGGAAATTGCTGCATGAGATCCTTCGACGCGGGCATACGACCCTGGTCGTGTGATGCGGATGTTGTTGGTGCGGAAAGTGACGAGTATGGCAGTCCGTTATTTGGCACCCAGTCCGAAAGCATAGTCTGCAAGTCGCAGAAGCGTTTTCAACGGGATGTCGTGAGCAAGAGCAATCGAAGGTCAACAGACGCCACGCCACTACCATCAGACGTATTTAATAAGAAGCATTGGAGGGGAATTACTCGTAGACGTGCTGGCCCCTAAAGGTCAGCAAGGTTGATGTTGAGTTGGAGAATGTTCAAAGTGGCTGTCCTACAGATGTCTTGTAATCGATTGACATATTCAATCACAAAACCACCATGCCAAGGCCACCAACTCATTCGAAAGAGTCCAATATTAAGAGACAACCCTAGAAACAAGAGCATGTACGACAGCACTTTCACGCATCATGACTGAAGTTGAGGCATCGCCATGGCATGGAAATCAAAAGCCAGTCTCCGAGAAACAGAGAGAAGGTGACAGCAATGGGAAGAGCACCGACAGCGGCATAGATACCGACTCGGACCAAACCAACACCGACACGGACGAGATCCCTTCCCTCGAAACCTTCATCGAATACACCGCCATAGAAGCCTACAACCACGCGCGAGACGCCGCCTCGAACTCCGACAACACAACCACCGCCGATTCCAGACCCATCGCCGAACTCGACCCCAGCAGCCCCTGGGGCACGCCAAACTTCCAGCCGAAAGGGCCCAGCTGGGCCGCCGTCGTCGCCAGGATTGTCTACGTTCTGCTCTCGCCATGCGAGTGGTGCAGGCTCTTCGAGCACCGATGGAGGCTGAATGAGTTCTTCTACATGTTTTGAAAAGAGTGGGAGAAGGAGATGTGCGGGACAGAGATGGAGCCTACACGAGAGGAGGTGTTCTTGAGGGGGGTATATGAGCATGTGAGAAGTGTGCTTCAACCGGAGTCGACTACGCGGTCGGGGTATGGGATGTTGAAGTCCCTGGCGTTAAGACTTTACTATGGGAGGACGTATGAGAATTGGGTGGCTAAGTGTCTTGTTGTTACGATGTGGGTTGTTTGGTATACGAAGCGTGCGGATGATGAATAGAGAGATGGGGGAATGTCAGTGCCAGACCCAAAGGAGAAGTAAGAGACTGGGCGGGTTTCTACAGCTGTTGATTTTGTTCAGACACAGTCTATATTCTAAGCTTTTGTACCTTCTAGGCCGGTGAGTGTATACATTGGTGCTGGAGCCAGGAACAACTTAAATCAGACGTCGTCATGTTTGCTAAGGCCTTGACTTCTCGTCGGCGATCTCAGCAAAGCCTTTCCCCTGAAGCTCAGACGAGCCCTCCTCCGGCACGAGGGGCGTCTCGATACCCTCACCTGTCGCAGCTGTACCCTCGAGCATAACCGCGTCACCGCCGGCATCAGACCCGGCCTCGCTGAAGTTCTGCCACGTGGACGGGTTAATCTTGCTAGGATTCGCCTCGCCCTTGAAGTGGTATCCCCGCGCCCTCGGCCTCGTCCCGGTGCCCTTTGGCAGCTCCGCCTCGTACGTCGCCGCGAACCTCTCCGATTCCCTCTCGAACTCGTCGTGGCCCGTCCGAATAGCAGCCCGAATACCCGCAAAGAAGTCAGACATGACCTGCTGGTTGTGAATCTGGAGCAGCGTCCAGCCGAGCATCTCCTTGGCGTTGAGGAGGTGGTGGACGAAGGCTCTGTGGTGCGTCGTGCAGGCGTAACACCCGCAGCCTTCTGACAGGGGCGTGAGGGCAGTCTCGTGCTCCGGCAGCCACATGTCTACGCCCAGGGGCTGAACTCCGCCCTCTTTCGGAGGGAAGGTGAATGTCAGCGCCACGCCGGCGTCGGATATGGCGTTGAGGAAAGGGATGGTGCAGATATCGACTCCGAGGGATATCTGGCGGAGGATAGCCTGCGGCGTTTCGGGTATGTGCAGGGACAGCCGCGGCAGCGGCACCAGAGGCTTGTAGTTCTCCTCGATATCGGGCAACAAATCGACGTCGTAGACGGCCAGTCCCGACAGCGAATCGACGACATCATTAGCGAGGTGGCTGAGGTGCTCCCACTGGATCTGATACGGGATTCCCAGGACCGGCGCGAAGACGGAGACCCCGGCCGCGCGGAGGGCCTGGAGCCTCTTGGGGTTCAGGAAGACGTCGGTCCACTCCTCGGTGCGCTCGGCCATGCGCACGAGTTTCTTAGACGGCGGCATGGAGCTCGTGTGGAAGAGGTCGGCGGGGCCGACGGCGATGTCGGGCCGGAGGGTCTCGACGGCGGAGAAGTACTCGTCGATGGTGAGGTTCCGGAAGCCGGTGGAGGTGAAGATGGCGATGAACTTCGCGCCGTTGCCGACGGGGGTCTTGATGGCGGGGTTCCGCCTCGCGGCGAGGACCGTGGCGATGCTATCTGGCAGGCAGGTGAAGCTGTGGAGCGGCCTCTTGTCCGGAGACGGTAGTGACAGCGCCGCGGGCTTCTTCTTTTCGATGACTGCGTTTCGGTTAGTCTTGTGTAACATGAGAAGAAGGCAAGGAGAGGGAACATACAGTCCTCGAGTGCCATGTAGGCTGCGCCGAAAGAAGCATGCTTGGCGAGGTTGTCTGGAGTGATGTGAGGAATGACACCACGTGAGGCGGTAGCGATGTAATTCGGCGTCTCGATGGGTTTCCTCTTAGGGAGGGCCAGTCTACCCAAACGAGCAGCCGCCGCGCCCTCGACGGACTTTTTGAGAATCTCGAATATCATGCCGTCGTGGTTGCTCTCCCCATTCGTCATTACCACATCAGGCATCTTAACATATCCCCTGCTCTCTTGAGTCTGTGACCTGAGTTAAGCCCCCGCCCGGTACTGAAGACACCTGGTTCCGTGGACTTCAGGCAGCCCGCGCAGAAATTTCTGGCAGTTTCCGATGTGTCGCCTGAAAGATAAACTCCCCTAAGGCCAACTCTTGTGAATTTTTCGTCAACATACGTTGTTTCGCCAAGTTGTGATGTTAGCGCCAACTTCAGAAAACCAAAGGCCTGTCCATCCATGGATATGTAAAGTTTAAGCCACATTTGCTTTCAAGGATGAGGCTTGAATGCTGTGGCTTAAGCTAAGCTGTTCCTGACGGGGCCCGGTCGGGTGAGTGGGGTTCGGCAGCGGGGTCCCGTTGGGGGGAGCTCGGGGCGGATCCGGGCGGATCCGGGCGAAGGGCTTCTGCAGAGGCAAAGGAATCTGCGCAACACAGAGCTCCCGATCTTAACCAATCATGACTCTTCTATCTTGTATTGCCGATCTGCTCACGGGCTTTGTTAGGTTTTGAGATGGACTAAGTCTAGGTTCCTACTCTCATCTTTCTTCATAAGAACGGCTCAGATTGATAGAGTGAAAGGCTCATTTGACATTCAGATAAAATGCGTCCAAAATATGAACGTCCAAACAAAAATACATTCCGGGCTCCTAAGCCCTTGATTCATTATCTAGCTAGCCTCATATGGCCAAATAAAACCCATCAAATTACAAAGAGCACCCACACAGTGTCTTTTATTCCAGTAGTAACTGGCATCGCTTACTATTTGGATCCCTAAATAGGCTCATCCCGAGGCTCAATGAGAACCTCGTTGACAGCGACGTGCTCCGGCTGACAAACAGCGTAAACAATCGAAGAGGCCACATCATCTGCATCCAGGACCTTGGCCCCAGAAGGCTCGCCGTACTTCTTCAGGGCCTCGGCATCCGTCGACATGCCGAGGAGATCGGTCGCGACGTTTCCGGGCTGAATAGCCGTCACGCGAAGACCACTTCCGGCGGTCTCGAGACGCAGGCTCTGTAAGGTAGCCTCCACGAAGAACTTGCTGGCCGAGTAGACGCCGAGACCGGGGAAAACCTTACGGCCGGCATCCGACGAGATGGCAACAATGTGACCCTTTCCACGGCCAAGCATGCCGGGCACCGTGGATGACAGGCAGTGCAAGAGACCCTTGCAGTTGACGTCGACCGTGCGCTCCCACTCTTCCGTGTGGTTGTTGGCCATCATGGTGAAGTACATCACACCAGCACAGCTGACGAGGATGTCGATCGGGCCGAGCTTCTCCGTCGCCGTTCGCATGAGCGATTCGACGTCCTCCTTCTTGGTAACATCCGTCTTGTGGATGAGGACCTTGCCTCCAGTGCCGGCTAGCCTAGACTTGACACCCTCCAAAGCTTCAGTACGTCTCGCTGCGATGGCGACATGGGCACCTTCCCTAGCCAGGCCAGCCGCGACGGCGGCACCAATACCAGACGAGGCTCCGGTGACAACTGCAACCTTGCCAGCAAGACGACCCTTGTTGACGCGGGATGTGACACCATTGACACCAGCCCGGCGCGGAGGCCTTGAAAGCCAGCCTCTGGCGCAGAAGTGACGAGTGTACGTCTCCAGCAAGTGGCTGTCAATCTTGGGGCGATCCAGCCCGTACTTGGTCAGTACAGGCGCAGTAGCATCGTCCTTGAGGACAGTAACGGCCTGCAAAGTTTCGGCAGTAGGCATACCGCCTCGAAGAATGTCGACAGTGAACGGCACGTCACCAGCCGTACCGAAACCTCTCTTCTTGGTCCAGAGCTCAACCCAGTCATCCCAAGGAATCTTAGTTGTAGAGTATCCAAGCTCCTTGAGAGTATCGAAGATGTAGCTGGCAGAGACCGGATTCGGGTCACCGAGGTGGTACACAAGCTGGTCGGAATCGCTGTGGTTCGCGAGCGTGGTGATAGCCGCACTCACAAAGTCGACGGGCGTCATCTCTGCGAACCAGTTGTCGATGCCTGGTGCGGTCTTGAGGTGCAGAGACTCAACAATCAGGGCGTTCAGCAGATCCCAGGCATTGGTGGAGCCTGTCTTGCTGTGACCACTGATTGTGCCCGGACGATAGACCTTACAAGGCATACCGCGGCGAGCAGCTTCGTAGACCAGTTTCTCGGCAACCCACTTGGTCTGTCCGTATCCGTCAATAAGCTTCTCAGGAACGTCGTCGATGTCGACCATCGCGTCTTCGCCCCAACCCGCATAAGATGGTGTCAGGACGCCATTGGTAGACACGTGGTGTAGAGTGGCGCCGCTCTTCGACGCCAGGCGCAAGATTTCCCTGGTGCCTCCGACGTTGGGGCTTCTCAGGGCTGCGTAAGGATAAACCAGGTTGACAGTTGCGGCCGCGTGAATGATGACTTCAATTCGTGACACCAGCTCATCGTGAATCTCAGGGGAGAGACCGAGATGTTCTCGAGACAAGTTTCCGGGCAGAATTTCCATTCTGTCAAGCATGGAGTCGTCCCAGATGCCAAGATCGATCAGGTTCTTTCGCACTCTGGCCATACCAGCAGGTGCAGACTCCTCTGTTGGGTCTGTGAAACGAACCAGACAGATGATGTGTGCCGTGGTAGTCTCAATGAGCTGCTTGAGCAGGAAAGCTCCAAGGTATCCAGTTGCACCAGTGAGGAGCACAGTGTCAGCGTCATTCAGCTTGCGCATAGGTGTACCGTTGGACTTGATGTCGTCAGGGAGAACGCAGTCTGCCCGGAGGACAGCAGGCAAATCAGCCTGCACTGCTGCGGTGTGTCCATCGCGAGCATCACGAATGGCTTTCAAGTGACCCTCCAGAGTTGGATAACCGGCAAGAGGAGCCAGAGGAACGGGGAAGCCAAACTCTTTGGTGAATCGATTGGCAAGATCGGCGAGGACAAGGGAGTGGCCACCGATGTCAAAGAAGTTGTGCTCCTCTGTGATGGCAGTGGCGGGCATATTGAGGGAGGCGGCCCAGAGCTTCTTAACAGTCTCAAGCTTGACTTTGGTGTTCTGCTCCTTCTCGCCGTTGACGGCAACCTTCGGGGAAGGGGGTGGGGGAAGAGCCTTGAGATCGACCTTGCCAGAGACTCCGTGGGTAGGAAGCTGGTCTAGTTCAACCCAAAAGGTGGGGATCATGTAGAGAGCAAGGTGCTCAGAGAGTACACGTCTCGAAGCCGGGCTGTAACCAGACTCATCGATGACAACATCGGCGCGACCTCTCTTGTCCTCATTGTCGCGCACAACGTAGGCAACCAACTGTCTCTCAAGGCCATCGCCGTGAGACGATACTGCGCAGTCGCGTACGGCCAGGTGCTTGACCACAGCATTCTCAACAGCACCGGGCTGAACGGTGTACCCACGAGTCTTGATCATACCACCTGCTCTGCCAGTGATCTCAAGGAGACCATTGGGAAGCACGCGGGCAAGGTCTCCTGTCCGGTACATGCGGGCACCCTTCTTCTTGTCAAAAGGATCCGGGTGGAATGCCTTAAGTGTTGTCTCTGGGAGGTTGAGATATCCGCGAGCAAGGAGATCGCCACCGACGTAGAGTTCACCACTAACGTTGTTGCCGACTCTGTTGCCATCCTCATCCATGATGTAGATGTGCTCGGGATCCATCGGCGGGCCCACTGGGCAGACGCGGGCCTCAAAGTCGATGAAGGTGCTGATATCGCCAGCAGCAACCTCGTGGGTTTCGCTGGCGCTGTAGACGTTGAGTAGTTTGGTCTTGGGCAAGGCCTTCATGGCTCTACGACAAAGGTCGGTCGTGACAACCTCACCGTTGAGCCAGAGAGATCGCAATTCGGTACATCGCTCGCCCAGATGTGGGTAACGGGACAGAACAGTTGCCAATAATGTGGGTGTCATGAGCGTGTCTGTGATGCGCCGCGACTCAAGCAGACTAACAAGAGCCGTGGGATCGTAACTGGCACAGTCTGGGATAGCGAAGACAGTCGCACCGCGCAGAAGAGGGCGAAGCATCTCCCAAACGAAGAAGACGTTGCAGGCAACCCGGTCACCCGGTTGAAGGTCGCTGAGGCCGAATCTCAGGTCGTAAGAGCGCACTGCAGCTCTGTGAGGGTTGGCAATACCCTTGGGCTGGCCGGTCGTACCAGAGGAATATGACACGAAGGCGAGGCGCTCCAGATCATCGCTGGCGGGCAGCGGAGGGAGCTCCGAGTCAGCGTGACCATTGGCCGTTGGCTTGGTGGCATCGTCGTAGGCGATGATGGGCACATCGGCTTTGATGTGGTTGACGTGCTCTGTTTGCGTGATGACTACTGTTGGCTTCGCATCCTCAATGACATCGCGCAGAAGCCCAGAAGGATACGCAAGCTCCAGCACCAAGAAAGCACCACCCGCACGAAGTGCAGCCAAGGAAGCCACGACATAATCGGCGCTCCGGTTCATGAGAATGCCAACGAGGTGGTCTCTGCCGACTCCATATTCACGACGCAGACGGTCAGCGAGGCTCTGCGTCTCTTGGTCCAGCTCAGCGTAGGTGAGAGTGCGAGTCTCGTCCTCAAGAGCCACTGCATCTGGCGTGGCTTTTGCCTGCAGCTCAAAGAGAGCAGCAAGATCCTTGTTGACGTCGAGGATGGCCATTATATTACCTGGCAAGATAAGGCAGTGCCAGTAGGATAGGATAAGAAAAGACGCGTTCACTCCGTAGATATGCGATAAGAAGAATGACAGCTGAGCAAGCTGAGGATGGTGAGACCAAGTACGGTGTAGTGAAGTAGGATGAGGTAGGAGGAGTAAGGATAAGCTCTTGTTGGAAGATTAACAAAATGCCGAAGTGATGCAGCCTTCAGGTTGGGGAAGGAAATTGGTCACACGACCAGGTTATCAGAGCTTTTTTCAACTCGAGTTACCTTGAGAGATGGCAATTGGCAATGGAAGTACTTGTCTTAAAAGGAAGATGCCGGGAAAAAGGCAAGTCAACAAAAGAAACGGCAAGGCGAGGAGGTACCTTGCTTGGCTCTCGCAAGTCCCCTACCGCTAAGAAGTCCCTCAACAAGTCAGGGACCAACCAGCGTAGCACATGCAAATACGATGGTCGTCACGAAACGATCATTGTCGGTCTGGGGAGGCGAGAGCGGCCCATAACATCCACGTCCAGAGGGGTAGCAGCGAATCAGAAGCTAAGCTGGGGAAAGGAGACCGGTTGGGTTAACTGGGTCAAGACGGATGGAAGGCGAAAGAACCCGGGGAGTCGGCGACGATACCGTGTCCCGTCCAACCTACCTTAGGTTACTTGCAGTCCAAAAGACGGCAACGGCAGCGGCAGCGGCAGGGCGGTTGTCGCCGCTCGAAACACAGCTAAACGGGTTAAGTTGGCTTGGGCTACTCCGAGGTGTACCCTAAGCAACTAGACGGCGTAGGATGCATCGATTGGCCGGTTCGTCTCTAGTAGAGCGGTATCAGGGCAATCCGGGGTGCCGGGTTGGAGGCTGAAGCACATGTCAAAGTCGCAGAGGCGATGTCGGTGACGAAAAAAGTTAACGCGTGGGGGCCAGCGTGGTCTTTTGGGGTCTTTTCAGCATGTATAATTTAAAGAGAGTTGCAATTTGACAATTTAACGAAAAGTCAAGCACGAAATCGAGCTTTGATGCGAAATGACTCGCTGGTTGTTGAGGTGCCCCGGTTGCGTGCTATCGGAAAGTACATCGGGCCGATATGTGGCTAAGGACAAATCTGACGCCTCATCAAAGTGGCTGACGATATGTGGTCCGTGCATCAGCTCGTCGGCCGGCTGTCGGTGCCGCTCTCGCGCTAATCTCAAAGCAGTCGGACGCGAAAGATACGTCACTTCCTCCCGACGATTTATCGTCTGCACCCCCGGTGCCATCGGAGCGCGACGCAAGGGCCAATCGATTCTCCACCTGCAAGCAGACAGGGAACTGAGCTGCTTCGGCACCGCGGGATCGACTGCTTCAGGCAAAGCAGGATCACCTGGCTCATGCGGTCCCTGAGCTGAGTGATCGTTCCTCTTAGCCACACGTGCTGTGCCATCCAGCATCCGGTCCAACACTGACGGGTTGATGGTTGAAGGGTTCCGTCCTTTCGTCTGATGTTTCGCAACCAATGCGTCCGACGTCTTTAGCTGGACGTAAGGCCAGCGAAACCATTGTTTCACGCTCGAGAGAACTCGTCACTTTTCTGCATCCCTCTGCATCGCATTGATACTACCCTCTGTTGCTCTTACTTGGCATCGTTGGTATGGCCTCGCCCTCACCCCCTCTCTACCTTACCTTACCAACCGCAATGGTAATGCCGAGCCTTTTTGTCGCTGACTGATCGTCATGGCGTAGCCGTCCTCGGATTTCTACCCTCTTAGCTCCTTCGCACCCCCGTCCCGTCCGGACTCGTTACGACTACATATCATCTCACCTTCCCCACGCCACCAAACTTCTTCCATAATGGTTGATGGAAGGAACTCTGAGAACGAGCCGCTCTTGAGTAATATGGAGCGACAACAGGCCGACGAGCCTGCCAACCGGACGAATCCGACCGAGCATCCTGATGCGCCTCTCGAGGACAACGCCCCGCGCCGCGAACTCGAAGTCGAAGACCACTCCGGCCCATCGACGCCCAGGTTCATGCAGGACGAGGGAGAATGGAAGCGCTGGAAGTGGGTGCCATACCCCGTCCGCCGCACCTTCAAGGCCACCGTCAAGTGGTCCAAGGGCCCACCGAACCCCCGGGACTACAAAATCAAGCCGATTCTTCCTCAAGTCCAAGAGTTCCCTCTTGTGCTGGTTGACAAGTTCTTGCGCAACTTCAAGCATCGCGTCGGCATTGTCTTCCTCTACGTTGCCATCTGGATCATCACGTTCGCTCTGGTCAAGAGGAGCGAGACTTTCGCCACCGAGATTGAGGGTTGGGGAGCGCCCCAGGAAATCGGATGCGGTGCGACCTACTGGGGTCGAGGGAACAAGTGCGGCCTCAATGGCGCTGATTGTCGACCCTTCAACGGGAGCGGGTTTCCCTTCAGATGCTCAGCCAATTGCAAAGGCTACATGGTCCTGAATCCCCGTGCGGTCGGTGATCAGGAGATCGTATATCAATCACTCGTTATCGGCGGCCCTTCCAACGAAACAAGCCAGCCAATCTACCGCGGCGACTCGTTCTTGTGTAGTGCTGCGATCCATGCCGGCGTGGTTAATAACGAAAACGGAGGCTGCGGCGTTGTTCGCCTCGTTGGAAGACAACAAAATTACATTAGCTCCGAGCGCAACGACATTGAGAGCATCAGCTTCGACTCCTACTTTCCACTGTCATTCACGTTCGAACCGAACATCCAATGCAGCGCTCGAGACCTGCGATGGAACTTGCTGGCAGTATCGGTCGTTTTCACGACGGTGCTATCCCTATTCACGGCTTCGCCAGCACTATTCTTCTTCTCGGTCTTCACGGGCATCTTCTGGCACGTCGGACTGGCCTCCGACCCGCCTAATCATTATTCCGTGGCTGACCTCGTATCGAACATCATTGGCAAATTCCTCCCTGCGATGTTTTGCGCCTGGGTCATGTACGACAAGATGGGCATTCGACGGACTCTGCAAGGCCTCACCGCCCAGATTGAGAAGACGGTTCTCTGGCTCGGCGGATGCTGGGTCGGCGCCCTCACCAATTACACGTTCACTTGGATCCCGATCCAGAGATTGAATGCACACGACCTGCAACAACAGCCAGGCGCGAAGGCCGCACTGGCTGTGATCGTCATCGTCCTTTTCGTCATCATCGTTAAACAAGTGTGGTATTTTAGACAAGAAGGTCGGCTCATCAAATACCTAAAGCTATATCTGCTTTTCTTGGGTGGAATCATCGTTTGCCTCGTCCTACCAGACCTGAGCCTGCGCATCCACCACTACATTCTAGCCTTGCTTCTGCTCCCTGGCACGAGTATGCAGACTCGTCCGTCACTTTTATACCAAGGTCTGTTGGTCGGTCTTTTCATTAACGGTATTGCTCGATGGGGATTCGATGCCGTACTGCAAACGCCAGCCGCTCTGCAAGGAGACGCTCAGCATGGCTCAGCGTTACCCAACATCCTTCCGCCAGTCATCGATCTGGGCCAGTCCCTGTGGAGCATCAACTTCACTTGGAACGTTCCTTCCGGAGCGCGGTTCGATGGCATCAGTGTTCTCGTAAACGACGTCGAGCGCTTCCGCAACTACTTCGACGACACGCCCACCCAGAATAGTTTCCAGTGGACTCGCGACAGTAGTCTCGGAATGAATGAGTACTTCCGCTTCGGATACATGGAAGGCAGCGAAAGCTACGACTTCACCAAAGCCGGAATCTGGAACGCTGAGGGTAAATGGATTGACATGAAGGAGGGTCCCTCCATGGTGAGGGGTCGGAGCCTGGCGCCACGGGGCCTGGTAGAAGACGAAGAGAGTGTCCCGCGATAATCATAATGTGATGTTGCTTACGCTAGATAGATATTGCGGATAAGACCGTTTGAGTTGGCATGAATAGCACGATACACATAAGAAGCGGCTGTTTCGAAGATCGAATGGAGGGTTTGATGATGGCCCTGGATATAAAAAGCTTCAATCATACATACACATGACCATTTCTGCAAGCGAGAAGTTTTCATTCATCAATATGGTATCTTTTTGCGGACGAAAATGAAAACAGAAAGTACGCTTCACAGATCTCGCTCCCTCGTCACTTCATCAAAAGTCTACGCGCCAGGGGTGCGGCGGCAAAGGGGGCGGCCGCGCTCGAGGGTGTTGGCGTCGCAGGTCAACCTGCTGTCCTCGATGCATGTCAACTGGGCGCCACCTGTGTTCGCGACAACATATTAGCATCGTGCGTGTAAAGACCGACGGAATCGGGGAAAGGAAGGAAGGCGGGCAGGCAGGCAAAAGTCTTACAGTTGTTGATGTTGTCGGGCACGCAGCGGCCGGTCTGGCCGTTGACGTTGCAGACGTCCTGCTTCAGGCTCGTGTTGGCGACGCAGCAGGCGCCGTTGGGCACGGGGCGGTTGTCGTTGGCGCCCTGGCGCTCCATGAGGAGGGTGTCGCGGCGGACGGCGGCCATGGACGGGTCCTCGACGGCCGCGGCGCTCACGGTGGCGGCCGCGAAGGCCAGGACGATCGTCTGGATGGAGAACTTCATTTTTCGTAGCTGAGGTTGGCTCGGGGGTATCTTTGTAGTTTGCGGAAGAGAGCGTGCGTGGCCGGCTTGTCAATAGTAGAGAGTAGAAAAAGAATGTCCGACCGGCGGGGAAAGAAGCAGAAGAGACTGGATGGCAGATAAGTTGAAGAAGCTGATGAGGTTCGTATTGGAGAGAGAGATGCTAAGGTTATATATAAGCATCCAGCCCCCTGGCAGTTCACGATGTGTCAAAGTATCACTCCTGAACCACACTCTTCACTCACACGGACAGGCTACCGGCAACTCGAGACGAGCAGCCGAGGCGGACAACACGATGGCCCCCCTAACGATCTGAACGGTCGAACCTGAGAAGTGAGGGAGTTTCGGGGGGACGGCTGGGAAGCTCTGACACGAGGGGGCTTATGAGGGGTGGTTCTGACAATCTGAAGCATCACCGTCTGAGGTTCACCTCGTGGACCCTAAAAAAGCCTAAAGGGCCCCCCGTCAGTGAAAGCAAGACAGAAAAGGGAAAAAAGACTAAAGCCGGATGAGACGAACATGGGTATAGGGGCAGGAGAGGCTCTGCGGCAGAAATGCCAGGCTCCGTTGGCCTTGAAAAGTCGCGATGCAACGATCTGGTGGTGGGGATTCGTCTGGAGAGATGAAACGGCGGGCAGGGGTATCGTTGTCCGTTCATGCGGCGTTGCAGCCACTATTCGGAGCGAACCCGAAGCTGGGCGACCGGGGAGGGGGGAGACCTGGCGTCTTTTTGGATTTGGGTTGGTGGTCATTACTTATGGAAAAAGGGTTGTGAGCAGGTCGAGGAGAGGGATGGGGGGATGTGGTTGCGAGAGTCTCGGCACCATCGGAACTGGTGTGGCGTTGCAAGCAAAACCGAGGACACAGCAGACGGATGTGTTTCTTGAAGACTACCTCTTGGAATCTTCCAGACCCCCCTTCTTCCCCGGAAAGATCTGCCGAGGGTTTCTGCTGACAGCGTTGGAGTCTTTGCGGATTGCAACACGACGCGACTGGGGGCTGTGGTCGTGCTTGTCAGATATGGCGATCACAGCGGCTCGGTCGATATGATCTTCCCGTCTGATCCCACTGTTTATTGTTGATCGCTCGGTCTTGAGCAGACGTGAGCGTTTCTCTCGGCTCTTCTTGGCACGTAGCTGTCTGCGTTTCTGGTCTGGATGCTGCTTCTGAGCTGTCACGGAGAGACAGTGACTAGATGGCCTCGAGGTTCGTCGTGTTAGCGGAGTGGGTCACCGAGGGTTCTAGTTCATATGTTGGTTGTTAATCAGTACAGAAAAACCGAGTGTTGCTGGACTACTTTTTGAAGCTGGTTCACACGATCACGGAAATACGTTGATAATTGGTATCGTGCGCTTTCACTTTGAAGATGAAGATGCCATTCAATCAACACGGACGGACTGTCGTTATTCTACCGTCGTCGTTGGTGCCAGGGGAACGTTTTTGTTCTTGACTCCATCACGATAGGGCAAACAAAACTGAGTAAGTGTTAGGGAACAGAACCGTTCAATTAACATTTTCCGCTACCTAGCAACTACAACACCTCACGACCCGAAGCATTCAAGCCCCCGGCCTTTCCCCTCCCAGATCATCAGTCCTCAAATCTACTCCTCATCCTCAACCTCAGCCTCCTGAGCCGCGACATCCGCAACGGCCTTGTTCGCAGGCTTCGTAGTCTTCTTGCCCTTGCCGGCGGCGGCAGCACCACCTCCAGCGCCGGTGGCCTTGAGCGAGGCGTCGACGACATCACCGGCCTTCTTGGCCAGCACGTCGTCCTTGGCGACGTTGGACGCGGTCGGGTTGTCGGTGGAGGCGTTGAACTTGAGCGCGGTGGCCGTCTTGCCCTTGTTGGCCTGGTCGTCGGCGATGTTCTTGTTGAGCTTCTTGGTCTCCTCCTCGAGCTTGGCCGTCACGTTCTGGCCCTGCGCCTGCTGCGCCTGCAGGCCCATGACGGTCGCGGTGAGCTTGAGGACCTTGTTCTGGATCTTGGCGCGCTGCGGAGTCGGGTGTTAGTCAAGTCGACTTCGTCACGGACCCTCCTCCTATGAAGGACATGAGAGGAAAACCAACCTGGAGAGCGAGCGCGTCTTCGCCCGGGGTCGTGGCGGCGATCTTCGCGTTGTACGCGCCGATCTCGGCCTGGTTGCAGATCTTGTTGACGCTGTTGAGGAACGTGAGGTCCGCCTTGTCGACCTTGGTCAGGTCGGTGGGCAGGCCGCTCAGCTTCTTCAGGGCGTCCTCCTTGGCGGTGCCGGCGACGCCGCCGCTGATGGTGATCTCGTCGAACGTCTTGGCCGTGAAGACCGGGGCGCGCTTCGAGAGCTTGCTGGCGCTGTCCTGGGCGGGAGCGGCCGAGGCGACGGCGACGAGGGCGGCGAGGACGGCGGAGAACTTCATCTTGGCTATTTTTCAAAGATGTGGAAAGAATGTAATAAAAGTAAGAGTAAAAGTTAAAAGAGTTGTTTCTTGAGCGAGAGACGATGGTTGTGAAGAATAGAAACGACAGCACAGCTGTGTGGGAAAGTGAATGGATAGAATAGAACCGAAGACTAAGACTGAAGATGAGATGGGAAGAGAACGGGAAACGTAGAGACGGGAGGGCTTGGCCGATCTTATAGCAGATCACCGGCGAGTGGTATACCACGGCCCAAAAACAGGATCGACTCGAAGCATCCATGGCGAGAGAGCATTGACAGGACGAACCTTCGGCGCCGCCGTCCGGAGCCGTTCACCTCCGTCCCCTTTCGCCATGTCTAGAACCAGAAGAAAGAGCCGGGGAGATAACCTCAGGGCGAATCTCCCTCCTCCGCGGCGCGCGCCCGGGATGGTTTCAGGGTCAGGTCATCTCTTCACCTAATCCCGTAGTACAAACATAGTAACAACACCTTTACTACGACAAAAGAGCGTAGAGATTTACTAATCGTGCGTGGGGTCCCAGCCAGACGGTTAAAGACGCCGGTCGACCTCCCGGGGACGTCCCTGGCGCCGCCGGGGCTGAGCCTCATGCTGTCCTCGCAGAGCAGGTCTTGGCTGCCGTCTCATGATGCGACGAGGACGAAGTCGGGCCTCGCTCACTCGAGTCAAGCAACGAACCCGTCTTGCGAAGAGGGAGAGGGAGAGCATTGAGAAGGGGAAAGGGCGCACGAGAGAGAAGAAAAAGTCAATTTTGAGACGAGTTTTACTGATGTTTTTGACAGCCCGAACTTTAGGCAGAGATGAGATTGTTGAGAGAGTCAGGTACCGACGAACCTGCGTAATCGGGACGCGTAGGCCTCTGTTGTCAACAACTCGAACCTACCTGGGGCCGTCGGTCTCGGCTCAGTTGCCGGATGGTTCGTTCGACGAACGACGAGGTTGGCAAAACAACCAAGAAGACAGAGGGACAGAAGTGTTGGATTGACTGACATACCAAGACTACAATCCCCTCCCCCGCAACTTGACCTTGTAATAGATTGTAAGCTTATGATCTACCCATATTACATGCTTCGTGGGACTAAAACGTACAGTGGGCTCTCTGGCTTGGGTATGATCAGCCCTGCGGTGATTGAGGGAGATACTGCGTAATCTATCTTCGACATCCATGGACGGACGTCTGAAGCTTGACTTTTCCGTGCGTTGGAGAAAAGTGGAGATGGAAGTCCGCCCACGGTGCTTCCACTGCAGTGGAAGCGTCTCGCTCTCGTCATTCTGCCCCACTTGGAGATAACTTCACCTCGATTCATTGATTGTTTTCGGCGAGGTGAACATCTCACACCGAAGAACCAGCACTTGACAACAGTAGAAAGAATAAAAAATTCTTCTGTATAAGACGCTCGATAACACAAAATACTATCACCTCAAACGAAAAGAAAAACACGAGAAAAAGAAGAATCCCCAGACAACCCACCACCCACCATGCCGCCCCGGATCCCGACCCCAGAAGACTTCACCCCGATCCAACAAGCCCTCCCCCTGACCCTCGCCTTCCCAGACCCGCCGGAATCCACAACCGCCATCCTCATCCTCTTCCACGGCCTGGGCGACTCCGAGGCCCCCTTCGCCTCCTTCGCCCGCGCCATGTCCCTCCCGGGCGTCCTCGCAATCTCCGTCCGCGGACCCTCCCCGCTGCCCCCGTCCATGCTCCCGGACGACGCATCCTCGACGACGACGGGACACTTCCACTGGGGCGACGACCTCACCATGGACTCCGAGACGGACGACCTCTCCCCGGACCCGGGCTTCAGCAGGGCCGCGAACCTCGTCACCGAGAGGCTGATCAGGGAAACGCTCCTGGACAGGTGCGGCTGGGAGCTGAGCGACATCATCCTCTTCGGTTTCGGGCAGGGCGGGTCTCTGGCGCTGGGCCTGGCATCGCAGCTTCGGCTGGGACCCAAGGTGGTAGATGTCACCGACGGCGGGAAGGGTCAGAAGGCGGATGAGGGGACGTTGAAGGGTGTCTTGTCTATCGGCGGGCCGCTACCTCATTCCATGGTTCCAACGGTCAGCACGCGCGGAAAGTCAAAGACGAAAGCGTGTCTTGTTCAGCTCGACGATGACGCGTTTGATGCTGTCAAGGAGGAGTTTCTCGACGTCAGGATGGTGAGGTGGAAGAGGAAGGACGTTGCGATGCCCCGAGATCGGGAGGAGATGTTTCCTTTGATGAAATTCTTTGCTGAGTGCCTCAAGAGTGGTTGGTAAAGGGTTTGACTGTCTCAAGAGCATGGTGATTCCAATGCGTGTCAAGTTGAGGCCATACAGTCGTGGGTAGTAGACTCTCATCACGCCAAATCCGATTTTTTTTTGGTGAAGAACAGAACACCCGCTTCGATGGTGAGCCCAAAATATTGAAGAGAATGATTGGATTAGTTGATACTTTTAAACGAAGCATCCCTAGGGGCAGAATACGTATAATTACAAAGTCTGTTTGCTCGTGAGGTGCTTCCTCTGCACCCCATTTCAACAACACCGTCGAAGCCTTCATTATCCCCCCCAACACCTGAACCCGCAGTAGTTGTAATCGATTCATGCTAAGGTAGGATAAGCTCGAAACAGCCAATTCTGTCCAATCACTGTGCAGTCGACTTTTCATCCCCCGTATTCGACGCCGAGTCATTACGCATTGTGTGATTCTTCGGGTCATCTCCAGACACGTTGACCGTAGGATCATCGTGGACACTGTGAGGTAAAGCTGACCCTTCCTCGATAGTTCGAGGATCTTCACTGAGTCTGTGAGGAGGTGGCTGGAACGCCCCGGGTATGGCCGCTGCGTCGTCGTCATGGACACTGTGCGTCGCCGGAGCAGTGTTGATTGGAACCATAGGGTCGTGGCTCAGCCGATGGTCATAGGCATGATCAACCACCTGTACTCGAGGATCCTCGTGAACGGTATGCGGTAGTGGCGTGTCTGCCACTTTGGCAGTCGGATCGTCATGAACACTGTGAGAGATGGCTGGATCTGCAACCGTTGTCGTTGGATCTTGCTGAATCTGATGAGGAGTGGGCTGGCGTGCTACCTGTGTGGTTGGGTCTTTGTGGACAGGGTGCAAATGGACTTCTCTCGCGATTCCAAACCGCGGATCGTCGTGAACGCTGTGATAAGAAGGATTTGAGCCAACCGGGACCATGGAGTCGTTACTGAGTCGATGAGGTGCTGCGAAGTCGCCGACCACCACCTGTGGATCTTTCGGCCCTGACGTGGGACTTCGCAACACGTCCGGCGACCTCGCAGGTGTATCTTTGCGCCTGGGCGAAGTGGACGCGGTGGAAACTGGCACTTCGCTGAACGGCTGCTGAGTAGCTGTCTCCTCGCTTTGTATGGTAAGTGTTGGACTGGGAGGCGGGTTCCGTGGGTTTTCCGCTGACGCTTCCTTAATCGTTGGCAGATACGGTTCAGATCCGCGCATCTGCATCCGCGGAGGCGATTTGTACGGCTTGCTTACGCCAGGCTTGAACCGACGAGTTTCCATAGGCGGGTGAACCTCAAATGGTTGCACTCGGAGGTCGCGGCAAAGTTTCTCACGGACGAAAACCTCGTCGTGGTTCAGCCTGATGGTCGAGCACGGATGGAGACACGCTTCGTCGTTATCCTCGTTTACGGTGCCCACAATGTCATATCGCTCTCGGATGTCGGATCGTTGGTCTCTGATCGGACCCTTCTAGTTGCAGACTACACGTGTCAGTTCATCAACGCGGCTTTTCTCCAATATGGTCAACATACCCAAGGATTTGAAAAAGCAGGACCAACAGGGGCCGCTGCAGTCTGCCGACGGTGGATCGAGAGGATCTTCGTAGTAGGCAATCCGTTCTAATCTTTCCGCGGTATGGGCGTACGTCATGCAAGGGCAGCAGTGACAATCGTCCGTGTACATTTCGCGTTCGGCAAGCCATTGTGCGGAAAGCACCTTTGAGACGATCCCGTATCTGGCTTTCACGGTTGCGATTGTCTCGCCCGTCTTCTCTCGCTGAGGGACGGCGGGAAGAGGCGGTCCCGAGTTACGACCCATTTTGGGTGGCGAGGAGTGTACGCCTATGAAGATACTGTAGCAATGAACGGGGGCTCGTGCCGGTGATGAAGTATAACAAGTGAATGGCAATGACAGTCTAGTAAGTTGATGGGAGAAGAAGCATGTTGCGGGAGACTTTGTCGAGAGGCTAGAGGTCAAGTACACAACGATGCCCACGGTTGAATTCAGGGCGCTCTTGCATGACGCGACTGCCGCGGTGATCTGAATCTCCTTTGAGAAAGACCAAGCCTCAGCTGGTCGTGACAACGTGCAAGAGCGAGTTGGTGTGAAGCCATGGGAAAGGGCCAAACCGAGGTCGAAGGCGGCAAGAGTGTTGCTGTCGTGAGCTGAGCTAATAAGGAAAGTAACATCACGATAGTTGCTGCAGGTAGAGGGTGGTACTCGCCACATTGGATAAGCTCCTGCATTTCGCTGATAAGGTATTTCTACCATTCTACCTTAGTGAGAAGAGCAGCCCCGACGACTCTAAGCCCATGCATAAATCTGTTGAGCCATTTCACCGCCAAACCAAGGCCGCCTGATTCGCAATCCGAACTGCGCCAAAACACCGTCGTGATGTTGCATGAAGGGAGTTTATTCCTGATCTGGTCTATAGTCGAAGCCGACTTACAAGTACCTATTCGTCAGTTCGTTCTTCTCTCCAACCATTGGAGCCTCTTGACGATGCTCCGTTATGACGTAATCTGAGAGCTGAGTTGTTGTTCTTGTTTGACCACCTACACCAGGTTAGAACCCGCGACTCATGTACGTGATGAAAACTTACACTTTGACTTTCCCATCGTCGCCGCACGACGCCAGCATACATGGGTCCTTTGGGTTCCAGCTCACAGCATTGGTCCGAGGTTGATGGCCTTCAAGTCTTTCAACTGCAGCACCGCTGTTCTTGTGCCAGATGAGAATGTGTCCATCTAAATCCGAGTTAGCATCAACTTCGTCCCTCGAAAGGCGTTGTACACATACCTTCGCTGCCGCTAATCACAAAGCTTTCATTAGCACCCCCGAATGCGCTCCGGATGATAAATTCCCCTCCGGTATGGCCCAGAAATTTCTGTACTGATGTCCTGGTTGCCAGGTCTATCAGCTGCACCTCGCCGTCTTTCTTGTTCACAAGTAGATGACGAGAGTCTTGGCTGATGCTCACGCAAGTCGGCCGCGCCTTGAGCTCCATTTCGTACTCCAGTTCGCGGGTAGTTCTGTTGTAGACGTGGATTTTCTGCACATCGTCGACCGCAACCAGCCAGTGGTCATCGGGTGAACCACAGATGTCTTGCACCCGGTGCTTCTTGCCCCATTCGCACAGCATTTCTCCCGAAGTGCTCCAAGTACGCAATCCGTGTAGCTTATCTAGAGACCCGGTGACAAAGCTCTTGCTGTCAGCCGACCAGACGCAACCGCTGGCGGGCTCTTCGAAGCGTTCAAGCTTGACAATCAATTCCCCGGTCTGTGAATGTTAGCTGAGGCGTCTCGACAACTTCAAGAGTAGCATACCGTCGTATCCCATAGCCGCGCGTACTTGTCCTGCGAGCACGTCACAAGCATGGTATCGTCGGGACTCCACGAAAAGTTCCCAACACCGTGGTTATGTGATCGCAAAACTTGTGAAACTGAGAAATCAGGAAGATCCCAGATGACGACAGCGTCCTCGCTTCCGCACGCCGCCAAGCGCTTGCCGTCGTGAGAGAACTGTACTTGCCAGACCTCGCCGGTCAGGTCTGTTAACTCCAATGCGACTTCTGTGGGGAAATAACGCCTCTCGCAGTCGTGATCTGAGTATAATGATGGTGATGATGCGGTGGTGTGCCAAAGGCAGCTGTCAATTTGACTTTGCTTCACTTGTTGCAGTAGAACAGCGAGTCGGTTCTCCGGCAGCATGACCGATGGTGATATACATTCTGAATCGTGTAAGCACATACTCACGAGCCATCAAGGGGAGGACAAGACGCACTAGATAGTTCTGACAACAAAACCTTTCTCGACTGGCCGTGAGCACCGTCCCATTCGGCCTTGGCCTTCAAATCCTCTGTGGATTGGCACATGAGTAAACTTGACAAAAAATGAAGCTTCTGAGTATCTTGGTATAGCGGCGTGAGCTCGGTGCGCAGTACCATCAGAGCCCGACTCGTATCGCGTTGCTCCAGAAGCTCCAAAAACTTTTGCTGCCGCAGCCAGAAGCGCATCACGTTTCTGTCGGACCCGGGTGCCAACACTAACCCGTTCCCTTGCTGGCTCTGGTCGTCAGACATTACGGCTCCATAGAGGAGCTCCTCGGCTTGGCCCCAGTCGCCGTTGACGACTGCATTGCGGAAGGCCGCGACTGTCGGACTTTCCAGCTCATAACCACTGTCCCTGCTGACGCTTTCCGCAGCGCCGTGATATCCCATGTCGGACAAGGCCTGGATGAGAATGCGCGTGACCTCCTCACGATTGTGCCCATGATACGTTGATGACATGGTTTGCAGGGCTTCCTTGTCGGTTCGGGAAGAGCCGTTCATGGCAGCGGCCTTGCGAGTGCCGTTGGTAGAAGATGCAGTCAAGGGCGGATCGGCTCTTGCGCCGTTGGAATAGGCCCTCGAGGTTCCGTTGGAGGCCACGCCATCGCCGTCGGATATCATGTTGGAGCCTCCTCTTCTGCGTTTAGCACGATGGGAGGATCGTTGACTGGCGCCCGCAGACGTCGCAGGAGGGCTTCCCCGATCCGAGTCGGAAAAGGCTCGTTGTCTACGGCCCAAGACCTGACGGGGCGCCGAAGGGGATGCTATCGTTCCGGGGGCAGTCGAGGAATGTTGGGCGATGGACGTCGGGGGGATAGTCGGGTTGTCGATGTCGTCAGGGGGAGACGAGGACGGGCGGGAGGCCGCGGCCGATGTCGAGAGGTCTGTGTCGAAGGATATCTGGGCGTTTGGGGGGGTTGGCTGGTTGTTTGAGGCGATAATGTGATGGGAGTTTGGATCTGGATCGTAGTTGGGGTCCAGGTCGGGCTCTGTTACCGCGGGAAGGACCCGCGGTTGCTCTCGTCGGTCGATATCTTGGGAAGGATGAACGGTGTCGCCCTGTGAACGAGGAATGTAAGGTAGTGGCGAGTCGCTTTGTTATGCCGGGTGGTTTAATTACGAGCACGGGGGAAGAGTGCGAACGGACGGACGTAATCGTGTGTGTGGTAGGAGGTACGGCACGGCACGGTAGAGCGAGGCTCAACGGGACGAGAAGGAGGCAGTTGGAGGTGGGTGAAGTTTGGGAATCGGGCCTGGGCGTGAGGTCTAACGTAAGGCGGGCGGAAGGCGAGACAGAGACAGCTGGTAGGCGGAAGCAGAAGCAGGTGTGGAATGGAAGGTGAAGCTTTGAAGTTTGGAGTTCGTTGGTGCAGGTTTCGGGGCGGCAGAGAGATGCAGTCGGGTGGTAAGGATGGATGGCAGAGGTTCCAGGGACTCGTGGACGACAGCCGAGCACTGCAGCAGCACAAGCACACTGACTGAGGTGGGCTGCAGGGAGTGCCTATCCGTACCTACGAGCGGGCAGATGACGGTACCCTTGCCGGTTGATTGGGCCTAGCTGGCACCTTCCGTCAGGCACTCCGCACGATGAAGTGGAGGCGAATGACCTGCTTACCAGGGTGGTTGGATGGCCGATTCAGCGGACTAAGACATGGAAGCTCACTAATACACCCCCAACATCTCGACCAAGGATTTAAGACGCCAACGGCGCTGTTGAGAAGGATTTCTTCCGTATGGATCAAGGTAAGTTGGATGAGTTAGATTGATGTAGGCTTAACACCCCTTCACTTGGAGCACGTGCACTTCTTCCATTACCTCAGTTGTGTTCTTACCGACGTCGAGTACCTACCTCAGTCGGGCTTATCTGTCAGACTACCCGTGGATCTCGGTGGGTACCTCAGATGGCAGCGTGGCAGCAAACATTTAGGTGCTTCGAATAAGTCACCTAAAGGTATCTGACCGTATCCTCGTCGATAAGGCAGTCCTGAAGCCAACGGTAAGCTGATTGCCCTGCGGCCCAAAGTGTATCGGCTATCTTCCCCGTCAAAGTGTGGATGAACATGCAGTTTAGGTACCTTATTTATCAGTCTTGTTGGATGGTGTTGTTGGGCAGCTCGAGAGTTCGCGGCATCGACAGCGTCAGGACAAGTCTTTTGGTGTAACATCAGAGCTACTGCACCCTCTCCTCCGTCAGGTCCTGTCCCTTGCCGTCATTCATTCGCCGTTTCGGTCCGGACGATTGAGCAGCGGACCCTTGTCCGGATTGAAGCCCACTTCATCTTCATGCACCTCCGACTGCTTCACAGACCGCTTAGATAAATGAGAGAAAACATCAACATGTTATCATATTCGACAGCGTTTGAAGCAGACAGAACTGAGCAGGTCATTTTTTCTGTCGCCCTGAAAGCAATACGCCACAAAAGGAGGCCTCCTTCAAGTCAGTGGTCGAAGATGGCTGTCCAACCTTGGCCAGCCACTGGAAGCAAGACACAATGACGCTGCGTTCTAATAAGGTACTCTCTTCTCAGAAGCATAAGCGATCTATCATTTCAGCTTCACCTTGTGAGCCAGTGCAGAATACGAAATGAGTATACGCGGCTCGAGTGACGTACGCATACATAGGCACCCGTATTCTTGATCGATATTGCTGTCGAATGCCGCAAGGCACCCGATTAACGATGTGTTGTATTCGTACGAATCCATGGATACGCAATGCAGCAAATACGTAGCTGTGGCTGAAATGTCGGCATAATTCATGTGCAAATAACATCACGTGAGACTTCTCACCGTCCCGCGCCCCCGCCATGTGCTGTCGTCGCCGGCAGAACGACGGGGCTCCGACGCGGTGGGGCTCGGGTCGTGTGGCTGGTGCGTCAGGGATCCCGTCCCTCCAGGGCAGCTCAGGGCAGCAACGGACGTCTGGAAGTATTGCGTACCTCAGGTTTCTTGACAGCACCTGAATGCTTGCGACGTCTTTCCCGCCATCCCACCCCAACCAAAACATCCTACCTGTTCTGCAAGATCACTCTTTGTACACAATCTTTCCGTCTCCTACAAATACCCCTTGGGCGAAAACCACCCGTATCACGAGCGAACTGCGACTCTGATCCCTACCCGCACTCGTCGTCGTCCTCACCGATACCGACCCCCCCTTTCCCGCAGCCTCCACATATTGCGATTCAGGAGCCATCTGCGACAAGGACAGTTGACCACAAAGACGCCTGTCCTCGACCCGACTCTTTCTGGCTTCAACTTTGCTCCCCGTTAGCAACTCTGCAAGAGCGCCGGTCGCAACGCAACCATGAGCTCTCCTCAGTCTCTTGCCACCCCAGGCGGCATTTCTGATCCCGCCTTGATCACGTTCGTGATGCCCAACCTGAACTTGAACTTGACACAACCCGGAAGCTAACTGTGCGCCCCCCGACAGCCTCGTGAACAAGCTCCAAGATGTCTTCACAACCGTCGGTGTCACCAACCCCATCGATCTGCCCCAAATAGTCGTCGTTGGTAGTCAGTCCAGCGGAAAGAGTTCAGTCTTGGAAAACATCGTCGGAAGAGACTTGTGAGTTTGCCCAACCACTCTGCCCCGCCGTCACATGCTCCCCCGCCATTCCGACAGAACCTGACAATCTGGCCTTCGCAGCTTGCCCCGAGGTAGCGGCATCGTCACCCGTCGACCCCTCGTCCTTCAGCTCATCAACCGTCCCGCGACCTCTGAATCCAATGGCGTCGAGGAGTTGGCCAACACTACTACCGACAAGCAAGCGAACCCCGACGAATGGGGAGAGTTCCTTCACATCCCCGGCCAGAAGTTCTTCGATTTCAACAAGATCCGCGATGAGATTAGCAGAGAAACCGAGGCCAAGGTCGGCCGCAACGCCGGCATCTCCCCCGCCCCCATCAACCTCCGAATCTACTCCCCGAACGTCCTCACCCTGACCCTGGTCGATTTGCCCGGTCTGACACGCGTGCCCGTGGGAGACCAGCCCCGCGATATCGAGCGCCAGATCCGCGACATGATTCTCAAGTACATCACCAAGTCCAACGCCATCATCCTCGCCGTGACCGCTGCCAACATCGACTTGGCCAACTCGGACGGTCTGAAGCTTGCCCGCGAGGTTGACCCTGAAGGTCAGAGGACGATCGGTGTTCTTACCAAGGTGGATCTCATGGACGAGGGTACCGATGTTGTGGACATTCTGGCTGGTCGCATCATTCCCCTGCGACTCGGCTACGTCCCCGTGGTCAACCGTGGCCAGCGCGACATCGACAACAAGAAGCCGATTACTGCGGCTTTGGAAAACGAGAAGAACTTCTTTGAAAACCACAAGGCCTACCGGAACAAGAGCTCCTACTGCGGTACCCCCTATCTCGCCAGGAAGCTCAACCTCATCCTGATGATGCACATTAAGCAAACCCTTCCCGACATCAAGGCCCGTATCTCTAGCTCTTTATCCAAGTACTCGGCAGAGCTCGAAAGTCTGGGACCTAGCATGCTTGGCAACAGCGGGAACATTGTGCTGAACATCATCACCGAGTTTACCAACGAGTGGCGCACAGTGCTGGACGGTAACAATACTGAGCTTTCAAGCACAGAACTGTCAGGTGGTGCCAGAATCAGCTTCGTTTTCCACGAGCTGTACTCCAACGGTGTCAAGGCTGTGGACCCCTTCGATGTGGTCAAGGACGTCGACATTCGCACTATTCTCTACAACTCATCCGGTTCCTCCCCGGCTCTGTTCGTCGGCACTACCGCCTTCGAGCTGATCGTGAAGCAGCAAATCAAGCGCCTGGAAGACCCTAGCTTGAAGTGCGTCTCCTTGGTGTACGACGAGTTGGTGCGCATTCTGTCCCAGCTTCTCGGCAAGCAGCTCTACCGCAGATATCCCTCGCTCAAGGAGAAGGTCCATGCTGTTGTTATCAATTTCTTTAAGAAGGCCATGGAGCCCACCAACAAGCTGGTCAAGGATCTTGTGGCAATGGAGGCATGCTACATCAACACGGGTCACCCTGATTTCTTGAACGGCCACCGTGCGATGGCAATCGTCAACGAGCGATACAACCCCTCCAAGCCTGTTCAGGTCGACCCCAAGACCGGCAAGCCCCTCCCGGGTGGCACACCTAGAGCATCAAGCCCGGTCGTGCCGGAGGATGCTTCAAACTCTGGATTCTTCGGCAGCTTCTTCGCTGCGAAGAACAAGAAGAAGGCCGCCGCAATGGACGCGCCCCCGCCGACGCTCAAGGCCTCCGGAACCCTCTCCGAGCGTGAGAACATTGAGGTCGAGGTCATCAGTAAGTAGTCTTTGCAGGGTGGAGGCGATAGTGTGCTGACAACGTTCGACAGAGCTGCTTATCTCTTCTTACTACAACATCGTCAGGAGAACCATGATCGACATGGTCCCCAAGGCTATCATGCTGACCCTTGTCCAGTGAGTAGTATTTGCCATTTGAGAAGAACAAAACTAACGCGGCCCAGATTCACAAAGGACGAGATGCAGAAGGAGCTTCTGGAGAACATGTACCGCAGCGACACCCTGGACGACCTCCTCAAGGAGAGCGACTTCACTATCCGCAGGAGAAAGGAGTGCCAGCAAATGGTTGAGTCTCTCGGTAAGGCCAGCGAGATCGTCAGCCAGGTTCAGTAAACGACACGATACGACGTACACGACGGCTCCTGAGAATATCAGAGCTTTGCCTGCTGAAGTGCTGGCCGCCCCACGCTTCCAGGGGCACACTAAAAAGAAGGAGCGCGGCGTTAAAGGCAGTGGATTATTCCCATAAATCGTCAGCGGGGTCCCTGGAGGCGTGGAAGACAGTAGACGGCTGTGGAGCGGCAGTTCCGGTGATAGTCCTTTAATGAGAGTGGCATACATCTGTTTCTTGAGAAGACAAGACTGGATCGAGACGGCAAGAGACGGCAAGACATTCTAGCGTGGAGAAGGCAGCAATGAAAATTATGCACTCGCTCACCCGTTCCAACGTGAACAACTCGGCCCTATTTCTCGACAGTCAGCACTTCTTCACACTGGCTATACTGAGCCTGTCGGTGTCCCGATCGTGAGACGCACGCAACGTGTTGGAGATGCTTCAGTGTTCAGATGATTCCCCTGGCGCACGTTCGTCCCTCATCGACATGGAAAAATTCTCAACGGCCAACATACGCATATATGGATTACAAACAGTCGAGTCGGAACACTTCATGCGCCTCTTTGCTTTTCTGTATACTCAGCCGCCCTAGAACAACAGTCTGGCATGCTTCCATCCCGTCTTTGAGAGGAGCTGGTTAATCTAGACCAAACTTTACCGTTTGGAGACGAGTCAAAGCGACGCGCAACAGTACATCCCCCAAGCACACGCAAGTACGAATACGGCCCAACACCACCCCGACGAAGCATTTGGGTATCGAAACGACCGTACCTCTACGTCGCGTGCGCTAGTGCAACTGTGTTCCGCGCAAGTCAATGCCCTGCTGGTCTGATGAAACATCCGCGAAGAGCGGGAAGCATCAGGGTAGTTCCCGTGCCATCGTGCGCTCTCCCCGCTTTCTCCTTCTCGAAGCGAGAAAGCTTGAGCTTTGGAAGATGGACATCAAAAGATGAGGGGGTAGTGTGTAGCGGACATTTCGGAAGGGGGCGAGAGGAGGAATGGTGTGGCAGTTCTATAGACATAAACCCATAGCATCTCCCCTCCTCTCATCGCCTCTGCATCCCCGCCGTTCGGTTCCATCCCTGCGTATAGCTGACTATCAGAGAACAGAAGCCATCACCATCAACCCGCGACATTCTGACATCTGACTCTCTAGGTAGTAACGATAGCTGAACGCTCCCAATCCCGCTAACAAAGCAATTCGCCAGCGAATCCGCCGTTGCCCAAGATGAAGGCCGTAGACTTCATTCGCTCCCAGTTCAAATCCCTCCCCTACCCCACGGAAGACTGCGCGGGCCGCACCGTGATCGTGACAGGTTCCAACGTCGGCCTCGGCCTCGAGGCGGCGCGGCACTTCGTCCGGCTCAACGCCGCCAAGGTCATCCTCGGCGTCCGGTCCACCGACAAGGGCGAGGCCGCCAAGACGGACATCGAGCTGACGACCGGCAAGCGCAACGTCATCGAGGTCTGGCCCCTCGACCAGGCCTCCTTCGACAGCGTCAAGGAGTTCGCCGCCCGCGCCGACCGCCTCCCCCGCCTCGACTGCGTCGTCCTCAACGCCAGCATCGCCACCAGCAAGCGCGCCGACGCCGAGGGCTGGGAGTCCCAGGTCACCGTCAACGTGCTCAGCACGTTCCTGCTGGGGCTGAAGCTGCTGCCGGTCCTCCGGCGCACCGGCGCGCAGCACAACGTGACGCCCAAGATGGTCATAACCGCCTCGGACGCGAGCCAGATGGTGAGTCCCAACCCCTCGTCCTCGCTGGTGTCGGGCTTGTCGGTGCTGGCGTCGAGCTGGATACTGATCTTCGGGCGGGGGCAGGCCAAGTTCCACGAGCGGAACGAGGAGGACATTTACAAGGCGCTCAACGTGAACAAGAGCCTCTCGGACCGGTACAACACGACGAAGCTGATGCAGATCGTGATCGCGCGGCAGATGGCCATCGCGGCGGACGCGAGCGGCAAGGGCCGGGTGCAGATCACGACGCTGAACCCGGGCTTCTGCTCGACGGCGCTGTTCCGCAACGTGCCGTTCCCGCTGACGGTCGTCGTCAAGGTCGCGCTCAAGCTCGTCGCGCGGTCGGCCGAGGTCGGGTCGAGGACCATCATGGCCGGGGCGTTCGCCGGGGAGGAGGCCCACGGGCGGTACATGAGCGACTGCGTCGTCGTCAAGTTCCCCAAGCTGATGCAGGGCGAGGAGGGGGAGACGATGCAGGGGCGGGTTTGGGAGCAGACTATGGAGTTGTTGGAGGGTGTTGATTCTGGGCTTGCGAGGAATCTGTGAGTTTGTCGAGGGTTGAGTGGATGTTGGGGTGAGGTGAAAAATTGTGATGTGATACCTTTTTCTCGGTTGATATTCCTGATGGATAGTTTCAGTTGGTTACGTGTGGTGCAGTAATGTTGCCATTATAAGATAGGCATAAGTCAAGTAGCTGGCGCCTTTAACACTGCCAAATGTTCATTATTTTCGGGAGAGCATTAATCCATTTTACTCCTCTATATAGTGTAAGGTATAAATCGTTCGCTGTTCAGCACTACACGTAGGCTCGTTTGTATCGACCGTGTTCCCAATTTTTAAACCAATGTACCCTTCAGATCGAGTGGCATGTTGATTCAATGAAAACAACATATTCTGATCTCATTCTCCCAGGCTCATCATGCACGACCAGCAATCCGAAATCAGCAACCACTTCATCGGCCGCAACCCCACACTCTCCCCCCATGTGCGCAGGCGATTTCCCGCCCCCACAGGCGGCCCTCCCCCGCGATACGGGGCCTGTCAGTGCGGGCCACCCCCGGCTCGACTCGACCGGGGCCGTCCACAGGCGCCATGTGCCTCGGCTTTTTGGAGCTTCTCCAACTCAATCCTTGCCGGTTATTCTTATCCCAAGCTCCTCTCAAAAGGGCACCTTCTCACCCATTTTCACTCGAACCAGACAATCCGATTCTCAAATCACCAGAAAGACGTCCCTCCTTACTGTACCCGTCCCGGATTCTCACAAGCAGTCATTCAAATAGAACATCCCCCCTAGACAAGAAAATGGTCGGCCCCCCGCCCCTCGACGGCATCAAAGTCCTCGAATTCGCAGGCCTCGCGCCGGGCCCCTTCGCAGGCATGCTCCTCGCCGACGCCGGCGCCTCGGTCCTCCGCATTGACCGCAGGACCGGCGGCAGCGGCACGCCCCTCCCGACGGAGGACATGCTGGCGCGGCACAAGTCCTCCGTCGCCGTCGACCTCAAATCCCCCGACGGCGTCGAGTTCGTGAAGGCCCTCGCCTCCAGGGCCGACGTCATCATCGACCCCTTCCGCCCGGGCGTCCTCGAGAAGCTGGGGCTCGGCCCGGAGGTGCTGTGCGGCCTCAACCCGGGGCTGGTGTACGGCCGGATGACGGGGTTCCGGAGGGACGGGCGGTATAAGGACATGGCGGGGCACGACATCAATTACCTCGCCGTCTCGGGGCTTTTGGGGCTGCTCGGGCGCGAGGGCGAGAAGATCCAGCCGCCGTGGAACATCCTGGCGGACTTCGCGGGGGGAGGGGCGGTGCTTTTTCAGGGCGTGTTGATGGCGTTGCTGGCGAGGGGGAGGAACGGTGGGAAGGGGCAGGTCGTGGAGGCGAACATGGTCGACGGGACGGCGTATCTCGCGACGTTCCCGCGGTTCGCGCTCAAGACGCCGCTGGGAGATGCGGGGAGGGGGAAGAATATCCTGGACGGCGGGTGTCCGTACTACGATACCTACGAGACGAAAGACGGCAAGTACATGGCGGTCGGAGCGCTGGAGCCGCAGTTTTTCAGGGCTCTGCTCAAGGGTCTTGGGTTGGAAGGGAAGGGCTGGGAGGAGAGGAGGCATGATCGGGACAACTGGCCGGAGTTCAGGGAGCTTTTGACGAGGACGTTCAAGAGCAGGACGCGAGCGGAGTGGGAGAAGGTGTTTGACGGGACTGATGCGTGCACCACGCCCGTGCTGGATTACGCGGAGCTCGAGACGGGGGCTGAGAGGGAAGGCGATCAGAGGCCGGTGGTCACGCTGGTCGAGACGCCGTGTTTGGCTATTAATGAGGACAAGAGGGAAGATCCGAGACGGGGGCAAGGGCCCGGGGTAGAAGGAGCAGGATACGAGGGGTTTACATTGGCCCCTGGTGATGGTGGAGAGAAAGTCCTTTCGGATTGGTTTGGGTGGAAGAAGGGGAGGGATTTTGAGGTACAGAATGGAGGACTTGTGCTCAAACAGAAGTCGAAGCTGTGAGGTTCGTATAGATGACCACGATGTTGTATTTTTTCCTGTACTTTGAAACACACACTCTGGAAGGGATCCATTCATCTGTGCCGATTCCCTCTTGAAGCCGCCTAGTCTGAATCACTCAGGTCTAACCTGCCTTGCCATCAGCCAGCATTTCTCAATATGCAAACAAGAGACTGGCAACTTGTCAGTAAATGGACTTCCTTGGCTTGAAATAGTCGAACCTTTGAGAAGAATACCAGCAACATGTAGACCTAGTTGCTAGCTGGGACTCGGTGGCGGGTTTGGCGGCGGTCGAGGAGAAGGCGGATCCTTCCTCGACATATCGGCGGCCGTCTCTTGTTGGTGTTGTGAGAACCACGCGATGAGGCGTCAAGGACCTTTCACGACGCTCCAGTCAGCCAATATCCTCCCTGGCTCTCTGCATGTGTTAACTCACGCCTCGAAGCTCCTTTGCGGTGGTAGGCTAAAACTGTAGCTGCGTTTTTGCTTTACCGAATTCTAGACAGGACACCGGCTGGGCTGTGACTCTTTTTTATCTAGAAAACCGCCATCAAGAGCCGCATGGATGAATCATCCAGAACCCTCCCTTCCGCGGGCAATATCGGCCCCATCGCAAGCTCCCTCCCGTCGCCGGCTGCGCCCTCCCGCCCCTGACCGCCATTGTCGGCCGCGTCCGTCGGCCTCTTCTTTGCTTTTTGGCAACACGACGGACGGCAGCTAGGTACCTCACCTACCGGGGTGGTGGTGGTGGCTGTTCGGTTCTGCAATCTTGTCTGACCGTACTGTCAACGCAATGCCGGAAGCCGCATCCGTCCCGCTTCGCTGCTACCTATGCCATCCTACTACTGGACCGATAGGAAGGGAAAGACAATGAGGATCCCGTTGGATCTCATCAGGGGGGGGGGGAAAAGACATCGTGTCTCAGTTGGTCCCGGCGTGTCGGATCGAGACGGATGGCTTTCCCGCGACGTTGAGGACCTTTTTGGGCATCACCTATCATTTTCGACGATGGACCGGGCGTGGCGGAAGGAGTGGTTTTCAATGCAATGTCGCACGTCTTCTTTCTCCATACGAATTCTGTGGGTTCTGCATGGCTCTCACCGCTCCCTGGACTGCATAATGGCGAGCGGAATAAGCAAGCGTGTTGGCACTAACAGTGAGGATTCTTATTCGTCTTTGGACATATTAAGAAGCTGCCGCGAAGTTTCTGTCACATATCTTAAAAAACAGAGTTTTACAACGCGTTGTTTCTGATGACGCGCAGGTGAGATGCCCGGGGTGCTGCAGGAGAATTTTTCCACGTCAAGTACGCTTCTTGAGGCTAGGTAGCGAGCTATACGGATCGGCCACGACACTTGAACATAGTGCGACGAACGATTGCTGATATACAGGATAAACCGAATACCCCTATACTCTGACTTGACTTGTACACAGACAGCTATTTGACAGGTCTCTGAGTCGGTGTAGGCTTTAGGATGCTTACCTCAACTACATACTTACTGCCTTGTAGCTTCACCGTAACGTGTTGCTAATGCGTCTTTTGATTTGCAAGCAATCTCGATGATATGGATTTGGTGGAATGGAACGCGGAACCAAACGTAACGGCAGTCCAGAATGGAGCGTCTTCGTTACGTGGCGCTGCTTGGGCAAACCTCGATCAGGTCACAGATCAAGTCGATCGAATCACTGAAACTTTCGCGATCGATCCAAGCACGGCTCGAAATGAAGGAATGTTGGTATCTTAACCTAACGAGTGTGGTCTATTTCCGAAGACTTTCAGAAGCAGAATAATCAAGTATACTACCATGACCCAACCAAACGAGCGTGGGGATCGAAACCCTTCGTGGAGTCACCGATCAAGAATAATACCCTTCTCACCCGACAGAACAAAATGAACAAAGGGAACAAATTCGACATCATACACTGCCACACGCCTTCAAACCCAGACGTGATCTGCCCAGGGGAAGTCTCTCACAGATGTCTGCCCTTCTTGGCGGGAGGAGCCGGGGCAACCGGGACGGGCTCCGGAAGCGGGACCGGGGCGGCGGAGGCGGCCGGGGCGCAGCCGAGGTTGCAGGGGGTCTCGCAGCGGCCGATGAAGTCGGGCTCGTCGTTCTTGCAGCGGCCCTGGCAGGGGCAGAGGAGCTCGATCTGGCTGCCCTTCTTCTCGCCCGGGTTGCAGATGCAGACGAAGAGGGTGTTCTCGAGGGAGTCCGGGGACGGGGGCAAGGCGCAGTTGGAGTTCGGGGTGGCGCAGTAGCTTGTCCCGAGAGCCTCGGTGGTGTAGCCTGGATGTGGCATCGTGTCAGAGGATGTGCTGGGAAAGGGGGGTAAGACGACTTACCTTGGAAACCGACGAGGACCTTGCCGCAGTAGGTCGCGCCGCAGACGCAGTTGGCGCCGCCGGCGGTGGGGTCCGGGTCGGGGACGGGGCTGGGCGGGGTGGGCACGGGGCCGTCTGGGTTGACCGGAATGCTGGGCAGAGGTGCAGGAAGCCACTGTGACACGGGAGGCGCGGGAGGTGCAGGCTCCGGTACGGGTTGGTTGGAGATCGGGGTGGTCGGCGCCGGACCTGCAGCGGTCACGGTGATGATCTCGACCGCGACGGAGGAGATGGGGTCCACCACAGGAGCAGGAGCCGGAGCCGGAGCCGGATCAGGCGCAGCTCCGCCCTCGGCTTGAGGCCTTGCGGAAGTCCCAGCCAGGAGGGTGGCCAATGTGAAGAGAGTCACCTTCATTGCGGAAGTAGGATGGGTTCGTCTTCTGTGTGTCAAGGAGTGGATTAGGAGTATGGCTGTGATGGTGATGATACGAATGGCGTGATCGATTGCTGGGCAGGACAGTCAGACATTTATAGGGATTGTGAAGCATGCTGGAGTTCGAGACGTCTTGGAAAAAGCCTTCGGAATAGCCCATCCGAGTTTGCTGTCCTCGAGGAATTGCAAACACGTTGTCTGTTCCACCCGTGAAAAGAGTCGTACTAAACGGGGTCGATGGCGAGGAGTGGAACGTACGAAGACGTCTTGATCTCGGGTCTTTGATATCCGGACCAGACAATATCCGGTAGAGGTGATGAGTATGGAGACTGTTCACTTGATGTCATTCGATCCCCGAGAGGTCTTCCTAGACCATCATGCCTCCAAGCCCTTCAACCAAGACGTTCACGACATCCCACCTCGGATCATCCGCCGAGTCATCAGTTTGGACTCTTGCCGTAGCCCGATCTCAAAGTACACAAGGTAACCCATCACGGCTCGGGTGCAACAGGACTCGACAACATGCCAACCACGTCACGAACCCAGACCAACGGACTCTTGTTGCGAGTGAGCGAGCCGTGATTTGACCAAGACTGCCTCTACGCGCCGTTTTACGGTCGAAGTGATCTCGTACTTGGAGGCACCGGTGAGACGCTCTCCTTAACATGGTGTTCCTCTCAAGTCAGGTGTTGTCATGCCTTGTGGCCCTGTCTCAAGGAGATTAGGAGAATAGAAGAACTCCCCGGCCATCGTGGCGTGTTCGTGCCATGTTTCGTGCCTCGACACGTCAGAAGAGGTTTGTCATTCTCGGCTTCGGGTGCTCCGCCGTGCGCTGCACTCCGGCATGAAACCTGGTCGTCGAGCTGAACCAAAGCCGTCAAAAGTCGGGATGAACTGGAGTTGGAGGGAGGGATGTGAGAAGCGGTCGGCTCGGAGGAGCGGCGTGAGATGAGGTGGACCCCCTGAATCTGAACCCGAAGCCGAGCTAGACCCTGCATATGCACCGCGATAATACCAAACGGCCCCCAGTAATTACATAAATCAGCACCGTCTGCACCACCTTACCCCTCCAACCCCGCCATCTCCGTGCTCCCGGCCAAAGTGAAGTACCTTACCTACCACCTCACCTCGAAAATCTACTCCAACATCCGCGAACGATTTTCGCAACGCCCTGATCACCCGACGCAATTGGCCTTAGTCACCTCGAAATAACACACAAACAGCATCGCCTGATGCGTTGAGACCGACTTTTTCACACTCCCACCCCCTCCCTACCTCCCCCGAATAACAGCAGCAGCCATGGCCGACAACGGCGCCCCCATCCACATCGGCACGCGCAGGTCGGCGCTGGCCCTGAAGCAGACCTCCATCGTCGTCGACGGCCTCTCCAAGCTGCGCCCCGACCAGAAATTCGAGGTCCACGGCATGCAGACCCTCGGCGACAAGGACCAGATCACGGCGCTGTACAACTTTGGCGGCAAGGGCCTGTGGACCAACGAGCTCGAGGCCAAGCTCATGGCCAAGGAGATCGACATCATCGTCCACTCCCTCAAGGACATGCCCACCACCCTCCCCGACGGCTGCGTCCTCGGCTGCGTCACCAAGCGCGAGGACCCCCGCGACGTCGTCGTCTTCAAGGCCGGCCTCGCCGAGAAGCACGGCTGGAAGTCCATCGCCGACCTCCCCGCCGGCAGCGTCGTCGGCACCAGCAGCATCCGCCGCATCGCCCAGCTCAAGCGCCGCTACCCGGGCCTCGAGTTCGCCGACGTCCGCGGCAACATCGAGACCCGCCTCCGCAAGTGCGACGACCCGGAGGGCCCCTTCTCCGCCATCATCCTCGCCGCCGCCGGCCTGCTGCGCATGGACTACGGCGCCAGGATCTCCCAGTACCTCGAGTCCGAGAGCGGCGGCATCCTGCACGCCGTCGGGCAGGGCGCCATCGGCGTCGAGGCGAGGTCGGGCGACGACCGCGTGCTGCGTCTGTTGAAGGAGTACGAGGACACGACGACGATGCTGGCGTGTGTCGCGGAGCGGAGCGTCATGCGCACCCTCGAGGGCGGCTGCAGCGTGCCGATCGGCGTCGAGACGAGCTGGGTCGAGGTTGACGGGGCCAAGAAGCTGCGGGTGAAGGCGACGGTGGTGCACGTCGACGGCCAGCAGGGTGTTGATGCGGAGCGGACCGAGACGATCGAGACGGCCGAGGAGGCGGACGACTTTGGCAAGCTTGTGGCGCAGGACCTGGTGAACGGGGGAGCACAGAAGATTCTTGACGAGATCAACGCGATGAAGCCGGATGCGCAGCCGGAGACGATATCTGCCGAGGCTGCCCCCCCGGCTTCTTAAAAATAGTTGTTTTCTTCTTTTCTTTCACGGCCATGTTCATGACACCCAAAAAATAGACTGATTCCCTGGTCTGGGAACTTTATGATGACGAAGACATCTTTTACATCTCTATGTCTGTCTGCGGTTATCTCGTTGAAATCGTAACCGTTGATAAATATAAAACAATGACCGCTTGGTATCGGTGTATGATACAACCCGAAAACCCTTCCCTTTGCCTATGTGTGCCAGGTTGAACTGCCGGCCACGCCGCCGGTCACGTTCCGTTCCGTTCCCGACCACCTTTTTCCCGCCCCTTCCTTTGCCTTTAAATCCTTATCGCGGCGCCCATTCAGATCGCACCAGAAGAAGAAGACGAATCATCTCTCTAGTGGTCGGCGGTGAAGGCCTTGTACTCCTCGGGGTCCATGAGGGACTCGAGCTCCTTGACGCCCTCCTCGTCGACCTCGATCTTGGCGATCCAGCCGCCGCCGTGGGAGTCGTCCTCGGGGACCTTGTTGATGGTGCTGGGCTTCTCCTCGAGGCCGATGTTGACGTGGGTGACCTTGCAGGAGATGGGGGCGTTGATGTCGGCGGCGCTCTTGACGGACTCGACGGCGCCGATGGCGTCGCCGCGGGCGACCTGGGCGCCCTCCTCGGGGAGCTCGACGTAGACGACGTCGCCCAGCTGCTCGGCCGCGTACTCGGAGATGCCGACGACGCCCGTCTTCTTGTCGGCGTTGAGGTCGACCCACTCGTGGTCCTTGGTGTACTTGCGTATTAAGCCTGCGCGCGGGCGGAAGGGGATCCGAGGTTAGCAATCGTCGGCGGTGTTGCGGTTGCGCGCGCGCGCGGGGGGTTGAAGAGATAGGGCGGGCGACTCACTAATGGGGGTTGTGGAGAGGGAGCGGACGGCCGGGCGCGGGAAGTAGGCGCGGGGAGCGGCCTTGGTGATCTGGGAGAGGGCGGAGGGGCGGATTGCCCTCATGCTGCGAGCAATTGAAGCCATTTTTGTGTGTTGTGAGGTCGGTTTGGCGGAGGTGGTTTGTGGTGTAGGAAAAGGACCTTGAAGCTTCTTGTCGTAGGAATTGAGATAATGAGGTCAGAACGCGGGCCAGGACGAACGGCAGTAATTAGAGCTTGGGAAGAGAGCCGGTTCGGGAGGTTCTTATCGGTGTGTATCCGCTCTGGATGGCTTTCCGACCAATTAAGTTTGCTTATCCAATCCACATCGAACGAGCTTTCGGAGCTTCCCACCGAGCGTTCGGGTCTTCATCCGTCGATGATGGCGGGGAGAGAGGGCGCTCCCGTAAGCCAATCAGCGAGCGACTTCGATGTCCTTAGTCATCGTGAGCGCGGTCCCGGCTCGGGAGAAAGGATAATGCGACATAATGGATCTGACCAATGAGATGGAGCGCAAGGAGCCCCGCGGTAAAGCCAGGCACAACCCAATGGCTTGGACGGAGCGGGCCAGGAAGACGTCGCGAACAATGGAAACCCACCACCAACGGGTCCCTTTCCATCTCTGCAAACAAGCAGCGGCTGGCGGGTGCTATTAAACGGCTTCATGCCGTTCGCGCATGAATTGCCCATCTTACGGAGCAGGAGATTGCACCACCGAGATTTTCTCTTTTTTTTTTTTTTCCCTCCTCGTCAATTCCTTAGCTCAACCCTAACATGAAGTCGGCGATGCGATCGGAATCGGTTTCGATGCACGACTTTGAGAAATGCGGTCTGACGCCCCTCCCCGTGCATCGTCCCATGTCGCGTGCTCTGGGTTTGTTGACTTTGGCTGTTGACATTGAACGTGGTGTTTTCCCGGACAACGGGTTCGATGTCACCCAAGAGAGGAGGTATCGACATTTTTTCAAACAAACGGGCGAACAACAACAATCGAATTGTTCTGAGCCTTAATTGGCAGACCTCAACCAGAGATCGATCGATTCATGCTGTTTCCGTTCCTGCATTGCGGTCGGTGATTAGCTGGGCGGTGTGAGGGCTGTTTCGTTCGGTCAGCAGAGCAAGGCAAAGCAAGCAAGGCATGGCTTCGGTTGGTCCGTCGAACGTTTTGTCTTAGTGCCTTGCACCGTCGACTGCTCGTACCCGTTGCCGTCGGGCTTCCTGCGTGCGGTGTCCTTGTCGAGTCCCACAGGCATTGGAAAGCCCAGCTGAGGGTGAGGGCCTGAGGCGTCTTCGTCGTGAACCAGCATGCTGGGCAGGATCACAAATGCCGCCTGGGCCGTGATCCATCTTCCATCTTCCATAATCCACGGGATAGCGCTTGTCAAGGTGGTGGTGGTTTATGTGCGTGGGGCCGGTGAGTAGCGTATGCAGTATCCGTAGGGAGTATGCACGAGAGAGACGGAAGCAAGTTTGTGGTGATATTTCGTACATAAAACAAATATGAACGCGTCTCTCGCGTTTTCCCCACACGGGCTGGCTGAATTGTGAAATTTTGGCGTCATCATCAGTGCCGCCGTCCTTCTTCGCCCCTCAGCGTCTCCCTCTTCTTCCCCCCCAGCGTGCATCCTCGCATTCTGACTGGTTGCTCCTCCCGTTTCCCCCTGTCGCACCTCCCTCGATCTGCCATAAGCGCCGTGGGCTGGGGTCGGTCTTGGGTCTTGCCTTATGCCTTTCCCTGCGTTGGCGTGTCTGCTAAAAATCCCGCCAGGTCGCCCTAAAATCCATGGAAGTCACAGCACAGAATAGCACAAACACTGAACCTGAGTGCGAGACCCGTACTATTCGCAGCACAAGCATCTCCCCATCTCCATTTTCATTTTCATCCACAGCGGGCACTTCACATTGCATCGCGCACAACACAACTCCGCTTCACTTTCCTGGCCTTGCCTTGCCTTGCCTTGCTGCTGAGGTGACTTGCTTGGGTCTCCATCGTACCTTATCCTTCCCCCCGTTTCGGTACATTCCTTGACCGTGACCTCGTTCTCCCATCCGCCTACCGCAACGCTACGCACCGCACCGCACCGCTGCATCTCATCACCAACCCGTCCCGTCCGTCCTCTGAACAACACTGGTTGCTCATCTTCCCGGTTGCTCTCTCGGCCTTGCTTTGGCTTGCCCTTTCTTGGTTGCCCTTCCAGCCTTCTTCATCTCTTGGCCCTGACCCAACTATTGGATCTACGGATACCCAAACGAGGTTTCTCAAGTCCAGGTTTGCTGGTCTAGCCCAACTACTTCAGCCAACTGCTACCACGCATCTGTCGCCGGTAATAAGGTACGTCCTTTTGGTCCAATACAAGGCCTCTCTTCCTATTGCTCGGCTCGACTCGACTCGACTCCAGCTTGTGGTGGGCAACCCCCTGCCGCGACTCCCTCGCCCAATCCCGTCTCTTGCTTCTGCTTCCGCTGCTACACTGTACACTGGCTCGAGGTACCACCGCTCCGTACCGTCCACACCACGCTCTACCTCTACCTCGCTCCTGTCCCTCTCTCTCCTCCTCGTCTACTCCGTGTGGAGAGGTTAGGTGAGACGTCTTCGCCTGACACTCCTTCATTCCCTTCCTCCTGCGTCGTCATTCACTTCGAAGCACCGTCTTCTTGTCGCCAATCCTAATTATTGACAGATACCAGCTTGCCCAGCTGAAGTCCGAGTCAGCCCTCACCTCAACCTCCGACTCATCATCGCCGCGCCGCCTTTACTGGCAGTGCCCATGAAGCCATCGTCGGCCCTAAACTGAAACCTGCCGCCTTACCCCCGGTCTCTCCTTCGCCCGCCCGAGAGAGCCTCGCGCCGACTGCAACCTGTCCTCGACACCTCGGACGGCCCTCTCCTCTCCTCACCCCTCGATCGAGACAGAGCCTCTCTGTCCCCGCCCCCCGCGATCCCTCACGCTGGATTCCTCAACGCTGTCCGCGGGGTCACCGGCCCAGTTCCACGACGCCGTCGACAACATGGAGCACGACCAGATCCCCGCCCAACCGCACCCCGACGATACCCTCGGTGGTCTCGACGACTCTCCCCAGGTCGTCCAGAACAACGGATACGACTATGCAGAGAAACAGCGCCATCAACCAGTCCAGCCTTTCGACCAGGGTCAACAACCACAATCCCCGCGGGCCGATGAACACGCCGACCGTTACAACACACCACCGCTTCCCATGGGCGCCCCTCCCATTTCAAGACCTGCGTCAGGCCTGTCGGGCAACGGCGCGCAACAAGGCTACGCCGACCATGCGTCACGAAGCAGCGCCGGCGCCGAGGCTGCAGCAAGCAACGGCCGCAACCACGTCGTTATCAAGGTCGGCATGGTTGGAGATGCGCAAATCGGCAAGACGAGTTTGATGGTCAAGTACGTGGAGGGAAGCTGGGACGAGGACTACATCCAGACACTGGGCGTCAACTTTATGGAGAAGACCATTTCCATCCGGAACACCGAGATCACCTTTTCCATTTGGGATTTGGGAGGACAGCGCGAGTTTGTCAACATGCTCCCGCTCGTCTGCAACGATGCGGTCGCAATTCTCTTCATGTTCGACCTGACGCGGAAGAGCACCCTCAACAGCATCAAGGAATGGTATCGCCAAGGCAGAGGCTTCAACAAGACGGCCATTCCGATTCTGGTGGGCACCAAGTACGACCACTTCGTCAACTTCCCGAGGGAAGACCAAGAAGAGATCTCCAACCAGGTAGGTCGCAGCAGCATCCCAGGTCCTAATTCTCAACTGACATTGTGCAGGCCCGTCGTTTCGCAAAGGCCATGCGCGCAGCTTTGATCTTCTCCAGCACAAGCCATAGTATCAATGTGCAGAAGGTAGGCACAACAGAACGCTGACGGCGGTACGGGGACTGACTTGCCACAGATTTTCAAGATTGTCCTGTCCAAGGCGTTCGACCTGAAGTGCACCATCCCCGAGATCGAAAACGTCGGAGAGCCGCTGCTGCTATACCAATCTTGCTGAACTCCACCCTCTGCGCCAGTCAGTTGTTCTGGCTCTCATGCGATGCCCTCGGCACCGCCCGGCTTCACGTCAACTCCGTTCAACTCGGCTGTCGCATACATCTAATGGATCATGACCCATTACGTACTTACGACCTTCTATATCCTGCTGATCTCCATCAGCCGAGTCACTGGATCCTCCTCGTTTGGCACAAGGCAGACCGTCAGAAACACGGTCACCATGTAAGCCTCGAGCTTGAGATTTTCAGATTGCACAAAGCTCCATGAGCTCGTTTTCCGGGAATAATCCGACTATTCGACCCGAATCACTCTCTTTTTTCATTTGTCACAACACCAGGCCGCGAAGGGCTCTATCGCGGCGTCATCCGTCACCAATTAGGTCGCGCACACATTCACACACATCACACACGCACACACACACACACACATTCCTCTCCTGATCGCAATCGGCGTTGCACATCAGTTCGACTCTTCTTCTCAAAGATTGGTAGGGAACGGGGCTGGTTGAAGGCGGGATCAGATGCATTTTAGGATCATGGGCTGGCGGGGCTCTCCCCACTCATTTAATTCTCCTCGGCCTTGTCGAGGAGCATCGATGAGGTTGGAAGGGAGAGACCGTCTTGTTTCTGGGCGTAACGGCCGTCGCAAACTGTTCCAGAGAGAACCTGGGATAGCAAAACTTGCTTTTGTCACACATTTTTCTTTTTTTTTTGTCTTTTTTTTTGGACCTCAACTAAACCACCACCCAGATATGGGCCAACCCAGTTGTTGTTTTTCCGGGGTCTCCCTAAAGATGATGATGGAGAAAGACGATACAAATAGGGAAGAAGAGACCACCATGTAACAAGTAATTCACCCCGCGTGTCTTTTACTTCTTCCGCTTTTTTTTTCTTTTTTCCTCTCGAGAATACCGCCCTTCTGGTCGAGGGGAGCGAGGCGAGTAGACGGCATTTGTGGAGAGCGGGGTTGCAGAGGAGAGATGAACATGTAATATTTTTGTAAGGCTTGCTATCGAGAGGCGAGCTGAGATCGACACAAATCCAAGGCCGTTGAGAGAGAAAGACAGGACATTGGTTTCCGGTAGTGTCAATTTCCGGAGCGTGTGAGAACTAACCCACAGGAGCTAGTCGGTCGAGGGGCGTCATTTGGACGGTGACCGGGTTCTCCCATGTCGATGCTCCATTTCTGGGGACCGCAAATGACGACGATTCAAAAAGACCGATGTACTGACGGTATCGCTCGCTAATGGAGTTCTGTGCGACGCCTTTGCGGATATGCATGTCTTCATCAACCCATGAGCTTCGGTTTGGGGGATTTGGGGTTCGAGACTTACGGTTGCGTGTTCGAACCGCTACGGAATAGGGGAAATGTTTCAACGGCACGGGGATTGGTTTGTGTTTGATCACGATGGTAGATGTCCTCGAGTGCTGGGCTCGGATGGCGGACTTGGGCGAGGGCTGTTTCTCGCGGCGCGTCGAGTCTGATCCGCGAATGCGTTCTTGCCTTTGCGCGAGGTTTTGCGAGCCGTCGTTTTGAGAAGAGGCTTGAAGACGCGGATTTGGCCCTGGAAGTTGGGTATGCTGATGGGATTGTGCGTTTGGGCTGTTACGTCGTGAAGTCGTCGGTTGCGCGGATGCCGGTACTGGTGATGTCGTGGTGCGGGCAAGCGGAGGAGCGGTGGATGCTCTGCTCTTGTCTTCCGGTGCGTATCCGGGTGCGATAATAGGCATCATTTGCGTCAACGCAACCTGTCGCGCCCGCTGTTTGAGGGCCGGACGCTTTTGGTGTGAGTCCTACGCTGTCGTCTACGCACCTTGCTAGTGGTCAAGGTATTACGTTCACCCTCGAGGCCCGCGTTCATGTCAGTTCAATGATGGCCGGGGTTGATTCACACCTAGGAGGTAAGTACTTCTTGTAGACGACGGGGATGGAGAGGCGGTATTCCCAGATCGACACTCGTGTTCTGTGTTGCGGAGCGGACTATAAGTAGCCGGTCCACCGGACAAGTCGTGGAATATCGCCACAACGCAACAACTTAAAACGGGCCTCTGGCTGTGTTTAACGCCGGGGGCTGAAGCCTGAAGGTCAGGATCCTTCGTCATGCCCCAAGAGCTGGTATCGAGACAGATTCGTCGTCGGCCATGGTGGTGATGAACAGTAGATGTATAATCTGAAGACAGAAGAGATGAGCAGTGTCGTGGATGGACATGGATGGGCGCGTGAGTTGGTTGGATGCCGGGCCTGGTTGGTTATACGTGCGACTAACCTCTGGCGGAAAGCTGGGCGCGGACAGAAGCGAAGTCAACCAAGTCAGCTCCGCGGGGCTCCTCGCTGGAGCGTCGCACTTGGAAATTTCAACTCATCTACGCAAGATCGGTATAGACATACGCGCATCTGCAAGATCTCATTCTCGTCGCGTAGGACTATGTGCCATCAGGTCGTTCGACATGAACGGTCTCGTTTATTTCAGCTCGGAAGTCACTAGGACTCACGTGTCAAAACGGACCTCCTTTGAAGTCACCATACGGGTGAGGTTTGAATTAAATTGCGGATTATCTATCATAGACAGCATATAGCTGGGATGAGTAAGCCCCTTAAGAAGCAAGATAAAAGCAGGTACGGCAATTGCCTGGCCTCGAGTTTTCCGGGCGCATCATTCTTGTCTATTCCGTGCGTGCAATCAGACGCCTGAATCTTTATGGTAGCTCGAAGCTACTTTGGCTTGGAGAAGCAATCCTCTAGTTGTACATTGAGATCATTCTCTTGAAGTGACGTGTAATTATGAGGCGTATAGTCCTGGGACGAAGGTGAGAGGCAGCGGAGTTTACGACCAGCCGAGCCGTCTGCGATCCCAGCATGTCTTGCGCGGTTCCAAGCCCTTGTAGAAGTTATCACTGACCTTGCCCCAATCAAGGAACTACAGAAAGAACGGGTCTAATTGCTGAAGCATGAGAAAGACGAGTTGTGACCGAATATATATACCTCACTGATGTAAAGGAAGAACCCCCATCATGAAATCTACTGATGTAGAGAATGGGCCAACATGCGATGACATGTGTCCAAGACGGAGACTGCATATGTGAGAGATCCTACTTGGCTCAAAAGGTGGATTTAACCCGGGTTAAAACCGTTGCGAAGGTTAGAAAGGAAGAGCCTGCCAAACATCGCAGGATCTTGGTATGCCGGGAATTTCCAAACGGCGGGCCTTGATGTAAGATGCAGGCCGCTTGAAAGAGGGAACTGCTCAGGCAAATCTCGTCATTGTCATCGCGGTGACCCCTCCTACACATCCAGGCGAATAGACTATGTATAGTCCAATGAAGATGAAGAAGGAAGGCGCCTTGAACATAATGACTGATCTGATTATTGTAGGCGATGATGGGCGATAGGGCGGGCAGCATGCTCGAGAAGGCAATTATATGACGCGAAGAACGCCAACGTGCAAAGAGATGTTTATTTGGCGGCGAATTAGAAGAGTCAAAAGATTCGAAGAAGTAGCACCACGCATTTTATACGGGTCTGCGAACCTCGAAAGGAAGACATAGATGTTACTCAGTCTCTTCTGTTTAGGTGTTCAACTGAGTGTTCTCGTTATGCATCAATAGCCTACTGGGATTTGTGGATTTCCTTCCAAAGGCAGACTTCAGACGGCAGCATCGATCTTTGACAAAGACATGTAGTGGATCGTCGAGCTTCGCTGTTCCTAAAAGTTGAAAGATCAACAGCTGCGCGCGTGAAGCTGGGACGGCTTACAGATTTACCAAGTAGTTCTCGGCGTGTTTGCTATTGTCATTATGACTTGTGATAGGAATAACATATGTATAATCCGACAACAGAAGTGATACAAGATGGTACCTTTGACGGACGAGGAGCGGATGAGGTGAACAAGTGACAGTGTCTGAAGGAGCAAATGGTACGAGTGCACTACTCACTCTCAGGACGGATGATACCTCGCACAGAAGAGGTTCAGCAAGCATCGTCGGCTGGGGTTGCTGTGGTGGAAAGGGAACTGAGACACAAGCCACGTTTCTTTATAGCACTCATGCCTATCCGTTGGCGAAGGTAGTTGAGGCTCCCTAGATCGCGACGCAAAGTGCCTTACGATAAAATAACGGGCATCTGGATTAAGTTGGAGGAGACAGTATAGCCAGGCCCGCGTGCTTTTTTACGGTAACAAAGTCCGAGAAGGCTGGTAAGAGAGGGTGCGAGAATTCAGGGGTAAAGACTCTGCCAATATTAGGAATAGACCATCGGCCATGGTGTCAAACGTGTGTATAAGCTCGAGGTAGAGGGGAGTGATGGAGGGCAGTGATTCGAGACTCGTGAGACCTGAGGATGCGTGTATGTTTCCTGCCGTGTGAGGCCCCTGAAATCACTGTCAGCTACTAACCATATCATTCATACACATAGATCAAAAATCACAGCCTTCTATTGTGCTGTCGTGGCGAAAGTATATGTGAGATAACGTCCGATTCGTATATATATTGGATCGGTTTGAGTCCTGGCAGTTATGTAAACAGCAACCCTCAGCCATTAAGAATATCGCGGATGAAAGTGGGCGGCCCTTTCGGTTCTGCTAGATAGCATTGACGAGGTTGGTCGATGTATTCCGGAGATTCGACAACTTTCTCACACTTTTTTTTCCATGCCTAGCACCACCTAACGTTGATACTGGTTTTCCCAGCGAAGCTCGAAAGTCTCAAGGACGTTTCTAGGGGATTGAACAAGTCCGTTCTCAGAAAGAAGTCGACGTCGCAGACATTTCAAGAGTACTATAAGTGTCAGTCGACGCACTGCACTCGAACTCAATCAATTCTCTTGCCCATGCTTCTATACGGATGTTGTTAAGCTATTCTCGCTTTTCCTCGCCTCTCGACGCATGAATGTGTTCAACAGACAAGCAACGTCGAAGGCTGTTGTTACTGGCCCCATCTGAAGCCCGCGAAGTCGACAGGCGCGAAGAACGAACGTATCAAACAAGTATAACCGCAAGAAGTTGAGCAGAGGCAGCATTGCCGAGAAACATGAGCGTGTGTCTTCTCGACGAGAGTCACTGCAACGAGATCGAACGCTCTGAGAAAGACTGGTTCAGCAAGCCACACATGATCGGCGGGCATATTGCAGACGCAGGCGAAAATTTATGGCTCAGCAGCTGATCGCTTGAGGAGACGATGCTAGTCTCGGTGCAGGATGACGCATAAATATATACGGCTCCTGGAGCGACGCGATCTGCTTCTGTGGATCTGAAGGCCTTGGGAGAAGCACACGCATCGTCTGTACCTGGGGATCTCCTGATGTTCGTTGATAGGTGCGTATAAAAGCGGTCAAAATGAAACTTCACGATGGCACATTGCGCAAATAATTGCGGACGATCTCAAACCCTATTTTGTCACTCATTGGAATTGTCTGCTGCATTTCGGTGATGTGAAAGATTGGTTTCTGAGAAGCGATGTCGGTAGTCATCTCAGTGAACGGGCTACATATTGGGACGTGTATATACTAAAGACACAGAGAGACGACATCGATGGACGACAATAAGGTGTTAAGTCGTCATCGAGAATTTATCTTCGTGGGACACAGAACAAGGCGTGGTAGGTCCTGAGCGTGGCTGTTCAGACACATGCGCCAGGAACAAATCCGAGACGAATACATGGCATGGGATTTGCTGAGGATTTGATCTCCATAGCGCCGCTATTTAAGAGGCTCTTCATCAGGCCATCGAGCTGTGTTCGAAATGTCGGACTGCTCGACGTGGTAGTCTGCTAAGCGCTGTAAGAAACGAAGCCGGGGCATGGGAGTAAAATATTTGGCTTGGTAATGAGACCATTATAAAACGCTTGGAGGCTTGGGATGAATCGCAACATAGATTTGAGGATTGCGATCAACATGGGTATTTGGCTACTCTGAAAAAACATCACTCGTGGAAGGCTGTGGCCAGAGGAAGTGCCGCTGCAACAGCACAGCGAGATATCAAGTATGCCTTCATGATGGCCACAAGCTGAGCTACGAAGACCTAGTAATTCCCTGCCATACTATAGAAGCAACACTAGTAAAAGGCTACGTGACAGCAACAAAGTGATGTGGTCTTGAGTGGGTTAAACATTAAATCTAAAATCTACACTTCTATGAGGGACCTGAGCTGAGCAGTGATGCCTCTGTTTGTACAAGTAAATCACCCAAACGCCTTGCATTTAAATCCCGGAGGGGAGCCACGCGCTCGACCCTCTCAATCCCGAACCATAAGCAACGCGCGGACGACCTCCTTACTCGAGGTTCTGCGCCTCGCACATCTGCTTGTACATGCCGCCCTTGGCGACCAACTGCGCGTGCGTGCCCTTCTCGACGATCCTGCCACCGTAGAAGACGCAGATGGTATCCGCGTCCTTGACGGTCGACAGCCGGTGCGCGACCGCAATTGTGATCCTCTCCCCGTCCCTCGCCGCCTCGTTGAGCGCCCGCTGCACCACCTTCTCCGACTCGGTGTCGAGCGCGCTCGTCGCCTCGTCGAGCAGCAGAATCCGCGGGTTGCGGATGAGCGCCCGCGCGATCGCGATGCGCTGCCGCTGGCCGCCAGACAACTGCATGCCGCTGCTGCCGCAGGGCGTGGCCAGCCCCTCGGGCAGCGACGAGACGAAATCCCAGGCGTTGGCCGCGCGGCAGGCCTCCTCGATGCGGGCGTCGGGGACGGCATCGAGGGAGTCGGAGTCGATGCCGAGGGCGATGTTCTCGCGGATGCTACCCTGGAAGAGGGTGGGCTCCTGCTGGACGAGGGCGACGAGCTGGCGGTAGAGGCGGGGGTTGAGGTCGGCGAGGGCGGCGTCGCCGTCGATGCGGATGGTGCCGGTGGTGGGGTCGTAGAAGCGCTCGAGCATGGCGATCATGGTGGACTTGCCGCAGCCGGAGGCGCCGACGAGGGCGACGAACTGGCCCTTCTTGATCTCGAGGTCGACGCCGCGGAGGACGTGGGCGTCGGGCCGCATGGGGTAGGAGAAGCGGAGGTGCTCGAAGTCGAGGGACCGGCCGGCCTTGGGGGCCCTGTCGCGGTTCTCGGGCGTCTCCTGGATCAGGGGCTGCAGGTCGTGGAGCCAGAAGAGGTAGTTGGCGGCGTTGATGCCCTTGGTCATGCTGCTGGAGTACTGGAAGAGCTGGGCGGCGGCTTGGCCGGAGAAGAAGGTGCCCATGAAGGCGACGAAGAACTGGTACATGCTGATCTCGTTGAAGGAGAGGAGCCGGCAGCCATACCTGGGGTGGTGTTAGCGGAAGGTTTCACGACGAAACAAGATAGGAAGATTCTCACCAGAAACCGAGAGCCATGAAGAAGTACTCAATGCACTGGGTCAGGCCAAACGCAATCGTCATGATGAACAACGGCGCCGTCGAGGCCCTGACTGCGTTGTCGAGTTCGGTCGTGTACCTCTTCAAAACCGACTCCTCAATAGCCAGAGAGGAAACCGTCCGGATAGCCGTCACCGACTCTGAAGCGATCGCCGCGCTGGCAGAGTAGCGCTTCGAAGTGCTGTTATCGAGCTTGGCATCGAGGCGGACCTTGATGTAGCCCGAGCTCACGAGAGGCGGCATTCCAGCGAGCACGACGACCAAGCCAAGCTTCCAGGTGGTAGCGATGGCCAGGATACTGCAGGCTACGACATTGAGGGTCGAGATCAGGATGAGGCCGATGTTGAAGCCCATCAGCTCCAGGATGGACTGCGGGTTGGACTCGAGTCTGCTGGCAAGAGCACCCGTGTTGTTCTCGGCACGATCGAAGAATTGGAGGTCTTGCCTCAGGAAGTCGTTGAGTGCTTGCTTGCGGAGCTTGTGGTTGAGGCCCTGCTTCAGGTCAGAAAAAGTCACTGAAGGAGGCTTAGGGGGAATCATACCTGGGCGATGATGTTTGTGGACCAGCCCATTGCGAAGTAGCAGACGAACACGCCGAGGGCAAGCACGAAGAACATAAGCGAGTAAAAGTTGCCCTTCTTGATCATCTCTGAACCGGTAAGAGTGAAGACGTCGACGAGGTTTGCGATGATGAGCGACTGGCCAGGGAATGCACCAGCTGCAGCAACATTAGTTTCGGCGACCAGAGTCGGAGCTCTCAGACTTACCTGCGACGACGACGGCAATAACGGTGAAGAGATAGGCCCACTTCAGCTCGGGAGTCTCGCGAACCATTCGAATGACGACACTGATGAGGCCCTTGTGGTCGTGGTGGTCGTAGTTGTCGCGCTCCTTTTGCGCCTCCATGCGAGTCTGGTCTGCGGTTCGGTAGCGGCTCATGGTCTTTGTCATTTCGATGTTCTCCTTGGGAGGGGCGGAGTCGTCGTCGTCTCCCTCGGTCTCGGTGATGGATCCCTCTTCTGACACGGACAAGTTCTGGGCTCTCACAAGACGGGTGTAGGCGCCGTCCTGCTTGAGTAGTCCCTCGTGAGTGCCCTGCTCGACGATTTTGCCCTTGTTCATCACGACGATATTGTCTGCCTTTCGAATAGTTGCCAGCTTGTGGGCGATGGTGATCGTGGTGCGGCCTTTGGAGGCTTCGTCGAGAGCTTGCTGTACGACACCTTCGGCGTGGGGGTCGAGGGCACTCGTGGCCTCGTCAAGGAGGAGTACCTTGGGCTGCGAGATGATACTGCGGGCGATGGCAACACGCTGCTTTTGTCCACCCGAAAGGAGACCACCGCGCTCACCAATCATGGTGTCGTATCCCTCCGGCAGCTGCGAGACGAAGTCGTGGGCGAAAGCGATCTTGGCTGCCTCCTGCACGCGTTGCATTTGTTCTTCTCGCGAGGAGTTTTCCCATTCCGTTCCGACCAGGCCGTTGACGATATTGTCGAAGACTGTGCCTTGGAACAGGACGGGCTCCTGCTGAACAAGCCTGACATTCTTCCTGAGCCAGTTGAGGTTCAGACGATCAATCGGTGTCCCATCCAGCTTGATTGTACCGTTCTTGGGGTTGTACCAGCGCTCGATCAGGCCGATGATAGTACTCTTTCCAGAACCAGATGAACCAACGAGGGCGGTGACCTTGCCAGCGGGGATATGCAGAGAGAACTGGTCCAGCACCGTGACTCCGGGTCTAGTCGGATACGCGAAGGTGATGTTCTCGAGGTCAACAACTCCCACGGTTTCTTTTGGTTGCTCGCCAGACTTGTCGAAGGGGTCGATATCGGAGGCCCGGTCGATGAGCTTGAACAGCTGAGCGGCGGCTGAGGCAGCGCGGGTGAATTCGATGATGTACGGGGTCAACATGGTGAGACTGGTTGTACCGATGACGACGGAGAGAAGGACGCTGAGACTTGTTAGCTAAATTTGCGTGTTTACCGGGTGGAGGTGAACCTACGTAAAAATGTCGCCAGACTCGGTGATCTCGCCCCGGTTCAACATGTGAACACCCTGCCAGAAAGCCAGGGCGAATCCGGCATAGATGACGAAGTACTCAGTGGAGAACAAGATGCCGAAGAGGGGTGACTTCTTCCTTCCGAGGTTGTGCGCATCTTGAAGAAACTTGTCGAACTTCTGAACCAGCCTTGAGCGAATCTCAAAAGCGTGTACCGTGCGAGCGGCGGACAGAATGCCCTCTGAAAACGAACCGGCCTGGGCGTAGGTATCGAGGATCTTGGTCTCCAGAGAGGCCTCATACGTCGACGCAACACCCATGACGACCAAGATGAGGGGCGCAATGCCGACGACGATGAGGGTGAGCTTCCATTGTGTGACGAAGGAGACGATGAACGCGGTGACGAAGACGGCCAGGCCCTGGAAGGTCAGGGCGAGCTTCTCTGAGATTCCGGTCTGGATCAAGCGTCCGTTTGAGATGGCCTGGGTGGCGATGGAGCCGCCGGTGCCGAAATCGTAGAAGGCGACCTCTTGTCGGAGGGCCGCGTGGAGGTACTTGTGTCGGATGTTTCTGGTGATGCGGTAGGCGGAGAAAGTCGTCAGGGAAATGTAGGCGTAAGAGAGGGCGAACCTCGCAATCCCCAGGTAGACGAAGTAGAGACTAACGGGGTCAGCTTGAAACGCATGCGCCGAAGAGAATGGGACTGGACTTACGCGAGTTTGGAAACCTCACCGCGGAAGAAGGACGGGGAGGACTTTCCAGTGGTGAAGTCCTGAATGGTGGTGACGAAGCTGCCGAAGATCAAGTTCTGGAGCGCTATTCCGGCGCCAGAACCGATGGCGCAAATCACAGCGATGGTTTGGAGGAGACGCTCGAAGGCACCTCCATATGTGAATATCCTCTAGGATGGCGTTAGCATGACATGGCGTCCCCAGTTCGGGCCGTTGGCGGGGTCGGTGTGTGGCTCGTACCAAATAGGCCTTGAAGGCGCCGCCCTCCTCTTTCACGGCCTCGGCCGGCGAGGACTCCGTAGCGGCGAAGTCCTCCGCCGGAATCTGCTGCTTCTTTTCGGTGTCGGCCCCCATTATTTTCGCGGTGTTGGTTCGTTATCGCGAACCGCGAAGACTGGGTAAAAAAAGATTGGGTGTCGGACTTTGACTTGTGGTGACGTCGAGATGTTGATGTCCTTCCCTTTTCAGATGGAGTTGGAGAAAGCAAGGGTCTTTTTTGCTGGACTCGCTGCAGCTTGTTTGACTGGAAAAAACAACGGACGAAGGCAGTTATAGGTCCCGGCGCCTCGTGAAATTTGAGACGTGTTTTCGGAGGCTCTCACGAACGAGTCCGAACATGTTTGTCTTGGACTTGTGAAAATACCAGATATTTGCGACAGGTTGACCGAATTACGGGAGTCGCAAAGCCGTCATTGAAGCTCTTAGACGCGTCCGCGGACCGCCGTCAGGGACCCGGAAGAGTGGGTCCCAGGAGCTACCCGGCCGACGAGGGCCGACTTGATTGGTCCGTGATTACTTGGCGGACTCGCAGCGGGGGCCGAGGGGCGCTCTGTCCGGCATCCCACAGCGTCGGGCGGCGGGTTTCTCGGGACGCGAGATTCGCACATCCTGAAGCTCATCCCTGCGGACTTTTCGGACAATCAGGAGCTGTTAAAATGGTTCGTCGCGTCCGCGTCCGCCGTCCAGACTTGACTTGTAGTCAGCTCTCAGTCGTGTTCGAATGATTCGAACGCGTGGTCCATGAATGACGATGACTCTTTCGCCGCGCATCTCGGCGTTTCTTGAGACGCAGTAGCGCCCCGCGTCCGCGGACACACGCTCAAACAAGACGTGTGAGACCTTTCGAACTCGCCAAAGCGTCGAGGTGAGCGGAACGGGGCAACACTTCCACCGTTTCTGCTACCCTCTCCCAGCGTCTCCCTTATCCTTCTTATCTACTACATGCACTACATGTAGTTGAGGTCCGGCCAAGAAGCTAAGCCATCTGGGGAAGTTTTAGCCAGGCGAGGTGGTTAGTAGAGACTTTTGGTGAAGCACGCAGTGACCATCACCACCACCTCGGAAGAGCTTGCGGTTCGAGGGAGAGATACAGGAAGAAGTTTCGTCCACCAACTCTGTGCTGACAGCTGCGGAAGGTCCTGGGGTTTTAGACAAATCCTCAAGGCTGCACAAACTAGGTTTGTCGTGGTTGATGTCAGTTATTCGGTGACAGACGACGTCTTTACATTCTCACTTAGAACGGACCAAATGTCAGTGGGGTTGACCCCTGAGCGGTGCCGGTGCCGGTGGGATAAGCCCGAAGATGCATCGTAGTACCGCTAGAACGGGGGATCTACCGCGTACTGACCAATCATCATGTCGGAAACAGGCCCGTATCCTCGTTACAACTTACAATTCTCTGCTACGGCGCCGAAGGGTTGCCCTGGATAATTGGCCATGCTTGTTCCATGAAAGGCCCGTTGTCACAGGGGAATTTGAAGCTTAAGTGCTAAAATTGTTCGTCCGTCTCTTGTTACTTGTAACTGAGTCTTTCACATCAAACCATCCATATGAACTTCCCTCGGTTCCTCTTCTTCTCTCAACCGTTGCTCGTCCCCTTTCCACTGCATATACGAACCATATAACGTCTAAGCCTCAACTTGGCCCCCAGCCTCTACAATAGAGGAGTCTAGTGCAAGAGAAAAGACTCTGTACAGCCACCGGCATCCCATCCACAGCCCGGCGGCACCGATCCATAAGTCCTTCGCTTGCGGGCTCCGCGCGCCCCGCATCCGTTTCTAATTAGGACCTCAAAGAACGCCTCCAGACCGCAAACCTCGCCCCCGAACTCATTGCTGAGTTCCGAGCTGCTACGCCCACTCTTCCACCTTGTTCGGAGCCCGACCGTGCCCCCTTCCGAGTCTTCTTGGTCTCCACCTTCCGCTCTTTTTCGCTCTCCTCCGGCTCGGCATCTCCAACTCTCTCTCATCCGCCCCGCCGGCTTCCTGAAGACCCTTGGTAGTGTTTCTGACCTCTCAGTCAAGTGACAGGGCTCAACCTCTTTAAGCTCTTTCTCGTATCCCGCCGGCCATCATGGACGCCGAATCCTCGGGCGCTGGCGCCGGGGCGAGTGGTTCCGCTGGACCCCCAAGCTCCTCTCTGCCCATCAAACGCGCCGTAAGACTTTCGCAATGTCTCGTCTCATGAGAATCCTGTGCTAACAGATTCTGCAGTGCGATGCCTGCCGCGCTCGCAAGGTAATTCAATATCAACACCTCCCCCACCAACCTCACCCCCCTTGTCCTCTGGTGTAGCCGTAATCGGCGCTATGTCACTCAAGCCAGCTCATTGGGCACGTGGAGCTGATCCCCAAATCTCCCCAGATTCGCTGCGATAGGGAGACCCCCTGTGCTCATTGTCAACACGCCGGCATCGAGTGCAAAAACACTTCAGGGCTCAAGCCCAAGGAGAAGAGGACTCGCATTCTCATTACTCCCCAATAGTGAGTGGATCATCTCGTCGTATTCTTCAAAAACCTTGTTTCTCAACCGTCACTCTTCCGTTTAGCGAGAAGAAGATCGACCTCATAGACCGTCGCCTAGACGGCGTCGTCCGTCTTCTCGAAGACCTCAAACTGCAACTACCCACCGCCGCGACGATTACGGCCGCGGCCTCGTCCGCCTCCGCCGCGACGGGATCCGCCCCGCTGCCCTCGCAACCCGTCGTCGCTCCTACTTCAACACCCGCCAACCATGCCGACATCGTGCAAGCAACCGGCTACATGGTCGAGGGTGAATCCTCCATGACGGCCCAGTCCATCTTCGCTCACGAGTTCCTCCGGAAAACGGTCGGTGACGCTTCGTCGGTCCTCGAGATGCGGGAGACGCTCGACGCCCTTCACTCGCTTGTCGAGGCGCTCAAGCAACAACCCACGGCGCACGAGCTCACGTATCCCCACGCCAGGATCCTGCGGCGGCCTGCTTTCAGCGACTGTGAGATGCCTCCGGTACAATCCGCCGTCGGCATCATCCGTGATGGAAAAGGTATGTGTCCACATGGGAGCCCTTCCACAATCATGTGTCTGACTTGGAAAAGCTCAACGGATTCTCGGTCTGGAGTGGATCAAGAACTTCCTTCACTTGGACCATTTCACGGATTTGGCTCTCAAAATATACTTTGCGCCGACCGAGTTCAATGAAGCCGAGTTCATCATCGTGAACGCTGGATTGGAAGCCCTCTATTTGGACATGATCATGTCAGCAAAGGTCACGGAGCAGCAGAAGGAAGAATACACTAAAATGGGTGCTCTGTGTCGTGATAATCTCGAGACTGCACTTGCAAATCTTCCCTTGCACCTGCCGGCTACCATGGACATGATCGTGGCCCTGCTCTTTGGAGTGAGTATCAACACGAACTCGAATTTGAACCTTTCCACTCACAAGCAACAGTCATATCACGCCGTCGAAGTAGCCAAGCCCTCTCTGGCATGGACACTGAACTGCGCGGCGGCTCAGCTGTGTCAGACCCTGGGTTACCACCGCATACTCTCCGTCAAGAGCGGCAACCGCGATGACGAAGACTACAAAATCTTTCTCTTTTGGTCCGTCTACTTCGTCGACAAGAGTCTGTCCCTCCGCTTGGGACGACCGTCCACGATCTCAGACTACGACATCACCGTCCCTTACCCGGCCAGCTCCAGCAAGATCCACGGCGCATTGATGAGCTACTTCTGCCTGTGGGTCATCGTCTCCAGCATCCAGGGCAAGACCTACGAGCAGCTGTATAGCCCCGAGGCAATAGCGCAGCCCACATCGGTCCGCGAAGGCCGGGCTCGTGGCCTCGCGGCCGAGCTGCAGCGGGTGACGGAACGCACACAAGAAACTCATGTAAGTGGATAGGAAGTAGGTAATGGTGAAGCCCGCGAGACTGACTGTTGGGCAGTCGCAATACCTGCAGACGGCGATCGAGGCAGTCGGAGAGAACACCATGGACTTTTTCAACGTCTCTGACGAGGTTTTACGGCTGTCGCTGCTAACCATCATCTACCGAGCCGTGCCGTCGCCGCCCGGGTCTCCGACGACATTTGGCACTGAATGCATCGACGCGGCAAGGGCGACGCTCCAGAGGCATCAGGACTGCATGGAAATCATGGCCAAGGACGGCTACTACCTCTTCCCCATGTACATGAACTGGTAAGTGATGCACGCGATGCCGCGATCTCGCCGAGACTGACTTCTCCTGTTTCCAGGACGATCCTCTTCGCGCCATTTGTGCCGTTCATCGTCATCTTCTGCCAAGTGATGGAAACCAGCGACGCGGCGGACCTGGCGCGGCTGCAGGCCTTCGTGTCGTCGATCCAGGCGGCCAAGGAGTTCACCGAGGCGTCGGCGCGGCTGTACCGGCTGTTCCAGGTGCTCTACAACGTGGCGTTCCGGTACGTCGAGATGCGCAACAACGCGCAGCCGTCGGAGCAGGCGCAGACGACGCAGGAGATGGACAAGTACCTCGCGGCGCTCGGGTTCCCGCCGGCGGGGCTGGGCGGGGCCGCGGAGCGACAATCGGGCGGAGAAGTGGGGGGCTCGGAGGGTATGGTGGGGTCGTCGTTCGAGGACGGGGCGGCGAACCCGGCCGGCAGCGGTCCGCTTAACCAGATGATGTGGATGGGCAACGCGACGCAGCTGGAGGATTGGTTTTACAGTAACCAGCAGATGATGGGGTTGGTGGAGGACGACGCGTCGTTTTTGCAATAAGGCTCTGATTTTGCCGGGGTTGCATCGGTCTCGAGAGGGGCCATGGGAGCGGTTCAAGAACATGGCGGAAAATGTACTGATGTCGTCTTGGGGCATTCTCGCGGGTAGAGAGAGCGAGATAGAGGTCGGAGTTGTAGAGGTGCCCGTTGAAAAGTGACGGCATATTGTAGCGACATGGGCTTTGGTTTTGGTTCTGCTGCGGCATGGCTTGGAAATACCACGGTTTTGTGGACGAAGATTACACTCAGCTCATCACGAAATCCATCAACGCACAAAACGCATGTGTGCACAAGGCGGTCACGGTTTCTCCAATTCGAGTGGTCGAAAACCGTTGTTGTGGCTGCATTAATCTAGCTGAAGAATATGTCTCTCCTCCTCGGACGTCGCAGTTCCATTGGCTTAGTGTTCCCGTCTTCTCCTGCCGCATCTTGCAACCGCCCGCCTTCTTAGCCCGAGCTAGCCGACGCATGTTTCCTTCTCCTGTGCACGCCTGCATGTGGATTCAAACGTTCCCTCAGCATGTGACGGAATTCGTCATCAGGCTGGGTCAAGTCAACTTGAGATGATGCCTGGTAAGTTCAAGCCGCCATCTAGATGCAGAAGATTATCTTCGAGAACGCAATGAGTCCATCAATTCACTACATGAAGTGAACAGAGTAGGATCAATGAGAAACGGGTCACAAGAAGGGAGCACGGAAGATGCGGATACCCACGGAAACAGCAGATACCTTGGACAAACTGGTGCAGCTTCTCCGCATTTCGCGGTGGGACGCGGCAATGAAGACGGGACAGGAAGGGGTCAGGGATGATCTCTCGCAGCCCGAGCTGCATGATAGCCCATGAAATCTTTACCCGTTCTCTCCCTATGAGACGGATTTCTGCATGGCTGGTGGAATTGGGCAAGAAGTCCATCCAGGAGAGCTTTATCGACGCCTTATCGGGTGCTTGGATGGCGGGGAATAAAGCCGTGCCTGCCATGTTTTAGCGCCATCGTGATGCTCAGTATCCACAACCCCACACCCCGCACTGGAGAAGCGGGTCCAGGGCGCTCTCGAGGTAACTTCTTCCCTGCACCGAAGGCAATGCACCAGGCCACTTCCACCAACACCTCACACCATCCACACAAGCTTGCCGTCGCACATAGGTATGGATACACACCACAGCACACCACAGCACACCACACCACCACATTGCGGCCGGCGCTTTCTCCAGCTGTTCGTCTAGGGTTGCCTCGCGGAACTTCCGTAACCGCATTTTCTTCTATCCGGTTATTTTACCCATGACGAGGCGAAGCAGAGCAACGCGGGGTGACCACCTTGGCGAGTACCTCCAAGCTTACAAGTCAAGCAATGATTGGAGGAGCTTGGAGCTTCTGCTGCGACATCTGCGACACGCTTGACCGATCCTGCACTCCCGACTAAGGGCACGATGGAAGGGTGGGAGAGATCAAGGATCTGGATGCGCGGAGGAGCATAGGACAGGGGAGGTCAGAGAAGTGAAGGGTAGCGGAAGGACGGGGACGGGGACGGGGATGGCCGCCATGACGAGACGCGGTTGAATAACGTGACACAGGTCAAGGCCGTTGTTTGCTCTTCCTCGGGCGCAAAGTCAATCCCAACTCTAACCTTCTCCTTCTTCCTCCCCCCCCCCTTCTTCGTGTCTTCTTTTCCCCTTCCACAACAACTCTCTAGCTTGCTCACGCGACCAACACCAAACACGCGAGCTTCGCGCCGTCTGTCCCGTCTGTCGGTTTCTCGGCAGTAACAAACGACAGATGAGAAAGCATTGCCCAGCCTCGCCGCCCCGGCTCTGTTAGCCTGGATGCTCGAAGCCCCTCCATCACCATGGTGAACCTCTCCGTTCTACGGCCGGCTCTGGCCACTAACCTCTGCACTACCCGCGCTTCCGGGCGGCTCGTCCCTCGCTCCTGGCCGGTCGGTCTGGGTAAGCCAACTTCTTCCCGGCACTAGGCGACGAGCGACCTTGATTGCTTCGCGCTTGATGCTAATTACCCCGCAGTAGACGTCGCGCCATCTCTTATCGCCATTGAAGGCCAGAGAAAGTGGCATTCCAGCCATGCGCGAGCTCGCCAGACGAAAGCCCTCGTCCCGGCCGTCTCGAAGCCTCTGCAGCTCGTCCGCCATGCTTCCGTCGTCTCTGGGCCCGGCCCCGTGGCTACGGCGACCTACTCCACGGTCGTGGAACCGCAAACTGTGCCGTACGCACAACTTACTGTTGGCGTGCCAAAAGAGATCTACTTGAATGAGCGCCGTGTCGCGTTGACTCCGCAGAATGTAGCTTTGCTGCTCAAGAAGGGCTTCTCCAATGTCCTCGTGGAGCGCGGCGCTGGAGTCGAGGCCGACTTTCCAGACGCTGCCTACGAGACCGCTGGCGCAACAATTGTCGACAACGCAAACCAGGTCTGGTCCGGCTCCGACATCGTGCTCAAGGTCCGCGGGCCTATTCCCGCAGAAATCGAGCTCATGAAGGAGAACCAGACAGTCATTTCCTTCCTCCAACCCGCACAGAACAAACCCATTGTTGAGAAGCTTGCGGCGCAGAAAGCGACGTCTTTCGCCATGGATCTAATCCCTCGTATTTCGCGCGCCCAGGTCTTCGATGCCCTCAGCTCTATGGCTAACATTGCTGGCTACAAGGCCGTTCTCGAGGCCTCAAACAATTTTGGTCGCTTCCTGACAGGCCAGGTCACGGCCGCCGGCAAGGTACCTCCGTGCAAAGTGCTCGTCATTGGCGCCGGCGTCGCTGGTCTCAGCGCGATCGCGACTGCGAGGAGGCTCGGGGCCATTGTCCGAGGCTTTGACACACGGCCTGCAGCTCGCGAGCAGGTCCAGTCGCTCGGCGCCGAGTTCGTCGAGGTCGACATCAAGGAAGACGGTTCAGGAGCTGGCGGGTACGCCAAAGAGATGTCCAAGGAGTTTATCGAGGCCGAGATGAAGCTCTTCACCGAGCAAGCACGCGAGGTCGACATCATTATTACCACTGCTCTGATCCCCGGAAAGCCCGCGCCCAAGCTGATCACCAAGGCGATGCTCGAAATCATGAAGCCTGGTTCTGTTGTCGTTGACCTAGCAGCCGAGGCTGGTGGTAACTGTGAAAAGACCCGACCAGGTGAGCTGTACGTGTACAAGGACGTCAAGATCATTGGTAAGCTGCTGAAGTGAATTCCACCCTAAAGGTCTTTGCTCACGGTCTCGCAGGTTATACCGACCTACCCTCTAGACTCCCGACCCAATCTTCGACTTTGTACTCTAATAACATCACCAAGTTCTTGCTGTCTATGGCTCCCAAGGAGAAGGAATTCGGAATTGACCTCTCTGACGAAGTCGTTCGTGGCGCGATCGTCACCCGAAAGGGAGACGTTCTTCCTCCCGCGCCTCGACCAGCACCGCCACCTGCTCCAGCTCAAGCTGCGCCTGTGGCCAAGGAGGCTGAAGTCGTAGCTCTGACGCCTTTCCAGAAGACATCCCGTGAAGTCGCGACCGTCACAGCCGGTATGGGAACTGCACTGGCACTGGGCAAGATGACAGGCCCCCTGTTCATGGGCAATGCGTTCACTTTCGCCCTCGCCTCTCTGATCGGATACAGAGTCGTCTGGGGAGTCACTCCCGCTCTGCACTCGCCACTCATGAGTGTGACCAATGCTATCTCGGGTACGTTATGTTCTGCAGTGCGTCCACTCCGTAAACTAACACGGTACAGGAATGGTCGGAATCGGTGGCCTATTCATCCTGGGTGGCGGCTATCTTCCTCAAACCTTCCCACAGGTCCTCGGCGCACTATCAGTTCTGCTCGCATTTGTAAACGTATCTGGCGGCTTCGTTATCACCAAGCGTATGCTCGACATGTTCAAGCGACCAACCGATCCGCCCGAATACCCATGGCTCTACGCCATCCCTGCCGCTGTATTCGGCGGCGGATACGTCGCTGCAGCTGCTACTGGAGCCGCAGGCCTGGTTCAGGCGGGCTACGCCGTCAGCTCTGTTCTCTGCATCAGCTCTCTTTCCAGCCTAGCCTCGCAATCCACCGCTCGTATGGGCAACATGCTGGGCATGCTCGGAGTCGGCTCCGGCGTGTTGGCGTCTCTCCTGGCTGTTGGTTTCTCCCCGGAAGTGCTTACCCAGTTTGGCGGTCTTGCGGCTCTCGGAAGCATTGCTGGTCTCCTCATCGGAAAGCGGATTACTCCTACCGATCTACCTCAGACGGTCGCCGCCCTACACTCTGTTGTAGGCCTGGCTGCTGTTCTGACTTCCATCGGAAGCGTGATGGCACACATTGAAGATGTCTCAACATTACATCTCGTCACGGGATACTTGGGAGTTCTGATCGGCGGCATCACGTTTACAGGATCCATCGTTGCCTTCCTCAAGCTCGCAGGAAGAATGTCCTCCAAGCCGCTTCAGTTGCCTGGAAGACATTTGCTAAACTCGGGTATGCTCACGGCAAACGTTGCCACCATGGGTGCCTTCGTGACGATGGCACCTGGTTCACCATTGATTGCCGCCGCAGCGTTGTCGGCAAACACCATTCTCTCCTTCGCCAAGGGCTACACTACAACAGCAGCGATTGGCGGTGCGGATATGCCAGTCGTCATCACGGTGCTGAACGCCTACTCTGGGTTCGCTCTGGTAGCCGAAGGCTTCATGCTGGACAATCCGCTACTGACTACCATCGGAGCATTGATTGGTGTATCCGGTTCCATTCTATCATACATCATGTGCGTCGCGATGAATCGATCGTTGACGAACGTCCTCTTCGGCGGTATATCGGCGCCGCAGCAATCGGACTACAAGATAGAGGGCTCAGTAACACAGACAAACGTCGAAGACACAGCTGAAGCGCTCGTCAACGCAGAGAACGTCATCATAGTAGTGGGCTACGGAATGGCCGTGGCGAAGGCGCAGTATGCCATCAGCGAAATCACGAGTATGCTTCGCGCCAAGAACATCAACGTCCGCTTCGCCATTCACCCCGTTGCCGGCCGTATGCCCGGGCAATGCAACGTGCTCCTGGCGGAGGCGAGCGTGCCCTATGACATCGTCTTGGAGATGGACGAGATCAACGATGACTTCAACGACACCGACGTGACCCTGGTCATCGGTGCCAATGATACTGTTAACCCCATCGCGTTGGAGCCGGGCAGCCCGATCGCCGGAATGCCCGTCCTGCAGGCGTGGAAGAGTAAGCAGGTCATTGTGATGAAGAGAGGCATGGCTAGTGGATATGGTAAGCATCCCGGTATGATACTTGTGATGAGAATCAGCTTTGCTAATAACGTGCAGCCGACGTACCGAACCCCATGTTTTACATGCCCGGAACGCGCATGTTGTTTGGAGACGCTAAAGTTACTTGCGACGGTGCGTCCCCTTTTCCCCATCACACTGACGCGCGATGCTGACTTCTTCCATTAGCAATCAAAGCAGCCGTCGAGGCCCGAGCAACATAGAGTCTTAGAAAGATCTCCTTTACAAGCGTCGATCCTCGGTGGCATGTCCTGACTTGAAGAGCATCTTGACTAGAGGCACTGCATCTACAGGGGGCTCTCTTATGGTTTTCTTTGTGGCTTGTTATGTTGGTTTGTGACGATTTGATGTATATACCGATGAAGTGTGGTTGAAGCATCTATGCAATATACGCCGTCTTATTATCGAGCCAAGTTTTCTCATTTGTCATGCATGGCTTTTTGGATGTAAGCCAAGAAGCCCCCTTCCGATATCACAGTGGGCAAAAGAGTGCCCCGTGAAGAATTGAGATCATGCAATTGGTAGCCGCAACGTCGGGCGACCTCGGTGCTTCCAAAGTAGTGTCTAGGGCCGATATAATACCTGTTTTGGTATGTGGTCTTTCGCGGGCCCTCGGGTACCTGACCTACCTACCTACCTTACCTTCCAGACCTCCCCACTGTGGGTTTTTAACCTTGGCCTTCTTTCGACTTCGTCAAGTCTTCAAGGGGCGAGGATTTTTCTCCAATACACTCCTCTGTCATCCCTTCAACTCTCTTGGCACGACGAATTGAGCCGCGGACCGACTGATGTTGCTGCGCCGCCTTCCGAGCCCCAGTCAATCATTCGACAAACGGCCTCCGGTGCTTCCAGCTTTACGTTCAGACTCACCAAGGCAATGGGCGTAGACAATCGAAACTCTGCATTGGCAGATGAGACCGACAAGACAGAATCATCGAATCGATGAGCCAAATGAGAAAATCTTGACTCAAGGCTGGCACAACCACACCGTTTCTCCCACGTTTTCACGAACTTTACCGCCACACTGCCACACTGCCACAGAGTTTTGAACGACTTCAGATCAAAAAAGCAACGGGCGAACGCCAAGCAAAGCTTCTCCAAATCTTGGCGTGTTCTTCTTCCCGGCATCATATCGGACCTCACCCGACGCGTCTTGGCGTTCGCAATCCGATCGCGAAGGGACGACGACGGACTTGCGCCTTTTTTTCCAAGTTCGCGAGCGTCCTCCAGGATTTCCCTTCTTCATGGGTCAATTGGGATCCTTTCGACTTTCATTTCGTTCGATTACGATTTCCGCCAAAAAGTCTCTCATATGAAAGGTGGTGAGCGAGCGTGTGTGTTCCCTCCCACGACCAAAAGATCCCCGCCTTGGACCCCTGTTCCTGACTTACACGGTGACCAGCCAATCACGAATGCCAATTCGCCCACGAGGTCGAGCTCGACGGCCAAGATTAGCTCTCCCGGAGCAACATCTCACGACTCCCACGCCGTGCCTTCTCTTGTCATTCTAGTGCCTTGCCCCACGAACCGACAAGAAATAACTGTATCGACGAATCACGACGCTCACAGAGCAGATCCGATGCTTTTAAAGGCACACTGCCCGTCCTCGACCTGCAGCGCCAAGTCTACGCCACATGACGCCGTTCATCTCTTCTGCCCTCCGGTACCCCACGCTTCCAGGCTTCATCCCCAATTCACAGACCGAAGACACAGCTTTCCTCTTGCTGTCCCTGGCATCATCTCCGCCCGCCGCGCTTGACAAGAGGCTTGGCAATAACAGACCGAGCTGCCGGCTGCTCAGCCAGACGCAACACGTGCCTGTTTTGCTCAAAACGAGCCGTGAAGTTGCATTTTGCTTCCCTCGACCCAATAGCTCGTCAACCTAGCCGTCATGATATCGGCCTACCCGTCTCCCTCGCGGCCAATCGCACGTTGATGCTGGGGCCCGGGCGACGGAATCACACCCAACGCGATGGTCCAAAGTTCCTCCAGGCTGGGATTGCAACGCGCAATCTGCACCTTCCTCATCCCCGGCACCGACGGTGCTTGGCCCGCGAATGCGAGGATCCGCGAACCAACAGAAGTAGGTACTATGTAGTATGCTGTCATGCAGTGAAAACATGGCTCTGGGACCCCAGCTTCGGCTGGGGTGATCCCTCCCCGAACCCAATCGACATTGGATGACTTTTCTTCTTCTGTGGTGCTGCGGGAGGGTATATAAGCTCGCGAGCTGCAGGAAGCTTCCCTAGGTTCGGGTTCACTCCTGCTCACGCTTCACCGTCCCCTTGTCCCGACTCCGTTGACAGACAATTTCTCGTCGGATCAACAATGATGGCAAAGCTCAGCCCTATCGCAGTCCTGGCTGCCTCGCTGTCCCTCGTGTCGGCGCAGACCTACCAGAGACTTGGAACCTGCCCGGATCTCGGCTGCGTTCTCCCGCCCGACCAGTCCGACTTCCTGCCCGGTCAGCTCTTCGACCTCCGTGTCGAGGTCCATGCGCCCGTCAACGGCTCCGAGGCCTTCAACAACGGCGTCCCCGATGAGGCCTTCACCGTCACCATCGCCAAGGAGGGCGCCGCGGCCAAGAGCTTGACCGACTTCTTCGGCCTCGACGAGCCCGAGCTCGAGAAGTGGGAGTTCGGTTGGTACGAGGACCTCTTCGCCGAAGACGCCGGCCAGAAGAGCATGGTCAACGTCGCCTCCAAGATCTGGCGCCACATCGCCCTGTACGAGCCCGGAAACTACGAGGTCGTCCTCAAGTACTACGACGGAAAGACCACCACCGCCAACTGGGTCGTGCGACCTCTGGCGACGGAGAAGAAGGCCAAGAACGTCATCTTCTTCATCGGTATGGATACTCGGGTGCAATTGGTGTGACCTACCGCTCACAATGAACTCGCAGGTGATGGTATGACCACCAACATGGTCACCGCCGCCCGTCTCCTCGGCCACAAGAGCATCAACGGAAAGTACCAGACCAGCATGGCTCTGGACAAGTTCCCCGTCATCGGTCACCAGATGACCCACTCCATTGACAGCTACATCACCGACTCCGCCAACTCTGCTTCTGCTCTGTACTCTGGCCACAAGTCCACGGTCAACGCCATGGGTGTTTACGCTGATTCGTCAGCCGATGCTTTTGATGACCCCAAGGTCGAGACCATTGTCGAGCTTCTCCACCGTATCTGGGTAAGTGGTGTGCTGTACCTCATCTGTGAGACTTGCTTGCTGACGTATCCAGGGCTCTGCTTGGGGCGCCGTCTCTACTGCCTTCATCGCCGATGCCACTCCCATCGCCCTGACTGCTCACACTCGCTCTCGCGGCTTGTACGGACCTCTCATCGACCAAGCCCTCAACGGTGTCACGAACTACACCTGGACCAAGATGGAAGGCCCCGACGTCTACTTCGGCGGTGGTGCCGAGCAGTTCTTCGCCGGTAAGGGCACCTACCAGGGCAAGGACTACTACGAGGAGTTCGCCAAGAAGGGCTACACCGTCGCTCTCAACAAGACTTCCCTTGAGGCTGCCGACGCCAACGAGAAGACCCTTGGTATCTTCACCCAGTCTAACCTCCCCACCTGGCTCGACCGCAACGTCCTCACCGAGAACCTGGCCAAGCTCACCAACGACCCCACCGGCAACAAGAGCGCCGCTCTTGATATCCCCGGTCTCAAGGAGATGACCCTGAAGGCAGTTGAGATCCTCCACAACCGTGGCGGTGACGACGGTTTCTTCCTCATGTCCGAGGCCGCCTCCATCGACAAGCAGATGCACTCTCTCGACTATGACCGTGCCCTCGGTGACCTCCTTGAGCTTGACGACACCGTCAAGGCTACCCTCGAGAAGCTCGAGGAGCTCGGCATCCTCGAGGACACCTTGGTCGTCGTCTCCTCCGACCACGGCCACGGCTTCGAGTAAGTCACCAACTCCCACTCCCGCATCACTCGCACTAACACAACCCAGCGTCTTCGGAAGCGCCGACACCAAGTACCTCTCCGAGCAGGAGGACGACCGCACCAAGCGCAAGGCCGTCGGAACCTACGCCCAGTCCGGCCTCTCCCAGTACACCGTCGAGCAGCCCGGCATCAGCTACAACACGGGCCCCAACTTCCCCCTCAACTGGAGCCCCCGCTACGCCATCGCCGCCGGCGTCGGCGCCCGCCCCGACACCCGCGAGAACTTCGCCCTCCACGAGTCCGCCCGCACCCCCGCCACCCCGGCCGCCAACACCTCGGACTACTACGTCAACCCCAAGGACGCCGTCGACGGCTTCGTCGTCAACGGCACCATCCCCACCTCCGAGTCCCAGGGCGTCCACTCCCTCACCGACGTCGCCGTCTGGGCCCGCGGCCCCTGCCAGGAGACCTTCGGCGGCACCTACAACAACATCGACATCTTCTACAAGATGGCCAACTGCCTCGGCCTCGCCCAGCCCCGCAACGGCACCACGCCGTGCGGCAGCGCCGCTCGTCGCAGGCGCGCTCTTCACGTCTAAGATGCTGCTTTGCCTAGGTATTGATAGCGAGGATGTATTCTAGAAAAGCGAAAAAGCATGAGTGGCGTTGAAGGGTTGGCGGTTGTTGTTACAGAGGTGATAGATACCTTTTTACTTCTTGAGGTCTAAAACATAATGAATACACATAATTGACAACTATCGAAATGCTATTACGGATCACGCAGTTGTGACGCCACTCTGCAAGTGGTCCTCGCTGTTTAAGGGGTATAGAGATCTCATCGTGGCCCACAGCGACTTTGTGCGTGGCAGATCATGTCCGGATACGAGATGGGACGAACACGCACATACGCACCGGCCCGCGGCGAGGTGACATCCCCGAAGTACGGGCAGGCTCTTTGCATCACGCCCCTGCGGGGCATTTATATCGCCTTACACGAATGTACTGTTACACTGAGTACTCAAAGGGGCAAAAGGAAGCGGGAGTGCCGCCGTTGGGTATGGTCTAGATCAGAAACGGACGTCGTGGAGGTTGTTTCCGTTAACCTTCGTCTAACCGTGAGTGTATAGCCTGGAAACATACTTACAAGTCATTTTGGTCAATATATGGTTTCCGAGTTTGGGCAAGTGATTTGTCGAGTCTATGCTTCTACAGAGGCTCTTACGTTCATGATCCAAGTAACAACTTTGTCATGGGGAAGGTGTGATTTAGTCTGCTCTCGGATTCTTCGTCTGGGCATAATAATCTTTCCGACGAGAAACGCGTCCGACCTTCTTCGCAGATTTCATGGCGCAGCTTAGAATGTTTTAACGTCGACAGGATGATTTAAAGGAAGAGGATGACTTGTCAGATTTGGATACTTGTATTTGTATCTAAGCGAAGAAGAAGGGGGATTTATCAGAGACGGCGGGCAGATCCATGACATGTTAATGCTGGAGAGATACTTTTGAAGGCTTGCTCTAATTTCATGAGTATTTCGTCGTTGGTGATATTAATGCCCTGTTGCTGTTCTCGGGATTTGACGAGAGAGATTTCGCGTCTGTTCCATGTTCGTCATCGGCGCATCCGACGATGATGATGATCGCCCTCCCATATTGACATCTATACAGACTTGTGCAGAACATAAGCACAACCGTACTTCTGGGTATTGTTTATTCACAAGAGAGCGATCACCAAGTTTTCCGCAGCCAATTCCGCAAAATGCATATCACAAAATGATGAAGTGGCAGCGCACGTCCTCATCCACCCCGGCAGCAAATCGACTGATCAACGTACCACCACCAAACCGATCGTCAGTTCGCCCACAACCCACCCCGTGAACCGTCAATCTCAACCTAGTTCAAGGAAATCTGCCAACCTCGGTTTGTTCTTCCGAGATTCCGGCGTCAGTAGAACCATCCTCCGTGGGCTAGATTAGGGCACGGGTGAGCTGATCAGACCGATTGTTTTCCCAGGGTTACATCCCGGCTGGGATAATCATACGTGCAGCTGTCAAAAAGGATGTCGTGCATCATCCGCTTCCCTTGACCTTATATCTTTAGTCTGGTTTGATGAGCTTGGGATCTCATCGAGGTCCCGCCGATCTCCCGCCATCCCCGTCTCGGCGGCCATTCTTTTGACCTCATGCGGGCCACGGCGCAGGTCCAATCCGTGTATCGCCGCAAGAGTATTCGTGAGATACACGGAGTATGGTGGTCAAGCTGTCCATAAAAGTTCATGATGTCGAATTGCTTGATATGTACTCTCTCGGATGAGTCGGGCTTCATCCCCGATCCTTCTATTCTCAACCATGTATTCTATCCACTTCAGCCTCAACCTAAAGCATCACATCCACCTCATGAACACCACCCTCACCTCTCAGCAAGAACCTCCAAAATCCCCATCGCCTCCTCATCATCAACCTCCCCTTCGCCCTTCAAACAACTCGAGTGAGCCCAGACTCCCCCAAGCCCATCCACAACCCCGGCCACATTCCCACTCCTCACACCCCCTCCGACAATAACCTCCAGACCCCTCGGCTCCGCAGCCCTCACAATCCTCTCCAGCACCGCCCGATTCCCCACCGCGTTCCCGGGCCCGCCGGACGTCAACACCCCGGCAAACCCGCACTCCCCGAGCTCCCTCACCCCCCTCCCGACCGCCTCCTCCGTCCCGTCCCGCACGACCTCGTCAAAAGCCCGGTGGAACGAACACGCCAAGCCCCCCGCGGCCTCGACGAGCCTCCGATTCCTCTCCACGTCCACGACCACCCGGCCCTCCTCCTCGACCCGCACGACGCCGAACACGAACCCGTCCCCGCGGTCCTTTCTGAGTAACCCGCGAAAGGCCTCGACGTCGACGAGCATGCGCGCGAGCTCCGTCTCGGAGTAGACGAAATCCGGCGCGCCGTCGGCGGGGGGTCCGCGCGGCCGGATCATGATCCGCACGGGCACCGTGAGCCACTTCGTGACGCCCTCGAGGTCCGCGGGCGTCGGGGTCGTGCCGCCTGCCGGGTAGCTGCCCCGCGCGTTGAGCTCGATGCGCTGCGCGCCGAGGGCCTGGGCGTGCAGGGCCGAGGCGGGGGAGAAGACTGGTATCTCGAGGTTGGTTGGCATGTTTGTTCGTTGTGTTTGATCTGCGGCCCCCTCGTGGCTTGTTTGTGGTAGAGTTCGATGGTGCTGATAGGTGCGGGATGGTACGCCGAAAATGGGTGGTTGCAGTGTGGTTAACCACTTTTGGTGAGGGGTAACAATAGTGTAACGAGGCAAGGCAGGGAAGGATGGAAAAAAAGCAAGAATTACATTGCTGATGATTTTCTTGTTTTAATTGCCAGGAAGAGACCGATTTATAGAATATCGCAAAAAACATCTACTTTTCCAAATCCTGATTTCACGTCAACACATATTTCCCTTGCTCTGCCCGCTCGGACACCGGCTGCTTGATATCAGATCATGCCACGACCGATTCCCCCTTGTTACGAGCACCCAAGATCCACCGGGGAACCATGGAAATGCTGCAGATAAAAAGTCGTTCGAGTTTCCTCGGTAAGCTTAGTCATCGTGCATGTTTTGTTTTATTTGAGACGGGGAAAGGGGCGAAGGGCGTTCATTGATGGGAACATTATTTTCTGAGAGGTTCAATTTCCCCGGGGAAAGAGCGGTTCACTGGCGAGGAAGGCGCGAAGGACTATTTTTACCACTGCGATTTTTGAGACCTATGAAAAGGAAGTAATGATCCGGGCGTTGCTCGTCATCCGGAGCGCACTCCGATGTGGGGTATTTTATTCACACTTCCTTCCAATACTGTCACTTGACAGCATTATCCCCAACTCCAATCCTGAACCAGAAGTCTGAACCGATCCGAATGCAAAGTGTCTTGACCCATTTCCTGTACGATTCCTTCCCAAACCTCCAAGACGTGTGCCGCTGATAGTAGTGATGTATTAGGCTGGCGTGTTTCGTCTGGCGAGAAGACGTTTGTTCGTACCTGTGGGCGTTGATGCCGAAAAGAGAAAAAAAAGAAAAACGTGTCGTAAAAGAATATTCGTACAGACTCCGTTCACCGCCCAGATGAAGGGAAGTAGATAATAGAAAAGTTATCTCGCAGGTTTCCTAGTCCTTGCGTCCGGAAGGAGGTCGCTGGGAGAAGTTGCGCTCGGCGGGAGGCGGCGGGGGCGGCATCTCGTAGTACTGGAACTCCTTGTCCAGTTTCTTAAGCCACTGCTCCTCCGTCTCTTGAAGTTCCTCAGGGAAAAGTCCGAAGTGAGGATGGTCCCGAACTCTCTGGTTCTGGACGTGGGCGGGCTCGGGACGCATGATACAGTCCGGAATCGGTCCCTCGTAGGGGCCCGTGGGTCTCTGTCCCTCGGGTTTCTTTTCCTTATCGTTGGCAGGATTGTAGGTGGTGTGTGCGAAGACGCCAGACGAGCTCAAAGAGCGCAAGGCCGGGTGCGGAGCTCCACCCTGAGCACAATACGGGTGCGACGGGGGAGGATAGGAGTCGGCAGGGTTGGGGTTCATCTCCGCGACGGGAGCAGCATAGGCTGGGGCAGGCGACATGCGAGCGGCAGGCGCAGTGTATTGATGCGTCGGGGCGCTTCCATCATCGCTAAAGTCCTCGTAGCTGCGCTTGAGACTGGGTTGAAGACCTTGCTGAGAGCCCTTCTTGCCATGGGATTTGATGTTTCTCTCATTGCGAGGAGGCGACTGTGAAATTCCCGAGGTGACCGTCTGGTTGGATTGGCGTATGGGGCTGTCGCTTTGGGGAGCGAAGGCGACCTCAGGGCTGGGGACGGTGTGAGTCTGAAAAGACAAGTTGGCCATGTTAGAAGGGCGCGTCTCTCGCGAAAGGCTGAAGTTGGCGTTGTTCGTGCCAGAAGGAGGGCCGGCGCCCTCAGGGATGGAGACGGTGTGAGTCTCAAAAGACAAGTTGGCCATGTTAGAAGGGCGCGTCTCTCGCGAAAGGCTGAAGTTGGCGTTGTTCGTGTAAGGAGGAGGCCCATATTGAGCAGCATAGTCCTCTGGGGTGATGTAGCGGTAGTCCGGAGTGGGCAGGCAGAAGTAGCGACCGCCATCCTCGTAGTCCTCAGGCCTGCCTCGAAGATGGGCAGGAACCTCCTCCTGGGGCATCGAGTTGCTTGCGTCGTGCTCGTGAGACATGGCTGGGAAGTGCTGGTGATGACTCTCGTGAGGTTGGGGTCGGAAGCCGTAATCGGGAGGATCTCTCGTGAGTTCGTTGCGGAGAGTGTCGCGCACAGAACTGGTTTGAAATTGTCGATTGGATCCGAGACGGGGAAGGTTGACAGAGATTCTGAGGTTGGCAACAGGATCGATAGGGAGACGCGTTGTTCCAGAGATTCTGAGGTTGGCAACTGGGTCAATAGGAAGACGCGTTGTACCAGAAAATCTGAGGTTGGCAACTGGGTCGATAGCAGGACGCGAAGGGCCGTAAGTAGAGGTGGGGAGAGGAAGAGGAGCAAGAGGCTCACGAGCAGAAGAAAAAGGTCTGTTCTCCTTGTCCTCATAGATGTCGGAATCTGACATCACCTCTTCCTCGGTCGTCTCGCCCGTGTGAGAGGGGTCATTCTGGCTATGGTCGGAGATGGTGGCATCCTCGTCAAAGCCATTGTCCTCAACCTCTGTCTCCTCCTCCTCTTCTTGAGCGGCTCGCTCAAGGGCCTCTTTGTACTCACGCACATACTTAGTGGCGTTAGGTGAGAGGCGGCGCTTTTCAATGTTGGCAAAGTAGTGCTCGACTGGCAATGTGTTAGCAAATGCAAGGTAAAAGAGAGAAGAAACTCACAGAGTCCGAGGCCAGTGTAGTTGCGCTTAGCATCAGCACTCATATGTGACTGCATAACAATGGCCAGGTCCTCCCAGCTCTTTGTCTGCAGATGGCTGCGACCAGCGCGCTTCTGCGATTGAGGAATGATGACACGCCAGTAGACGCGCTCCTCTTCAGGGGACCAGACTTTGCCGCCCATCTTGTTGGTCAGGTTGTTTTGGTGGTAAGTGTTGTATGGAGGAATACGAGCGTGGTCAAGGATAATGATGGATGAAACAAAATCCTACTGAAGTTGTCCAGGTTAAAAGTAGTGTTTCGGCAGCTAATGATGCCACAAATGACTGATTCAGAGGCGTCGTTGTGCTTCTGAAAGGTCAGTAATTTGGTGATCAACCAAACTTCCAGCTGGAACAGGAGATGCTGCTAAGCAGGAGAAGAGGTGAAACGACGGATGATAAGGATGGAGGGAACCAGTCCCTGGGAGGAGCAAAGTGATGCGGAGGGAGTGATAGGGAGCAAGTTGGCTCCAAAATCTTGGGGTTAAGGATGGAGTATGAGAATTCCGAGAGATTGAATGGCTTTGTCTTGCGAGATGAGAACTGTGATTAGTTGAGGAAGGTGCAGATGGAAGGGCGAAGGGCAATTTATACCGTTGAAGGGGCGTTGAAGGAGAGGGATCAGGTCCGTTGGCGACTGAAAAACCCCAGTGGGCAGGAACGACCAGAGTGAATCAGCTGTCGGTTAAAAAGGCAAACGGGTGACTGGGCCTTTTTTCTTCGTTTTGGTTCAGTGAAGACGACCAAAAAAAGACGAGCAAGAGTGACGCAAATGGTGATATTTTTGGTGAATCAAGATTGGTGGGCGCTGGGAGGGCGTCCCGTGATGGTGGCTTAAGCGATGGGATTTGAAGAAGGGACGAGAAAGGTGAGGAAGGTCTTGTGACCTAAGAGAGGTTTTGAGGTTTTACTCTCACGTGGAAATTTTATAGCAATGGGATGAAATACCACGTCTCGGGTAGGAAGGCGTGGGAGATGGGTGGTGGTGGAGTTTGACGAGGGCACCTCCTCAAGATGTGGACGTGGAAAAATTAAGTTACATAAACGGGCAGCTTTGAGGGCTTCATCGAGGGAAGGAGCGACCGGTTCTTGGGTTTTTTTTAGTCCTGACCAAAACGCTTCGAATCAAAACTTAAGACTTTTCCTACTTTATTCGAACGGACTTCCTGGGTCGACAGCTTGGTAGCCTCTGGCAGTGAGTGCCGCCGCAAGACGCCATTCCAGCCTCGAGAACTGCACTGTCGCGTTAGCAGTCTTCTTGATACGGACGTATTTTGGCGACTGACAATACTCTTCTTCTCTGGGGCAATAACACCCTCTCTGATCCAGAAGCCCCAGCCGCCCATCATGTTGGCCAGCATCATGTCCGTCGTCAACCGGTCGCCGACGACGGCAACCTGGGAGGGGTGAGAAACGCCCGTCTCTGGGTGGCTTCTGAAGTAGTCCATGATCTCGGAGCCGCACCCGGGCTTCTTCGTCTTATGAGGAAGGACGGTTATGCCTGTGGCCTCCTCGAGCTCCTTGGCCAGCTGTAGTGAAGTGTCATACGATGTAGCGCCGGCGGTGTTGGATACGATGACAAGACGGCGGCCGGGGTATGCCGCTTTCAACTGCTCGAAGCGTTCCTTCTGTATGTTAGCCAGAGGCGCAACTCGTTGAAGTCGGACAATCTACTTTATACGGCTTGTGGACCTCATTTGTGTGGGGAACGGCGAAGCAATCGTCTTTGTCTAGAACAACGGCTTTGATGTCGCATTTACGGTTTTGTCCCTCGAAGGCCTTCTCGAAAGGGATGGGGAGATCATTGAACGTTGCGACGGTATGATGAGGCAGGCATAATGACGGTCTGAACAACAGCTTGAAGATGTTCAAGGACCCTGAAAGATTGAGATTCATCCTGGAAGGCTTGATGTCTGATGGAGTAAAAGCTGAGGTTGTGGAGGAACCTGAAAGTGAAGTGACGTCTGTGTGGCTGGAATTGGACGAGACCGTTGAAATTTGGCAGGAAGGAGCTTGGGCCACCCGGCGTCAGCTACCTTACCCCTGCTGACCGATAAAGTGGATCCTTTGGGGACCCCTGCTCTTTGAAAAAAGTGGAGGTTAATGGGTTTGACTCCAACGTGTGGACTTGAGAAGGTCACCCGAATTGAATCTCAATTCTTTGCTGCTGAATCGCTTGTCAGAGACCACACGGAAACATGGTTATTGTCTTTATTCTGTTTTCAAATCAGCGGTTAGCAGGAAATACCGAAAGCAATGACATGGATCTGAGATGTGTCGCCATGCTCTGCCGAGTCCTGCTGAGCAGCCCAACATCCGCCGCACCTTGACGTTCTCATAACTCAATGAAGCTCTCCGTGCTTATAACATGTTGACGCCTCTGAATTGGGTTTAAATTTATGCCATCAAAATCGAAGGTCTTAAAGGTTTCTTCAACTACTCTAACACCAAGAGATCAGTACGAGTGCCAGGGGACGTCACATTTCTCGAAATGCGTTGTGTTTTTTTTACTTTCCCAACGTTAGGATGACCCTTGAAGTAGAAATACGCAATTCAGGAAAGTGCGCTTACCCTGGGGTTCAAACTAGATACACCGTCTCATTTAAAGAACATTGCTTCGTTCAGCCTACTACTTGAAGACATAGAGATGCTCAACTACATGTTTTACGGAAGCAAGGTGATCCTCCTCACAAAGACGCCGGACAAAGCCACAGTCTCACGATGAGATTTGGAGACAGGCTTCAGATGATTGGCTTATCAGGCGACTGGGGAGGTTGTCGAAGCGGACGTCTGCGTCTACAATGATGAGAATGGCTTCGCTGCGCTGAATTTTGACTTGTTCCATGGAGATTTACTCCAAGACACGACTTTGAAAAGACATGAATGACTCTTGATTGAAATTCTTCATGTAATTTCGCGTACCTAGGCACCTGTCGCGCAGTACCTGGAGATAATCTTCATTGTAGCGAGGAGGGAGAAGACTGGGTCTGGATAGCTGTGGTAGGCACTCAGAAGCTGTACAAACAGGTCTAATCGCTGCGATGATAGATGTGAAGACGCTGGGATGAGACTTAAGGAACCGCCACAAAATCCAGCCATGTGGAGTCAAGATCTGAATTGAACTGGTATTCAGGGAGCCATCAATCGGCCTGCTAAGGTATCGAGGGTCGCGTGGCTGCAGTGCTGCAGTGCAGAAACAACCTTTCCATTATTACGAGATAATGAACAACAAGGAAAACATCCAAACATAACTTCAGCAACTGATTTAATATGAAAAGATCGCGGGGGGATAATATGCATGATCCCTTCCCACGGTCAAGCCGATTTTCATCAGTACTCTCTCTGCCTGTTTAATTCATGGGAATAGTTCGAGAAGCCGGTAGATTGAGCTGGTATTTGACCTAAATTTTGAACACTGGGGAGAGATTTTCTCCTCAAAATGCATCTTTTCTGCAATTTTCATCTGTCAACTGACATTTTGGTGGTTCACGGAAAGCCGTCAAGTTCGGCGTGTAAGTGAGCTGGGTTAGGTGACTTCGTAATTACCGGGGTTGTGGATCCACTTTAATTCGTCTCCCTGTCCGAATACACACATTCGCGTCCAGCGCGTCTCGAACTTGCAGGTTTCGAGGCCGCTACGATTCTCAACCACCATCCCTAGCCGCAGCCGACAACGCCCTCAAACAACAGAGGCAGAACCACAGAAGCCACGAAGATGGCTCGAACACGAAAACAAGACCCCGAAGTCGACGACTCCGCGGCCCGAAAGCGTACCCGCCGAGACGAGACCGACCAAGAACCCGTGAACGGCACACCATCCAAGCGGAGGAGAGCATCCGCGAGGACAGAAGCCAATGGCGCCGGGCACGACCCGTACGAAGTGCCTTCTGACGACCGGACCGAGGAAGAAGAAGAGGAGGCCCTCGAGTCCGAACCCGAGGCGCACACCCCATCAAAACGGAAAGGCCGCCCTCCCAAACCAGCCGCCGCCAACGGAGCCGTCACTCCCTCGAAGCTGCGCCAGGTCAACACCCTCGTGACGCCGGTAAAGGCCACGGGCGCGAACGGATTCACCCCACGGCGGCGCCAAGCAGCAGACCGCTCCGCGCGCCGGAAGAGCGCCAGGGCCCTGATCCAGCGCGTCGTCGCCGACGAGGACAGCGAGGAGGAAGACGACGACGAGGGCCTCGAACGAGAGATCTACGAGTCCAGCGAGGAAGAGGAGGCCGACCAACCAACCCCACGACGCCCGGTCGTACCGCCACCCGCGCAGGAAGAAGAAGAACCAGAAACGGAACCATCAGCAGCCCCCGCCGAACCGGACACACCATCAGCGACGCCGTCCCGCAAACGAGGCCGTCCGCGCAAGCAACCGCCGCCCCCGAAATCCCCGACCCCTCCCCGCGACCTCGCCCCCCACGAGATCTACTTCGAGCACAACAAGCCCGGCCGCGCAAAGACATCCCACAACACCCTCTCCGCCCTCGACCTCCTCTCCCACGACGAGTACTTTGAACTCCTCCGCGCCCGCGAGGACCCCCACGCCGACGACCTCGCCTTCCTGCAGTCCCTCCACGAGGCCTCCTTCGAGCAGTGGCGGTTCGAGCTCGCGCAGGGCTTCGGCCTGTGCCTCTTCGGCCAGGGCTCCAAGCGGGACCTCGCGACGAAGCTGGCCGCGCACCTCTACGCCGCCGACCCGGACGCCCCCATCGTCGTGGTGAACGGCTACGTGAGGACCCTCACCCCGCGCGACGTCCTCGCCACTGTCGCGACCGCCGTGAGCCCGGGCCTCAAGCTCCCCGCGCAGCCGGCGGGCATGATGCAGGCGCTCTCCTCCGCGCTGACGGCCCACGCCAGACCGGTGACGGTGATCCTCAACAGCGTGGACGCGGCGCCGCTCCGCAAGCCCGCGGCGCAGCAGCTCCTCTCCCAGCTGGCCTCGCACCCGCGCGTGCGCCTCGTCGCGACCGCCGACACGCCCTCGTTCCCGCTCCTCTGGGACGCCGCGCAGCGCACCTCGTTCAACTTCCTCTTCCACGACTGCACGACCCTGAGGCCCCTCGATGCCGAGCTCGACCCGGTCGACGAGGTCCACGAGCTCCTCGGCCGCAAGGCCCGCCGGCTGAACGGCAAGGAGGGCGCCATGTTCGTCCTGCGCTCGCTTTCTGTCCGCGCGAGGGAGCTGTTCCAGCTGCTCGTCACCGAGGCGCTGCTCGCCATGGACGACGACGGCGACGGCGGCTTGGGGGCGGAGCACCCGGGGCTGGAGTACAACATGATGTACCACAAGGCGGAGGAGGGGTTCATCAGCACTTCGGAGGTGGCCTTCCGAACGCTGTTGAAAGAGTAAGCCACCGGAATCCCTCGTCATTTACTTGTTTGTCATGCTGAAATATTACAGATTCCACGACCATCAGATGATTGTCAGCAGAAAAGACGCCTTTGGCACGGAACTGCTGAGTGTCCCGTTCAAAAGAGAGGAGCTCGAGGCTATCCTCGAGGAGTTGGTTGTATAATTAACATCAAAAATAGCATTGGGTGGATCATACAGAGACATATAGAAGGACCATGAGTAGCATTTGGAGCGAAACATGGTATCGGGCAGAGTCAAAAAGGCGCTACGAACTACTGACGTATAAAATTACGACGTCTGTCGGTTCATGCAAAACACAACATGGACATGGGAGTGCTTGTTGTCTTGTATGAATATTGAATCAAGGCATCGCATTCATATAATCATCATCCCTTTAGGATGTTCTAAAGTCTTTTTTGAAAACCCACCCTGACTACCGGTATCAGAAAACGCCGCCCTATGCCCATTACACCCCGATGCTTTTGACACACGTCCAGAGGACCACTGGCACGATAACATTATCATTCCCTCCCGTCAAAACGGCCTCCGTCAGGCTGGCCATGCTTGCACAGAAGCCGGCGTTTCGCACCGCGGAAGGCCAAGAGACTTGCTGCTCCGAAGCGACGGGCCACTCTCCCACTCTCAGCCAAGTTGTCGCGGCCATGAGGCCGAGAAAGACTGCAGTCGCGAACGCGACGCTGCCCTCGAGACTCTTTCCGCCGCCCCAAATCCACTTCCTGTGGCCGAAGCGGCGACCGATCAGGGACGCTGCCGCGTCACCCAACCCAACACAAATGACGCCCGCCACCATGCTGACTTCACGCGTTGGCACTTCCCAGCCGGATAAGTAGCCACTTCCCGTGCGTGGAAGGGTTGCTAAGGATAACCACAGAGGGATCGCGCAACCGATGAGGAGGAAGATGTGTGAAATGACGACGGGTCCTTTGTGATCTCTGCCGTCAACGTACGGTGTGAGGAAAGCAGCGATGGGTTTTGACAGGGGCGGAAGTTGACTTGCGCGGAGCAGGTCCAGGATGAGGAAGATGGCTAAGACGAGAATCAAAGCCAATGAGGCAAAGACGGGGTCAACGTAAGTTGCCGGGAGAAACATGCCCACCATCATGAAGTGGAAGACTTTGCGCCGAGTGTCGACCTCGTATTTCGGATCCAGGCGGATAACAATCGTCAAGCCAATAATGACAATCGTGATCCAGTAAGCGCAGAGTAGCAGCCGTGTGTTGGCCTCTCCGAAATCCGAGAGCCGGATGTGCTGCATCCAGCCCTGATGGCAAGTCGCCTGGCTGTCCTCGCTCAGTCTTTCGGGCAGACAAATCCATCGTTCCAGATTGGTGCTCACGACCTGAAATCTGAACCATTGAAGTTCACCAACCAGGTAGCCCAGCGCCCAACCGACGGGCTCGTTGCCCTGAAGGGCATATCTGCCAATGTATTCTCGAACGGGTACGAGAATGATGGAGACCACGCTGACGTACACATAGGCGGCGTACATCCACTTTCTCAAAGTAGCTTGAGCTTCCGTGAGTTTGAAGAACGAGCGAACTGTTGTTGAAGCAGTGCGCTTCCTACGGCCACCCGATGTGTGCGTCAGTGACCGACGGGGACGGGGTCTCTGCAGTGCGTAGGGAAACGTATTCCTCCGACTAACAGTGAAGCCGTCTGGGGAGTCCAGAGAATTGTCAGAGACCGGCGCGTCGTATTTGTGATCCGCGTGAGAGGGCATGTCGGCAACACCGAATGTTCTGACCCTGAGAGGCTTCGCAAAGGCTCCGATGTCGTCCTCCGAATCTCCAGCTTCTGATGCCGACTCTTCCAAAGAAGAGCCTAGCAGCTCGTGCTTGAAGCGCCTCATGGATAGTCCTTCGGATAGAAATCCAAATACCGAGCGTTTCTTCGAGGGAGACATAACGCGCCTGAAGCGCAGCCTTGGAACCCTAGCCAAGGCGATGCCCCATCGAATCACCGGTCCGCAGACGACAAGCACGCCAACACCGCCACCCCATAGCAGCGCCTGGAGAATGGTCGCCTGAGGCGAGTGCGCGAGAAAGAGCACATTGATCAAGGCGATCGAGAGAAGCTGCAACTCAGCTGTAAGCAAGCTGGTTGTGGTGAGGTAGTGTAGCACAACCAGCAGAGTCTGGTGAAGTGGGTAAAGTAGAAGGGCAGTTTCGAGGGGGACGCTCGGTTTCGCAACGTCAGAAGTGGCTGTTGACTGTCGGGCCATCCATAGCGGAATGCAAGACAGCACCCAGTGAAGTGGGTTGATTGCTTCGTGAGCTCGTGCCGTGGGAATTAAGTATTTGGGTATCGAAGAAATGCTTAGAATAATGTTCGGAAGAACCACTGACGGGTTATCGGGAGAAATTAGTAAAGACACCAGCAGTGTCACTGAAGGTGGGTATAGAATAGGCGCGGGATCGAAAACAGTCGGAACAACGATTGGTGATCTCTTGGATGTGGTAGCATGTCGGATGGACCATGCGATCAGTCGAACGGGGTATAGAACCATTAACGACGCGACTAACGTAGCAAGAGAGCGTAGATCTATCCATCGTAAGTTTCGGTGTGGAGGGAGAACAGGAGGGGGAACCATATACCTTGACTCCAGACGGCCAAGATGGGCTTGACCTTAGGATTCGCCCCAACTACGGCGAAGAGTGAGCCGACAATTATGAACTCGGAGACGCGGCGAATGAGTTCTTTGGTGCGGCGATAGTTGCGGTCCTCCCAGAACCTGAGCTTCTCTGCTTTTTCTTTTTGATAGTGGATCGCATCGCCATCTTCCTGATTATCGGGGAAAAGCAGCGGCGTAGAAGTGCCAGATATGACCTCGTTCCTGCCCCTCAAGCCCTTGTGTAAACGGACTTTAGGGGCGGGAAGACCCTTCAAGAAGTGTTCGTCGTCGGCTTCGGTGCCGCTGTCGCTTCCCTGCGACGAGTCCCTGGTAAAGGACGGGAAGGGAGATGGAGTTCGACTGGACTCGGCGGAAGACTCCTTTGGTGGTGTGGATGTCGAGGTCGCATTGGAGGGGCGGTAGACTATGCGATGTGCAGGGTGAGGCAGTTCGGTATTGAGGTGGTGGTAGGGGTGGGGAGAGCGGCTGAGGGTTCGGAGTTCATCGTTGTCTTCTGTATCGTGGCCGAAGAGAGCGGTTGGTGCGAGATGCTCGGGCATGACGAAGCTATCGCATCGGAGAGGGATGGAGCGGCAGCATTCGTCCAAGAAGAAGCTTACTTCACTGTTGGTCAAGAGCGTATGTGGACGGAGTGGAGAGTGCGTTGAGTGAGACGAGAGCCACGGAGCTAAGGGGCGGCGCGCGCAGATTGGCAATGCGATTCAAAGCGTCGGTCGGAGTCTGGCGGTGGTTTGGTATGTTGTTTTTTGCAGGTCAGACCATGGCGGATTGGAATTGGGGGACAAGTGGACGGCGATGAAGCGTGTTGTGGGGAGCTCCATCACATGAAAGTGCCAAATTGGTGAGGTGAGGCTTGGCTGAACTCGGGCTGGCCTGTCACCTTCCCTTCCACTGTGCCCGGCGTCAGTGTTGAGAAGCCATCAGCCGCGCGGCCAGGGAGGAATGCGCCCACGCGACTGGTCGAACGGGACAGCGACAGCGCTGTGCACGCCAACCGCAGCAGTGACAGCGGGCAGCCCAGCGAGAATCCCCCACCGGAATCATTGGACCCAGGTCCATCAGAGACCTGACGGCCCAGGGGAGGGATGGGTGCACGAGCCACAGAGCAAAACACGACTGAGGTGGCTCAGTCGACTTCCGCCCTTCAGTTGGCAACCTGGAACCGGCTTACCTAAGGCCGACACGGGACCGAATCATGATGAGAAGCCGCGACCGACGAGCCTGCATCTATGTTTTCGGGCACTCGCCATGGCGAGAGATTGACGAAGCGGTTACAAATAATCATCAGCTCCCGAGCTCCGACTTTGACCCCGAAGAAGACACTCTTGCGACAGCATCCCCGACGCTGGTGACCTCATATTGTCGTCCTGGAGGGCACACTCAATTTGCGACCACAATGCGGCGGACATTGCGAATTCCTGCAGGCATTTCCCGGCTTCCACTTTGGCTTTGAAAGGGATAACAAAGTCAACTGCCGCTATCGCCATGTCATTATCAAGTAATCCCATCCAACAACAATGAGCACAGGCCAAGGGCTTCGAAGGGGGAAAAAAGCATCATTTCACCCTCCAAAGAGACGAAAACTCAATTGAACACGTCAGCCCGGCAGCAATGGCCATCTCGGAAACCGGCACGTCTTGGCATCGATTCATCTGCTGGAAGTCGGGTCTGTCAACTTGATCCTTCCATGGCAGAGCCTGCGACCGAAACAGTCGAGACCTGACATCACCCTCGAGAGTCGACTTCGTCTGTTGCGCGACCCTCAAAATGATGCAAAAATCGAGTCCACCGACACAGCAGGGCAAGTTGCGACGTTGGAATGCGGTGGATTACTGACGAAATGCAAATGGGTGCCGTGGGGGGTTCCTCTGGATCTCTCCGGCGCATCCAGTTCTTCTAAAGATTCGAAAACTGGAGACGGAGACGTTCGCATCCCGCGCGGAGCCTGCCCTACCCTACGAATACACGCTACATGGCATCTCGTCCCATCCCATCGGCTCGTCGACATCCTCTCGCAAAAGATCGTCGAGTCGACATCACGGCTTCCTGTAAGTACGGCTTCGCTGGCGTGCCGAGGAAGTCGTCGCAAGCTGGGATATCTACCAAAAATAGCCGTCAATCGGAGCTGCAAGCCACAAACACCAGATCGTGGGGCGACCTTGTCGGTCGCATTCTGCAGAGCATTTCCCAATCCGGTGCCCACCCTCTTCAATTCTCTCCGTGAAGCGGCCAGTTACCGACGATTTTCTGCCTTCGCTGCCTTCACTGCCTCAACAACTCGCCCCCCGCTAGCACCCGAACACTTTAGCGGGCCACGAAGCGTGCAATGTGCATATCGGCACCCGCGACTGCGAATAGGGTCGACGCCCGGCATTCGGCTGCTCGACTCGAACTGCCCCGGGCGAAGAGGGTCGTCATTTGGTGAGAGACCACATCTCGTATTACCTAGTCCCTGCAGCTGCTTGGGGATTGGCTCCGGTCGACTGGGGATATGCTGGAGAAACCGCAGCACAGGGCCACTGCTCCAAACAGAGAGGATGCGCAAAACATCAAAAAAGTCAAAAACAAATACGAGAGGCTCTGTCGTCGGCCCCATCGTGACATTTCAGCGCATGCGGTCCCGTCTGCACTCTGTACCCGTTTCTCGGTTTGATAGGGTGACAGTACATCCTCTGACGGCTAGGTCGCTGTTTCACACGCACGCAAACAGAACGTCAAACGGGGCCTGACGGGCTGAGAGACCGTACGGGCGGCTTCAGGTGCACAACGCGCCAAACGGCCGACCATCACAGCCACCTCCACGGAGGACAAAGACCGGCTGATGTCCAGATCGGATGCATGCTGGTTCCCGCTACGGGTCTCTGGATAGTTGCACTTCGCGCCGTTTGACATGTCGCACACCAGATTCAGGTGCACGATGGCTGGCCAAGGGGTACACAGTTGACTTCATCCGAAGAAGCCTTCTCCCTCGAGTTCAAGCTCCGGGCTGGGCTGATCTGATGAGGGGCTTGAATCATGAGGCTCTATCGAGAAGAGGGCTAAGGAGAGGGGTCAAAAAGGCCGAGCGGCTTATCGTCTCCCTCAGATCATGAGACGCAAAGCGCGCCCTGCAAAGCTGACCCGAGCGACGAAGGGTTCGTAATCGTCCTGCATGCGGTGACAGCGTGGAGGATGTCGCAGCTGCACGGCGAACCCCAAGACTTCAAGCTCAACCCTGGGCGCTCGCTAGGGCGGCTGGGTGCAGGCCCCGAGAGTCAACATCTCAGACGCACGATGTGAGCTTGAGAACCAATTGGCCAGCAAAAACCCATGGTCTGACTGATCAACGAAACATTCAGTATGCATGTGGCAGTGGATGGAGGAGACGTGTTCAATCCGCGGCGGTGCTGGGTGCTACACGCCAGCCATCTGAATATGGCACACCAGACGGGCTCGTATTATCGCAGCACCTCGTCCGCCCTCTACTAGGCTCTTCCAGTGAGCAAGATAGTGTGGGACGGTTAAATCAGACTGACGATTCCACGGACAAGATACGAGACCCGTGTGTTTGGAGGCTCGTCTTAGTGATGTCACAACCCACTCGGCGGCAGCGTCGGGCGTGAGCCAGTGGCTTCGAAGAGCGACAGTGGACGTGGACCTGGGCTGCCGTACCATCGATGTAGGGACGGAAAGACATGCCTAGCGCAAAAACAAAAAAGCCTGAAGGAATTGACACATTGTCGAACAGAGAGCTTTTGGGGTCGACATTCCTTGCGAGCAAGAAAAAAAAAACCATCATATCAAACTGGAACCGAGGATTGACGGCGGTGACGGTTGCCGGTGGAAACCCGTTCCAGTCTGCCAGTCGATCTTTGGGGCTTTCCCTGGCACAATGAGACGAGAGAAAGATATCAGTGATGGAAGATGTGGGCGAGCTGATGAAATGGGAAGCTCAGCTTCGGGTCTGCGGTGAGGTGGGTTGCACTGGGGCAATTGGAGCTCTTTGATTGCCAGAAGTCTGCAAGACAGTTGGTCCACCACAGCTCCCTTGTCTCTTCAGACCGGGGTGCAAACGGTGGCTCCGTGGCTCCGTCAGTGAGAAAAGAGCTACCCGTGGGCCATGCCATTTGCAATTGGCATGGGTTATGGTGATGATGGGACGGATAGCTCGACCTGAGTTGGGCCGACAAGACAGGGGTACGTCGCCAGAGCGGCGAAACAGGGAATCTCTACGGATATACCAATGCACAGCACAAAGATTGTCCCCCAGCCTGCTGGATGGACGTCTGCAATGTGCAGGCTGCCTAGGACGATCTTCAACAGGTTTAAACGCCAATCTCCTCGCTCACTCCTCGCCTCTCGCGCTCTTTCATCTGATCCCCCATCTTGTCTCTCGCCATCCTCTCGCTCGATTGCTCTGTCCGCCGGCACCGCGTGTTGATTTGTTTACACGACTCTCGCTCATCGCAGCTGACACTTGTACAACCATACATCGCCACCTTCTACCGCCAGCTTTTCCGGTCGATTCGCCAAATCAACTCATCTCACCTCATTCCTCACTCCGAGCCTTGTAAAATTGCCCGGATCATCGCCCAAATCTGCGTTCATACCAGAGGCTTCGAGATCTTCCTAAACGCAGTCTTCTGAAGCTCAGCTCTGGATCGGGGCTCCCCTGGATTCATTTCGAAACAAAACAGTCATCAACGGCCGGGTCTCAACCTTCGATATCGAGCCTTGGGTTCGGAAGCTAAAAGAGTCCCTCGTCCTGCCGCGCAAAGCTAAGCTAGCTTGCCTCGCAACACCAGCCACCGAGAAGTTTTGGCCAGCCAGGTACCACCGCATATCACTCTTTTAGATCGGCTTTTGCCCCTCCACTCGCGTCGAACGGAGGCTGCTTTCTTTCCAAGCCTTCAACCTTCGAGTCCACCAGTTGGGCAAGCTTCCCCTCTTCTCTTACATCCTTGGGCTATGCTGCAGTGAGGACGCTAAGAGAAGGCCCGCATCTTGTCACCGACCTCACCCTGCATACATCCAAGTCCAGTTATTGGACGATACTTTCCCTGTCGTTTCCGTCCTGCCGTCTTGGGTAGAACCTTCTTGACCTCTTCGTCTCTTTTATAACAACTCCGCGTCACCTCACTTCTGCCACGGGCCCCTTCGTTACCATGGCCTCCGATACCAAGTACGACTCCCACCTAGAAGAGGGACTGCTGCCTGTCGCTACCGACGAGAAGAGGGGTTCGACTATCTCGAGAACGACCAAGGAGCCGACCAGGAAGATGACCGGTCCACGTCGTGTCCTCATCGCCTTCGTGGTGTGCGGACTGATGACCCTCAGTTTGGCCTCCGTCCTTGGACACCGGGGCATGCCTTGCGCGAGAGGGCACAAGTCTCAAGCTCTGCTCACCGAGGATGACCTCAAGGACCCTGCCAAGGTGGATCTTATTCACCAGCTGCTCCATGCCTATTACCCGGACCGGTACCAGGATGGCGTCTATCCTTCCGACAAGGAGGCTATCGAGGCTGCCGGAGCTGATGATGCCAAGTTGGCTTCCGCTCTGCTCCAGCTGGCCAAGCGTCAGGACAACACCACGGCATCGGCTTCGGCTACTCAGCCTTCTGAGACAGCGTCCGCTACTGTAGCCACCACACCGAGCTCAGAGACCCCGGCCAACACCCCGACCCCGACCCCGACCACGGCCCCGACTACCACGGCGCCTCGGGAGACCACATCTGCTGCGCCGCCGGAGACTACCACCACTCCGCCGGCTGAGACCACAACCACTCAGCAGCCACCAAGCACTCAGGATCAGCCGACAACGACGCCTCAAACCACGAACCAGCCTGAGCCAACAACCACCCCTACGACTCCGGCGACATCAGCAGCCCCCAACTCTGGTACGTCTCAAACGGAGCAGGCCGCTTCATCTTCTACTGCCGGGCCGCCGTCCGCCTCTTCTGAGACTCAGACGACGACTCGTGGGTCTCCTTCTTCTTCCCCTCCCCCTTCTACTACCCCCTCTTCTGCTCCCACTACGGCCTCCCCGGGGTCTTCGAGTGCGTCCGTGTCGGGTACGTCTACCTCCTCCTCTCTTCAGACTACTACGGCCGTGACATCCTCGTCCCCAACCACTTCGAGTTCGTCCCCTACTACGTCGAGTTCGCTTGTGTCGTCTTCTTCATCGGAAACTGGTATGTTGTACAATGGTTTTGTAGCACAGTCATGTTTGCGAGCTTGTTTAGGGGAGGCCTATATAGGGGTTCTGCAAAGTGACGATAAAGCTTTGTGGCGGATACTTTTTGACACCTTTTTTTTGATACTCACGGCCGTATGAATCATTTTGAACGGCCCGGCTAACTTGACTTACAGAGGACAACACTCGTCAAACCACGGCTGCGACCTCATCGCGCAGAACCACCACTTCGTTCAGCGAGGTGCGCTCCACCTTCACCTCCACCGCTTCCAACGGCGATGTTGTGCTCGTGACCGCAACCTCGGTCGTTGCCGTTCCTCCCGAGGCCGAGCCCACCTCGAGCTCCGGAGGCGGCAGTGGCGGTGGTCTCCAAAACGCCGCCGTCCCCATTGGCAGCGTCAACTTCGGCCTGCCCCTGGCTATCGCCGGATTCGTCGCTGGCGCCATGCTGCTTCTCTAAACAAGGGCAGCATCTACTTTCCTATATCGTTTTATCACGATTCTGTTTAAATATTTAATCATTCCTTTATCGGTGTTTGGTACAAAGGCAGCGGGCGACAGCACACAGCATCATCAGCATAACTTACTCACGACATTTACGGTCTTATTCACTCCTTGCATTACTGGTGGTCACCAACAACACACACAATCACACACATAGACTTGGCGCGGCAACACGCTACTTCGGAAAGGGCAACAAGATAATAGAAAGGAGGCTGGGGAAAATGGGACAGGCCTCGGTATGGCGGAAGAAAACAGGTGTAAACAGAAAGGAACCACCTGAAGCAGTCCTTAGCTGGCAGAACAGAACTACTCTGACAAACAAAAAATGGAGAAAGAGTTTTGAGAAGATCAAACATGCCATTTCAGTGTGAGACACGGCAACGCCCAGTGGTCTGATTTGCGTAGAACGGGTGTTTGATTGCGGGGGTTCCCGCATTCCAGCGTGGAGCTGGGTGTTCCAACGAAAAACTGTCTTTCGATGTTCTCCCGGCTGCTGGAATGTGATTCACATTTTCCCGCCGGATAATCGAGATTTGACTGCGAGTCCACAGACGTAAACAAATTAAACCGATGGAATTTCTTCTCTATCCCAGATAACTTTTCGAGGGTATTCACAACGCCAAAACAAAAGCAAATCAAAATCCCAGCACGCCACAACCCAACCACCTCCCTTATCACACTTGACATTCCAACCTAACGTACGGGTAATCTTAACCGGGTCCGATCTTGGGCATGTCGTGGTGCTCGCTCAGCTTGGAGAGGTAGGTGTTGAGTTCCTCGACGCGCTCCTTGTGCGTCTTGAGTAGCTCGGGCCTGGAGCTCGAGGATTCGGCGAGTTCGAGTAGCTATTCAGGACAGTCAGCCGATCTTCCTCTTTGCCTCGTTAAATGGAACAAGGGGATCAAAACGTACCCTCTTACGCTTCCTCTCCTCATATCGCCTCTCGGCCTCGGTCTTCTGCCTTCCGCCGCCCTCTTCGTCCTCTTCTTCGTCGCGCTGCTCCTCCTCGGGCTCCTCACTCCTGCTCTTCTTCTTCTTCTTCCTCTTGACCTTCTTCTCCTCGTCGTCGCCGTTGTCTTCGTCGTCCGGCCTGCGCTTCACCAGCGCCCCTCCCGACTCGCTGCCGTCGTCGAGGTTCTTCTCCAGGTCGCTCTTGTCCTTTCTCTTCTTCTTGGTCTTGGGCTTCCCGACCCTGGCGCCCTTGAGCTTGAGGCCGCCGCCGACGGAGGCGTACTCGTCGAGCGGCATCGTTTGGGGGATTCCTGCGCGCGCTTTCGTAGGTTTCGAAACGGGGCGAGTGGTTTGCGATTCCCGCGTATTCGAGGTGAGATGTGCCCGCTGAGCCGAGGAATTGGTGTTTGCGGGCCACCGTCGTGTGGTTGCTTTTCGGTCGTCTTTAGCGTCGGGTTGTCAGGCAACCCCTGGCGTTGCGGCGGTCAGTGGCTTCAGTGGCTTGGAAATTGGAACCTCCCCCGAATTGAGATCCCCAAGGGCCCCTGTCCCGATTGGCAGCCGCCAAGGTGTCTCCTCTCTGCCGGTGCCGTAAAGACGATATATGACCAATCATGGTTTAATCCGGCCAATTTATGAAAGGCTCGAGCGGGTCCGAAACATGGAGACATCAGCCAGGCTCCTCACAGCACTGAGTGCACTCTCTCAAAGGCCAAGCCCAGATGCCGCAGACAGCCCGCCCCCGTAGAGCCAAGTTATGTCGTTTGTTAGTGACCTTGGCTTCAAATCGAAAAATGCTTGACTCGATTCAGTTCGTCCCTTTCAAACACACTGCAACCACTTGTTCCATGATCCGTGACTCGTCGCAAGAACACAAGGAAACATAACACGGTATTCTTGTCGAACCAATTGTCGCATTCGATACAATTCAATCCAGAGCTACCTCCCGGCCTTAAACTTGCGCCAAACCCAAATCCTCTCTTTCTTTAACCTCCTGAAGCTAAGGATACGTACCGCGCGACCTTAAACAACCCTCGGACACCTACCTCCTCTCTGCTGCTTGAACCCTCTGTTGTCCGAGGCAATCTTATTCGAACAACAACAAAGCGGAACAACACCTTCTAATTGCAACACGCACAGCACTTTACGGATACAACGCTTCCCCTTTGGATAGGCGCAGCTCCTGGATTTCGATTTCCGGTTCGCGTTTGATTTTTTTTACCGGGGAGTATTCGGTCGGAAAGTGGATATTGGATACAGAAACGGGGCACGGCGCAACTTTGTCACGACTCCTTTAAACGAACCCAGCAAAACGTACGGATATATGCGAACGACGTCACGACCAATTCCCCAAGACACCGCGCGACTTAATATCGAGACCAAACTCGCAAGGCGCCGGCGATAAACCGAATTCTTACTTTCTCAACCACCATATTAAGGCGCCGCAATATGCAATAGCCCCAGTGCTGCTCTCCTAAACGCTCGAACGAATCCAACCAGGGTCGCTCCTCGCGATCCTCCTCTCCTCTCCTCTCTCGACACCGCAACGATGCCGCCCTACGCGAATATCAGCTCCCACCGCGACTCCCTCGAGCTCGCCTCCCTCGCCTCCTCCTCCCGCGCCGAATCCGTCGTCTCAGACCTCCCCTCCTCGCGGCCCTCAATCTCCTCCTCCCGCAAGCTCTCCTTCGAGGCCGAAGACCCCCTCGACGCCGCGAACCCGGCCGCCAGCTCAGGCCGCCCCAACCGCCACGACCGCTCCTACTCCGTCTCCTCCGGCTTCGACTTCGCAGCGAACCTCTTCCCCCTGAGCTCCACAGCCGGCGCCGGCCCGGGCGGCTACGCCCCGATCGGCGCCCCGACATCCACCGCGATACAGAACGGCGGCCTCGGCGGCGGCAGTCTCGAGAAGCACAAGACCCTGACCTACCTGAACGGCCTGAGCCTCATCGTCGGCCTCATCATCGGGAGCGGCATCTTCTCGAGCCCAAGCCAGGTGAGCTCCAAGGTCGGCTCGCCTGGCGCCGCCCTCGTCGTCTGGGTCATCGCCGGCGTGCTGGCCTGGACCGGCGCCGCGAGCTACGCGGAGCTGGGCGGTGCGATTCCGCTCAACGGTGGTGCGCAGGTCTATCTCGCGAAAATCCTGGGCGAGATGGCCGGGTTCCTGTTTACGTGGGTTGCCGTGCTGGTCTTGAAGCCCGGTAGCGCCGCCATCATCGCCATCATCATGGGAGAGTACCTCGTGAGGGCGGCCATTGGCGCCGAGGCCGAGAGCCTGAGCCCGTGGATCAACAAGGCGGTGGCCATGGTGGGTTTGATTCTGGTCACGGTCATGAACTGCGTGTCGACGAAGCTGGGCACCAAGGTGAACGACTGGCTCATGTTCTTGAAGTTCGTCGCCCTGCTAGGCGTCACCGTCATCGGCATCGTCGTCGCCATCACGGGGAAGACGGTCACGGGCAAGGCAAACCTGGAGTGGAAGACGCACGATTGGTTCTCCGGCACGTCGACGGACCTGTCGAACTGGGCCGTAGCTCTGTATGCCGGCCTGTGGGCATACGACGGCTGGGACAACGTAAGAAACCACCTTCAACCTTGATTCGCAAATCGCTAACTTGGAAAACAGACAAATTACGTCGTCGGCGAGTTCCGCAACCCGAGCCGCGACCTCCCCCGCGTAATCCACACCGCGATGCCCCTCGTCATCCTCTCCTACGTCCTCGCCAACATCTCCTACTTCCTCGTCCTGCCCCTCGCCACCGTCAACGCCTCCAACACGATCGCCGTCCAGTTCGGCGCAAAGGTCTTCGGCCCCGTCGGCTCCCTCGTCCTGGCCCTCATCGTCTCGGCGTCCTGCTTCGGCGCCCTCAACTCCTCCACCTTCACCTCCTCCCGCCTGGTCTACGTCGCCGGGAAGGAGGGCTACATCCCCTCCATGTTCGGCCGCATCGGCCTCTCCCCCTCCGACTCGGCCTCCCACCACTCGGTCCAGACCTCGCGCACCTCCCGCGGCCGCGTCGCCAACGCCCTCATCCGCGCCCTCGGCGACGACGACATGGGCCTCTTCTACACCCCCGTCTGGGCCCTCGTCCTCAACGGCCTCCTCACCGCCGCCTACATCGTCGTCGGCGAGTTCGGCACCCTCCTCACCTTCTACGGCGTCGCCGGCTACACCTTCTACTTCGTCACCGTCCTCGGCCTCATCATCCTCCGCGTCCGCGAGCCCCAGCTCGACAGGCCCTACCGCACCTGGATCACCACCCCCATCATCTTCTGCTGCGTCTCCCTCTTCCTCCTCAGCCGCGCCGTCTTCGCCCAGCCCCTCCAGACCGTCACCGTCGTCCTCTTCGTCGTCGCCGGCGTCCCCGTCTACTTCTGGCGCATCCGCGGCCGCGACCAGCAGGTCATCAAGCGCGAGACCAGACACCCCGGCGGTCACGACGAGAGGCCATGGTGGCAGTTTTGGAAACGGTCATGAGTCAGCAGAAAAAAGCAGACGTGTGCTATATTATATCGGCGCGGCTCGGCCTGCATGTGTTTTTTATCGGCGGTGTTGTTTGATTAGACGCTTCTTTTTGGGTGTACACACGGGGCAAAAGCGAAATCCCCGTCAGAGGGCACAAGGCAGCATTTCGGGTTCCTGACATGTTAGGGGGTGGCTGTTGGATACACTTACTTCCAACCAATGGAGTTGTGTGAGAAAGAGTTGTCACATGAAAACACACACAAGTTCCAGCTTAGAAGAGCATGGAATTTTGATTTTGTTTTCCTTCCATGGGGCGTAGCTCGGATCCGAACACACAGAGAGAGAGAGAGAGGCAGAGAGACTCAACCCGAGTCCGGTTGGCGACGTAAGGCGTTGCCACATTCCCAGGCCTTGGAAAAGGAGCATCGAGCAAAAAAAAAAGGAATATTGAAGTACTTGTCTTGTAATCGAAAGAAATGCACATATTGGCTACGGGACTGGCCTCAGGGTCCCCTTCCACTTACGTCTTCAGTCGTTCCGAATGCACCCTGTGATTAGCACCTAGTACCTTAGCTTGTCGTTAGGTAATTCCGTCTACTTGCGCATTTGATGGAAGTCCGAGTCAAAAACACCTCTCTACCCGAGTGGAGTAGCCCCAAGCTTAGAGAGAGAGGTTTGACTCGGAGTACCGCATGTTTCGATGGCTGGATTCAGCTCCGAGCAAGTCATGCGTCCTGGGTGCACTATTCAGAACCCAGCAGATTCAAACGATCACAGACAAAGCAGACAGATGTACATCGCACAAGGTTGTATTGCTATATACCACAACCTAGACCTCACTATCCTGGAAGTACTATGCAATGGTGATGCCGAACTAAAAAATCAACGCTTATTTCGTCAAACATATTGCCCTCCTTTGGGTATTATGCCATCCTCCTCTATTTCTTCTCACGCTGGCCGTAGGCCTTGGTGGCGTAGTCGCCCTTGTAGACGATGAGGTCCTCGGGCTTGTAGTCCTCCTTGCCGGACAGGTAGCTCTCGATGATGGCCTTGGTGCCGTCGGCGTAGCGCTTCTGGGCGTCGAGGGAAGTACCGGACATGTGGGGAACCATGGCGTTGCCGCCGCCGAAGGGGTTCTTGGCGGTGCGCAGAGGGTGGTCCTCGGGGGCGGGCTGAGGGAACCAGACGTCACCTCCGTAGCCGGCAAGGTGGCCGGACTTGAGGGCGTCGGCGACGTCCTCCTTGACGATGATGGCGCCACGGGCGGTGTTGATGAGGTAAGAGCCCTTCTTCATCTTGGAGATGAGGTCCTTGTTGAACATGCCGCGGGTCTTCTCGTGCAGAGGGGCGTTGATGGTGACAACGTCGCACTGGGCGAGCATCTCCTCGAGGTTCTCGACACGGCGGCAGCCAATCTCCTTCTCCTTCTCGGGAGACAGGGGCTGGTAGTCGTAGTAGAGGAGCTCCTTGCAGTCGAAGGCCTTGAGGCGGCGCAGGACACGCTCACCGATACGGCCGATGGCGACGGTACCGACGGTCTTGCCCTCGAGGTCGTACTCCTGCTTGGCAACAGCGGCGACGTTCCAGTCACCACGCTCGATCTGCTCGTGGGCAGGGACGAAGTTGCGGATGAGGACCAGGATGGTCATGACGACGTGCTCAGCGACGGAGACGACGTTGGAGCCGGTGACCTCGGCGACGGTGACACCACCGTTGGTCTTGTTGGCGGCGTTCAGGTCGACATGGTCAGAGCCGATACCAGCAGTGACGGCGAGCTTGAGCTTCTTAGCCTTGGCGAGACGCTCAGCAGTGAGGTAACCGGGGTGGAAGCTAGAGAGACGGTGTCAGTATTCGGGGTCGACCTTGAACTGCATCGGTTCGGTCCAACTCACGGAGTGGTGATGATGATCTCGGCGTCAACGAGCTCCTGGTCGAACTTGGAGTTCTCGCCCTCCTTGTCGGAGGTGGTGACGAGGGTGTGGCCCTGGTCCTCAAGCCACTTGCGGATACCGAGCTCGTTCTCGGTGGTGCCCAGAAGTCCCGGGACCTGTTTGGAGAGGAACGTCAGCGAGGAGGTCCAGGGATGATGGCTATGCACCCCGCATTTGGCAGGTTTCGGAGGGGTAGTGCCAAGAATTGGGGGAGGATGCCGATGTATCAGCGATCAACCTCCGAGCCCCGCACGCTCCCGTCATCCCCGCACTAGCTCTCTGCAGGCGAGACCACCCGCTGGAGACGGCGGGGCACGGCTCCGCGAGAGCTATCATTGTGACGTTTGGATGAGGTGCGCGTAGGATGGTCGTGATGTTCGGATCCGGTGCAATGGGAATGCGGGGAGAGGATGGTTACTCACGTCTTTGGCGTGCTGGCCGCCGTCGTAGAGAACTGCAAGAACCTTGACCTGGTTTTGGCGAGTAGTTGTTAGTGTACGGATCGAAGAGAGCTGACCAGGCAGCTTGCGAGGAAGAGTCGATGAAGGAGCGGCAGCTCTGCTCATGGCAGGTCTGGCCAGGAAAGATGCCTTTGAAGACGTGTGAAGTCCCCGAGAGACAGAAGGGGCAAGAGTGCGGATGTTACGAGAGAGAAATACCATTGTGACGGTTTGTAGATGTAAGACGAAGTTGTCGAGAGAAGAGGGGAGCTGGTTAGCTGAGAGAGGGGGAGGTCGATGTTATATAGTAATGAAGACGAGAGATCGATGTTAGAACCGGTTCCTCGGATGTTGTATGAGATGAATTTGTATGAGATCAGGATAAGAGAGGTGGACGGAAAAGCGGCCAGGTCGGGTTGTATTTATGTTTGCTAGCATCACCGAAAGGCCGGGATGAACAGAGCGGGGAACAAGGCCGAGATGGGAGCAGATGGGTCAGAAAGAGGCAAGACAATCCGACGAGTCTGATTCTTGTCGTATGCGCATGCTGGTCTGGGCTGGTTCGATGCACCGGCTGCTCCTCTCAGGGTGCAGTGCGGTTGCTCCATGTGTCGTGCGTCCACATCCCACGCCCACGCCGTCAGGTCTTCCAGTGTCCAGTCAGTCGTCCTCCACCTCTCCGAAATGCCAGAATCCCATCGCCCCTCCTTTCCAGTATATCTCCTGGCTGTTGATGGACCTGACCAGTTAAACTCGGACGGGTGCGGTACATGAAGGTTCGGGAAGGCAGCAAGGCTGGGGCATGGCAAGGACGGCATCCCGTCCGACCGGAAGGAAAGACCGGATAGCGAAGTGCCTTACCTCAGCTACGCACCTTGCTGTCAAATGCTCATTTTCCGAAAATGCGCTCTCATATCGACGACTCGGCATCTCCAAAATCGTCACTTAGCTGGCGTGGGGAAAGCTGACTAGCCCCCGATCATTGGCTGGCTTCCCTGTCGTCGTGGTTCGTCCCCTCCACCCGAGCAACAGCTGCCCGCTCCCATCACGATGAAACGCCGCAGCATCCCCGGCAAATCTTCAACGCTTTCTGCAGCCGGAACATTGGTCTTTTTGCTGTGCCTACTGAAGGAAGGTAACGCAAGTCACCCACCCTGAATCGAACGAGACACCACCCAATTGGGCGTATGCTATCCCTGCAATGCACGACGAGGCTTCGCGCTTGGAGAATGGCCACTGACAATCAGCAACAGACGTCGTCCCTCCATCGTGGCTAAGCAGGTCAGACTCCAGAGTGAGGGGTAAATGGACCTTCCAAGCTCGCATCATACGTCCGCCGTTCCATCCAGCATTTCTCAGATCCCATCACCTAATACATGGACCACGATCCAATCGTTCTTCGTCGCCGTCGGTTGATCATCCGTTACCGTCACACACACCACAGCTTCGCTCGTCAAAAGTGCTGCGATACGCTCCTAATCTGCGGAGAATGAGACCGGTTGTCAGTATCCAGGGGTCCAGGCGTTTCCAGCGGCGTCCTAGCTCCCTCCGAGCATGCAAACAGACCAGCGGTTATGCGCCGGTCGCCACGACGGAGATTTGTCGTTAAGCTTCGAGCCCGAAAGCTGGAGGTGCCCCTCCGGTGATGGCTCGGTGATCTGTCGGGTTGTACCAAGAGGGGTTGAACTTCGGCGATTGATGGCGCGTGCCGCCGGCTCACTGCGCGCACCAGTGACCACCACACCTTTGTGGCCTCCCGTAGGAGGCACAGCAGCTCGGCTGGCTGGCGACCATCGGTATCTTGCGCGCTAGATGATGCAGCTTGCGGACCTGCTGTGGATTATGGCCAGCCTTTGGTCCCGACGCTTGGCGCTAGCATCGGAGTTTCGTCGTGTTGAAGCTATCCTGATACCATCGATGGGTCGGCCGTCGAAGACGGTGGAATCGAGACAATCGAAGACGCCACGATACGGATCAAACGTGCCGCAGCTTTCATGCTTCCGTCATTCCAACGGCACCAGGGCCCGCGCGGCTCTTCCTTTCCCTGTTCTCGCGGCCCCGTCGATGCCCCATTTCGGCCCACTGCGCGGAGCACGACGGTTGCGCCGGAAACCGAGCCGAGCGCAGGACGTCGCGCCATAAGCCCGGAAATGGCTGGACCCAGTATCAATGGGCGCTTGGTCTAGGGGTATGATTTTCGCTTCGCATCTCGGTTCTGTAATCGTTTGCCAACTGTGAAAGGTCGTGGGTTCAATTCCCACAGTGTCCAGTCTTTTTGATGCCACCACGACTTCTTTTTCGTCCTTTTGTCGCGAGATTATTGATGCTCGAATTCTACCATTTTGGCATCTTAGGCCAGCTGGCATGGTGTTTTCCCATCAGAGAGAGTGGGTCCAGGCGTCACACTTCTAGGTTGGTTTGTGCTGTCAGACCAATAAGATAATACTTTCGAAATTCACCCCCAAGTTGCCGACGTCTGTTCTTAGCACGCTTCAATCCAGTCAACACCAGTCATTCTAGGCGGCGTCCTGCCCATGCAATTCATGCAGTTTACTCGTCGACTGCAACTCTCTTGAGATAATACAGCACGATGCCACCCAACATTCGTGCCACCCAAAGGCCTCCGAGAACATGCACTAATTGTACAAAGCGAAAAGTCAGATGCGATAAGAGGTTGCCTTGTCAGCAATGCATTGACCGAGGACAAGCACATCAGTGCAAGCGCGAGCTTGTCCGAGTAAGAGGCAATCTGATTAAGAACTCAGCATCAGATGACTTGGGAACCCGGAACCACGCCGAGCTGCTGCAGGAGAACGCGATGCTTCGTGCTCTCCTCGCGGGCCAACATGTGCGGGGACCTGATGACAGTTCCGATACCGAAAACAATCAGGTACCGGGCCTACGCGCGCATGGCAGACGTTCGACAGAGGAAGTCGAGAGACGTCTATTTGATGAGATAGGCATGTCATCGACGCCGCGGACCGTCTTTGAGTTAAAGGACATCATCCTACCTTCAGAAGAATTCAGCCGGAGCATGATCGAGAATGCATTTCAGTGGACCTTTTGGCTTCATTTCGCCCTCTTCATCCCGAGGTTTCGACGCGAGCATGAAGAATTCTGGCTTCGGTTGCGAGAAGAACAGTCTCTTGCAGACATGGACCCGGCGTGGATGGCAGTTTACTTTGGTGTCTTGGCCTCGACGCTCATGTTCACGGATGAAAAGGAAACCCTCGACAGGCGACCAGCTGGTGTCGACTTCACCAGCCTTCTTCGAAACTGGTACGAATCTGCGCTGCTGTTTCTCGATAGGGCTGACTACATGAAAAGACCGGATGTCCGCACCCCTCAAGCGATTGCCATCCTGCACATCGTATTTAACAACGTGGGCGACGTTCATCGTCATCAGAACCTGTGGACGGTAGCAATACGTCAGGCCCAGCAGCTAGGTCTAGGCTCGGATGAAGATAACCCAGACGAATCGTACTGCGAGCAGCAAATTAGACGGAGACTTTGGTGGACGCTGGCGATTTGCGAATGGTTGCCCGTCCCTCACAGAGCTCCATGTTTGCATGAGATTGACTTCTCGTGCAAGCTTCCAGACGAGGTCGACGATGAGGAGCTGGAGACCGTATCTGGAAGCTCTAGACTTCCCAGGTCCAAGCCACGACCGGTGCGATACCACATTGCCATGGCACAGGTTTCTAAAATCTACTACCAGCTCCGCCACGTGCTCAGACTCCGCGAATGGGAAACCAAGGACGTGGCACAGTTCGTCTTCACGGCCGACGAGCAGTTGGCAAACCTCATCACCGACCTACCGTCATATCTCCAGGTCGATGAGAAGTCAACAGCTGCCAGCCAAGCAAGAGATCGCCAGTATCCCTTCATCCCCTGGCAGAAGAGGAGCTTGGCCAAGGTCCTGCTCTACTATCGAATGGCGATCAGCAGCCAGCTTCAGGAACATTGGCTGGACGGGTCGACAGACGGCGCCCGGACGAGGGCTATCTGCATGTCCTCGGCTCGAGGACTCATTCACACGACTCTGGAAGACACTGTCGACGCGTCCAAACTTCGACCATGGTGAGTCCTTTGTAGGTGGGGGCAGCCTCGAGGGAAGTGCTGACATCTTTGAGGGCAATCACGATGAACATCTTTGCTGCGTCTGCCATCCTTGCACTGGAATCTTTGCATACAGAGGAAGACTTTTCTACCGAAATTCAACAGGGAGTGAACTTCCTTGAGCGGGTCCAGGCTCAGAACCTCGTAGCCGAGAAAGCGATCAAATTCTTGAAGGATCTCATCCAAAACAACTAGAACGTATCGCTATATTTTATGTTGCCGCTGCAATCTCTGTTGACACTGTTTTTTCAACAGTCCTCGCAATACTCAGTCTTGCTACCTAGTCTTACCCAAAGTCCAGAAGACTCGATCTGTACGCAACCTATGAAAACTGGTGTCAAAGCTTAACCCAGAAGAAACTCATTCGTCTTCCTCACACTATTAGCCACACATTGTTCATAGTCACAGAATATGTTTCAGTCGATTTTCATTTTAGACCTTCGCTAACAACTAAACACAAAACTCTCGTGCCCTCAAGAGACGTAAGGCAACACTCCCGCAAGCTTCAGTAGCTTCTCAGTTTCTTCGGGCTCGTTGACCGGCCTGTTTCTCTGGTACGTTTCTTGCTCCCCAAGTCTAATCACCTTGCGCTCATCACGGAAGATATTCGCGTGCGGCCAATGAGTCTAATGCAAATTTCGTGTTAGAGACGCCACGATTGTTCCTTTTGGAGCCGCTCAATCTGACTTACCGTGCCTGTTCTATCTTTGAACAGCTGTGCCTTCGCCTTCAAATCTTCCGCATTCGCATATGAGGCTGGAGAGTAGCACATGTCTGCAAGCAAAGAGGTCAGTCAACTACGTCCCGCGTGAAGCATCTGAAGCTAGGCGACTTACACAGCACAGAACGGACAGCGTCGCTCTCGGGCAAGCAGTTGTAATGAACAGTCCTTGAGTCCCACAGGATGAGATCGCCCGGTTCGGCGCAGACCTTGATCGTCTCACAGCCCCTCTCCTTGAACCACTCGACTTCCTCCGGGGTGAACCCGAACCAGTCGGTCGGACCCCAGGTCTCTCGCTCCGTATCGTGGGTCTTGAAGAAGGCCTCGTTGAGCTTGCTCGATCCCTTGAGAACGATGAGGCCGCCGTCTTTGGGGCCGTTCGGGGCGAGGTTGAGGATTCCTTGGACGCACTGCAGGCCCTTGCGAAGCGGGCTCTGGTCGACGTGCGGCCACGCACCGATCGGCTCCCTGTTCTTCGCTGGGAGAGTCAGGTTTGCACCGTCGAAGGAGACGAGAAGGTCTTTGGTTTGCCAGAGCTTCGCGTAGGCGTCGAGGATGGCGGGCTCCCTTTCTCAGAGTCAGCATTTGGTCTATTCGGGAAAGGTTCGAGCCGACTTACATGCGTGCTTCCCAGAAGAACTTCTCGTGCGCTACCGAGTATGCATGGTACATTCCGCCCCTGGAGTCAAGTCAGTACTGGTAGATGGTCGACGATTTCTTTGGAAGACTAACTTAATGTGCGCCGGCAGGTGTTCGGGTCCCCATGTTGAGGGGTCATCCTTCTGGAAGCCATAAGGGAATGTCTCAAGCCAGTCGAACAGGCTATCGAGGTAGTAATTGGCTTTATCCGACGAGAGAACGCCCTTCAGCACAACGTAACCGTCGTTGATGAGCTGGTCCCTCCAGTCGCCAAATTGCGCCGAAGTGTCGAGCTGGGGCTCGGTGTCGTAGCTGATGCTGCCCATGACGGAAATGTCTGAATCGAGTCGAGAATGAAATGAATGGCTAGCTGACAAGGTCTTGCGGGGTTACGTCGGCGGATGCAGCGTCAAGCGCCTTATATCCATGAGCAGCGAGTTGGCGACATGCCTGCCACGCAAACCAATGATCATTCGGTTTGTCATATCGAAATGAGGTCGGATAACATTTTCCCAACGATCAACGCAACGGCCAGAGGCTTAATTCCCGGCCGGACGACTCACGGGCGAAAACATCGATCCCCACGGGGGGGGGATCCCTTGTCGTAGCTTTATCGCGGGGACCGGGCGAGTCGCGGGTGAGTTTTTGGACGGCGGCGCCCGTATCGACCAATGATATCCCCGCAGATGATAATACATTTCCGTCGACATTTACCTCAACATCGCAAGTCCATCTATAAAGATGGCTTTATTGCGGGCTTCGGCCAACCGCGTTCCCCGTATTGTCACGCCACCTCAATCTTTCTCCATTCATAGTCTCCGCAGCAATGACAACTCCATCGAAGGTCACGGCCGCGGAGCCCGGGCTGCTGGATCTCGCGGGCACCCCCACATCGCCCTGGTGGAAGGACGGCGGTCTTAGGAAGCTCATCTTCTGGCAGACGTGTATTCTCGCGTGCCAGATTACCGTCGGGTACGATGAAGTCATTGTTGGTTCTTTCCAGGCGTTACAGCCCTGGCAGGATGGTAAGCTTGTCTACTTAGTCATCCTGTCTTTGTAAGTCAATGTTGCTGATGGAATTGCGCAGCCATGGGAAACCCGTCCGCCGAGATCCTGGGTTTGATCACTTGCACGGTCTTCATTGGTGGTTTTGTCGGTGCACTGCTCGCGGCGGCCCCGGCAGATCGCTACGGCCGTCGGTTTGCGATTCAGATCGGGTCGTTCCTGGGTGTTGTCGGATCGGCCATGCAAGCCGCGTCTCCCAACCGCAGCGTCTTCATCGGAGGCCGCGCCGTTCTCGGTGTCGGTTTGTCCTTTACCACAACGGCTGGGCCGAATCTGTTGAACGAGCTGGCTCATCCACGGTTGCGCGGAAAGATGGCTTCAATGGTAAGGTCGTTCTTCTCCTACACGAGTATGGAAGAACCAGCTACTGACCCTGACGAAACCAGTTCAACGTGCTGTGGTATCTGGGCTCCATCATCGCGTCCTGGCTGACATTCGGAACTGGCCACCTCTCGACTGCCTGGTCATGGAGGATCCCGTCTATCGCTCAAGCCATCTTTCCTTTCCTCCTCATGATCGCCACCATCTTCATCCCCGAGTCACCCCGCTGGCTCTGCTTCAAGGGACGCCAAAGCGAAGCTAGGGCGTTCCTCGTCAAGTACCATGCCAATGGTGACGAGCATGACCCCACGGTTGACCTCGAGATGCATGAAATCGCCACGGCCCTGCACCTGGAGGAGCAGAGCAAGATGTACACCTGGTCCAACCTCCTTAAGTCCAAGGCCAATCGGCGCCGCCTCGGTATCTGCGTCTCGGTCTCTTTCTGTACTCTTTGGTCAGGACAAAGTGCCATAAGTTACTATTTTTCGGTGCGTTTGGTATCCTTCGACCCATAACCCCTAGTCCTATCTCCTGACCCCCAGCGTAGCCCATCCTCAACTCGGTCGGCATCACCAGCACCACGCAGCAGACGGGTATCAACGGCGGCATGGCCATCTGGAACCTCATCTGCTCCGTCACCGGCGCCTTCCTGGCCGACGTCATCGGGCGCCGCAAGCTGTGGATGACGTCCTTCGTCGGCATGATCCTGGCCAACGTGCCGCTGACGGTCACGAGCGCCATGTACGCGAACCACGGCTCGCAGGCGGCGGCCTACGGGACGGTCGTGTTCCTGTTCCTGTACAACGCCGCCTTCAACGTCGCCTGCAACCCGCTGCTGTACTGCTACACGCCCGAGATCCTGCCGTACAGCATCCGCAGCAAGGGGCTTGCGCTGCAGGTGCTGACGAGCCAGATCATGCTCACGGTGAACCAGTTCGTCAACCCCATCGCGCTGGAGCGCATCGGGTACCACTACTTCATCTTCTACCTCGGCATGCTGTTCCTCGGTCTCGCGCTCATCTACTTCACGTTCCCCGAGACGAAGGGGTACTCTCTGGAGGAGTTGGGCATGCTTTTCGATGACGACTTTGACGTCCGGCCTTCTGTTCTTCATGGTAAGGATGTTGAGAATACTGTGGTTCAAGACGATACGAGCAAAGACAATGTCAAGGTTGTCGAGGGTTGAGACGGAGGGCATTTTAATGATAATAACTGTTTGTTTGCCTTGAGATCCCAAGGGTAATGGCGTGACCTTATCTGTTCGCTTGTCCTGACCAACTAATTCATACCCTAAAATCGACATCACCTCAAATTACATACTTCCTCATGTACATCTCAATTCCATCGCCAGCGTCGGTCATTCTCCGCAACGACCGCCGCAACCCGTCCCACATCCTCCTACCAGGACTTGAACTTCTTGAATATCTTGGAATACCTACGACACAATCAGCCATCACATGCGTAAGACAGACACAGTTGGCGGCACTCACCCGGCGTAGAGCGACGATGCCATCGGCAGACGCAGAAAGAGGTCGTCGAGCGGAGTGTCGAGGTCGTAGAGGGAGAGGTCGCGGATGTCGGGGACGGTGTAGGGGGGGGTGAGGGGTTCGTCCGGAGGAGAGGGAGGCGGCCGTGCGGGTAGAGTTTGGATTTGAGCTGGAGGGCTTTTTCGTCGGATATTTTGATGGGGTTGGATGGAGGTGCTGGTGATGCGGGCGGCTTTTTTGAATGATGAGGGTATTCGGACGTCTTTTATGGGATTATGTTGGTAGTTCACATCATGAAGTGTTTGGATGAGCGTTTCGGTCATTTAATGGATTGTTCTATGAGATTCGTAGGATATTCCGCCGACTCATGATGTTGCTGAACTACTTTCGTCTATTTCTTGTACATGAATCCAACAAGAACATATCAGTTTTACTACGTCTCCTGCCAGTCCCGGCAGGTTGTTGGACATAAGAATAATCAGAGGCATGGTTCAAGACTACCGAATCTTTGATACGTTATCAACGGCGACGATCTATGTCTTATCGCACAAGAGCATCCTGAAGAGTGAAACAAATGACATGGAACAAGAAATCGAAGTCTGCCGACTGGGGCAAAGAGGAGCAGCTACGAGTGGCTCACGAGATCATGACAGGGGGTGGCTTCGAATGAGCACCCAGATTTTGCCGTACTAACTTTCATCTCACAGCTGCGGCTTCAGAAGGTGTTGATGAGGTGGCTTGGAGAAGACCGCCGCGTCCATTCGTCCCCATTTGAGAGAATGCCAATTGGAAGATGTTCGCGTCGAGGGCTTTACGCCGTGCATGACACATTTCAATATTGTAAGAGACATCTGCTTGCGCTTGAGATGTTCCTTGTGTATGACTGACTAAGTTCATGATGGCAGGGGAATCACAACTCACGCTTTACATGTGAACTGTATCAGTTTTCCTTGGGGTGCTTCTGGACGTGGTATTGACACGCTCTCAGCAATTCACGTTAAAATAAAATATCTTAGGTCTGACATCATGAACATCACGAACTGAAAAGGCTTGTTAGAAATGCCGAAAGCAGCCACCTGTAAGTTTCAAATTGCATTTCATTACATGCGCCATCCAGCTAGCGAGCCACCCCTGAACCTTCATCTCCATCATCAAGGTACTCGGGAGAGGTGAGTAGGATGTATAAGACAGACTTCAAGCTCTCTTCAAATAACGTGGGAGCAGCATCAACCGCAGATCTCATCTCCAGACAGTACTCACTCGCTTTCTCATATTCAAACTCTCACAATGGTTTGCTCCAAGACCTCCGCGGCGGCTCTCGCCGCCCTCCTTCTGCAGGGCAGCTTCGTCCTGGGCCAAGTGAACGACGTTCAGGTTCCCACGCCTACCACGTCTCCTCCCCGGACCGTCACGGGCGAGTACGGATGCTACACCGACTTCGTCCAGGAACGGCCTGAGTCCGTCGAGACCCTATCCAGAGTCTACTCCCACACCTCGCCCATCACCTACTACCACTACGTCACCCCGTTCAGGACCACCGTGACCGTGACTCCTTCCCCCCTCCCTCCCCCGTCCGCGACGGCCCCGGCCACCATCACCATCACGGACACCGTAACAAGCTACACCCGCACCACTTCCTTCACGATCCAGTCGATTCCCACGCCCGCCGGCTTCATCCCGCTCTCCTCCGCCGTCTACAGACCCCGCGACGACTTCGGCAACCTCTACATCGACCAGTCCGACGGTGCTTCCGAGGACGCCGACACCTTCCCGAACGCCCAGCACCCCCTGAAGCTCAGCCTCGCCCAGTCCCAAGACGTCGTCGCCGACCCCCCCTTCTACCCCGAGCGCGTGGTCTGCGAGCGCGTCGTCCGCATCTACACGACCACAACCGAGACCTACACCGTCACCGGCACCTTCACCACAACCGTGACCGCCGCGACGCCCTCTCCGACGATCCCCTCCGTCCCCGCGCAGGTCACCACGACCACGACCTACACGACCACCTCCACCTGGCAGGTCGTCATGCCCAACCCGACCTTCACGGCGTACGAGGCGTGCCAGGCCAACAACATGGTCTCGCGGGCTCCGGGCGACCGGCCGATCGTGGAGGCGGCCAACGACTGGAGCGTGACGCGCGAGGAGCGCTACGCGGAGTCCGCGTACGACTGCTGCGTCTTCTGCCAGCGCGAGGACAAGTGCACGGGGAGTCTGTACTTCCGCAACGTCTGCTACACCTTCAGGGACGATGACGATACGTGTGCCACCCCGGGAGAGCTGCGCTGGAGCCGGAGGGCTAGCACTAAGGGAGCGTTTGTGGCTAGCAACGGCATGTGCGGTTCGTGGAGGCTGTCGCGGACGCCTCCGTCTAATGAGGGATTCTAAGTTTCCCTGATTACTGGCGTGGATGGATAGATGGATGTTACTAGACAGACACGAAAAACAGAACTGGGTTCCTCTGCCCTGCGTAAAAAGAGACAAAATTGCGGCTAGCTAAATCAAAAGTCATTTGCTTCGTATCTCGATTAAAAATTATGACACTGGCTTAATGTCCTGAGCATGGCGGAATGCGTGATGCCGAAGAGAGTTCTTTTCCCGGCCGGGACGCCCCGGACGCGGGCCGTGGCAGCTTCCAGATGGGGAAAGTGGAGACGGGGAACACGGTGGAAGTTAGGTCGAAGCCGCCTGCCCGAGTCGAGTTGTGCACTGTTGCTTCCTGGGCTCGCCCTGCCAGGCAGAGAAGCTTTTTAACTTCAACATACCTCGAATATGAGTGACGAGGGGATATCTATTTGCATGTACGGCATTGCAATATTTCATTTCTATCTCAAGGGTTCTACCTGGTTATCCGCGACGCCGAACCATGTCGAAACTGTTCACCGGGTCTTGACCGAGCGTTCAATTACCACATGGGAAATGCGAGGACGCCCTATGTTCAATCCAACGGAATCGCCACCTGTTCGAATGAACATAGGGCGGTACAGCAGACCAACAACGTTTTGAGGGATTGCCAGGCTTGTAAAGAACTTCGCAAGGATGTCGTCCTTCAGGTCCTTCCCGAAGCTTATCATTTCAGATGAAGCTAACCAGAATAGCAAATTCGCCGTCGTTGGTCGCGGAAGAATCGTCAAAGAGCAGTATTGTTATGCTCTGATGCACACAATTTGTTGCACATATCGACCTCGACCTCAATACCGACAACGACGGCTTCATGGCTAACTTTGGGCACAGACTCAATGCCCAGCACCACAGCATCCTCTATCCACGCCAAACTTCTTTCGACGAAGCAAGTTGGAGTGTTCTACGGCCTCTTCCACGTGCTGCGCTTGCGCCGTACAAGAGGGGGATTCTCGTCGATGTCTGCGATCTAACGAACCATTTTGATCTCAAAGTGAGCCTTCAGATCCTCCGGCACACCAATAGCCCTGCTGCCACCGAATGTCAAACGCTACTCCAACCTCGAACCAACAGCAGTAATCGATCTGCGAATGACATCATCTACAACCCTGAACGTTCATCAGATACGCGGGCTATCCAACAGAAAGGATACTGCGTCGCAATGCTTTTGCATATGCAGTTTTGGCGTGGGGTCTCGACACCCCAGGCGGTACTGGTACTGTAGGCAGCCATTTAGGACATTTTACGACGGCTAACTACGGGACGCGAACGAAAGTCCTTTCCACTCCCCAGCCGTCGAAATCAAAAACAGCGCAATCCGCCTTGGCTGAATCCCTCCAACCTTGCCTCTCCGAGACTCGCGACCGGGCCTTTGGGTCACGATCGCGCAAAGAAGGATTTCATCGACCCTCCTCCGCCTCTTTTGCGTCTTGTCGCTCTCCACAGAACCCGTCGATCATTCAGCACCGGCTCTGGGCTGATGAGACTTGGACCACCAGCCACACAGGGAGGCAGACAAGCACCTCAGAGCAGCCTCAGAATCCGCGTCGGCCGCCGGCGCACCTCGCCCTCTTCCGCGGAAAACCCGAAAGGTGGATGACGTCGTCAATTGGTCGAGACAAAATGTTATGCAATGTCCAAGCCTTGCGAGCACATCGAAACGGCAGCTAAGATGGAATCGATAGGGCGACAACAGGGCGACAGCACCGCGACAGGACCAATAGACGGCCACCGCTCTCTCTTGTTCCAAGGCCATGGTCTTTTTAGAAATCACGAGGGCATCGGATCTGGGGTCAAGCGGGAGACAGACAGCCGTTACGGAAGGGGGCTGTCGAAAGTGAAGCCCATTCATGGTCGAATGGGCGTTGAGAAACGGCACCGCACTGCGGACACTAAGCCCCCTGGGCTGGAGCCATGACCCTGGCAAGTTGTGACTTTTTTAATATTTGCATTCAGCTTAGCCCCTGAGGACACGCTGGATGACGGCCCCAGGGTTGCATCGTCCGGGACCTAGATTGGTCTTGGCGATCCTTTCTGGCAAATTCGTCCTCTTTTATCCTGTCTCTCGCAGGAGAAGAGGGCTGGCAATGCTTGGTGCTTGGTGCGTGAGTGGGAGTGTCCGGTACCTGAGCCTGCTGCCCGCCGCCCGCCCGCTCGCTGGTCATTTTTCATCCTGGCCATGTCATTTCATCGGGGCCGAGCAACCATGCTGTCGTCGTCGACCGTCGATCGGACAAAAACATTCTCCATCCGCCCTGCAACGATACCCGGCTAAGGATCCTCTCGCCTTGCTTGTGCTACTTTCCCCCTTCCTCGGCCCTGTTTGATGGGAAGCTGCTTGGGACAGCTTCATCCCAAACCAACAACACACCGGAGACGACGACGACGACGTGTGTATGCCGACGCACGGTGAAAATGGCGACATTGGACCCGAATGCGTGGTATCGCATCTCCGAAACACGCGTCGACAACAGCACCGGCCCCTTTGCTCTCAACCTCCAGCTTCGCACCGAAGTAAACGGTCTCAGAGTACACCCGAAAGAGGGGGGAGAGGGGGCATGGCAATTCCAGCCGTACGGAGATGTCAAAGGTCGCTACCTCATGCGCCTCGATCAGACGGGCGTGAAGGCGCAGCTGAGCGCATGCTACGAAGCGACCGAGCCAGCCTCAGGAAAAACCGTGGCGTGTATGAGAGACTCCTCGACTGATGCTTCTCAATTGTGGGATATTTCCGACTTCGGATCGGGGACATTCAAATTTGTCAACGTTGCCAACGGGACAGGATACGTCCTCGACGTCCACCCGAAATCAAACCTGTTCATGTCCAACGAAATCGAGGGGACGAACGGCGTCGAAAACCAACTTGCTCAGCACTGGGTTATGTCAAGCGTTAGCGCCGTCAATGACGGCGCCTATTCTACTATTTACTCTGGCGTGAGTTGGGATCCAGGAGCCGCCAGCACCAATCGAAACGGGTTCGCTAACTCCTCCAGAATGTTGCCGTAAGCACTAACTCAGCTACGCTTTCATCCACTGCAACATCCACCCGATCGGCAACCGCAACCTCCTCCACTACACGATCGACACAGACAACTTCACAAACAGGCTCTGCGGCCTCTGCAGACGCGATGAGCTCCGCGACTTCGACCAGTTCGCCGTCCAAAGGCATATCGACGGCGGCCGGAGCGGGAATCGGTGTAGCCGTCGCGCTCAGTGTGGTCGGATTGATAGGAGCAGTGGCATTCTTCTGGTGGCGACGATCACAGCGACCCGCGAAAACGAAATACAGCGAAGTCGAGGCCAAGAACGGCGACCAACCCGATCGCGTATCCTCCATGGGAGTCTCTCAATCCGGTGAGAGCGCGCCGTCGTCATTACATGGCGTCTCCCCCACCGTAGGGGTTTCGAGTCTCTCAGCATGGCAGCCCGCCTCGTCCGTCACCGTACCGCCAGCATCATCTTTCATCAACGGGCAGCAAGTCGCACCAAACGGATCGCAAGGAGGATATTATGCGGGGGGCCAACAGACGATGGGTGGACAGCAGGGCGGATACTATGATCATCAACAGCAGGCGGCTGGAGGACAACAAGCTGGATACTATGCCGATAACCAGCATTCGACATCGATCGCTGGGCAACAGGGCGCGATATATGGTGGACAACCCGCGGCGATGCCCGATTCGCAAAACACGGTTATTGTTCCCACACAAGGGGAAGCGCCAATTGCTTCGCTGTACGGACAGCGGCTTCCGCCGTCGACCAGTCCGTTGCCAGGCGCATCCATCTACGGCCAAAGGAATGCACCCACGGGCGGATCTGCTTCGATTTATGGACAGTCAAATGGACCCTCAAGTAGTGCCGCCGCTGCGGTTCCCCGTCATCAGTTCGATCACCCCACGGCGCCGAGCGAGTTCGCCCCGACGCCCAACACAGCCGGAACTCAGAACACATCCCGCAACGTCTATGGCGCCAACCAAAACGCAACCGCTTCGACAGTCAACATCGCTGACTTCGAACCGATGCCCCAGGCTCACGAACTTGAGGCTGCGGAACGAGAAATCGTACGCCGTCAACATGAGCTGGGCACTTTCCACCACGGACCTGAGAATTTCATGAATGAACGATCTTCGAGGACGCAGGCAGCCCCGGCAGCTCCAGCAGCGTCGGCGGCCCCGCAGGCCGAATTGAGCGCGTACCAGCATGGGCCCGACACCTTCTCACGCAACGAGGCAAAGATGCTGGGTGCACCGACCGCCGAGCTCGGGGCCTACCAACACGGTCCCGATACCTTCGAGAACGAACATGAAGCCAAAGTGTTGGGCGCCTACCATCCCGGGACAGAATCATTTACTCGAGAGCGGGAGGACAAGGTGCTTGGCAACTTTCACGACATTATGAATTTGGCAAAGCCAACAGGGCGGGGCGGTGCTGGGCCGCAGGCATACGAAATGAGCCCAATACGGACACCGAGGGAACACGGCGACACAAACAGATGAGGCCTCCTCGTGCGATCTGATTACCGACACAACGACCCATTTACTCCACGAACTACAGCGTTTAGCCCCTTAGGCGAAGAACGAAACACCATGATACCCCGACAAAGACACACGCTGTCTTGTGTCTCAACTCGTGCGGCCTCCTTCAGCCGCCATAGCCACGCAGCGATGTGGCTGCTTACGCGTGCATCAGGACACCACAGGTCAACGCACAGAGGTGCTGTGGCGGAAATCAGCCACAGAACCTGCCACGGATGCTGACTGAGTTCCCCGAGAATTCCTTCAAGGACGCCCGAGAACTTGAGGTCGCCGACCGGAAAAGACGACGTCCGAGCAAAAGAATCCTACGACGATTCATGCGCTCAGAGCTTAAATCATAAATTAACCAACGCGCCCGTTTGACGGCTGGGTTAGGCAAAATCGGGCGTGGTTGACAACCTAGGTGAAGCAAATTGGCTTCGTCGCTTATGCGACAGCTGGAAGCGGCTTCACGGACGCATCGGTTAACATATACCGATCTCACACCCTCATAGATCTCTTCACAGATTTGGTGATCTATGATACCGGAGAGAACTGGTGACGAGTCGATAGTGCGACTCGGAATTTATCGCTGTTGAGAAAGACATATAAATGAAATCTAATCATAATAATCAAAGATTCAATTTCCATGTCGATGTCCTCCTGTAACTTCAGGCGGATTGTGAAGGTTCTGTAGCTCTTCGGGAAGAAAGTCGGCAACTTCACAACAAGGCTTCGAGCCACCGCAATTCCCCTCCAGCTGTGTTTGAAACGATCACCATGTCTCGTCGTCGGTGCTCTTCTCGTCTGTCAGGGTATTCGGCCTTGAATACCTACACCACTCCTTGTTGCGTCCTCCATCCGCAAACATGATCTCGTGCAATCAATCGCCCCGCCGCTTCCGCTCTCAGAACGTGTGGCTGGATCAATGTAACGGTCTGATTAAGCGCGTCGTTCAGGACACTACAGGTTTGCTTTGTTCAAAAGTATGCTGAGCAGCGATGTGGCTGTATTTATGTATGCTATCACAGAGATCTTAGCAGCTGGTCCCGAGGGGCGGTGTCAAGCGAGCAAGCGCTGATCCGACATGCGCATGTGGAAACTTGCTCGAGTGGTCAAGACCATACTATCACGTATTCGTGTTCACAATGTTGGCGGTGCCTATATAAGTCTCCCGGCGGCACGTTTTGGAGGAGGCATCAAGTCGACGCTTATGTCTGACTTTAGGAATTCAAAAGAAAAAAAAAACCGTGCAACACACAAAGTGTCGTCATCCATCAGACCGAGTGCAAGTCCAATGCCGACGTTAACGAGAGGCATATTCCGCCACAATAATCTCGTAGAAAGAGAGACGGCGGACAAGGGCAGATCCATTAGGCTGGTTCATAACAGATACGCAGATACGTCATAATGCGACGAGGAGAGAATCTGAAGACCTGGGTATGAGCAGACTTCACCACTTCGAAATCACATGGCTTGAAGCGCGGGTTCCTGCGAGAGCAGAGGTTTCGTCGTTGGCTTCTACTTGCACTCTTATATCACTTTGGTTATGCGTTCTTTCTTCATCTCGCTTCACTTTAAACGCATGTTTGCTCTCTATAGTGTTATAGGCCGCTTGTATTGTTTAGTTAGCTGTCATCGTGAGACGTCCCAGCGGTGATATGATTGGGACGACCTGCGTTCTTCTCAACGACAAAGACGGGCTTCGGAGGCGGACGTCTTCACGGGACAAGGGATGTAGTCGGATGATCTGGCCGTTGTCGGTGGCTCGGGGACATCTGTAATGTTTCCGAGCTTCGGCTGGGCGGCGAGCTCGCGGCACAGAGAATAAACATTTGTCTTGTCTTTGATTCAAGTATTAGCAGTACGATTTAGAGGTGCGATGCAGATTTTGCGTTAATCACTTCCAAAATGCGAGTTCTCACAGACACTTTGCCCGGATTCAGGGATATAAAACATCTCTGAGCTGCCAGTTGCTTCCGTGCTGCACCCGTTGGAGATCTCGGTCCTTGATCATGTACCAAGCATGTGGCTCCAGTGGACTCGTCTACAGCGATGACTTTACCGTATCTCGATTGTAAGTATGGTCCTGGAAGCTTGGGAACTTTTATGGCCTGGTGAGAGACGCGCTGAGTATGTGTGATGGGTATACGTACCGAACGATGAGGGATAAAGGCGCCAGACGGCGAAAGGATCGCGCACTAACCGCAGAAGCGAGACTTTCCATTCTACGGGGCCCGGTGTCGTCAGTAGAAGACGATGATCGTCTTTGGGAAGCAAGAAATGGCCACTGACACCATTGATATGGGTCCCGAGCACTCAGGAGCTCTCAAAAGCTGGGAAGACATGGTATGCTGCGCAGTAATGTTTGCCACGCAAGGGTAACAGCACTTATATACAGCCCGGCCCCGCTCACTCGCTGTTCAGGGAGAATTGCCACGTGCATACAGGGCAGGCTGTGTGTATATGGCGCAGCCGTTCTGCTTATAAGATACCTAGGTATCGGGAGGAGAAGAACGATCTCTCAGATTACTGGCGGAATAGAGAAATCTACGAGGCAGCTGGTGATTCGCGTAGCGGGGTTGTCCCCGGAGGCTAAAGCGCGGAGAAGGCCCGCAAAGTTCGGAGCGTATATTGCGGCCGAATACGTCCATGGAGACAACGGCGACGAACACCTCAGGAAAATCGACTGGCTGCGGAACACTTGGCCCGCTGGGTTCTGGGCACCACAAAAGTACTGGGATTATGGCGCACGAGTGCCGGGAGAGAACATCGTTACTCCAGTGGTGTCGTTGGCGAACCTTTGGCTGAAGCATAGGGCGGCAGAGCCCCTTTTAAGCTAAGCACCAAACTCCCCTATTTTTTTATATATGAGACCCTCGACGAGAGAGATAGATTGTTCTGATCTCAACAGAGGTTGAGGTACCAAACTAAGTGGCGGCGTCACTGCGAATCGGGATGACCTAGTGTGTTGGTGAGGGCCACCCATCCATGGCCTATAGTAAGAAGCCATCGACGTCGGCTAGCGTCTTAACGGCTTTGGACACCATTAGCTGAGCAATTAAGTCTGTCCCGGCTCGATATTGGGGACGACAAGGGAAGGTTGAGATGATATATAAGCCGGAAGAGTAAGTGTCAAGACTCTTGAAAGCAACGCAGTCTGCTGCTGCCCTGGTCCACACGCCAGTCCACGTCACCTGGGGAACGTCTCAAGACATCGTGCCCCGGGCGTTGAACTTGGTGGTACGCAAACCGTAGCAGGATGGTGGAACATGAATATGAACAAGCGATGGAATATCAATATGATGATTATAAGCGAAGCGATACGCCGTAGGAGACGGAGATGAAGAGAGACATCATATCGTGAGGGTGAAGCAACGTGATCCGCTTTTTTAACATGCTCGAGAGTACTCGCTTCTTCTCAAGAAGTTCGATTTCGACCTTGGCCGTATTTGCAATGGACAAGTCCCAAGCATAGCAGCCAATGGACAAATTCGACTTATCGATTCCCTGTGAAAATCTCGATCCCATCGGTGCCCCTTTATACTAAGCTTTGTACTTTTACATCATCATTCCGCATTACACACCAGCACGCTTTTGGTCAGCTGTTTATAGTATAAATAGATGCAAACCTATTATTGTCTTCCTGTCCTAAAGAGGGTAAGATAGTGACGCCCCAAGTACATGCAGTTGTCTTTGGCGATAAGTCTATGGGTGATATACGGTAGAAACTCAGGTGGAAAAGCGTCATCCTCGTATTAGCTCCTCCACTCTTGTTATATTCGCCGCAAACACATCAATAACGAAAAGGATGACAAGAGGCGTTGGGAGAGAGTCGATGGTTCTCAGAGTTCACCAATGACGACCCAAATTCGCGGTGCATGATTTCGCATCCGGTATTATGGCACATTGCTCAACCTATAGATCAGGAAGTCGCTCGCCTATTGGGCCGTGGCTGATGTTGATAAACACTGTTTCGGCCTTTTTATCAGTATCCATACCTAAGTCTACGGTACTCATTTGATCAATGAACATTTCACGAGGTAGCTTGAGTGTAATTTGTACCGCGGATGTAGTCTGAGCATGATACCGGTGGGATGGGCAAGGCGCCGCAGGATGTCTGTGAAGAGGAAAGCTTCCTTATAATCAAGAAACTCGTGCGACAATCAAGCTTGTCTAGAGATCCTTAGCCATCTCAGCTCTTTTCATCGAGCGGTTAGGGTGTTTTTCGAAGCGTTGATAGATACGCTAATTGCACAGACATCGACGGCGCTTTTGCACGAGAGGTCTCGAAAGCCCGGCGACGGCATCTTCGCTTCTTTCAATTATACACAATTGTATAGGTACTCGACAACGACGACCAAAGATGTCGAATGTGGCCCGGGGATGGTGGTGGAGGACCCCGCACCTCTGCCAGGAAACTCCAGTAATAACATGGTGGACGATGATGGATTTCATCAGTGCCCCCGCCAGTTCAAAAACCAGACCGCCCAAATTTGGGATTCTGGGATTCAAGTTGCTTGCCTATCTCGAAACATAAGTCAGCAGTGGAATGAATTTGTATTCAGTAACTGGGAGAGGAACCCGGTAACGCAGACGTTGCTTTCTCGAAGTCATTCTCTCCGTCTACCAGCTTCTTTCTGCCGCAAGGCCCCAGAGGTGTGAGACGACTCGAGGCTATCTGTATTTCCAGACCCATTCCAAAAAAAATATAATTATAAGCGTCACTCGGTGGAGTGAACACACAGTTGGAGGAGCAATCTAACGGTGCTAAAAACCGTGTGATCCAAGGGACAGCCGTCTGTGGTGACAGACCTGCCTTGCTACTGCGATGTCAACCCAGCCTGTCCTTTCGCGGCCGTCATCTGCCATTCCAACCGCGTGGCATGTTGCATCCTAAAACTATCTAAATACGTGAAGGACGACGACGGACGGCGGAGGTTGATCAAGGTACTACGTTCGTGTTTCCTCAAGCACATCGACAGCACTGGAACATTGTTCCCGGCTAACCCGCCAGGCACAAAACGAATTTCAACCCAGGAACAACTCCTTAACGTTTGGCCTTTCTTCGACCTTTCAGATCTCGAGGCCTTATTTCTAAGAATCGTACTGTGGGTGAGAATAAGTACACCACGTTAGGTACTCACCCAAGATCAGTACACCCAGATATTTTGTTGAACTGTATATTTGATCGCAAATTTGATGCATGAAATATGTCCTGGTATCGTATCTTTCACTTGCATCCCTAAAAACACCTTTGAAAAATAAAACATGTCCTGGTATCGTATCCTCCACTTACATCCCCAGAGCAACTCTCACCTACGAATACTTGTCCCCCTTCCGCGGCCTCATCATATCCTCCCGCTCGTCCAACACAAGCTGCAACGCATTCCCGTCCCCGACCCTGACTTTAACAACCTTCTCCCACACCCCCGTCCCGGACCCGACCCCGGCCCCGACGTGCGTCAGATCCCCGTCCGGCGGCCTCTCCGACCGCAGCGCCAACAGCACCAGGTCCTGCAGGTCGCTCCACGCCGTCACGCCCCTCAGGTCCAGCCCCTTGCCCCCCACCGCGCACCCGATCCAGTCCAGCGCCTGCGAGACGAGCACCACGCCGCCGTACACCCCGACGACGCCGAGGTAGATGTACATGACGACCAGCGCGAACTGCAGCGTCTTGGAGGACTGGCCCGAGCCGTAGCCGTGGCGCTCCGCGGCCAGCCCGATCTGCAGGTAGTCGTCGCGCATCTGCTGCGTGTAGAAGTCGACCGTCTTGTCGCGGGGCGTCGGGTTGAAGTTGCTGTTGACGAACTCGCTGGTCGGCCACGACGTGTTGCCCTCGACGTCGACGTAGCTGTGCGCGCCCGAGAAGAGGCCGTTCTGCACCGCCAGGTTGACCCACGTCAGGTTCTTCTTCTCTTCTTCGAGGATCAGGATCGTGTTGCCGTTGGAGGAGATGCGCGCCATGCTGTCGGTGAAGAAGACGCCGAAGAGCTTGGCGAGGAAGAGCTCCGTGTCGCCCTTGCCGACCTCGGGCCGCTTGCTGTCGTCGATGGTGTCGAAGTAGCGCACGATCCTGCCGTCGGGGCGCGTGGAGAAGTAGAGGAAGCGGTTGAGCATGAGCTTCAGGGGGGACGTCTTGACGAGGGTGTCGTTGTAGGTCTTGGTGTTGGTGTAGTAGATGGTGTTTGTGATTTCGAACTGCGGGTTCGTGCCCGTCAGCCAGGACCGGTCGACCTGGATGACGCTGTCCCTGTGGGGCGTCTCGTCCTGGAAGAGCGCGCTCATGACCGCGGGCGAGCTGACGTTGGTGTCCATGATGTTGTTCGTGTCCGGGTCGACGCTGAAGGTCGCGGGGACCCAGCGCGCGACGTAGTTGCACGCGTACACCCACGTCTTCTGCTCCATGTCCTTCGAGGCGTAGGGCATCGTGCCCGCCACGGTGATGACGGACTTGACTTTGGGAGCGGCGTTGTATGACATGTCGAACAGGCCCTGCGTCGCATCTTTGCTCGAGTTCCAGTAGTCCCGATCGACGATGGGGGGATTCCGCTGGAGGGTGATGCAGTCCCCGTCGCCGTGGCAGTTCAGAGCCTCGATGGGGAACTTGGCCTCCGCGCCGCTCTGCAGCAGCTCGTCTTTGTCGTACACGGCGCACTTTCCCTGCAGGAACGGCTGTTTCATCTCTGACGTGGTGGTGAGCTTGTAGCGCTGAGTGTCGTGCAGGATGCCAACGCTTTCCGACTTCTGGATGTAGGTTGTGAAGAGACCAAGACTCTTCATCGCGAAGCTCGTTGGCGTGGTGAACAGCGCGACGGACTTGTCTTCGTGAAGTTCCAAGCGACGGCCAATCTCCGACGAGAAGGTAAGGTTGTTGTCCAAGTCCGTGTAGCGGAAACCCCCCAGCCAGTTCCACATATCCGAGAAGCCTCCGGCGTAGCAATGCGGCTGGTAGATGCTCTCGGTCGTCTTGCACTCCGGGGTCTTGGCGAAGTGATGCAGACTGGAATCCAAAAGCTGCGGCCAGGCTTGTTTGGGGTTGAGGGTGTACGCGAGGGGCATCTTGACGTTGTCGAACGCCCCCGGAAGGTTGAACCAGCCGAGATTCGGCACGAAGAGGATGGCGGAGGCGGGACCGATGATGGTCGACATGATGGTGCCCAACACGACAAACGTGACGAGGATGATCTCCGTCGTGCCCACGCGACCCAGCCCCCAGAACGCACCGCTCGTCAGGTAGGCCAGGTCGCCCAGGCGGTAGCCGCCGGTCAGGAAGCCGAGTCGGACGCCGTCGCTGACGAGCCTGCGGCGGAACATGGAGAGGGCGATGGCGGCGAGGGAGGCGACGACCATGAGCTCGTGCAGCTTGGACGCGAACTGGAGGACGTTGGCGACGACGGTGTGTCTGCTCCCGAAGCGGCCGATGAACGGGATGTCCGGGCCGCTCTCGGGGTACCAGAACGTCTGCGAGTGGCTCAGCCAGATGAGGATGCAGGTGACGCCAATGGCCGGGGCGTGAGGTAGCCAGGCCGTCAGGAGTCTCGGGGCCGTCCTCTGGATGACTCTCTTTGGGCCATCCTCGTGGTTCCCGACGTGTACGTGCCACGGCTTTCGGGACTTGCGATCAAAGTACCTGTCTTCCGAGTTTTCGTCGTAAGGGTCCTCGGACAGTAGAGGCTTGTTGGTGGTACCGATCGAGACCGCATCTGGTGACATTAGCGATGGTGTCGTTGGTGACCGGTAGCCCAACTCTATGGTCTGGTCGATGGGGTCGTTCCGTCCCATGGTGAATGATGAGTATCTCGAGTTTGAGGTGCGAGTCTTACCACAGCACGTTGTAGGATTCCATGAGACACATTCCAGATGGGATTCAATCGCAATTGTATGATTCCCGTACCTAGTCCACGCCAATGCTTATTCTCTCAGCCTCAGCCGCCGGTGCCGGCATCCTGGAGAAGGCACAGCAGGCAGACGTTTAAAAGCCAGGCTGCATATATTGAACCAGGGTTTGGGGGCCAGGCTGCTCTTCACCGCAGGCGAGATATCGAGCTAACATCGCGGCGTAAGCAGAGACCCGCTTATGCTGGTAAAAAAGGAAGAAGGCTGAGGGGAGTTGGGGGCGCAAACATACACACCTCAACGTCGGCTGTGATGTAGGGTTGCATGCACCTTCCTGATAGGTCGTACGATGCTTATTTCGTGGGTTTGGAAGGATCTAAGCCCTATCAGCTGGCGCAGAATTATCGTGCAATACCAGACTTCTCGTAGACATCTTTGCTGGCGAGGGTCCAGAGTGGCATGCCCGCAAACTTGACAGAAGATCCAATCTAGCCCCGCCCACGTTAACATAAGCAGTAAACAAGAGACTGGCGGCAATCTTGCTTTGTGTCAGTGCCGCCGAGAACCTCTTGACATCGGGTGCGGATGGGGAACGGGCCATCCGACAGGGTGGGGCCGAATCTTCGGGTGATGGCCCCACCCTGAGCGGATGAGACTCTCCGAATCCGTCTGCGAAGATACTCGATGTCCGCCGCTCTCGTCACATTTATCGGGCAACAAGTTTGTATGTCATCCTCTCATTGAATACTTAAATCATTATACGAAAATCGAAGTCCAGAAAACATCAGAACAAAGATATCAGAACAAAGATACCGGGCGCCGCATGAGGGTATACCGAAAGCCCCCCTACTCCAATGAGCCCAGCCAACCAGTCCATCCAAACCGCGAACGCCGTTTGTTTCGTGACATAATCCTCCCAAGAATTCGAGCCACCATTTTTTTTGCTCTACCGACTCCGTGTATAACAAATGCGTCCAAACAAAAAACAATCATGATTTCTGAAACTGTGCTCCTTGAGGAGTGTATATGCGAAGAATTTGTTGAACGGGAAATGCAGATTGAAAGTTTAGGCGAGGGTGGCGATTTCAGCAGCACCATCGTTCTCCTTTGTGGTGGACGCCCAGTTCATGGCGTCATTCATGCTCTCTTCGCCAAAGACGTTGGCCATGAAGCCCTCATCCGAGTTGTTGACGCCTTCAGGAGGGAACTGAAGCCACTGATCGACGTCAAACTCAGTGCCGGTGACGGCGTTCCAGTCGATCTCTTCCTGGCTTTGGAGGAATTCGAGGTCCAGGGGACCAGGTTCCTCAGAACCGCCGCTGGCGCTTGGTGTCAAGCCGCCCATCGCAGACTCGTTCTCGGTGTGCGGCGGGCTCGTGGCCGACAAGTCCAGAGCGGCAGCGTTGATCGTCTGCGGGAGGAAGTCGCGTTGAGGGTTAGGCTTCGCCGCGAACAGGGTCTCGCTAGACGTCATGTAGGGTAGGTTGTCGGGCGGGGGAGTTTGCGCGCCAAAAGTCGGGTCGGCCAGCTTGAGGTTTTGCGTGGTCATGGCCGCGGTAGGCTGCTGGAGGTTAATGTCAATGGCAGCCTTACGCAGGGCAGCGTCGAGGAAGCCAGTCGCGTAATCGGCCGCGGCGTAGATCTCGCGCAGCTTCTCCATAACGCGCATGCACTGACGGAATCCACGCGTGGCACGATCCCTGGATTGCGACACAGGGTTCTTCATTTCCAGAAGATGAATAATCATTGCTGGCAAGATAACCGTCACACCAGTGGTGGGTAGGAATCTCTCCAGGCGCAGCTGGTGAAGCTCGGCCGCCATTCGGGTAACGTGCATCGCCGCATCTCGCACGCGCAGTCTAGACATCTCCTGCACCTGTCGGGAGGTCGTAGGCGCGTGAATAGGAGACGAAGGCAAGAATTGAGGTCGGTGCAAGGCCGAGATGGTAGTGTAGTAAACCATGTGCAGAAGCGTGCGCTGAACCGCAATGGTTGAACGACCATTCTTGACATCCAGAGGGGTCAAGGGCCTGTACTGGCAGATGGGTGGGAGGGTGTCCGCCCAGGCCATGAGCTCCAAATCAACGGAAGTGACACTCTCTACGTTATCCAGCTTCTTGTTGGGGAACAGCATCATAGTGCTGTTGACAGTGTTCTCCGGGCGCATCTTGTCCCGGATGAGGACAGAGTACTGGGCCTTAAGCATATGGCTGATGCATATGCACAGCTGAGCTTTGGATATGCAAAGAGCAGCCAATTCCTTTTGCATCGCAACATCGCGAAGGAGGGTGCACTCGGCAGGGATAACACCGTTGTCCTCAGGCAGAATCTCGAGTTCGAAGTCGGACTCCTGAAGCATCGGGACGTCGAAGTCCTCATCCTTGATACGAGTGGGCCGGCGCATGCCCAGAGCGATGAGGCGGTCGCGCATGAAACACGACCACCAAATGCGCTTCCACAACTTCTGCTTGTTGAGCGGCATACTCGTGGCAGCCGGATCACGGTGGAGGCCAATGGTGTGGGCCAGAGAGATGGCGACGCCCATCCAGTGCCATGTGTCCTTTTGGTCATCGGGGGTCTCGTACCAGTACGTCATCAACAGAAGAGCCTGGACGAGGACGAGGCGGTCCGACTCGTAGTCGAAGTCGTAGAGAAGCTGCAACACATCAACGTTTAGCATGTGAAGATTGGCAATGCGTGGAACCCCTGTCTGACTAGCGTTGTGCCAGACGGGCGGAAGTCGAGGGACGGCCCACTTACCCTAGTCTTTTGGAAGAAGGCTTTCCTTGCAGCCTTTCTGGTCGGGTAACCAGCTTCGCGAAGAACCTTCATGTCGACGAAGGCGGTGGCGGCAAACATGACAGCCTGGTACAAGAACAGACTGATCTGACCATTCAAGCCATCATGGGCGTTGATGGTGGCCAGGAAGTCGTACAGCTCCAGCAATGGCATGTACGGATGAACGTATTCGACGTAGGCCTGCAGGAGGGCATTCTGCAGCGGAAGTGCAGGCAGAGACAGGGCACCCTTGGCGTGAAGGTAGGTGACATCCTCTGGGGCGATCTTGGCGGGAAGTGGTTTCACAAAGGCCGGGAGTTGGGCGTGGAGGTCAGGCTCTTCGAGAGAGGCGAGAAATTGACTCGTTCGGCCATCACCACCGTTGCCCATTCCACCAAAGAGCGAAGCCTGGGCGAGCAGATTGGACAGCAAACGGCGAGAGTTGTTGTCTGCTGACGCCGCGGCCGCAGCCGACTGCAGCTTGGTGAGCAGAGCTGCGCTGTCATGACGGTAGCCCGATCGTTGATCTAAGTTTCACAAGGTCCCGTGGTCAGCCGCGTCGTCCTTTTTTTTTGACCGCATTGGTAGGATTTGACATGATTATGATGACTAGGATTCGAGGTAGGATGGCAAAGAGCAGTTGGCATGTGAATGTGGATTACATGTAAGAGGCTAGGACGTGGAGGGACGGAGCCGGGGACGGCGGAGGGTGAAGTTGGAGGAAGAAGGGGTGTGGGGGTAGATGGAACTCGAAGCAAAACAGGATGACATGACTGGTAGGGGAATGGCGGAGAAAGTCTTGACGTGGAGGACCAGGTCACGGGGTAAGAAAAGTCCCAAGGCCGCCCCAACTTCCAAGACCCTCCACACTTCCCCCGTTCCGTCCCCTCCCCCAGTCCGAGCCCCGGATCTGGGAACGATGGGCAGAACCAGGAACACACAACACGAGGCAGGAAAAAAATTGCAACGCAAGGTCTGAGCAACTCCTAAAAAAAACCATTGATCCAGATGACAGGGAACGGGGGTTTTGGAGGGGTAGTGCAAAGCGAGGAGGTGCGCGCTGAGAATGTTCCAAAGCAAAAAAGAGCAAAATGACAGTAACACAAAAAAAAAATAGACTTACAGATCATGTGAGGGACGTGACCCTCAAGCCCGTCAGAAGAGCCGCCGGGAACCGACATGCCACCAAGCACGCCTGACCCAATTCCAACTCCAACTCCAACTCCTCCAAGTCCAGCTCCAGCTCCGGCGCCAATGCTAGGTGTCGCACCCATGCCAACACCAGTGGTCGCCGCGACAGGATTTGCTGCGATTGATCCGTTGACCGAGGCCACCGAGGCATTGCTGGGTCGGCGCAGTTCCGCGCTGCTGTGGATGTTGATTGGGTTTGCGCCCTTGGAGCGTAATTGTGCCTCGGCTCCCACAACATGGTGCCCCGCCGTGCTGGCTGTCAGGAGGTTCTTCCTACAACGCGTCTAGGTTAGCAGGGGTCGTCCGCATTTACCTGGCTCCAATCTCTGCTTCCCATCTCCAGCTTCCCCAAGGAGGGATAATGTCGTATGTCGTCGTTTCCCCGTGGCATCCGCCCACATGCGCCAAGCATCCCGCACTTTCGTCTCCTTTCCGGGGCAGCTTGCGAATGCGCGCGCGCATGTGGAAGCCACTTGCCTCCGAAGCACTGGCAAACCAACCGGCAGAACGGGAGACATGGAGGGAAATCCGAGCAAAGATTGGGGGTGATTTGGGACTTACTTTCGGCGACGGCTCTCCTGAACAACGCACTCGACGTTGTCCCACCTGCAGTTGCCGCAGGGAGCACCTTCAACAACATCGCAACGGACCTTGCGGGCTCTGCAGCTCACGCAGGCGCGGGCAGCTCTGCGCTTGGTAACCTTGGCCGGGGGCGCGCCGTCTTTCAGGTCGGCAACCGACGAAGAGCGCTTCTTGCCCTGCTCCTGTTCTGAGGAGGTCTCGGCGCCGGACTCGTCGTGCTTGGCCTCAGACGTAGAGGCCAGTTCGTCTGCAGTCGCGGTCGCGGACGTAGTCGCAGTCGCAGTCGCAGTCGCAGTCGCAGTCGCCAGAGCTGATAGATCGGGAGTCGTTTCGGTAGTGGGCGTGGCCTCGGGGGCAGCCGTGAGGGCGGAGGTCGTCGTAGTCTCGGTCGCCATTGTCGAGATTTGTGAAGCAGCCTCCCCTATTAGAGACTGCTTGCAAGTTCAATGCCAATTGGCTTCTGGTTAGAGGATAAAGGCCGTCAAAACAGGGCGGCAGTAATCGCGAAGCGTGGTGTTGTTTTCCTAGGCAGCTCGGGCCGACGGATGTCAAAATTGGGTCCTTGGATGGTCAAAAGGGGTCGTTTGGTCCGGCTAAGCCGAGTCGTTCAGTGTAATTGGGATCGATTCGAATACGTCAGAGGACTGGATATACGAAGTCCTGTCGTCAAAGGCGAGGTTTGCGTCTGACGAAGCTTCAAAGGTTTGGCGGAAGAAGCTGAAGCTCGACTGGAGGAGCAATAACGCGAGCGGCAGAATAACAAGGCGGAACGTTGGCGCGTTGAGATGAGCATTGAATGTTTTCAAGGCTGGTACTAAACAGTGATCGTGATGTGATGTGATGTTGTGCTATTGATCCACGGGAATGCCGAGGCGGATGAGTGGCCCTGGTATGTCTCTGAAGTGTCTTGTGATGTTCTTGATCCTGTCTTGGAAAGGTATGGATATGTTGGAGAGACTAATGTGAAGTTGCCTCAGCCTCGAATTGTTAAGAAAAGCCGGAGCTACAGGCAAGTGGAAAGAGAAGCGGGAATGTGGGGTCCAAGGGTGGAAGAGGGAAGGAGGAGGTATTATATGAATCAGATACTAGCAGCAGTAGCAGGATCAATCTTTTTGCAACGGGACAGGCTCAGGCTCAGGCTCAGACTCAGACTTCGGGCAGAGCTTGACACTCACACTACCCTAGGAACGGACTCTCTTTCTTTCGTCTGGAATTCCCACGAGGCACGCCCCCCCGGTCCCCGGCCCCTCCTCCCCTCCTCCTCCTCTTTTTTTGCCCTTTCACACTCTCCGATCCATTGACAAGACTGGGGCCAAGCACACGGCGAAGTGAACGCTAGGCCGAGCGGGCGAAGGAAAGGTAGGGAAAGGGGAGGGCAGATTCCTTGTAACGAAGAGCTGCACCTTGGTACAGCAGGCAAGGTCCCGTCAGGACGTGGGAAAAAAGGGTAAGGGTAGGGTAATAATTAAAGCAGGAGCAGGAGCTGGAGCAGCAGCAGGAAGCAGCAGGAGCAGGAACAGGTTCGATAGGTACGTATCCGAATTTATGGGGAAACGACGCTAATGAAAATGAGGGCAAAAATGGAGAAAAAGTGGATGGGTTTAGTCAGGTGTGGAACAGAGACGTGGGCGCCGACAGGGATCTTGGATGAGACGGAGGTCTGACTTCCATCGGCAGGTACGTATTCCGTACCTTTTTGTTTACCTCAGCATTTCGATACTTCGCGATACTGTGTTTATTTGTACCTTCTTTTCTAACGGCACGCAATAAGTACCTTCCTCATTACTTCTTTGCCTCTCACGATGCGAGGCATGCTGCTGCAACGCAAAATTACCTTACACGCCCGCCGCTGGACTGTTTATTTTGGCTCACCTCGCTTGGTCCTGGTTTGTTTCCCTCCCATCGCTGACCGTCCTAGCGGCCGTTAATCGATGATGATGACAGGAATCCTCCGACGGCATTCGATGCGCGTTCGGACCTCGAATCTGTCAACTCGTCCTGACTTGTCCCGACTTCGTCTATCTGGTGACCGTGGCAGCGCAACGCTTCGATGTTGGATGTGAGCACAGAGACCACGGGACGTCGCCTGCGGCCTGCTCTTATTGGAACCGGCACGCCCAGGGATTGGCCAAGAAAAAGCAGGGCGCCTTCTCTTACATGAGCAATGCAGCTGCATCCATGAAATTGCTGCTCGACGACCATCTTTCCTACTGAGGCGACGTAGTACCAGATAACGCACTCGGAGTACATGCCGACACATGTACAGTGTATCCTGCCGACGGGATTCCAGACCCGAGTCTCTCCTCCATGATGTGCATTCTTCAAGGTCAGCTCACTTGCGCCAGTATTTGCTTTTCCATCGCTTGGCTTCCACACCTCAGCCTAACAGATCATTTACGCCTCTTCCTCCGCCACGGCGACAATCCGTATGCCTATTGCGTTCCATCCCATATGTCCAGAGGCAATCCCGTCACCCTGTCCTATCCAATTCCATCCCATCCCATCCACCCTTCCATCCATCCGGTCGGTCGGGCCAATCCGCGGCTCCCGTTTTCTAAACCACCCATCTCGGAAACACCTCAACTCTGTCATATCATTTAAAGACGCATCCTGACCTCACCCCGAGCGCATCACCAGACGTGCTGGCGAACGGCAGATGCCAGATGGCAGATGCCAGCCGCGCCCGCCGCGTCCCATGTGAAGCCAACAAACACACATGAACATCATCGACAACACTCGCAGATGTCGTAATGCAACGCCAACCATCCCTGCTTCCTCCTCCAGCCAAGCTTGGATCATTGGGGTCTCGATGGCTTGGGGGAGGGGTTGAACATGAGGGGCGCCCGCGTCTGCGCCGTCCAATGTGGAGTTGCCATCATCTTACTCATCGCATCAGGGCATCGCCGTCCACGCTCTTATTGTGAGGGCATGTCGTGAGCAGAGGGTTTAGCAAGCACCAGCTTGTATTATCCACCACCTTCCTTACCCGCCATCGAGGTACCTTCGCTGCACCCCATAAGCCACACCGTGACTGCCGTATCTCATCATCATCACCGTCAAAGTTACTTAGCGGCAGGTTCTTCCCGCCACTGCGTGGAGAGGAGAAGTAAACAGTCATTCAAGTTTCATCGTGACAGCCGGCAAGCCCCTAGCCCCTCCTCGGCCTCCCGTAGCAGTTAGCCCCGACTTGAAGATTCTCTCACCTTGTTGCGATTTGTGGCCTCGTACATGAGGCATTACCTGATTTTCCCTCCCGTCTGCATCCAACTGCACGCGTGCACACCCCGGCCAGCCGATCCTGGTCACCCAATCCCAAACCTGCTCTTTGAATCGTTATTGGAATCCACCACACTTGTTTCTCTATCTCACCATCAAGGCCCAATGGCGCCTTCTGTCTGGAGCAACAGGCGCCGGACTACCAGTCCCAAAAGGCGGCCTCTTTGTTGTCAATTGTGCTCCGGCTCCATAGTATCGGCATTCGACCACGAATTCCATCTCGAGCTGTCTCGTGTTAGCTGTAGCTGATACCGATCACAATAACGACCTTGCCGCATAAACGCTAGCTTCATACCCACGCCGCCAGTTCAGCCTAGAACACTCTTCACATCAGACAGACTGACGGCTAGAGCACTGCTAGACCACCAGACCGGTTCGAATCTTCACCGCAATCAAACTGCCTTCACCGTCCTTTCTACCTGGTCCCGGCTGTCCTCCGCGCGCACCGTGGTCCGTATCCGCGTCTACTGCGACTCGACGGATGCTCCGCCATGCTGCGTACGGATACCCATTACCCATTCTCCCCAATGTGTCAAGGCTACAGATACATCAATTTACGGATACACGCGGTACCTCCGACCAGGAAAAGAAAAAAAAAAAGACACCAGGACTTGGCTTTTTGGGAAACGAAACCAGGTCGTCGTCTCGTCCAGTCACGCATTCTCCTCCACAGCCTCCACTCGAACCCAAAAACCCAGGTCCTTGCCCCCATCATCTTCCATCTCCATCTCCATGATCCATCTTCATCTCTGTCTCCGTCACTCACACCTTGCGGAGGTGGCCAATCACGCCTTGCAGCCAGCGCCGTTGGCTGACACCCCCGGAGGCTGGGCTGGGCTGGGCCACCTCACAATTCACCACCGCCGCTGTTTAACCCCCTTCTACCGGTCCATCGCTAATAAGGATAGGAAAATGTCCTTTGGACACTATCTGCTGCTCACCAGCCCAACCTCTCGCATCAGCACTTCCAGCACCAGCTCCAATATCAGCACCAACAACCACGGTAACGACACAATCAAGAACAGCATTTTTGACCAAAAACCACTGCCAGCCTCGCGAGTCAGGAGGTTTCGAGTCAGCCCCAGTGTGGGCGTCAAGGATCACGCTTAGACTGCGGAATCCACCACCTCACCTAAACAGCATCCAACCACAGCCGGCTACATAATTCTTAGCCTATCGTAACCCTCATTTTCCCCCCGGTGGCCCCCCAACTTTAAAGCATCACGAGCCTCTCTGCAATTTTCACACCTCATCTCAAACTGCACCCGTGCTATTGGGTCAATTGCGACTGCCGTTAGTCATCGACGACGTCGCAACCAACCCGGACCGTGTCCGCTTCCTCATACGGACCGTGTCCGAAAGGCATTTCACGGCTTTGTGTGTTTGTGCCTTCGCACTCTGATTGATGAGGGCTCGAAGTTCACGGCTGGCGTCTCGTGTGTGGTGTCTGTCTGAGGACACCCTCCAGATCCAGTCTTCTGTCACTGTTGCGCGAGTCCGCAACGTCATGAATCACCCGTCACATAATCCAGTTGTCACGACTGGCCAAATGTTACCACATAATAAGCCGATCGCATCAATGACCGGCGCCCACGAGTCGGCGTCTTGTCGAATTCCGCCAAGATCTCCAACTTTATTCGGCTTCTCACATCCCACGCTTCAACACCAGACTCACGACGACATGGCGACATGCCGTTGTACTTCGTACACACACGCACGCACACGTCTCGCTCTCGCTTGCCCATAATTCATCAATCCATCAGGGTTTCGTCTCGTCGTCGTCTCGTCCGCCGGCCGGTGACGAATCGACACACGCCCGCCACTCGTGGCCTTTAGTCCGAAGGACAACATGCACAATTCCCGATTCAATCGCTCCCGCAATCAAATCGAAAGCCCCCTGCACAAGCCACCAGCCAATCATGCACCATTCCACACCTGGAAACATCTCCATTCGCCCAGCTGGATTCGGCAATAGTCGGGACTGGGCGGCGGGCAACCCTGCTGCTTCTCACCTTGACTTCTTTAATCCTTGACACATCCACAGCACACGATCACGATCCCGTTTTCAGGCTCCATGACAAGAAGTCACAAGAAACCTGCGGTTCAGCAGTAAGCACGACGCGAAGATGAAAAAGAGTTTGGATGAAAGGGAAACAATGGTGGCATATCAAACCACCCCCTAGAAGCCATTCTTCGGTCAGCGACCGGCAGCCCCTGCGTCCAAGTCGAAACCTTCTCCCGGCCGAAGAGTACCCTGGCGCCGACTCGACGGCACCCGCGACTGCGGATGGATGGGTCGAATCGAAAGCCACAGAACGTGTACTATGTACGTACAACCGTGCAATTCCCGTCCCTCCATCCCGGGCCATCCATCTCGAAAAGCCATATCCTGACTCCGTCCAAACCTTGAGGGCAAAAAGGGACCAACAGATGTAACACATCAACGTCAAACCCAAAAAAGAAGAGGCCCAAACCATCCGTCACAATCAGAACAAGATCTGCATATACGACGACTCGACGACGTCCAAGGACGCAAACGACCCGGAAACGTCGTGTCGTGTCGTGTCGTGTTCCTTATTCACCTCATTAATCATTTTGTCGCAGGTCCCAATATCCAACGCTCAGCTGAAAGCCTGCGGACCCAGAAGCCGAGCCCCAGCCAACCCACACCCACCGAAACACACTCCCTTTGCTCCGATACAACATGCCGTGCGTGCGCTTGTCGTCTTGGTATGACGAGTGCCGCTCTCCAATATTTCCAAACGACGCCCTCCGTCCCAGCCGGGCAGTCCATCCCGACCGCTCACGGCGGCGCGGCGCCAGCAAAAGTTACCACGGTATGGACCTACTTTTAAGCCTCACTCACCGCTCTTAAAATGGGTAATATTGCCGGCCACTCTCATCCATGACCTCACAGCTCATGCGACAGCCACAACTCCAATGGCTCATCATCGTGAAGAAATGGACGGCACAAACATTCCACCACCTTAATAAGATCGTCAATAACAGCTTCCCCTTGCGGCCACCTGCCAGACTACCTACCAACGGATACCATCGCGAACGAGTCCATTCGGGCGCAAAATCTAGGCTCCGCTGCCTTTAACACTATCCCGTCCTCGCTAAAACGCTGCGCCCGTCACTGGGACACGAGGACGTGGACGTGTGGTGAAGGGAAAAGAAAAGGGCAAGTCAACTTTCCCGTCTCCACTCCCGACCACCCCCCACACAAGTGGAGGCGACGCCCCGCGTCCAATGGCGTCGAAGCCAGCCGGCTGTGGAGTCGCGCTCCCGAAAAGTAAAGACCCCCACAAGGCCGCACGCCGTGGGTGGGGTCGCCGACCTGCCCCGATTCTCATGTCCGAATTCGCCCTTGCCTGCAGCCCGCGCGCTGTTCTTACGTTTGGTACCAGGCACAGTACACATTGAGTTTGTACTTGTTCTCTCTGGTCTGGCGTAAGAAAAAGAAATTGACCGCTCGGGCGCTATGGGCGTTATGGGCGTGTTTTCGCACCTCTCAGGGTCGCAGCCGTCGCGCTACGAATACTCCACCACCAAAACCAAGGCAAATCCGTACCAGCCAGGGGAGCCGGAGCGGGTTGGGAGGGGCCACGATGACAAGTCAAAAAACGATAAAACAACAGATGACGGGGTTTTCCCGCTCCTCCTCTTCCATCTTCTCGCAGGAGGGGACCCCGTTTTTCGACTCCGCTCTCTGCTTACCATCAACAGAAATGCCCGCATCACCAATGGCTGCGCCTGGGGAGGGGCGTGTGAACTTTTAGACGCCGGACCAAGACTGTAGCGGGCGGGCGACGACGAGTTCCGGTGCGTGGGTGGCCTCCCTTTTACGTCCTGGCCTGCCAGTCTTTCTCCATGGGGAAGACTCCACGATCTCCCAGGCTTGGCTTCCCGATGATACACCACACTAGTCCAACGGTTCCTCGGTAGCCATTTTTTCTCAGACAACCAGACTTCGCATGAAATCCCGCCCGCTTTGTTCACCCCGCCAGCCAATCATTCATCAAAACTTTTGCGTCTGAATTAGAGCACTATCGTGATATCTCCTGTCCTGATGGGATGCCGTATCAAACAAACATGCAAAGTGATGATTAGGATCCATAAGCACACACCCCTTCAATCCCCCCCGTGCCATCCGTCCCTCCTAAGCGTCCGCATCGTTGGCCTTGTCAAACTTGGCCAGCGTCTTCGCGTCGAGCCCGGCGTACCACTGCTTGAGCAGAGCCGCATACTTCATCTCCTCCTCGGTGAGCTCCACCGGCGGTCCGCGGATCTGCGGCAGGCCGTCCTCGCCGTCGCGCTCGAATACGGCCCAGCTCGAGGCGTCGTTGGCGCGGAGCCCGAACCCGCGGCCCTTGACCGACTGGATGCAGACGTGCCGCAGCAGGATGGCGTCCCCCGGGTGCACGACTGGCAGCGCCGCCTTGTGTGGCCGGAAAATCTGCACCGGCGCCGTCTGCGTGGGCGCCACGGAGTGATCCGCGACGTTGAACGCCAGCATGATACCCCGCGGCCCACCCTTGGCGCGCTTAGCCTCGGGCGGCTCTGTCGTCACGATCGCGAGTACGTCGACGTTCTTGTTCGTGTGGTTGCGGAGCACCTTGAGCGATATGCAGTCCGGTACCTTCTGCAGCTGCTTGGCCAATTTCGTCTTCAGCGAGGCCGTGGTGTCGGTCGTCGTCGCAGGAACTTCCTCTTTGGTTTCCTTGGTGGTCTCCTTGGTGGCTCGCGACGGTGACTTGATCGCGGCCCTGGCCAACTGCACACCTTCGTCTTCGCCATCATCAGCGGATTCGCTTCGCAAGGCTAGGCTTTGCGACCTGGCGCGGGTTGCAACGCGAGTGCTTTCAGGGGTGGTGCGGTCTGACAGGCGCGTCGAACGTCGTGATGCGATTGATGCACGGGCCAGCTTGACGCTAGGATCGGGATCCTTGTTATCTGACTTGTTTCTTCGGTGTCCGCGCCCTCGCTTCGGAGTTGGCTGCGCGTTGCCCGCCTCCTCCGAAGCCTCCTCGGCGATAAGAGACGACTGCGCTTCGGACGGTTGCGCCGAGGAGTCTCGGATTTGAGATGACTCTTCGTTGATAGGTGAACTTGGGTCGGCAGGGTTCTCCGGGTTTTCCACTGTGGGAGCGGGAAGCTCCTCATCTGGACGAACATCGTTCGTCGCATCCGGGGAAGCTGCGTCGGCGATTACTTCTTCCGTCTGTTGAGTCTCGACCACGGACTGGGAGACGAATGATTCCGTGACTTGTGTCTCGCGCGGAGTTGGCAGCTGGTCGAACTGCGCGACATCATCTCCATCGGCGCCTTGAGAAACGTGCGTCTCGGCCAGCCTTTCTTCCTCGAATGACTGAGATAGGTTCTGTGTGGGAGGAGGCGAAGCCATCTCCTGCTGCTTGGCTTCAGGCTCATCCACGTCCATGGCGTCTTCCAGATCAAGCTTGGGAACGCCTTCATCCTCCTGCTGGGTGGCTGCTGGTGTATCGGCCGTCGACGACGTGATCTCGACCTGTAATCTTTCTGTGATCTGGACGATTGGCGAGCTCATAGGTGATGACGTCTCTTCTAGTTCGTTCGCCGGGACTTCGTGTTGTGATATCGTCTCAGTTGTCTCAATGACAAGCGTTCTCTCTTCCGCCATTGTTTCGTCTGCAAGTTGACTCTGGATGAGATCTTCTTCGTCCATCATCTCTTCTAATAAAGGCTCTGGCGTCTTTGCGACGTCCATTCTGGGATCTTCAGACTGCTCTCTGATATCGGACTCGTCAACTGGCTTCTCGTCTGCGTCGGCCATGTTAATGTCCATCTCCTCAGGGACGACGCCGTCGGCAGGCTTCACATCTACCTCGACAAGACTCGATTCCTGGGGTATATTTCTGACCTCTTCCGTCCGGACTTCGCTTTCCACTTTGACTTCAGATACCGTTGTGTCCAGAACTTCGCTCGCAATCACTTGAGCCGGTTTTTCAGTCAAGGCAGCTTGTTCTTCGGTTTCGGCAATTTCGTCTTCGGCTGAGGCAGCTTGTACTTCGGTCGGAACAGCTTGCTCCTCGACCAAAACAGATTTTTCTTCGGTCGAGACGATTTCTTCTTCAGCCGGGACGGCTTGATCTTCGGTTGGAACCTCAGAGACCTGTTCTGTCAAAACCTCCGGTTCATCTGGTATCTTGCTGTCGTCGAAAGCGGCATCGGCCGCAATTTCTTGCTCCAGCTCTTGTTCAAGTTCTGCCTCCAACATCTCGGAATCGTCTCGTGAGGCTGGCCGGGAACTACTGTCCTTGGGAAGCTCTGTTGACTGTGGCAGACGAATCGGACTCATGGTCTCCAGGTCGTCAGCAACGGTGGCCGTTGTCATATCCGCAGGGTCATGCATGGCGGCCGGAGAAGATGCATCAACACTGCGGGTTGAACCAGGGTTGCTTGTGATCTCCCGCGGTTTGGGAGTAGGGGTACCGCCTTCAGATTCGCTGCCAGACGCCTCATCCTCTTCGCTCTCCACATCCGACACCACTGGCGATGAGTTCTGTTGCACTGGCTCATGGCGAACGTTCTCTTTATCGCTTTCTTCCTCATCTTCGGATCTGTCCATCTCGTCGGCGGACCCGTCGTATTGAGGCATTTGCCGTATCGATGCTTTCGGCATAGGAGGCGGCGCGTCCTCTTCCTCGTCCTCTGAGTCTGACAGCAAACTGATCACCTGAGGGGCGCCCCTTGGCACAGTTGCAGGTGGCGGCTGGTTCTCCTGATCCTCGTCTTCATCATAATCTCCTTCTTCTTCGTACTCATCGTACTCTCCGTAGTTTTCCGCGTCCTCGTCCATTTCATCATCCTCGTCGCCTTGGACGTCGGCATCGAACATCTCTTCTTCGTCTTCTTGACCATAGTCAGACTCGAGATCTGATCCATCGTCGTCATCCTGGTTATTGCTGAGGTTGCGATAGTTGGTGATGTCGTAGTCTCCACCAACATCATCCTCTTCGTGCTCGGCTTCCTCATCGCTGTCTTCGCTGCCGTCGCTGCTCTCACTGCTCGCCGGTGCATTCTCCAAGCCAGCGGCGGCCTCTTCTTTCTCTTTTGCTGGTTCGAAATGTCTCTCAGCATACGTCCTGGCAGTGAATTCTTCTTCAGGACCATCCTCGTCTTCCGAGAGCTCGTCGTCCTCAACCGTCATGGCCGCCTGCTTGCCCTCAGGGTCTTCGTGGTGCTCTTTTGTTTGCAGTTCATGATCCTCAGCCCAAGTATCACTTGGCACAGCTTGAGTGCCTAATTCCTGTTCCGTATTCACCACCTCCTCCTTGCTAACAGCCGGGTCGAAGGTCGAAGCAGCATTGTCTGCTGGCTCTGCGACTGGCCTGGGTTGCTGCATCGACGTGAGACCCCATGGGATCTGCTGCGGCTCTGCAACAGCATCGACGAAAGTGGTATGGTGCTCGGGCTCGGATACATGTGGTTGTGGCGTATGGTGATCATGATAAGCTGGCGTCGACTCAGGCATAGACTGAGATGTGACCATGAGATGCGGGTCAAACTGTGGAGTATCAAGGAAAGACGCAGGGTATTGTGCGGGAGCCTCAAGACCGTCATCGAGTGCTGCTTCCGGGTACGAGCTCGCATGCTCATGGAAGGGACTTTCCGCATGGTATTGCGGTCCCATGCTACCGTGGTGGACGTCATGACCAAGGTCCGGACCAACAGGCTGCTGCTCGTATGCCGGCGTGTAGTGCTCATGAGCAGATGTAAATATGGGCATCGGTGGTGGCTGTCCAAAATCGCCGCTCAAGCCCGCCGGCATTCCAAAATGGGGCGTTTCCGCTAGGCCAGGCAAGTCCGACTGCACCCCGGAGTCAATCATGGTCGACTTCGTGGGGGTCTGCAAAAACTGAGATGGGTCGTGCCTGGCCTCTGCCGCAACTTGGACGTCTCTTGGGGGGCTCGTATCCAATTCCATAGTCTGACACCCTCCATCAACCATCTTCGGCCGCACAGGTGTATCCGTCTCCGGCTTCTCATCTGCCATTGACGTGTCATCTGTATCGTCATCTTCAACCTGCTCGGGTTCAGGGCTGGGAGATTTGCTGGCGTATCTCCACACTCCGCTGTACCTGCCGGTCTTTGCTCGCTTTTTTGTGCGAGCATTGGCTGAGGTGTCTTCGTCGAAAATGTCTGAGTTGTATTCAAACAGAGATCCGTATGACATCCTAGCGCGCTTGAGAAATGCGGGCGAGGCATACTCGTCTAATCCAAGACTTTGCTCGGCAGGTCTCTTCGTGGGAGGGTTTCGCGGTGTTGCGACGGGTTCGTGGGGCTTCGCGGGCTCCGTGAAGGAGTCGAGGATAGATTCTGGAAGCTTTTCTGGCTCGGGTTGGGGCTCTGGTTCGGTGATTGCAGGATGATCGATATCGATAACTTTGATTTCCTCCGAGTCGCTAATCTTGGCCTAGCAGGAGTCAGTAATGGTTATAGAATTGAATGACAATGCCATAGCGTTACCCGCAGCAGCAGTCTCTCAGTGAACTTCAACTGCCATTCGAGGCTCGTGCCTGGCACGCGCGTCTTGGAATCATCGGCGACCATTTCGACTCCATCCAAACTGAGCGTCACCTCATCGCCGCTTCCCAATCCGGCATCTTGAACCGCCTTGGCACTCGATCCGCTGAACTCGACGCGCACTTGGCCCTTCGCGCGGCGCAATCTGAAGTCGGGTTCGGCAAGCAGGAAGGCGACGTTTTTGTTGATGATGCTGTACGGCCAGGTAATCGTGACAACACCGCGCACGACGCGCGTCTTGGCATCCGAAACGTCGGGGCTCAATTGCGCGATGGGAATGCCCTCGGCAGCTTCGAGCTGCGAGGGTGCCTGATCCCCAGACATCGCGTCATGAGTTTCGTCGGAAACGGGAATGCGACGCGGGATGGAAGTCGTGCTTTGGCAGAGGGGGAGAAATCAGGACGCCAGGCATCAGCGGCCAGAAGTCGCGACGAACAATGAGAGAATGTTGAGGTCAAGAGAAAGGTGAAAAAGGTTGGTCGCAAAGGTCGATTCCGTTGCACGGCATCGCTTCGTGAACCACTCGGGAAGGAATGTGGAACAAGGGAAGCTCAAGCTTGGTGCCCGGCGTGCTTCAGGACCCACAAGCAGGCGCGCGGCGGAAGCGGAAAGCGGTGTGGGGGCGCGGCCCTCGCTTATCGATAAGACTGCCAGGAAGACGGAAATGCTGACTAAGGATATTACATCCATGCAGTCCACGTGATTCTCTTGGATAGACCTTGTCGACAATCACCATCTGACGTTGGAAGCTTGCTTTCCCCCGGACCAGAATAGGCATGCCTTGCAAATATGTTGACATGCAATGTGTCTTCATGTCAAAGCATCCAATTGAAACAAATAGTGGGATGTTTTGCAACCCGGATGCGATAGAGGGCGAAGGGATCTCCGCCACCCGCCGGTGTCCACCACCCAGTCCGATTCCAACCGATTAGGTGATTTCCCGCCGATATAACGCACTACGACCTCGTGGGGCATGGCATGTTGTCGCTGTCACTCTTAAACCGCGCCCTCGACCGTTGCAGGCGCCCGATTGTGAGACAGGCAAGGTCCACGCCAACGCGCTCGTTCATGCGCTGTCGCCGTCTTACAAACCGCCGAACATGAGCGCCCTTCCGTTCGACGTAAAGAAGATCGCGGTCATCGGCGGAGGCCCCACGGGTCTCGCTGCCGCGCGGTACCTCGAGGCACAGGGGAGCTTCGATTCCATTGTCGTTTTCGAGCAGCAGGCCGAAGTAGGCGGCGTCTGGAACTATAGCGAGCACCCGACGACTTCTCTCCATGTCCCCCAGACGGATCCGTTTTGTCCGCAGGACCCTCCGATCCGGCCTAATCCCGATGAGCCTCCCGTGTTCCCCACCCCGATGTACGGCACGCTCCACGCCAACACCGTCAAGACGACTATGCTCTACAAGGACACGCCGTTCCCTGATGATGCATGGATTTTTCCCTCGAGGCAGGCCATTTACGAGTATCTCGTGAGATATTCAAAAGACGTGAGACACCTCATCAAGTTCTCTCACCAGGTCAAGACGCTCGACCTCCGAGAGGAGAATGGCCGGGATAAGTGGGTCATAACGGCAGCTTGCACCGTCACCGGCCGGGTTTTCAGCGACACATACGACGCCGTCGTCATAGCGAACGGGCACTACGACGTGCCCTTCATTCCGGATGTCAAGGGCATCAAGGCCTACCACGAAGCTCACCCCAGCGCCATCTTGCACTCCAAGAACTACCGGGTGCCGGAGCCTTTCGCTGGGCAAAAGGTGATCGTGGTCGGCAACGGACCTTCGGGCCTCGACATCGCCCGCCAAATCAGCCCGCTGGCGGACAAGGTGCTGCTCTCGGTTCACCATCCGACTCCACCAGACAAGGTGGATCACATCGGGGTCATCGAAGTACCCGCGATTGCAGAGTACCTGCCGGAGAAGAAGGCAGTCCGTTTCGACGACGGAACCATCGAGGAGGACATTTCTACCGTCATCTACTGCACCGGCTTTTTCTTCAGCTTCCCGTTTCTCCCGGAAGTCCTGAAGCCGAACCTATTGACGACCGGCAAAGGCGTCAGAAACTTGTACCAGCACCTGTTCCTCATCAAGCACCCAACCCTGGCCTTCGCCGGCCTGTTGGTGAAAACGGTCCCGTGGCCATTGACCGAAACACAGGCTGCTGTCCTCGGGGCGGTTTGGTCGAACAATTTGAAACTCCCGTCCATCGAAGAACAGGAAGATTGGGAGCTTGCGCTCTTCAAGAGACGCGGCGACAAGAACATACACGTGCTCGTCGACGACGGCGACGATGGTCGTTTCCTCAACTCGTTGCACGACTGGGCGATAGAGTCGACGAAGCTTGGAAAGGAGCCTCCATACTGGCATGACGAACAGTTCTGGGAGAGGAGCATCTACTACTACGCCAAGCAAGAGTTCGAGAAGCAGGGAGGAAATGCCACGACACTCAAGGAGCTTGGATTCGTCTATCCGGGAAAGGGAAAGTGGAAGTTCCTCCCGTCTAAACTGTAGATATGCGTAGCTTTGTGTTGTGCAAGCATAAGCGGTGCGGATAGATCTAGACTCGGCCGGCGACATCTAGTTCACATGGAGCAACATATACAAGTACATACGATGAGTACCCAAAAATTTATATCCACAAGGCCAGCGGCGCAAGGAGGTTACGGATCTTGATGGTGAGACGATAGAGCCCCAGCCCGCCGCGGCTCATCGGCGGTAGCTGTAGTGACGAACATGAGAAGGAAGACAAGCTCCTGGTCCCCACGAATGTCGTCAAACCCATGGCGAGAAGGAGTGTTCGTTTTTAGAAGCCGAGACTGGAGCTTGCCGAAAGGGCCCATCTTACCAGGCCAGGACCCCTCGTGTTCAATTTGAGAGCTCCAGGGGTGAGGTAACCGAATGTGTGGTTAGCGGGACAAGGGGAGCTGTCAGGCGAGATGGTCCCGAGCGCGTTTCCGGGCCAGCCAACGGCAATCGTAAGGAATGTTTAATAACAGCGGGGAGGTCATATTTCGCAGGGAAATGAGCAGAGCCGAGGCCGAGAGTCAGTCGTCGTCGGGTTTGGCCATTGTCTGGCAGGTGTCAATGTGAAGCGAACGGAGAGCGGGCGAGCGAGCGTCCCGGCGATGCGCTTCGTTTGGTGGTTTAGACTGGCATCTGACAGAAGCAATGCGCGAAACATGGATGGGAAGGTCTGAAAGGTTGGAGGTCGTGTCAAACATCCAATGAGTGCGAGTACCGGGCTCCGGTCCTTGCTGGGCGCGCGATAGCAGGGCAAATAAGGTGGCCGCAGTGGGGGGATGAGGATCGCCGGAAACGAGGATTGGCTGGCGTCGCTGATCTTTTCTGGTTGGTGTCGTCCATGCTCAGACTCTGGTGGTGACTTTTCTCGACGCGATTGAGAGCTCTATTTTTTGCAAGCTCACGCCTCAAGCAGCTAGTCGGAAAGCTTCCCGAAAGCTCTGTTTTGTTGTTGAGAGCTCAGACAGAGCTGTGTTTCGTTTGACGACCTCTTATCCGTGGTCTTGGTCCATGTAACTGTGACAGAGACATGCAAGTCTGGCAGATACGGATAGATCAGGCAGCAAAAAAGCTGCATCCGAGCGTCGAATGTCGTGCATGTCGTCTCATCTCATCGGACGTGGAGGAGGAGGAGGAGACGCGACGTGAGGAGGACAAGGAGAGCGCGTCGAGATGGACCGACTAAGGACAAGCTTAATATCCGGTCTTCAGGTGACTGTACAGCATACCGCCGTACGGTAAGGTGAGGTGAGCTGACGAATGCAGGCGAATAGCATACGTGGATAAGTTGAGGCTGGGAGGACGGGGCTCTTCTGCAGGGTGCATCCAGAGCTGCATGCTGCTGGATAAGGCGGAATAAAAAAGCCTCTTCTCAGACCTGCTGGAAGTATCCGTAAGGTATACACCAGTCCGGGATTCCTAGACATTGACCTCTTTTTGGTCCTGGCTGCAGGCAGTCGGAGGCTGGCAGAACGGGCTGCATCAAGCTCAGACAGGGACACCCATCGCATTCCCAGCATGATGAGCACGGAAAACATAGTATAGCACCATGGGCCGCATGGATTTGCAAGCATCATGATGACAATTGAAGAATGGAATGCAGGTCTTGCAGGAACAGGAGCAGGAACAGCCCACCGCCAGTCCGGTCCCCCTCTAGATGCCACCCTAATGGCCAACGGCGTCAGCCATATTGGAGAGACACATGTCAGGTCACCGTCTGGCTGCAGAAAGAGTTTTCTTTGCAGGATCCGCCAAAGGCCAAGTTGGTCCGAATTCGATAGTTGCCCATTCGCCGTCGTGGTGGTATTTTTTCTCGTAGCCCGCCGGGCCTGAGGTATTCGTGCTTGAGACTTGAGCCTCGCTGGCAGTGGCAGTGATGTGTTGTATCCGTAATGTCGAGCGTGGGAGTCCCGGACTGGCTGGTTGTCGCAAGCGCTCTGCATGACGGGGATGTTGGAGGCCTGTTAATTCGCAGCATCTCCACACGAACCGATCAAACCAGGCTCAGGGCAGGCTCACCCACACCAAATCTGGCCCAGCGAATCCACCCCGAACCCATTCCTGGTCTTCTGGTCTCGGGTACCTGGCTTCACCAGCCCATCCATTCCAACCCCCGGCAGTAACCTGCACCCAATATTCCATTAATCCAATTAATAAATCTCCTCTTTCTTTCTGCAACACGAAACGTCCATCTCCTTTTACCTGTCTATCCCTCTTATTCTCTGCCCGTCCATTCGCATTGTCCTCCTTCACTGACGCGAAACATCTTGACTGCCTACCTGCCTTCATTCATTCACCATCCATCATCATCGTCACTTCTCACAGTCACTCATTCTTTCCTTCCCTTACCCTATCACTCCCTACATACGGATTCCTCACCTTACATTACTTTACCTACATTATCTACCTTACCCAACGCACCTACTTGGCATCCGTATCCCTCCTCCCATTCCTTTTTCTTCAGCAAGAACCACCTGCGATCCCTTGCATCCCCGGGAAACCGATCCGCGCCGCCATTTCTTTTTCGTAAGACGCCAGACCACTGACGCGGCTGCGATTTGGATCATCCTGCGACTACCCGAGCGAACGACAGGCACTCCCGAAGGTGCGAGCCCGTGTGCGACAACCCGCCTTCCACCAAGCCGCGAACAGTCTTAGACCAGCTGCGCCCGGACGAGATACAGCAAGAGAGGGAGAAGGCGGAAAGAGAAAGGCTGGTCATCTCGGCTTCCTTCGATTATGACGACCGTCCACAAACACCGCCGATGATCCGCGACATGGCCATTCTCACCCAGACTCTTTTCTTTCCAGGCTCATAGAAGCCAGCTATGCCCGCTCTCTCGACCTCGCAACCGCCCGTTCGACAACTAAATTCACAGCAACAAACACAAACGCCATGACCGACCCTCCGCCGCCCGCCACCCCCGGCGCGGGCCAACAGCTGCAGCCGCCGAGGCGCCAGTACCGCCTTTCCGACTACTCGCCAAACCACAACCACGCCCACGCCCACAACCGTACCAACGATGAATTGCTGAACCGCCTAACCCCCATGACCGCCGTCGAGATGCTCCAATCACCCAGCACCGAGCTCAAGCAATGTCTCGACAACTGTACCGTCAGCGAACAGGAATTCGCCATGCGCGCTGCTGTTGCCAGCCGGAAGATATACGAATGGCTCGAGGAGCTGTCCGATTGGCCTTGGCCCGAATCCGGTGGTTCTGTGGGCTTCGAGATGCCCGACGCAAAGAGGAGGAAACTCTCAGGCCAGGATGACGGTCTGGGCTCTGAAGACGGACCCGAATCCGAATATATGGGGAGTTTGCCGGCCGAAGACGTCATCCGCTACGAGGGCCGCGTAGATGGTATCTCACACGACATGGACGAATTACAAATCGAGGATATTAAAAGTCATGTCATGCACAGCCACATCATTCCGTTATCGAGACCAGGGACGCCGGTCTCGGATACGCGCTCCATTTCATCGATGCTCTCATACAATCGCATGGACGATCTCACGGCTCTTCTTACGGCCATTATCATCCAGGCGTTGCCAAATCTCTCCAAGCTTTGCCGCCTATTGAAAGTCTGGCACATTCGACTTTCTGTCCTCCGTCGCATACCAGCCCTGCTCGCCGGCATCGCCGAGGCGGAATTCGCACTTCAGTCTGCGTGGAATGTCCTTTCGTCTCCAGCAAATACGCCATCAGCGGAAGATGGTACTGAAGACGACGACTTGTCACGGCTGAAGCAAGCTTATACCGTTGTCAAATCCGTGTTGGAAAAGCAAATTACAAAGTCTGGACGAAGCCTTGACTACATGCTCGACAGCCTGGAGGGCCTGCAGGACACATTGCCCGACGACTGGCTGGATCGCATGGAAACGATTGAACGGAGCTACGCAGAATGGGTTTCTGTAGGAGAACGCAAAATTCGAGAGGGGGAATGGGCGAAACTCATGCGGCCAAAGCAATCTGCCGTACGCGCCGCAGAGGAACCTGCAAAAGCGTCCGTCAACGAAACAACCAAAGTGGCCGCCAGGATACCAGTCGACAAACAGGCCAATGAGGTCAACAACGAGTCTGCCAAGGAGGTCACGAGGGATGCAGAAGCTGAACCTCGCAGCGCCGTCAATTCATTGCCAGTCGTGGAAGACGACCCCAGGACTGTGACTCTACCCGTGCCTATCAAGATCAACCTACCTGAGGATGACAGCTTCATGGACAAGAGCGAGACCAATTCCATCATTTTCCATGCGGATGCCACTCCTGAACAGTCCGAGGGCTCTGACGAAGAAGCCATCGAAGTGTCTCCCTCCCATTTTCAAGCTCAAAAGAAGACGCTGTCCACGACAACTGGCCTCGATGGCTCTTCTGAGGCCCTGAAGCCCAAGCGGGCTCCGCTGGCCGAGGTTCGTAACGAAGAGAGCACCAAGAAAAGCAGCAATGCTAGCACTCGCGAAGGCGAAATGAAGGAAGAAATCCCCTTGCCCGTCGCCAAGGCCTCCCTGGAAGAAAAGGCAACCATGGGGTCTTCCTCCTCCTCTGATGAAGATGAGGCTGTGGAAATCCTCTCCGATACCCCTGAGAGCGAGGACGAGATAGAGCTCCCACCTCTCATTCGCCCAGAGCGGCGGGGAAGCAACGCCTCTCAGTCGTCCACTGTCATCTTCGGTCACACCAGTCTACTCGCGGAAGCCACCAGCGATGTCCCTGAAGTATCTGCCTCGCCACCTCTACCGCGCCAGAGGCCTTCCGAGGTTTCGCGTCAAAAGGCTGCCACCGAGCGATTCATGAACATCAGCCCGCCAAGCTCGCCGCCGTTCCGACCTACTTATCGACAAGATAGTGCCAGCCCGATGATTGGTCCTCAAGGCGACGGCTTGCTTCCAGCGCTCCCCCTCGAATCGTCCTTTATGGAAGAGGAATTCGACACCTCATTCACAAACATTCCTCCGCCTAGAGAGCCCTCCGATCTCAGATCAGACGACCACCTTCGGCAGCAAATCAGCGATATTCTCGACTCCATCCCGGCCAACATCAAGCTGGCTTCCGGTCCTCCGAAGATCAACCTCAACCCGCCTCCTCCGGATTTGCCTGCCAAACGGCTCAAGAAACCGTCCAGAGAGCCTATCCGGAGATCCGCCTCCAGCCTTTCCATGACGTCGAGGGCCTCATCGCGAGCCACGACGCCATTCCTGACTCTTGCTCCCGCGTACGCTAAGAACCCGAGACCGAAACGCCCGCAGAGTAGACAGGACATCAAGGTCTATCATCTCTCTCGTTCAACTGGCGAGGCCCCCATTAAGCTTTTTATTCGCTGTGTTGGCGAGAACGGGGAGCGTGTCATGGTCCGTGTTGGTGGTGGCTGGGCTGATCTTGGAGAGTATCTCAAGGAGTACGCTGCCCACCACGGTCGCCGTTCGACCGGGAGGGCAGACAAGGCAAAGGTCGAGATTCAGGACATCCCTCGTCCTCCCACCAGCCACAGCCGGGGAATAGGCTCGAGTCCCCAGAGCCGCCCGGCCTCGGCGATGGACATGTCCCCGATGACGCCCCTCCACGTACGAAAGGCTAGGAAATCTTTCGGCGCGGCCGATCTATCGAACACGTCTGCCCCGATGTGCCTCCCTCAGACCCCTGCCGTGCCTCCTATCCCCGACAAGTTCACGCCGTCCTCAGAGGATTCCAACCGTTCGCGAGCCAGCTCACACGCTTGGGCCGAAGAAGACAGCTCATTCCTTGGCCTCGCAGGTCCGACTGGCCGTAAGGTCGAGATGAGTGAGGAAAGTCGCGCATGGGTCGAAAGTGTCAAGGAGAAGGTGCGACTTGCTAGCGGCGAGACGCGCAAGAATTCTGAATTTGGCGAAATGGGCAAGGTTGGAGGTACGAAACGGCTTTTCCGGAAAGGCTGAGTCGAGTCTTTGCAGTTGGGAAAACAAATATGAGGCGTACGACGGCAGGATTGTCACCAAGAGCGCGAAATCATCAACATGATCTTTGATGTGACGGAATCAGGAGGTCCGGGGATGCTTTATGCATGCATACAGGGAGTTAGGGGCTTGTCGGTCAGCATCACGAGGCGAATCGTGCCGTGGGAAACATCTCATTATATCATACTGAAGCTTGGAGTTTTGCTACGTCAGAATAGCCTGGCCTTTTTTTCATCATTCACTCGGCCATCAGCCACATCATCCCTTTTCACAGCACGTCGTTTCCTTGTTTTGTCATTCATACGGAATACCCCCATTTCCCTTCCTAGATGCATGTTATCGGACTGGGAATGCTAGGCAGCTGAAAACCAAATCAAGTCAAGTTCTATACTATAAACGCAAGCTCTGATACATTCCCAGGGATGACATCGCTTCGACCTACTCGCTTTCCATTAAACAGTGACCCCAATATGGTAATAGTTCGCTCGCGAGTGCTAGACATTGGCAGCCTTAGGAGCCAAATCGAACCTCAAGATGCCTGTTTGACTTTGTACCTCGCGTCTCCATTCATAACCTCGATAAGATGCCCGCGTAATGCCTTTCGAATTACCATCATTCAGCAACTCACGCGTGAGACTACATAGTGATCTTGAGGAAGCCGTGCAAATGAGTCGTATATGGCCTACGAGATGGCGGAGAAGACGACGCATATATAGTTTATGAGCCAACTAGGTCTATTTGCCACGAGAGGTTCTCGGATCCGTGTTCTGGTTTCTTTCGGGGTGTGTTAGGGTGGGTACATTATTAATCGGTTGAGCCGATGGGAGCAATGCTAACGCTGCTCTTTGGGGTTGTGTGAGGCAAGTGATCGTGAGGGTGGGAGCATATGGGGGAAGGAGAGATGATTCGTGACGTTAGCTGATACATCGCAGCTTCTGAGGGCAATCAACGTCACCCCAACCGGTATTTGAAGAGTTTGTATGCAGACGGAACAAATGTGTTCACCATCGGAAACCCGACGCTGCGGGAAATGACTGATTACACTATTAGTTTGGTACACACATTATACGGGCGGCCTCTTCATAAGACAACAAGTGGTGGTTTCGAGTGCGAGCTTTGATTCGCGTCTTGGTAAAAAGACGGAACAGCCTCCTCCCCTCTCTCTTTCAGAACCGTGACGTGGAATTTCTCTTCTCTCGGTAGGTGGTGAAGAGCAGGTCTGGACAGTTGTGCTCTGGGGTAAGTGGTACAAGAGGTTACAATGAGATCCCGCAGCGCCGGACTTCATCCTCCATTTCGTGGGTGCGAGGCCGATGGCTGTTGATACTGATAGACTTCCGTCAAGAGCATAAGAGCTTGGCGATGGGACGTTGCTGACATTTTGGCTTTTTGGTCTACGGGGTTGCGGGAGGGGGGATCGAGAGGTGCTCGACTCGGAACAATCAGCAATCGCTGATGCCGCTATGTGCTGGAAAGCCTGAGATGTACATGCCCGCTCTGTTTGACTGGTGTAGATAAACCCCACAGCTTTCTTCCATAATCAATGTTATGTTGACGAAGGAAAAATCTACGAGATGGAACGGGACGGCAGCTTTCACATTAGCCCGAAATATTACCCCGAAAGAACACCCCGAAGGAGCTTCGGCGTAATACCGAAGCAACCCTCGAACTCGACCAGACGTGGGAATGGGCCGGTAGTCATTATGAACCTACTGCCCCGGAACTAACAGACGGCATCATCTCCCCGTTCCCCGTACTCCCTCTGAGGCCCCGTCCCCGGCACGTGAGGACCGGACCGTAAGACCCCTGATATCAAGCTCTGAGAAGTTGAAGGAGGAGGGCGTGTAGCGGGAGAACGTTGGTCCTACCCTGGTCCATCTCCTCCCAGAATAACACACACACCCTTGCACACGGCTCAGTCCCTTCTCCCTTCACCCCTCCCTCCCTCTCCATCAGCCCAACATGCGGAGGAAAACGGGGAGGAGAAAATCCCCATCCCTGCCGCAGTCGGTTCTCACTGCCCGTCACCACCCACACAATCCACAACGCAAAAGCTCCTTGTCAACACTACACATGCCGCCCGGCGAACCGCAGGTTCACCGATGGGATGGGTAGTGCGACTTGGAAGCAGGGGGGCGTTGGTTCCCGATGCCGTGTCGTCGAAGGCGGGGGTGTCCGTGGAGTAAATCCCGAGCCGGGGCCGAAACGGGGGGGCTGCTTAAGCTTTCGAGGTCTCCGTCCGATGTTTTCTTATTCAACGGTTTTGTTTTTTTGGGCTGATTGTTGTAATCCCGAGAATAGTAATCAACCGATGAATAGTGTTGTTTCTTATTTGTTGTGCTGGGTAAGTAGTAAGGTAAGGTAGCTTCAGCAGAGCTCTTGAAACAACCCGGAAAGCATGTCACATCAACGCCGTCCAAGCTCCGTCCGTCCCTTTACCGAGGTGCCGAGCGACAACCTAATCAGGGTGTGACTGACAGCTTACCCCAGCTCTTCCTCCTCCCCCACTCCCCCGAGAGAAGGGGACCAACGAGTCGACGTATGACGTTAGTCGTATTAACAACAAACAAGCCTGTAGATATTCGAAGCGTCTTCATATGCATTCTCATGCGGAACTGTCTGTGAACTTTTACGTCGTTATGTCTCTGACGGTTCTCTAGCGCCATGCGCCCCTCCCGGGTTTTGTTCGTCTCTTGTCTCGGCCGAAGAAGAGTTGATTCATTCATTTCAGACGAGGCACTCCAGCAGCAAGCTTCGGCATGCGCTCTTCTACCTAGTCCGGGCTAGTGCGAAGGTAAGGTACTTCAGGGGTTATTAGGGGTAGTTCTTCACCCCCAACAGTCTTCCCCAACACAGTTCGGACGGAGGTGGTTCAGCCTTGAGAGGAATTATTGGGGCCAGCTGGGGTAGGAGATGTGAGATGGTTGCACCAGGTGCGTGCGGGGAGTTTTTGGGGATCTGCTGGACGACATGAAGTCTCCCCGTCGAGGAGATTTGGAGACGACGGGATTTGATGGCCGAGGTTTGTTGATAATGATTCCGAACCGAGGCTGCCCAACCTAGAATGAGGGACAGGGAGGGTTGCCAGTTGAGATGGAAATGCATGTCACGATAGGGTCAAGCTTGTAGAGGTATTGAAATCTATTTTCTATGTCGCGTTTCCATTCAGCCTCGGAGACTCATTAGGAAGTATTAACGCGAATCCTGATCACCCTCCGTATCCTCCTCTATTGGAGATCAACTAAAAATGCCGGGAATCAAAGTCCAGAGCGACAACGCGCTCGGTGTCTGGTGGCATGCGCAGAGAAGCAATTCTCTGGGGGCGTTCTTGTGTGTGTGTGAAAAAAAAGCGTTGTCGTCCCTCTCGGTGACGATGAAAATGTGGCATCCCTCCGCTCAAATTTTCGGGGACGGTGAAAGCAAGGCCCCGAATGCCTACCCCAACGCCAAAAAATAAAAACCAACTCGCTGAGAAACATCTCAGGTAATTCCTGTCCTAGCCGTTTTAGGTCCGTAAATGCAACTCAATCTGTCCACGCGGGGTTCCCAAAAATCGGGGTTTCGGTCTTAGATGCGGCTCCTCTCGGAAAAGCTGACAGGGTCGTAGACGCGGTCCTTGATCCAGGCGTTCAGGGCGACGTCACCCCACTCCTCCCACTCGACCCACTGGGACTCCGGAAGCTGGGAAACGCCGGCTCTGCGGGCGGCCTTCATGACCTCGCGGGCGACGATCAAGCTGGCGTCGCGCACACGCTCAATGCGGGGGTAAATGAGGCCCTTGTGGATCTCGTCGGCGTTCAGAGAACCGGCAAGAGCGGCAGCGGAGGTGTAGACCATGTCGTCAGTGACCTTGGTGGCCTTGGCGAGAATGGCACCGAGACCCAGACCGGGGAAGACGTAGACGTTGTTGCCCTGGTTGGGGTGGTAGGTGATGGAGTCACCCTCCTTGCTCTTGACAGTGACGGGGGAGAACGGAGAGCCGGAGGCGAAGATGACGGTGCCGTCGGTCCACTGGATGGCCTGCTCGAAGGTGCACTCGGCCTTGGTAAGGGGGTTGCTGAGGGGGAAGAGGACGGGGCGGCGGCCGAGACCTCCGGCATCGACGGAAGCCTTGAGCGCACGGATAACGGACTCGGTGAAAACACCGAAGGTGGCAGTGAGACCGACCAAAGCACTAGGCTTAACGTACTCAATAACCTCCTCCAGGGTGCGGAACTGGTGGCCGTTGTTGTCGGTACGGGCGAAGTACTTCTTGTGCTCGGCGAGCTTGTCACCACGGTCCTTGGTAACGAGACCCTTGGTGTCGACCAGCCAGAACTTGTCCCTAGCAGCCTGCTCACTGAGACCACGCTTGGTGTAGTACTCGACGAGCTGCTTGGCGACACCGACACCGGCGGAGCCAGCTCCCATGAAGACCAGGCGCTGCTCCTCGATGGGGACACCGGAGAGCTCGACAGCGTTGATGTAACCAGCCAAGACAACGGCACCAGTTCCCTGGATGTCGTCGTTGAAGCAGCGGTACTTGTTGCGGTAGCGGTCGAGGTAGTTGAAGGCCTTCTCGGACTCGAAGTCCTCGAACTGGACGGTCATGTTGGGGTAGACCTCGGCGACAGCCTCCATGAACTCGTCCATGAAAGCCTGCTGCTCGGCCACGGAAACACGCTTGGAGCGGATTCCGAGGTAGAAGGGGTCCTTCAGGTTGTTCTCGTTGTTGGTTCCGGTGTCGAGGACGATGGGCAGGGTGTTCTCGGGGTGGATACCAGCAGCACCGGTGTACAGAGCGAGCTTGCCGATCTGTGAATTATTAGCACTGATTCAATTGAACCAAGACAAAGTTTACTTACGGAGATACCGACACCGTTGACACCCAAGTCACCAAGACCCAGGATACGAGAGCCGTCGGTGACGACGCAAATCTCAGGGTTGGGGTAGGGCCAGTTGCGGAGCATGGTGCGGATGGACTTGCGCTGCTTGATGGAGATGTACAGAGCCTCGGGGCGGGTGTAGAGGGTCGAGTATTGCAGGCAGACGTCGCCAATGGTAGGGGTGTAGACCAAGGGCATGAGGTCGCGGATGTTGTCCATCAGCAGACGGTAGAACAGGTCGAAGTTCTGGGCCTTGAGGGAAGACAGGTAGAGGTACTTGTCAACAGGCGTTGAGCGAGTGTTGATCATCTTCATGGCACGCTCGCATTGCGTCTGGAGGCTCTCCATGGTGTGGGGGATGAGGCCGGTGAGGTTCTTGTTGACACGCTCCTCGGGGGTGAAGGAGAGACCTGATTCGACCATGGCGGTTAGTTTGGATGAAGTGTGAATAGTTGACGAGGACGACAGAGGCTTGAGGAGAGGGAGCTGGCGGCGGGGTTGAAGATGCTGGAGAGGGGAGAAGGGAAGACGACAAGAGCGTCCTGGAAGTGAGGAAGCCATGCGGGGGATGTGTACTGGGGGTGAGGAGGAGGAGGAAGAGGGGCAGAAAGTGGGAAGAGCAAAAGAAGGGAGGCTATATAGAATGGTGCAGACTGAAGGGATACGATATGTTGGGGAAGCCAGTGCGGTGCAGTGAGGTGCAGGTGCGCGGACGCAGCAGGTTCAGTGCGGGCAGCGGCACGTTGAAGCTCCCGTGCATGAGTGTGTAAGTGGTGGGGGGAGGCAGACTGATGCCCTAAGGCAGGTAGGGTATGGGATGAATCGTGCAATTGTCAACTCACCTTTGTTCCAGAGAGGCTCCTTGAGGACCTGGTAGCCAGTGGCCTGGGACTTGGGAATGGGATCCGGGTTGCGGAACTGCTGGACTTCGCCGAAGGTGTTCTGGGCGTAACCGCGGTGCTGGTCGAGGGAAGCCATTCTCATCTTCTCCTCAATGGCGTTGATGTCGACAGAAGACATTGGGTTGAAGTCCGTCATCCTGCGACTGGACATGGACATACGCTTGTTAGATATAGACGAGCGAGAGGAGCGGGCAGAGGCGACGGACGAATGCGAAGGCGAAGCGGACCGGGGCGTAGAGATGTCTGATGAGCTGGATGAGCTAAAAGGATACGACGCCATTGACATTACCGGCGCATGTGTCGGAGGGAGTGATGCGGAGAAGAAAGAGGAGGCGGAAGTGGGTGACGGGACGAGGTAATTAGTAGTTGTTGGAGCTCTGCGGCGAAGCAGGCGAGGAGAAGGAGTGTTCGTATGCAGAGTGGTGTAATGGGACCGGCCGGAATGACACGAAGTGGGAGGAATCTGACGAGGCAAACGACTCGGAGAGGGAGAAGTTGCAGGCGTAGGCGCAAGAGCGGCGGCGGATGGAAGAGCAGGCGTTGGAGAGCGGGTTGCAGGCTTCGGACAAGGCGCAGTAGAGTAATTTAGAGTATGGTGAGAGCGTGGAGTATCGAGAGTCGCATTGAATGGACCAACAGAGGAGGAGAGCGTCGTGTTCCCTGCAACTGGGCCGTGGACGAGGAAAAGTCGGTTTAAAACCTTGTGAACTGGACGGGTTCTAGATGGCTTGCCCAGCCAGGTACTTGGACTTAGACCCATGTGTAATGAAGGATGTGAGAATGAGAGGGAGAAGGGGGTTTCAACGCAGTTTCAGGGACGTTGGCTGACGGCGAGGGGCGGCGGCGGCAGAAGGGGTAAGGTACCGGGTACTTTGAGGTAGACCAAGAGGTCTTAGTACGGGATACCAGGTAATAGGAGGGAAACGGGCGGACGAGGAACGAGAATTGGGAAGTGATGGGATGCAAAGATGGGATGGCGGAATAAGCAGGGAACGGGAGCAGGGGGTGGTTAGTCGAAAAGCCCGAGCTTCGATTTCGAATCCGACAGCACGACTGTGTGATGTGCTTCCAATGTTTCCAGGAGGGAGTCCAAGGAGACGGAGGCGATGAATTCGTCGTATTGGAGAAGCAAGAGTGGGTGGTGTGCAACGGAGGTCGAATTGTGCAGCTGTTGATGGTGCAGGACCGTGGACGAGGGTGTACGGCGTGGAGCCGGGAGACCAGGGGTGGAAGAACGGGGACGACGAGGGTCCTGGCCGACGAGGGTCCTGGCCGACGGGGGTCTCGGACGGGGGTTCGTTAAGGTGTGGAGGGTGGGAGAAGACGGAAGCCAGACCCGATTCCAGGAATTGGCAATTTCTTTTTTTCCTTTTCGTGTTGATGGTTGTGGTGTTTTTTTTTTTTTTTAGGTTCCCAATTTTTTGGTGGGAGAATTTGGAGACGTTTGTCTTTCCGAGACGGCTTTTTGGGGTAAGGTACGGAGTCTCCGTAGGTAGGTAACTTGGGTTCGTATGGAGTACAAAGTAAAAGCCACCGAGTACTTTCTGCTGCTGTGGCGTGTGCCAGGTCGATGAGGTGACGCCGGGTGAACGAATGAAGTGGTATCCGGGGCCGTTGTCTAGCTCGATATCTCGTCTGCGGACGGTGACCGTGGACTGTAAGAGACAATTCACTCTATGCGACCTGGGAAAAGCATCATTAGCTGTCTCCAATCACGAAATAACTGATATCCAGTGGGCGGCCCGTTTCCTCAGCTGACAATGGCGTAAACAATGCGTTATTCCTCATTATTGGCCAGGATGACCAGCATCCAACGGGGACTGAAAGGAAAGCCCGATGCCAGAATAGAAGCTGGCGAGGCTGGATATTGATTGACTGGGCAGAAGACCGAGATGCAACGTGGCGGACAGCCCACTGCAAGAAAGGGGGCCTGCCTACCTGGGAAAGGAGAAGGATTCGGATTCGCAGACTGTCCGGTGGAGCTGAAAGTCAGGCCGTGGAATGGAGGTAAAAGTCCGTCAGATGTGGCGGATAAGTTCGATGTGTGATTGTGAGCAGATGCCAGACCAGACCAAAGAGTCGAGACGAACGGCACTCGGAAACGCCAACGGCAGTCCAGCCCAGTCGAGTCGAGTCGAGTGGAGCAGGGACTTGTGTGTTTGTTTCCGGAATTGATCAGAGGGCCGGTTCAATTGATTTGTTGTTGATTCATCAATTGTGTTGTTTGTGATTGATGATTGATGAAAACGACCATATTCACGAAAAACAAAAAATTGACTCCCACTTCACCAGGCACTGCTATTTCTAGACGTCTTGCCAGTAAGACTCACCAGAAAAAGTCGGACAGCTTCTCCGGCCATCGGATCGATCCGTTATTACTCATACCTGCCTCTGTGTAAAGGGCCGCCATGAGCTGCGAATCAAAAAAAAGAAGCAGCACCAAAAAAGGAGGCATCGTCACTGCTAATCGGCCCTGAACCCCATCCATTGATTGTTTGCTTGACTCACTCCACATACCTAGGTACGTACCTTTTTATTTTTTCCTCCCAGCCAGCTTCCTGCCTTTTTCACAAACACAACAACAATTCTTGACCTTGCAAACAGCAACACCAGAGCGACGAGTGCCGTGTCCAGTCTATCACAATTACACATCACCACCATTACAACCTGCAATTGAGCCTTAATTACCAGTTCAAGCTGGTCAGAACTGGCAATTGCCTACCTACGGTGTTCAAGTTTTGTTGGGACGTCCGATCCCTCCCGTTTGCCAAATCGGTGAGGATGCGCGATGTCGGCGCAAACTCTCGACCAAACAAACACAGGCTACGAATGCCCGCAAACCGACCCGAATGTGTCAATGTCGGCACTTTCAATCTCACAGTCCGTCAGCCATGCAGCCACGCAGGCGGCAGCAGCCCTCAGACCCATGTCCGTTCAGCCCCCGACCCTGTCTCGCCTTGCAGCTGCATCCGCACCCGAACAAGCAAGGTACATGCAGTACTTCTCACTTCACGCAACCCTCGACTTTGGGGACCACGACATCCTCAAAATCCACTCTTGTCTTCCTCGTGAGGCGTCCCACCGAGTCCATCGACTCCATTTCCCCAGCGCCGGCCGGACAACTCGCCGACGCTAACTCTTCCAAGCAGTCATCCGTCCCGGTCTTCCTTCAACCTCGAATCCGCCGTCCGACGGTCCCCGGAACCGAGTCTCGCACTCACCCACTTCACCTCCGTGCGCACACGACACTTTGGAGTTGCCTGACCAATACTTTCCACGTCGCATTCCCCATTCGGCAAGATGCCACGCCCTGCACAAGACACGAGATGAACGACGGACGCCTCCTCCATGGCTGCTCTGCGGCTGCTTATTCCGATTCTGCGTCGCACTATTGCTTGGGGAAAAGCAACAAGTTCCAGCCCGCGACTAGAGACAACGATCAGAGTTTTCAACTGCCAGCCAGAGCATCTTATTGAAACGAACATCTTGGACGGGCAGGGGAAATCTTCAATTCGCAGCCAATGACGGCCGTGGGATTTGTTGGCGCTCGTCCTCTTCGGGCTAGCTGCTGTCACGGCGTCCCGAACCGTTGTCCTCCAAACCTAGGCGTCCGTGGGCAAATGTTGGAGTGTGTTGCACTGCTGGGCTGGGCGCTCTGCCACTGCCTCCGGCCTTCCTCACGGTCTGTTGGGCCCGGGTCGGCCGTCGGAATTCTCACCCCTGTCAGCCTGGGGTCTGGTGTCTCCTTCACTAATGCGACGGTGTGTGGTGCCTGCAGGTATTTCACCCCTTGGCATTTTCTTGGATTTTTTCTGGAATCTTTGATCAATTTGCAGAGCCCAGCCAAAATAGACGACCCTCGCGAAATTCAAGCCCAACGGCGGATACCAAAAGCATCCACCGAGGAGACTTGCCCATCGCCCTCTGCGGGATATCGGGATAGCGGCTCGTCAGATGATTCCAGCCCTGCTGGTAGCAAAGATACGTCAGAGTGAAGACACTCGCCGGGCTTCATGCTCTATCCCGCGGGCTGAGTCCTCGGGGAACTCGTGTTGAACACCCGATTTGGCACTGTTTGCTGCCCATAATCTTCCCACCATCCCGTGAGCGAGGTGGACCGAAACCCCCAAATCTCCAACTCATCAAGATAAGAAATGGGAAACACAACATAAGCGGCATGCAGGCGGCAAGACGAGCAGACAGAAAGTACATGAACGAGACATCTACAATCTACATGGGCAGCATGACTCTCCCTACAAGCTTCAAACTTGAGACCCTCCCGACTTTGCCCGATACCCTCGACAGGGGTTCTGCTTAGCGGCAAGTCACAGCAGAGTGCATCCACAACGCACGCTGACGACTCCACCAGTACCGACTGCCAGGCCTGGCTCCGAATTTTTCAGCCCCCCTGGCATCGCAACCCCTGGTCCCGATCCTGGCTCTGCCTTCCCCGACCCGGCTCCCTCCCGACTTCACCTCCATCTGCCACCCCGTCTTCCTTTCCGTCCTGGGCCGTCCATGACAAACCGGATGAGGATCTTCTGCGAATTGAAACAAGGACTTCCACGCGTCCAATGCCAACTCTCCAGCACCATCCTCTCTCGACGCCCGTCTCCCCACCCTTCTCAAACACTCGCAAATCACGGTTTCGAAAGGTTTTGAACCAGGCAGAAGAAGTTATGCTTGAGTCTCGATTCTCGATTTCACTGGACGATACCGCGGTCGACGTTGATGGCACTTCAGATCGAAACTTCAGACGAAACCACGTTAAATGGACGTTCACGTTGCACGCGCTTTCCGCCAACCGGCAATGTTCAAGGTACTTGAGATAGCCATGGTGTTCGTCGCTCCCTGGTCAACTTCCGTCTTTCTCAGACTTTCATCTCGAACTTGTTGACCGGTTCGGTGCGGATCGGGGCGCGTAGCTGCACCTCCTGAACGGCAGCCCGGTCGAAGCTCCAAGCGTCTTCATGTTATTGTCTTTGATCGGTGCTGGATCGCCGATTGTGTCTCTTGGAAGACGCAAGCCGATCCCTTCCCTTGCAAAGGCAAAATGCGCGATCCTGCCATCTGAACAACCACAGCAACGGCTGTCACAGACACACGCACACACACACA